TCGACTAGGAAGTCAACTATCAAAGTCAACAAAATTAAACCAACTAATTAGGCTACCAAAATCAGCACTTAAAGTCAACAATTAAAGTCAATCGACCAACTCAACTATCAAACGAAGTTTCACCTATTTAAATCAACTACCAAGTTCAACAAAAGTAAACTAAAGTAAACCATCGACGTAAACCAATAAAGTCAATTAGCAGAGTCAACTATCAGCAGAAGTCAACTATTAAGGTCAACCATCAAGGTAAACTATTAAAGAAAACTATTAAAATCAACTTTCGGATCAAACTAAATAGGTAATCTATCAACTAGGTAAGTAACTATTAACAACTAACAAGGTTAACGTAAGTTAACCAACAAAGTCAATTAATAGAGTAAAGTATCAAACAAGGTAACTTCTCAGAGTCAACTGACACAATCAACTACCAAAGTCAACTATCAAAGTCAATAGTCTTACTCATCGCAACAGAAAGTCAGTCCTTAACTAGAAGATTTACGTTTAAAAAACAGAATAAGTAGTCTCAGAGAAGGTATATCTACACGATTATCTCTAATTTAACCCCAATCAAGTAATTTCAAATTCGTTACACAAGTATCCCGTTCTCCTCAAACTTTTACATCAAATTTTACTTTCCTTATTAATTAATAAAATTAATATAATAAATTCGTTTAATTTTATTATAACAGCCTTTTACTAACTCAACTACACAACAAAATAAAATACTTTTCAGGTGATTTAACCTTTAACCTAGTTCTCACTCTCGTTCAAAAACATCTAATTCTAACCTACTTCACATTAAGAAGTACATTTTCATTCAAAATCAGCAATTATCGAGAATGAAAATGTAGCAATTATCGAAAGAACAACTTTCTTCAACTTTTATTTTTTCAAAAAATTTTTACCTAATTACTTGTCAATCAAATACTTTCAAGTCATTAACCTTCAAAATCAGGTAGTCTTTCTCGGCATTACACAATCAACTCTACTTTCCTAACTAGTAATTAATACTCAAGTGCTTTTTAATAATCATTAGAGTAGTTTTAGTAAACGTTTATTTCAACACTTTTTTCCTTATTCATCTTAACAACAAAAAACTGTTCAGGTGACTCAACTTTTACGAGCCTAATCTTCATTCTCCGACAGAAACTCTTAGTTCCAACCTACTTTTTACTAGTAAAAAGTTTTAAAGTAATCTCAAGAATCGGTATAATTCATTTTCAAAATTATCGAGAGAATTACTATCATCAACTTTTCTTCAACAATCTTTTCATCATTCAACTTAACAATTAAATACTTCTCAAGTTACCTAACCTTTAATTTAGTCCTCACCCTCTCTCAAGAACTTCTAATAATAATTTAATTTTCATTAATAAGTTCCCTTTCAATTATCCTATCAATTATAAAGAGAATAACTTTCATCAAGTTCTATATCTATAAACCTAATAACTCCACAATCAAATTGTTCCTCATCTTATACCTCAAAATCATGTATTCATTTCATTTTTAGACACACATTCAATTCATTTTTACTTACTAATAACATTATCTGAAACATTCTTAATAATATTTAAGGTAGCTAATAACTCTAATAAACTAAAATTTTTACCTTATTCAACTAAGCACTATAGTCTACAAGTAATTTTACCTTTATCAACGTATCCATTCTTTATCATAAACTACTAATTCTAACCTATATCGATAAACAATTATTCATTAAATTACTTTTAATAGATATCAAAAGGTAAGACTCATTATTTTTTATTTTCAATTAATTTTTAGACAAATTACTAACAAATTAAGTAAAATATCAAAAGAAAAAAAAAAGGTAATTAACGACTAAAAGTAACTCTAACATCCTCCAAGACACCTAGTAAACAAAAAACGAAAATATTACAGTACTCTCCTCTACTCAAATACCTTAGTCTCTTCCTTATTTAACAATGAATTTTAGGTCTCAGAGTCGAATAGTTTTTATTGTACAGGACTAAATCCAAACGACAGTAATACGTCTTTTTTCTTCTTTTACTAAACTTAACAACCCAACCACAATACAAACAACTCTATCTACTTAAAAATACTCTCCAGGACTTACGAACTTATAAGTTTATAGTTATTAACTAACTCGATATATAATTCAATAACTAAAGTATTAACAAAGTCAATTACTAAATTAATGATAAACAACTAATTTTTGTAACAGTCTCTATGAACAAAATTAAAAAACATACTATACATAATTAAGTTCCACTTTAAAACACCAGGTTCCATCACTATATTTCGTAGCTGTTTTCATAACTATTTTCAACTAATTTCATAATTATTTAAAATGCCATTTAATAACTATTTTCATGACTATTTTTATAATCATCTCCAATTCACATAACTCATTCTTTAACTTAATAAGTCCTGTTCCATGAAAAATTTCATTGCCAGCTGCTTTAATAATTAAATTTATAATTGACTACATAAGTAATTCCATCACAATTTACATAGGTAATACCTGAACTAAACAAAGACTGTTTCATAAAGAATTTCACAACTATTTACATCCTTACTTACATAAACATATACTTGACTAATTTCATAATAAAGTTTTATAATTAGATACAAAAAGTGTAGATCCATAACCAACTTTGAAAAAGTGTCTTTTCATAATCTAATGTAACATAGTGTAATTATAATTATGTATACTAGATTGTTAATGATGTTTCCATAACTAGATTGGGTGACCAAATTCAAAAACTATTTCCATAACCAAGCTTGAAAGTAATGAAGTGAGTCTGATTCAAGGGCTCAATCGGTGTGGAGTAGATCTGGGTTGGCCTTTTGACTATAATAGATTTTTTGGGTTTAATTACGAGCGTCAGCTAATAGAATAAAAGTCGCGCAAAATTATTCATGAGCGTCTGCTAGAATCAAAAGTCTTTTATGAAAACAACGTCGTGAGAAAAATTATATCAAAAGACTTGGTATTTAATCAAGAGGAAAAGACTTTGACTTCCAAATCAAGTTAAGTAGAAACATAAGTGAGTCTTTTTACCAAAGATTGATGAATTTGAAAACCATCTATCACAATTTCTATCCCTTTTAAAATCTCCCATATTAGCTTCTAGTCCGATAATTGTTGATATTTAGTGAGTATATGAAAATTATTGAGATTTGAAAATATTAAAGTATTCATACAAACAAAAATTAAAGGTATAGATCCCAAATTGAAAGAGTTATTTCCCACGAATGATCACTCTGAATTTTTTGTTGGTAGATAGATTTTATTATTTTACATCGTTTCGTAATCCTACTAAGTCACTTACACAAAAACGTTGTTTTGGAACATGATGAGATTTGGTGAACAAATTTTTCAGTATCCATTCCTAAAGTTTTTCAAAAGTTTTTCACAAGGACAAAATAAATTCATGAAGTTCAAAAAGATAAAATTCTAGCCACAAGGTTGCACCAACAATTTAAATATTTTCAAAAAATGGAGAAACCAATACATTTTTCAATTGAAGTTTTGTAATTGATATTTCAACAAATTAATCATCACATGGATCCAATTATACTCCAAGTTTGATGACATTAGACAAAAAAGTTATACAAATATATTCGCATTTACCACAACAATAACCTATGGAGAATTGGTCGTCATGTTACAAATGGGCCAAGAGTGATGAGTCCATAAAGACATTCTGAATGACTTTAACGAAAATTTACCGTCATTTCAACATACAATTTTTATCGTAATATCATAAGGAGAGAAATGATCAAAAATAAACGTATTTAACATCTCACTAATGAGAAAGTTCACTCTGTACCTTAAACTGAACTCAGTGCATATAGGAATAGAAAAAGGGTGCTAGCTAAGGAAGTATTCAAATATTTAAAAAATATACGGTCTTGAACCTTGTTACAATGCTCATTTAAATCAAACATAAAAAAGAACAAAGCATTTTTTAAATTTTAAGTATGTCTTTCTTATGTAAATTTCATTTATTTAACAATTTCAAATGTAAAGACTGAATTTCATTTTTCGAAATAATCTGTAAAACTAACCAAGAAAAACTAGGAATTGACACAATCAGTGCATGAGGAAGTACTTGTGGACATATAAAAGACGGTCTAAAGAACGATACTGTAAGAATTAAACCAAACTACGAATCTAATAAACGTATATCTTATTAAAATATTCTAGACTATTATATATTTATTTACAGATAAATTTTGAATAATTTACTTCCTAAAATTAATGTTTAAGTCACCTGTGTTATCTGAACTCTAGTGTTCTAATTAGTTCCACACATTTTGAGTGGTACTACCAATCGTTATCAAGAGATTTAACGATCCTTGATTTCAATTTAAGGTTTATAATGTTTATAGTTCTTTCCAATCAATTACTTATTATATTTACATATATCTATATATTACTATTATTATCATTAAGATAAAGTACTATATATACACAATATCATAGAAGGGTGAAAAAGACCGGTATTGGAAATTAATATTCGTTATTTAAATAATAAACTATTAGTCACACCTTTCAAATTAAAATTACCCTTTTTAAACAATAAATTAGCTGATAGTTATATAAATTTGCCTTTACAAGCAGTTTTAAATAACCAACAACAACATTTTAATTTACTTTTTTAACAATGACGCTCCTATACTATGTGAAATATTGGTTGTAAGGTGAATTGGTTTGTACTGGTAGGTAAGTTGAAAAATTCATTAGGTAAACTGATTTTGGGAGGTTATTTAGTAATCAACGAAAAGTCATTTCTTGATTTGGAGAGGTTAAATAATTATGGTTTGTCTGTATTTTGATTGATGCATAATCTTGACTTTATATAATTGCGGCTGCAAAATCTTGCAAAATCTTGCTTTGAAACATAACAAAATTACATAAAACAAGAAAAAAAATAAATTATAGGAAATCAGAAATAATACATCACTATTTGTCAAATTACAAAAATTGAAACACATTCAGAACATTACAAGCAATGAATTCTATTTTTGATTTTCAGTTATCAAACGAGGATACAAATGAATTTGTTCAATATGTTAATCGATTCGGTGGAGAATCAAGGATTAGCTTTTCTGGTAACAAATGGGAGATAAAATCTTTACCCCAAAGCCAAGAAGGCAAACAAGTTTCAGAGATATTAAACATTTTTAATTCAATGCAATGTCCACAAGTTTTTGTCAATAATGATAAAGTGATCACGGTCAATAAGCACATGGTAGATGGCATGATTAATTTCTTACCAAACAATATTCATGGCAACGGAAAAATAGAAAACATTATTTTTTTGTATAAATTGTTTTATATTAGCTGGTTTTTTAAATTCCCCACTATTTTTTATACATATCCAGGTGTATCACTAATGTCAAGTCCAGCCATTAAAACATATAAGATAAAAAAACTCAATAGATTTGTTTTCAAACGTCAAATTATTAGAAACAAAACTATCTTCGAATGGACAAAAAAGTTCACATTGGACAAAAATCATATCAATGATAAAAAATTAGTTGTATTAGATGATGAAGATACATTCAATACTAAAAAAGGGTTAAATACATACATCGTAAACAAATTGCATTATTTGGCACATATAATGCAATTCAAGGTGAACCAAGAACCTGAAACATTTTTGTCAGGAAACTTAGTAAAACCTGATATATATATTTCTGGTAACTACAAATGTACAATACAAGTGAAAAGAAAATTAATAAAATTCGCAATGGAGAGCAAAAATCATGGAAGTTCCAGCCAAAGCCATTACTTGACATTCCAAAGCTTCACAGAAGCGTTGGCTAGTGGGTTATCTAAGTCAATAGCAATAGATGCTGAAAGGATTTGCCTTTTTGAGTTCTCAATTGTGAAAGATAAGTTTGAAGACAAATTTGTGCAAGTTGACTACCAAATATTTGACTATTCGAATAAATTCAACTTATTCTCGTTATTGGCATTGCTTTTGGAAGAGCATTTTAAAAGGGATGCCTGTAAAGTTAGTGAAGAAGACAAGGCAGATATGCTTTTCGCGTTGAGACAAAGATAATTTTTAGCTATCAAAGTCAGATTTGGATTTCTCTGAAATGTTTAATAAAACTCTCTGTATTTTAATTGAATGTACCTTTGTTCTTTAAATTCGTTATTTTGTGAGTTCAATTTTTCAACTTTAGACACTCGTATTAATTATTTCGATAAGTGATAGCTAAGACCTTAGATCTACTTACTTATCATGAAGTGTTTAGACGAGTAAACTTTGATATATATTATGATTGGTAGGTGGAACTATACTAAAACTTCTTCATGTTTCAAATAAACGTTATTTAAGTGCCTGTATAGATGTCTGTATAGGATTTGAATTTGAAGTAAAGTGTCATTTTGGTCGATGTGCAATGTAATTTCAAAATTCTCCCACATCACAATTGAGTCTATATGAACTAAATGAAATCACAAAAGTTGGAATTTTATTGCAACTAGTAAAAATAGACATGGGAGCTATTTTGTAAACCAGTATGACAAGGCTCTAGTATTTATTTTTGTCTCCAAGTGATCATTTCATGAAGCTACAAGTTACTTCATTTGAAATGTGAAAACATATGACACCAACAGTAATCTACCTCCTAAAGGGTCGTATTAATGAACTAAAAGATGCGTCAAATTCTTATACCTGTGATTTAGTAGAGTAAAAGACTCTTTTTGAGTTTTATTTTTGAACCTGAATAAATTTCTTGAATTGTCGAACTGTGTTCCGATAATGTTGGCAGCATCGTTAGCAACAAACCTACCACTTAACAATAAATGCACCAGGCTTCAGATTATTCAATAGTTGCTGCTTTTTGTATTTCAACTCTTACAACATTAATTTTGTAGGTTGTTTTGATGTTTAAATCGAAGCTAAAAAAAGCGCAAATGGATGAAAAACGCTCCAACAATTTCATTTATGCATCAAATAGTTTAATAACCAAGATTTGCTTCGACATCAAGGTCAAATAGCCAACCAGAAAGGTAAATATTCAAATCGTCCATATCATGTCCAATGATACCACTAAGAATGATCCAATTACTAACAAATCAAATGACAAAGATAGCAAGGATGAAAGACAAAGAAAAAGATTAGAACAATTAAATGCTTGGAGACAGAAAAAGCAACAAGATGAGACAAAAACTGAAGAAGATACAAATGATGATGACGAAAATCAAAGAAAGAGAAGAGAAAGATTGTTAGCTTGGAGGAAGAAGAAACAAGAACAACAAAACTCGGGAAATATTACATCCTCATCACCAACGAATTCAGATAAAAGTCCAATAATTAATACGTCAATAACAAAAATCATCAAACCAAAGTCGCATAGAAAGATTCCACGAGCGAGACCAGAATTTGAAGATGATGATCAACCAAGATTAAAGAAAAAACCTAATTTTGAAGCACCAAAATTTCAAAATATTAAAAAGCTCAAAGAATCATCGCAAGATCTAGATGAATTAGATTCTTTTATTGATTTGTTGGAAAATGAAAATGGAGGAGTATCAAATTTGATTGACAAAGAAGAAGGTGATATTTTTTCAGAGACGGAAGATGCAATTGAAGAAGATAAAGATATACAAAGTATTATTGATTCAAAATTAGCTAAACTTGGAAATATCAAAACTTTGAAAGAAATTGATCATTCTAAAATAAATTATAATAAATTTGAAAAGAATTTTTATCAAGTACCTTTTGAGATTTCTAATAAGTCGGATGAAGAATTAGCATTACTGAGATTAGATTTGGATAACATTAGAGTTAAAGGTTCTAATATTCCAGCTCCTTTCACCAATTGGTCTCAACTTATTTTGCCAGCAACAATGACGAGTGTCATAAACGATTTAAACTTTACAAAACCGTCATCTATCCAATCTCAAGCAATCCCAATTGTTCTTTCAGGTCGGGATTTGATTGCAATTGCTAAAACAGGATCTGGAAAAACATTATCATATGTTATACCGATGATGAGACATATATTTGATGTCAGTGAAGGCCCCACAGCACTTATTTTGTGTCCAACTAGAGAGCTAGCGTTGCAAATTGAAAAAGAAGTGTCAAATTTTTCCAAAAAAATGAACAAAAAAGTAGTTTGTTGTTATGGTGGTTCTAAAATCGAAACTCAAATTAGTGAATTAAAAAAAGGTGTTGATATTATCGTTGCTACTCCAGGAAGAATGATAGATTTATTAGCAGCAAATGGTGGTAGAGTAGTTTCATTAAAAAGTACAACATTTGTGGTTTTGGATGAAGCTGATAGAATGTTTGATCTTGGCTTTGAACCGCAAATTAATAAAATTTTATCTCAAATACGACCTGATAAACAAATTGTATTATTTTCAGCTACATTTCCTAAAAAATTGGAACATTTAGCTAAAGAAATATTGAAGGATCCTATTGAAGTAATAGTTGGAGGAATTGGTGTTGTGGCTAGTGAAATTGAGCAGAAAATTGTGTTATTCGAAGAGGACAATGATAATCGAAACGAGAAATTATATGAGATTTTATCCACTGTCGATGATAAAGCCAATGATAAAGTTCTCATCTTTGTTGAAAAACAATCAGAAGTAGATAAATTAGTTTCGAATTTATTGATGAAAAAATTTCCTTGCGTTTCAATTCATGGTGGTAAAGATCAATTGGATAGAAAATACGCTATCAAAGAATTTTCCTCTCCTACTAGTGGCGTCAACATTTTAATAGCAACATCGATAGCTGCTAGAGGATTGGATGTTAAAAATTTATCCTTAGTAATTAATTACGATCCACCAAGTCATTTAGAAGATTATGTTCATCGGGTTGGTAGAACAGGGAGAGCTGGTGCTAAAGGTGAAGCAATTACATTTGTATTCAAACTGCAGGAGAAAGAAATAAACATCTTGGTTAAAGCATTAAAGTCCAGCTCGAAAGAAATACCTTCGGAATTATTAGATATATCAGAAAATTTTTTTAAGAGGGTTAAAGATGGAGGAATTAAAACTGGTTTTGGATTTGGTGGAAAAGGATTGGATAATTTGCAACAAGTAAGGGACCAAAAAATAAAAATGGAAAAGAGAATGTATGAACATGTGGAAGATGAGAAAGTTAATTCAACAAGTAAACAGCAATCTCCAACACCAATAAGTATGAGTTTACCAACATTTGAAATAATCGAAGGAAATTCTCCAGAAACATCAGGTCCAGATAAGTGTAAATTTCATAGCAGAATCACTATCAATGATTTACCACAATCTGTTAGATGGGGCATAGTTCAAAGAGAAAGTTTAACAAAAATTATTGAAGAAAGTAGAACTTCAATTACCACTAGAGGTAAATTCTACCCTTCAGGTCAACAACAAAAACCTAATGATGAACCAAAATTATATTTATTAGTAGAAGGTTTGACTAAACAATCTGTTGAGGATGCCAATACTATTATCAAGGAAAAGATGATACAAGGTATTGAATCGCTTCGAAATAATGATAATGGTAACACTGGTAAATATTCTGTTATATAGGTTTTGGAATTTGATGCAGCTTTAAAATTTTTTTTTTCCCCACATATTTTACTCTCTAATTGATAAACATTTGATTCCACGGTACAAAACTTTCATCAACTTTTCTTTCATCACAATTCACAACAGACCAGCCAACAATGCCATTCGATGCTAAAAGTTATGAAAAGTATGAATTTTACTCAGTAACTGAAATAGAAGAAGGATTTATTCATGTACAATACAACAATCCAAAAACTTTAAACGCATTTACTGATAGAAATTGGTTAGATTATGGAGAAATATTTACTAGATTAGATCAAGAAGATAATGTAACTTTAATATTGGTTTCATCAGGAGTTCCAAAATCATTTTCTTCAGGTTTAAATTTGAAGGCAGCAACCGCAATGATGAGTAAAAATGCTGATAAACCAGAAAAAGAGCAAGTTGCGGAATTACATAAACATATTCGTGATTTTCAATATAACATATCAGCACCAGCAAGAATCAGTACTCCAACCATTGGTATACTTAATGGTATTAATTATGGTTTAGCATTAGACATGTCAAGTTGTTATAGTATTAGAATTGCAGTTGAAGGTGCTCGTTTCTCAATTGCTGAAGTTAATATAGGTATTGCTGCTGATATTGGTTCGTTACAAAGATTACCAAGATTGATTAACAATAAATCAAAATTGATGGAACATGCATTATTAGGTGATGTTTGGGGACCACAAGAAGCTTTAGATTTAGGATTTGTTAGCACTGTTGTAAAATCCATTGATGAAGGTATAGAATTAGCTAAAGATATTGGTGAAAGAATTGTTTCTACACCTGCTTGGGCAATTAAAGGTACTAAAAAGCATATCCAAGATATATTAAACGGTACAACACATGAACAAGGTTTAAAGGATATTGCCGAATATAACTCAGTTAATATTACTCGTTCAAAAATGAAATTATAAATTAGACTTTTGTATATTTCTAAACACGAGTTTTTAACGCTCTAATTTAAAATCACTTCTATATGCTATTGAAATCCTTTCCATTCTTCTTCCTCGTCCTCCTCAACTTCGTCATCATTTTTATCATAAGCTTCATCATTAGAATCTTCATCATCACTCTCCACAACCGCCCAATCTACCAATCTTTCATCATCCAAAACATCTTCTTTACATTTTTCTCTCAACGTCTTTAATTTTGCATCTTTATTCAAATTTGCAAAAGGTTGTATCAATTTTAATACTGGTATCTCGTCAACTATTTCAACCTTTTGACTTATTAAATTTTGATATTTTTCTAGATAATCTGATGCACTTTTATCTAATTCTTCCTCTTCCAACTCTTCAAACATTATTAATTCCAATTCATCCAAATATATGTCACATAAATGATAAGGTAATGCCAACGGCACATTAGACTCTCCACTTAAAATAGTTTCTTCCATCATACTCACCCATTGTTCTACCAAATTTGACTCCCACTCTTGTTGTTTTAAGTATTTAAAATTGTGCCTCAATATTCGCCTTATGAGTAAATAATACTTATCAATTCTCCATTGATCTATACTTGGCCACTCTTTTATTATTATTAAATTAAATGCTTTAGCAAATAGTATAAATGATTCATTTGATTTTACACTGTTGGAATATAATTGGCCTAAATTCTCAGCCAATCTCTCTTGAGCTTTTGCTCTATCACAAAACCACATCGAATAGTATAATCCTTTCCATAGTTTTTCCATGTCTAGTAATGTCAATGAGTTTGATTTAGATGATGTTTTTGAATGTAAGTATCTTTTGAGAGATTCCAACGCAGAATCTCTCGTCGCTTTATCGTTAGACGCCAACTTTTTAACAAAGTTTGAGGTCAGTGACATGTTGGCTCTCTCGCAATGTAGTTATTTATGATAGTGATTAGTTTGTATGGAATTTTTCAATATTTAGATGTCTCAATAGAGATGAGAGACTCACCATTTTGTGTTCGCATACAAATTGATCAGTCGCGACAGAGAAACGAGACATGTATTACGTTAGATCAACATTAGGTCTATTCGTTGTATGATAATACCGAATCTTGTCCATTTCATCAGTAAATGTATGAGTTTTATGTTTAATAAAAACTTCCTATTTATCTAATATACACAATTGTGGTAGAATTCAATCTATTGAAAAAATCAACTTTCATCCAACATGCTAACAAAAACAACCCCATATTAACCTTCAATGCAATCATTCCTACTTGATCACTCTTAATTCCACCTTATACAATCAAATATCTAATTGGAATATGAACTAATTTTACAGCATAACCAACAACTCCCATCATTACAAAACCTACACCAACTGCTTTAATAATTTTGAAATATTCTTTTTGATCTGGTTTTTGACATTTCTTGACGAAAGCTGATCCGTCTTTAAAAAATTCCACTGGTACTTCTGTAATCTTTTCAATACCTTCTGATGCCATTGTGAATTGTTGTGATTAATTGAGCTTTAACAAGTCGTTGTACTATCTATCTATTTGGTCGATTATCTATTTCATTTTTTTTTTTTCTTTCAATTTACGTGGTCTACTTACGAATTTTGGACGTATTAACACGCAATTTTCTAATATCTAGTTCATTCATTCATTAAATCTATTTAAAAGGTTACATTAATTCTAAAAGTGATTCATTATCATCATCATTAGCTAAATCATTCATGAATTTTTCTCTCTTTCCTTCTAAAATTTTTCTATACTTGTTAAGTCTTTCTTTTCTAACCCAAGTTTTTAAATTATGTTTCATTGATTTGTCAATACTATATTTTTCAATTAGTGGGAATATTTGTCCTATATAAGTATTCTCTCCTTTCAAGTCTATAAGATATTTCATAGCTTCCAAATATAATACTTCTATAGCTAATTCTTTATCATTAGTTGGTACAAACCCCATTCCTGATCTTTTTGTAAATGAATCCCCATCCACATGATGTCTCTCATATTCAAATAATAATCTATTCAAATAATCAAATATCCTCAGTTCATCATTTTGTTCTTTTAATATATCCAAATATACTTTATATATAAAACTTGAATAACTTATTGGGGGATCTTTTTGAATTATTTTCCAGATTTGATCAAATGTATTATATCTTTCATTTCTTAATTTTTCAATAAATTGTAAATAACCTTCATAATCAAAATTAACATCATTTTTAGCATCTTCTAATTTTATATCATTACCTCTTGAATAATTACTTTTATTTAAAAAAAATCTTAAAGCTTTTTCTTCTTCAAACATTGTTGAAATATCTGCCCATTTAAAAACTTGTTCCCAAAATACTTTTTTACCACTATCAGATTCGATTATTTCATCATAAACTGTTTGAAAATTATTAATATATTTAATACCCAGAAAAAAATCACCATTAAATGCCAATGATGCAAATAATGCGGTCAAAAATTTAAGATCAGGATACAAATGATGATTCGTATTTAATTTGTTCTCTTCAGCAACCAAATTTCCTTCACTATTAATACCCCAAATACTTTCAACATATTTTTTTAATACGTCTATTTGTCCTTTATATGCTAAATGATGAATAACAATAGAATGCATTTCTAAATCAAAATCTTCAATTTGATCTTGTAAATATTTTATTGATAATTCCATTGAAGGTTCAAATCTACCTCTTAAAATATATTTATAATAATTTGATAAATCTGAACCTTTTAAAGTCCATATTCTATTATCTCCATATCCATCAATTTTAAATGCTAATTTCCACATTTCTGGTGTCATTAAATCTTGCCAATTTTCATTATACATTCTAAATAATCTAAACCACCTTGATGCTAGATCTAGTTTTAAATTACTTAATTCTAATTCCATTAAATTTGTGAAATCTTTGGTAGTTAACCTATATCCTGTCAAACATTGACTATTGTATATATCATTTCTCTTTTCTTTTCCATATAGACTTTCCCTTTTATTTGAATATATGATATTTTTATAAATATTTCTTACTTGTTTTGTCAATTGACTATTCATATGAAATCCAGATTTATTTAATTTATCAGAAAGTCTTAATGATCTAGCGGATTTGTTGATTGGTACACTAGTGTATTGAGTAATTACTTCATTTTTATTTTCATGTATTATAAGATTCAAATATTCTGAAATCAAGTCCCGACCTAATGTTTCTATCATTCCATTTAAATCATTAGCAGACCAAGTTTCAAGTAATTGACTTAATTTATTGATATTTTTTTGTTCTGCTAATATTATTAGTTGATGCTTGATTTGTTTTTCTTTTGTATCTCGTATATTCGAAGCAAACACTGAGCTTAATCTATAAGAATCAATAAGGTTTTTGGAAGGTAGATTCGATAGTATTTCATTTATAGTTGATGAATTTGACTGTATAATCGAATTTGATTTTGAGTTTACATTGGTAGTTGTAGTTGTGGCTGTAGTAGGTTCATTTAATGGTATGCTATAAGTTGTATATGATCTTTGACAATTCTGTATCAACCGCCTCTTCGCGACTCCATTCTTTATTATGTTTTGCATCAATGCATGAGTAAGATAACTGGAAAGTTTTGAAACAATATTTGGTCTGAAAAATTTTAAATTTTTTTTTTTTTTGGAAGGTCTGATAAAGCGCGCGATTTGTAATTTTATCTTTTTCATCTTACTGACATTAACTAACTTATTACATTCAAGAACCAAAGATGACATGTCTGAATCTACCGAAAAGGAATTGAATCCATATATTCCAAAATTTATTATATCCAAACCATGGTACAGTGAAGACAAACTAAAAAAAGATGGTGACGAAGAAAAATCCGAGGACTATTTATCTCATCAAAGAAAAACTTTAGAAGTAATTGATCATAGTATACCTAAAGTTGGAGATGGTATAAATGATGAATTTGAAGGAAATGTACGTACCAATAAAGAAAGTGACGAAAACTACGACTCAAAAAGAGATAGATGGTATGGTTACTCAAATGAACAATGGCTTGAACTGATTAAAAATTGGAATGAAAAAAATAATAAAACTTCAAAACTTTCAAAACATATTGATAATGATGATTCAGATGATTCAGAATATGAATTAGAATTAAAAGAATTAGGTTTAGAAAAATCAGATATTTTAAAAAATGTAAAAGAAGATCCAATGGAAAAAATGTTAAGAGATAGACAAGATATACCAGCATATATTCATAATATTAATTCAAGAACCTCCAATAAGATAAGAATTGAATATGATCCAAAATCAAGATTAGCAAAAGATCCAACAAAGGGAATTTTAAATGATAAAAATCAATTTATTAAAAAAATTGAAGGAGAATCAAAAAATTTAAAAATTTTACAAAATTTTGCATGGGAATTAGATCAAAAAGATTTAGAAATTAAAAAATTAAAACAAATTGAAGAATTAAAAGAACGTGAATATTCATATGGTGATGAAGAAATTAAAGAAGACAAAATTGGAAGTGATTTAAATTTAAGTCTTGAAGCAAGTCCAACTTTAATGATGTTAAAAGCTAATCAAGAAAAACAAAAAGCAAAAGAAAAATTAATTGCTAAAAGAAAAGCTATATTGGATAAGTACACTGATTCAAAAGAAAATGATATTAAGAGACAGAAAAAAGAAGATTGATTGGTTCATTTCGATTCATAATCAATTTGATTCTTCTCTATTTAATGTTTCAAAACCCAAAGTTTCCAATTTTTCAATCTAACAAATTGATTATCATCTACTAATTCCAAATTCTCAATTTCATTAATAACTTCAATAATTAAATTATTATATTTACCATTTGATGATAAAATTAATAATCTTTTAAATTTTAATAAATTTGAAATTTCAATTTTACCATCTTTTAAATCAATTAATGATCTAAGATAAGTATCTTTACATAAATTTTCAGTTGAAAAATAATATTCTATTTGTTTTTTTATTGTTGATTTTTTTATTGCTAATTTTTGTTGTTTTGTTGTAATTTGTTTTTGTTTTTGTTGTTGTTCAGATACTTGATTCATATTTTGTTTATTAATTATGTTTTGAGGAATAGGAGTTAATGGAATTTGCTGGAAATTAGGTAAATTACAATAAATCATATGTTGTTGAAATATAGGTGGAGATTGTGGTGAGAAAGGTGATATATTAGTTGATGATGGAATTAAAAAAGGTGATGGTAAAGGACTAGTTGCAAATGGAATTGGTTGTGGTAATGATGTTGATGAATCTTTTTTGAAATTATAATCATTAATAAATGGAGTAAAAGGTTGAGGAGTTGTAATTGGAGGAGTATTAAACCAAATATGATGCAGTTTATTATTTTGATGATGATTCATATGATGAAATAATTTTTTATTTATTAAATGATTAAATTCAGTTGCAGTATCATTTTTCATCATTTCATTTGATTTGGGGAAAATTGGTTTTTTAATTTTTAAATTTTTACCAACACTTATAAGCATATCCTTTTTATTTTTATTTTCATTCGGTTGAGATTTTGATTGTGAATGGTTTTGACTACTTGTAGTTGGAGGAGTTGTAACTAAAGTTATTGAACCATTTGAATCATTCTGATCTTGTATATAACTTGATGAATTTGATGTTGTTAAAATTGGTATTGAATTTTGTTGATAATCATTATAATTATTTGAAATCTCATTATTTGCAGCATAATTTTGATTAGCATCTCTACTATTGTGTTCTCTATTTAATTCTTTTTGATCTTCAATTAATGTATTCAATTCCCATGCATTAATCTGTGGAGGAGGTGCTGGAGTTAATCTTTTCAATCCTGACATTGTTTATTTGTTTATGGTTGCAACTTTAGAATTTACAATGAATTTTGGTTGTAAATAAAAATTTAGAAATTTACACAATTTAAATTTTTGGTTGTAAAAAAAATGTTACACACAAAGTAAAGTAAAACATATCGAAAAATTAATATTAATTGTACAATGATACAACCAAATCAATAGAACTATAGCTTATGATTAACGGTTCATGGTTATCTCAATCAATCTACCGTCATATACAATCAGAAATCCAAAGTCCAAATGTTCATTATACCCCATAAATATAAGGAATTTTTTGCAGCAAATTTAATAGTAGTGTGACTTTAAGGAATATATCAAAAGATTCATTTCTCACCTTCTCAGATTTACAAATCAGATGGTTGGTAAAAGCTGAACAGGAGTAATAGCTAATTGAAACAGTACAAGTATTTACAAACTAGATATGTGAAGTACTTGATTCAAAAAAAAAAAATGATAGAGGGTATTAAAAATACAGCCTATTTTGACTTGAAACAATCTACTAAAATTTTTTAAACATCTTGTGATTCTAAAATTTGGGACATGAAACACAATCAGTTTTGAAATTATAAAATTAGAAGATTTGATAAGTGAAATTTTAATACTTCATCGATCATATATTTTAGACATTAACATTGGGTCATAATCGTAGCATGTTGAATGCAACACTTGTATAAAGACCACACGAGTTTGAAAGTAAGAAAGACACGAATTGAAATAAAAAAGGGGGGCAACCCACATGGTACCTAAATACATAATAAATTGATTTTCACTTTATCTCATAATTTTTAGTCACACGATTGTTAAAATAATAATATATCAATTATTTAAGAAATATTACATTAATAACATATTAAGCTTGAGATTAAAGTTAACATTACAAAGCCAATCCACGTTTTCTTACACACATGAGATCTATTAATATTATTGAAATATCATAACTATATAAATCACTACTTTCTATAGCTCATTAATATAATAGTAGTGTGCTTAAAAAGAGACAATTTTATTTTTTTGACTACGTGGGGCTACTTTATTCAAATCCTTTGCTCACAGATGGAACGATCGAGGCTGGATTTGATCAAACTGTAAGGTATTTTGTATTGTTTTGAGTTTGAAATCGAATAATGCTATCCTGACTTCGAATTAGTACTTAGTAGTTAACTGTGCTGTCCTGTTTGACTTTCTTTAAAAAATGGAATTCTTTCTTGAACTTAATTTTGTGTGACAACGTGGCGTACTTCCATGATTTTAAGTTTTCTATTATATATTAGTTTTGTGTAATAATAATAATTATATCATAAAATATATTTAAAGATCAAAAGATTATTAAAAAAAAGGAAAAATGAACTTCATTAGGAACAACGACCATTGAAGTATCAATTTTTGACAGCAAACGATATCATCAACTTTGGTAATATCAAAGTATCACCGTTCTAGTCTTGACAATCAAGTTACTACAGTACAATAAATTTTTTTTTGTGAGAAACGTTTTTGAAACACAACATTGAAATTTTGCAACTTATAAATTAATCAATCATCAACATCAACAAAATAAAGATCATGAGTTTTCCATCACCTCCAGTTCTTAAAACTACTATAATACAATTGAATAAAGAATTAGATCCAGAAGATAATAATAATAATTATGAAATTTTAACAAATAATTATAATAATAATGATAATAATGGAAATAACCTAAGAAATGTGAATGATTTAACACCAACTTCACCTAATTTAGAAGGTCAATTACCTAATAAGAAAAAAAGAAGAAGATCTACTGCGAATATAGATTCAGAAGAATTAGCTAAAAGAAAAAATGAAACAAAACAATTACATTCAATAATTGAAAAAAGAAGAAGGATTAAAATTAATAGAGAATTTGAAGCTTTAAAATATATAATACCAGCTTGTAGGAATTGTAATAATAATACTACCAACACCTCAGGTTCAACAAGTCCATCATCAAAAAAGAATGGATCATCATCAAATAGTAATAGTAGTAATAATGGAAGTAAAATAGATGGAATGTATAAATTAACAATCTTAAAAAGTTCAGTTGAATATATATTATATTTACATCATATTATACAAAAGCAACATGAATTAATAACAAAAAACCCTGCACTACTGTCAGAAGCTCAAGAATTTGATATTGATTTTGCTAAAGTTCCACTTGATGTAAATCAATATAGAAATATAGATGTTGATTTTAATTTTAAAGATTTAATAAATGAAACAATTGGGTCTGAACAACATCAAACTCAACCTCAATCTCAACTACCACAAGCAAAACCAAAATTAAGACAAAACAAACGTCATCAATCACATCAAATTATAGAAGAAGAAGATGAAGAAAATGATGAAGAATTCGATAGTGAGAAACAAAATAGTGAAGAAGATGAATTATCAAATAATCTTAGTAGTAGATCATCAAGTATAGCACCATCAACCAAAATATCTTCTTCAGATCAGCAACAACAACAATTAAACTTTCCTTCAATTCAAAAACCATCATTACCTACTCCAGAATTTACACCAGATATGGCACCTATATTATCAATGCTTAATAAATATTCAACAACTACAGCTCAAGAAATGAGAAATAGAAAATTATCAAATCCTATATCACCTCAAACTTTTGTTTTAAAATCAGCAAATCCTTCACCTTTTACTCAACCTTTAAAATCAACTTTAACATCACCATCAATGAGAGGTTATATTAACCTGAATTCAACAAGCAGCAATAATAATAATAAATTTTCATTACCTGATCCAGCCATTACTCCATCAAATGATATACCACGAGACAATAATAGTACTAAAATATTTCGAAATAAATTATTTATATCATCTTCAATAGATAAAAGAAATGATATTGAAAATAATAATGAAGATGAAAATGAAGATGGTGAAGGGGATTCAAAATTATCAGATCAATATGCTTCAAAGACATTATTAGCTTTAAGAAAATCAAGTATAGATAGTTTATTAAATTGAGAAAATTGTATAGGTTAAGTGTAGTAATTAATTTATTTTGTATTTCTTCATTAATTTATCATTATATTAAATTATTATCATTTAAATATTCCATATATTCATCAATTTTACTTGGCCAAGAAGCCATTTCATCATAATTTTTAAAATTTAAAGGATCATTAAATAAAATTTCAATTAAAAAATTATAAAACATTGACCAAGTATCAAAAGTTATAATTTTTCTTTTATTACTATCATAATTTTTTAAAAATTCAAACCATTGATTTATTCTTTCTTGAATTTTTGACTTGTTTAAATCTAATTGTTCAACTGAATAAGATTCTATAAGTAATGGTAATAATAATTTCCAATATTCTATAGCTAATTCAATATTTAAAACTTTTTGATTTTCTGATTCAATTAAAAATTTAAAAGTAAAATCATATAATTTTTTAAAATTCAAAATTTCTTCTTCCCCTTCATTATCTTCTATACTTGTATAGTTTCCTCTATTATATAATATATCTTCATAAAATTCATTCAAGAAAGTTTTCATTTGAGATATACTATTAATTTTATAGTGCTGCCATATATTTAAAAATTCATCTCTTTTAAATACACCAGTCTTGGGAGATTTTAATAAAAATGCTAAAAATAAAGATTTTGGATCATCTGGATCAATTTTTAAATCTTCTAAATAATTTAATGTACCATCAATATCTATTTGTTCTGGATTTGAAGGATCTTTATATTTTTCATATATCTTGATTAATTTTGGATCAATCAGTTTTGATTTTTTACCGTTGGTTTTTGAATTATTATTTCCATGTTTATCATAATATGCATCTACTGCATTCGCTAAATTATAATTCGATGCTTCTAAATATCTTGAAGCTGTGGATGTTGATGTTGATGTTAAATCACAAAATTGATTCTTTAATTGTGTTTTGTTCACCTTTGAGAGTTAGTATTTGGAACTTATCATTTCTTGATTTCATAAAGACACATACCATTCCACTTTTCTATACTGTTGAAGGTCCAGTTTTAAGTCGGGACCTCGTGATATTGATGTGTGTTGTAAAAGATTTAGTGAACTTGAAACAAAAAGGTTCTTGTTATCTGTAATTAATTTTTGTGCGTGTTTATTATTAACTTCACAATTGTTGCAAAATTGTAAAGGATTAGATGTACAAGTTGTAATTCTTTACCGCGTCGTTTATAATCATATATTGCTATGACTCTAAACATTTCGATTCATATACTATGCTCTAAATAAATATCGATCGCATCTCATCCTATTTGCCTATTCAATCCTTCTTAGCTACGTGATTTTTCTTACTTGAAGTTGCAAGAAGCAAATTCTTCATCACATGAACAAAGGACGAATAAAATTTATTTAGCTCCAATTGTTCTATTTGATCTCAGTATCATTTAACAAGTCTTAAAGCATAATTTGTATTGTTGACTTGGAAGCTTTAATCAATTGTGTCAAAAAAATCTCTTTCGCGAAACACCAAAAAAATTAACATTTCTGGAAAGGTAAATATAAAATTAATTTACAACCATTATCAATAGATCTATCATTTTAAAATTCATCAGACAAACATAGATTATGTGGATATGAATGATGAATTTCAAAACGTATCAATCAATTCAATCAAGAATATAATTGATTTCCCAACATTAGATGATTTATCAACATCACCATCAGAAATAGATAATGATATTCAAATACTATTAGATTGGATTCAACCAATAATACCTGAAAATATCATAAAAAATTCTCAAACTATAACTAAAGTACCTCATCACCATCATAGATTACTACGATCTAGAAAAAATCAACATCACGATGAAACTATAGAATCAAGATTTTTATTACCAAAATATTCTGAACCATCAAATAGAATTAAATTAGCTATAAAAAGTTGTTTTAAAAATGAAATTGATCAATTTAAATTTATTGATATTTATATTAATTCTTTTAGTAAAAAAATAAGAGAAATACCAGAATCTACTTTATCAGGATTATCATTCACTGAATATATGGATTTAATAAAACTAATTTTACATCATTGTGAATATCATATTGATCATTTTAATTTCACAAATCAAGTTAAAAATGTATTTTATAATAAATTTTATTCAAATTTTACTTCATTCTTATTTGAAAATACTAATTTCAATAACCAATTAACAAAATTTTTTGAAGATTCATTTTTACATAAACGTACTTTTTCAGATCCTCATTCATCAACAATTCAAACTATAACATTAAATATAATTGATGTTATTTCAACATTAGTTAAAATCAATTTATCAAATAAATTAAATGAAATTATTATTCAATTATCAATTATAAAAATTAAAAATTATACTTTACAAATTTCTTCAGGAGTTTGGGATAAACCATTATTAAATTTAATTGATTCATTTATTCAAAATGAAATATATCCTAATTTTTCAATATTTGTTACTTATACTACATCTTCAAATTTAACAGATTCAATGAATAATATTTATTATTATGAATTAATGAAAATAGCTCATAATGAATTAATATCTCAAAGAATTAAAGAAATTTATTCTTTAGTTATAACTTACCCCAATAGTGAAATAGCATTGAATGAATTATATAATTGTTTACTGAGAAACAGAATAGAAACTCATCAAGATGATCGAATAGATATGTCATCAATATCAATCTTATCAATGGTTGATGAATATTCATCTCATTCTCAAGCAATGAATAGAAGTAAATTAGTTGAAAGTTTTATTAAAAATTGTAAAGAAAATTTACTTCATGCTGGAGCAAATACAATTGATGTAATCCTTGCATATACTAAAACAATTAAATCATTTTTATTAATTGATCCAAGAGGTGTTCTATTAGATAAAGTAGTAAGACCAATACGTGAATATTTAAAATTGAGAGATGATATTATAGTAAAATTAGTTCATGGTTTATTAGATACTTCAGAATCAAATCCATTAAAAGAATTACCAAAAGAATTAAGTAATCCAAATAAACAACCAAATTCAACAAATCATATAAAAGATGTAATGGAAGATTCAATGGATTTAAATTGGACTCCAGATCCAATTGATGCATTACCTGATTTTAAAAAGGATAAAATTAATGATATTATAGAATCAATATTATCAATATTTGAATCAAAAGAAATATTTATTGAAGAATTTACAAAATTATTTGGTGATCAAATAATAAAATCCAAAAATTTTAATGTTGAAGAAATTGAAACAAAATTAAATTTATTAAAATTAAGATTTGGTAAAAATAATTTTAATATTTTGGATATAATGTTAAAAGATATTCATACAAGTTCAAATTTACATAATGAATTTCGTGATAAATCTAATCAAATTGTTGTTCTATCACATTTATATTGGAATACAATTTTAGATAATATAAATGAAGATTTAAATTTTAATTTACCTCCAAATATTGAAAAGATCTTCAAGAAGTATCAAACAAAATATTCAAAATTAAAACAAGGTAGAACTTTAAAATTAATTCCAAGTTTAGGTAAAGTTAAAATTGAATTAAAATTTAAAAAAGATAAAAAAATATTTGAAGTAAGTCCTGATAAAGCTTCAATAATTTATTTATTTAATGATACAAATAAAGAATTATCAGTTGATTATATAGCTGAAACTTTGAAAATGCCAAATTATTTAGTTACTGATGGGTTATCGTTTTGGGAAAAAGAAGGTGTACTATTTGCTCTAACAAAAACATTATATATGGTCAATGAAGAAGAAGAAGAAGAAAATTACGCTGTATAAAGTAAAGAAAAAAGCTTCATAATCATATATAATACAAGTCATGAATATACATTAACGAACTTACTCAAACTTCTCTCGTCATTATTTCTTATCTGATTTTTGATTCCATCGTCTAGCAGCTTTTATTTCATCAGACATATACCCAGGTACTTTTATACCCCAATTATTTTCAAGATTTAATTGAACATCTTTTATATCAATTTTATCTAATTTTCGATGTTTTGCTAAATTACATGAAAATTCCATTACATTTTTAACAAATTCATCAGCTAAATCTAAAAAAATTTCTTCAACATCATTATCAACAGCTGTTTTGGAATCTCCTTGATCAATTGATATATTTGTAATTAATTCATTTAATTTACGTTTTGTTAATACTCTATTATCATTATCTGGTATATTTGTTGGTGTTTTTGTAGAATCTTGAAAATAATTTAATGAATTTACTAGGTTTGTAGTTGAATTCAGATTTATTGGATTATTAAGTAATGGTCGTTTAATTGTTGGGTTTGCAATATTTAAAACAGGTGGTTGAGATTGAGTAGGAGTTGATAATTTTACCGAACTTGCAACTCTTGAGACAGTAGGTGTTTTAACATTGGATGTTGTAGTTGCAGTTGGAGTGAATATGGTTGATGTAGAATTAGGAACCCGTGGTTTTGTTGTTGGAATGACTGCTGGTACCGGAGAAGCAGATTTTTTATTTATATTTGATGAATTTGTAAAGTTGGGAGTACTTACTGAAGGTGTATCCGTTTTTGCAGGAGTACTTACCGTGTTTGTCTGGGGTTTTATAGCTGGATTAGATGTACTGTTATTAGCATTTGTTTGATTTGAAGATGCAGGTGGTTGATTCGATACTGATGGTTGAGAAACGTTTGCAGCAACAGGTTTTGGAGTTGTAACATTTACAGGAGTTGAATTAGCAGACAACCTTCCAGATTCAACAAGTACAGATCTCATATACATTGCACCTCTATGATATTGTTGTAAAGAACTTCTACTTTCAGCTATTTGTTTATCAATTGTTTGTTTTCTAATTGGATCTGTTTCTTTTTCTCTTGCACTAGTTAAAGATTGAACTTTATCTACTAATTCTTTTAATACAGTTTTCACTCTTTGATATTTTTCTATAGTTACTTTTTGATCGTTTGGGTTTGAGTTTGGTTTTTGAGGAATTGGTGACTGAATTTGAGGAGTTTGAATAGGCTGCGTTTGGTTAGGTTGAGTTTGTGATTGTGGTTGTAATGGTGTCTGTTGTGTTGCTTGAGATGGATTTTGCGTGGAAGGTTGTATATACGAAGGTTGAGTCTGTGTATTTGATGATTGAACTTGTTGTTGTGGAATTATAGATGGTGCTTGAGAAAGACTTGATGAGGAAGGCGGTACAGGGGTTTGTGACTGCGAGTTCAAATTGGAATTAGGTAATTGATTTATTTGATTATTGACTATTGAAGATGCTGAATTTGGTTGATTTCCATTACTTGGAGTTGGATTATTTTCTGATTGAGATACACTGTTAGACCTTGAAGGTTGTTGTTGTTGTTGCTGCTGCTGCTGTTGTTGTTCATTTTGTTTCTTTTCTTGAAATGCAACCAAAACTCTTTTAATCTTTTCAACAACTGCAAGGTGTTCTCTTTGTTTGATAGGATCTGATTCTGTTTTACTTGCTTCTAATTCTTCTTTTAATTTTTTCATCAATGCTTTTATTCTTTGTGGATTGAGTTCTACTTCAGGAGTCGGCGTATTAGCCTTAACTTCTTGTGATTGGCTCGAGCCCTCCATTTGTTACTTAGTAGATGGTATGATGATCTAAGAACTTGATTCTTGGTTTATGTTCTCTTGCATTATTTAATATTTCTATGTTTCGTTTTTTTAAATTCCACGGTAGTGCAATTATCAACTTTCTTACGATTTGCTTTTGAATTCTGGAGTAATTGTAACTAGTATCAGTACCAACTAATTTATCACTCTTCCATGATTCTATACATGGACCGATTTTGACAAAGAGATATGGTTAAAGGCAATAGATATGGACGAAATATTAACTAAAGATTATACATTTACAACTCAAATTCAAAGTAGAGTATAAAGCCATTCCAACTACTTCGTTCCTAAATGAAAAAAAAGATCAAAATTTTGATACAGTAACGAAAGCAAGACTATGAGTTCGTGGTGATTTATAAAACTTGAAATTAAAGATGGTGATTCTAAGGTAAAAAAGATAGCAGAAGTATTCAAGTAAAAACAATGACACATATGCAGAAGAAACGAATAGTATCAAAAGATCTGGTCTTCAAGGGACTGCTAAGTCGAAGAAAATTCTGATATAATTTTAAACAACCAAAGAAAAAGACCAGAGGGTTTGGTCTTCAAAGTCGAAGAAAATTTTCCAGGTCTTGGTTGTTTGGAATTGTATTAAGAATTTTCTTTGATTCTTAATGAGTTCTTTGAAGATTTTTTGATACAATTTCGTTTCATTTTTATAGGTGTGATTGTTGGAATTTTTGAAGAAAATGATTCTGAAGATTATTCGAGATGAGGAAAACTGGCAGAAAAAGCAGATTGGGAAGAATGTTTTATAGCTTTCTCTTTCAAGAGAAAGCTTCAGACCAAATTAAAATGAGGTTCTCAACTATTTGGGTAAACAAATATTATTTTTGCAACTTTGAGTGTATTGTCATAAATTCGTTCTATAACTCTATAAAGATAAAATTTTTACAATAATATCAATAACATGATCATCATTCAGATTCAGCAACAGCTGTTGTTTAGATTGAGATAATTTATCATCAATAACATTATCTAATAATTTTCTTAATTGTTTAATTAATACACCATTTTTACACCAAGTTCTAATAGGTAACCATTGATCTAAAATTATCCCCTTTGAAGGTATACCATTACTTGAACTTAAATCATAATCAAATTTACCACCAAATAATAATGTAGATAATATATTTAACGGAGTTATATCTCTAATATATAATTTTGAAGAAAAATGTGATGATCTAAATGAAATAAATGGGAATTTTAATGGATTTGATTGATTTGAACTATTAGTAGTTATCAGTTTTGCTTTTTCAAAATCTAAATTACCAAATTCATCAACTAAAGTTGTTTCATCAATTTCAAAATTTTTATTACTTGTATCAAAAAATATTGATGAAGGATGAATAAATACTCTTGAAGCTGGTAAATTATTATTATCACTTTCATCATTTTTATGATCATTTTTAATCCAATATTTAATTAATTTAGCATCTGGATCAATTTCTAATGAACCCTGTGAAGATTTTATAAATTTTTTATTAGGTAATTGAACTCTTGCAATATTTGGATAAAATGAACCAGCAATTATTGCTTTAATTAAATTATAATTTGGTTTTCCACTTACATTTTGTTCTTTAAAAAATCCAAATTCTAGTAATAATTGCTTATATTGAGATTTTGTTGTTTTAATATCTTTTAAAGCATTATAAGATAAATAATTATCATTTATAAATTTTTTATTCAGATTTTTATTATTACAATATTCATAATATAAATTAGTCATTGCAATCAAATCACCTTGATTATCAGAATATTTATTCATTATATTTTTAATTTTATCTCTATTTTCCAAATTATATTGGAAAATATTACCTATTGAATTTATCGCAGCTAAAGTTGAACAATAATCTAAACATCCAAATATACAACCTAAAATCAATAATTTTCCAGTATTTGTATCAGTTGGTAAAAATGAAAGATATTTACCTAAGTTAGTTAAAGATTCATCATTTAAAGCACCGATATTTATCAAATGTTGTTTTGCAATTTCTAATGAAGTAGAATCAGGTGAATCTAATCCACTTTTAATAAATGATTCAACATTATTTATACCCATTGATTTAACTATTAAATATAAATTTTCTAATCTAATTCTTTTAATTTCAGGTATTGGTTCTAAAAGCATTGAATTTTCAATTTCGGTGGTGTATAAATGATAACATATACCTTTAGTAACACGACCAGATCTACCTCTTCTTTGTTTTATTTCAGCTTTTGAACACCATTCTTCAATTAATTTAGTTGAATTTAATTGATTATCAAAATACATTGATTTTGATCTACCTGAATCAATAACAACTACACAATCTGGAATCGTTATAGAAGTTTCTGCAATATTTGTAGATACTACTATTTTTCTTAACCCTGACGGGGGTGATTTGAATACTTTTTTTTGATCTTGTGATGATAATGATGAATGTAATGGTAGTATCCAGGAATTTGATAATTCATGACTTATTTCTCGTATAGCTTTATTTATTTCAGGTACACCAGGTAGAAAGATTAAAATTGATCCATTATTATTCTCAATTTGTAATTGTTTATCAATATACACAACCAACTTAGCTATTAAATCATAATTTATATTTCCTTTATTGAAAAAAGTAGAATCTGATCTTGGTTTAATTAATTCCCCACCAATTTCCATTTTATAATTTAAACTATCTAAAATTTCATCTAAATAAATATCTTTTATTGGAAAAGTTCTACCTTCAATATGTTCATGATTCAATGTTTGATTAAAAAATTTATTAAATTTATCTAATTTTATAGTAGCTGACATTAATATAATTTTTAAATTTTTAAATTTTTTTAATAAATTTTTTAACATTATCAACAAGAAATCTCCATCAACTGATCTTTCATGAACTTCATCAATAAATAAACATTTTAAATTTTTAAAAAAATTTGAATCTTCGTCGGTGTTAGATAAATTTTGAAACATTCTTAATAATATACCAGTAGTTAAAAAAGTAATTCTTGTATTTGAAGTTGTTTTTGATTCTCCACGAATCATATAACCAATTTCATCACCAATAGTATCATTTCTTTCTTCAGAAACTCTACTAGCTAATCCAATAGCTGATATTCTTCTTGGTTGAGTACATAATATAGTTGATGAAAAATCTCCCTTTGCATTTAAATCATCTAATATAAATTGTACAATTTGAGTTGATTTACCTGATCCGGTTTCACCAGTAATTAAAGTAATTTGATTATTATTAATTAATTTTATTAATTGATCTTTTTTATTCCATGCTGGTAATTTCCGTCTTTCTTCAATCAGTTTTTGTAGTAATTGTTTTCTGTTGATGTATGAAGATTTGATAAATCCTATATCTTGTTTGATATTTCTTTTATTATTTCTCAACTTCTTATTAGCAGTAGTCTCAATGCTAACATCTTTATTTGACTTTTCGTTTTTATCATAAATCATTAAAGGTCCAGGATTTTGTATGATTTTAATAATATTAATTTCTAACCATTCAATAATTGAAAAAATCATACATTCACCAAAATATAATTGATTAATTAAATTTCCAATTATTGAAATTTTAATATAATTTGCTAAATTATAATTTTCAGATAAAATTAATTGAATTCCTGGAATTTCATTTGGATAATTTGAACTTTTAAATATTTTTACACTTATTGCTTTTGATTCATTAATACCTTCTGGGTTCAATGGTATTGTAACTACATTTTTTTCATTATCGTTATACTTTATATCATGAGTCAGTTGTAATGCTTCTATTTCTTGATCCCATAATACTTGACCATCTTCTACAGTTTCTTCCAAATGTGGTTTTGTAGATAGTAGTTGAGTTAATTTTATACTTGTTTCAAATTCATTTTCATTATTTTCTTTAAAAATTTTTAAAATGTCATCATTATCAAATCCTGAATTTTTTAATCTCTTCAAAGCTAGCTCGGTCTTTAAATTTTGTGATATTGTGAAAATTACATCTGAATCTTTATTTGATTTTGAAAATAATGGAGGTAAATCATCTTCAGGTATATGAAAGATTAACCATTCTAATGAATCTATGAAAGTTGATGATGTATAATTTAATGATTCTAAAACATGACTCTCTCTAAAGCCCAAAAAAATTAGTTTGTTAACTATTTCTTGATCTATATTTTTTGATTCATTAATTTTTTCATTATTCCATTCCAATAATTCTTTAACTGAATTTTCAATATCTAACCTAATATCTGATGGTATATCAAACATACAAGCATTTTCCCATACTTTTGGAGAAAAAGCACTTCGTATAGGTTTAGTGGTGGTAGACCTGCTATCTACATGATTATTATTTTGACCTAAACTAATTACAGGTTTTTGGACTTTTAAATTTTGATTTTTTTGATTTTCTTTTTCTTTTTCTAATTTCGCTTGTATATCTTGTTGTTCTAATAACACAACGAAAGGATTAATATTATAAATTTTATCATGTTTTAATTTATTTTCCTTCAAAGTTTTTAATCTTTCAATTTCTAATTCATTCCAATAATCTCTAAATATTAAAGGTAATAACATTTTCATATTTTTTATATAATTAATTCTATGTAGAACGTATGTAGCAGTCATATGTCTTGCTTCATTAGTTGTTTGTTTGGGTTGATATTGAGGTTGAAATTTAATTGATAATGTTTCCTTGGTTTTAGGATTTTCCCAAGATAAGGTAAATATTCCAATAAAACCTTGAGACCTTTTTATCATATCATATTGAACTTTATTCCATTTTTGTTTTTGAACATGTTCATTCAATAATGTAACTGGTAATTTCCCAGTCCAACCAAAATTTTCACCAATGACTAAACCTCGTGATGGTTTTTTTATATCATCATTTGGAGTAGGTGATGATGAATTTTTATCATTTTTCTTCTTGGAATTGGAGGAAGTTGAGTTTAAAGTTGTTGTGGAAATTGATGCTTGTTCTGTTTTTGACTTAGACTTCTTCGCCATGAATTGGTGTTCTATTTTGTTGCCTCAATTTTTAAATTTTGTATAGTATAATCTGATTTACAACCATCTTTTGATATCTTTTTAGTTGCATTTTGTGTTAAAAATTGATTGTAAGACTGAAAAATAATTTTGAAACATTTTATAAAGTGAAGTCTAAAAAGTAAAGTTGCTACCATGTTCAACAGAGTTTTTTGTCAACAGCAATAAGAAAATTATTACCAGTAGTCTATATTATTAGCTCCTTTTTTTTTTTTAATCATATATTACAAGAATGTTTGTTAAATTCGCCAAATATAAGTGATTGGTACGATGGATTGGTCACTAACGTATGTCTCACAACCAGCTTATGATTGTATGACATGTGTTCTCGACCAATCCTTTGGAGCAATCACTAATATTAGTTTTAAACTGATATATAAAAGAATCAACGAATTCTAATTCGTTCATTTAGTTTTTATTATCATTATACAACAATGGTGTGGTCGCTAAATTTACTCCTGGTCTTACTTCTATTGGTCCCAACATTCCTATAGGTCACAAAATTATTTGTTGGAACCAACCGATCATAGTAAAGTATCGTTAACTTTAGATACTTATTAAAGGCAGATTTCAATTATTATAACATTACAGTTTCAGTATAAACAACTAAAATCAACTTGAAATATTTCAGGGATCATAAATAATTTTCCGTATCAGCATATATTCATCAAAAAAAAAAACCGATCTTTTTCACCACGTGGACTGGTTAAACATTAGATACTAAAATTACAATAATAACTATGAACTTCAAGTACGCACGTTTCAAGAGATTTTCAATTTTTTAATGAGTGTTACATGTAAATTAATTCACAACTTCAATTTATAATCACTTTAAGCTTGAGAATTAGACTTAATTCAATATATTACAAGATCTTATTAAATCCAAAATTTTTATTAATACATTATTTCATATACATCAATCATTACAAGATTATTGAGTTATATTATAGAACTTAAAAATACTGTCCCTTCAAGTAGGAAATTAGAGGACGAGGTGCCATATATATTAACTAGTAAAGGTGGAAGATATTACATATTGAAGGACTTAAGATTTTTGTTTCAAAAATAGAAGGTTTACAAGAGAGATGTTTAAATTGTATTTTAAGAGAACTTAAAAAAAACTATCCCTTCAAATTTAAGTTCTTTTATAATATAATTTTCAACATATCTTTTGTAAACTTTCTATTTAACGTTGTATGTCATATCTTTCACCTTAAGGAATTGTGGGATAGCTATTTTTTTCCTAAGCTATTATGCTGACACAGATTAGTGAAATATTGAAGAGTACTATATAATTGATAGTTTCGAGTCGATTTATAGAATACTGATCAATTCTTATTCCTTCATTCAATATGGTGAAATGTTTTAACTATCACCATTCCACAATAAATAGATGATTTGGTGAACTATATGCTCTTAAAGTTAAGTTCACTATAAACTGTCATAGCTAATACTCGTATTGTTCGAAATTTCAAATTGACATACAAATGAGATATATTACGGCATTTGATTGTCGATTTGTTGATTTCAAAATTGTGGGAACTTAGTAATTTAATGTAGTTAATCGTAAGATAGGTAAAAATTAAGTTATACGAAATATTCGCGTCTTGACAAATTTATTAGGACTCAGTCGGTCAGTCAGTCAACTCAGTCATTCAGTTTAATGCGAAGTAAAATTAAAAATAGGCTGTAGAGTATTTTTACTACGGTCAGAACATCCAATATACCAAAAGATTATCAAATAGGTTATTTGACAATAAGAAAATTTAAACAATAAAACGGAAGAAAGAAGAAAGATCGTTTTTATAGAATGATTTTATAAAAGAATGAAAATCACAAAGTTCAAGATACTTGAACGGTTAAAGTTATTCTCAGGTCTTTTACCCTTTCAAATTTCAATATTCTATGGAATGAGATACAAAATCAATAATAATATTTGTTTTGGGAGGCAAAGTAAAAAAAAAAAAAAACATTAAATTAAGAAATTTCGGTAATAATAATATATCATAATATATCACAATATCTTCATAGAAGTTCGGTTAATCTCTTTCTCAAATAACCAACGATAGTTCTATTTAATTAGTTCGTAATAAGGTAGAACTTTTGAAATTTCAAGTGGTAATGAGTAATGAAACTTTAAATCTTCTATTTCTTCTGTTTTATTGTAAGGTTCGTAAATTGAAATAAAAATTGATTCTATTTGTAATTTGACCTAATTAGGAAGTCTAATGATCTATTATACTTTATTGTTACAAATGTAAAAGGGAGAGTTTCATAAGTTAAGATGATTCTTATATTGTTACAAATAGAGAGATTAAAAACAACCATGTGTTCAAACTAAGTCTGCTAGCAAGGTGGATGAAAAGAGATTGACCGATTTCGAATGAATATCTCATGAATTTAGAGGTGTGATTCGGAATAGAATGTGAAAATAATACACGTAACTTTACCTCGAAAGAGAGAGAGAGAAAAATTTATTTATTTATAGATCATACAGAGAAATAAATAAACTAAATTTATTACAACAGATAATAATATAAATTCATATTAATTTTTACTCTAATTTTTTTTTACAACCAAATAATTTACTACATATATATATCACTTTTCTTTCATCAAACAATACTAGATAGTTTAGAAGTATCATCCTATTCATTCAAGGTATATTCAATACATAAACAATTCAAAGTAGGAGAAACAAATAAACACTTAGAACAAGGTTACGAATTTTGAACAACAAAGCATTTTTACACTCGCTATTACATTATCATTTATATATTTATTTTACAACAGACTTTTTACACCATTTCATTATTAACTCAACTTAGAACCAATCAATCCAATAATAATAAAATTACAATAACAAAACATGTGTGGTATATTTGGATACGTCAACTTCTTAGTTGATAAATCAAGAGGTGAAATTATTGATAATTTAATTGAAGGTTTACAAAGATTAGAATATAGAGGTTATGATTCAGCAGGTTTAGCAGTTGATGGAAAATTAATAAAAGATGGTGATGAAGAAATTATGAATAATATAATTATAAAAACTCCTGGAAAAGTTAAAGTTTTAAAACAAAAAATTATTGATGATGAAATTAATAGAACTGATATATTTGATAATCATGCAGGTATAGCTCATACAAGATGGGCAACTCATGGTCAACCAAAAGAAGAAAATTGTCATCCTCATAGATCAGATTCAACAAAGGGAGAATTTATTGTTGTTCATAATGGTATTATAACAAATTTTGCTGCTTTAAGAAAATATTTATTAACAAAAGGTCATATATTTGAAAGTGAAACTGATACTGAATGTATTGCAAAATTATTTAAACATTTTTATGATTTAAATTTAAAAGCTGGTGTTTCTCCAGATTTAAATGAATTAACAAAACAAGTATTACATGAATTAGAAGGTTCTTATGGTTTATTAGTTAAATCTTATCATTATCCTGGAGAAGTTTGTGGTACAAGAAAAGGTTCACCATTATTAGTTGGTGTTAAAACTGATAAAAAATTAAAAGTTGATTTTGTTGATGTTGAATTTGAAACAAATGCTGCTCAACAACAACAACAACAAGCAAATGGTCATTCATCGCTTTTACAAAATAATCATAGTACTTCATTAGATTTAGGTTTTATACCTGTTGCTCCAGGTGAACAAAATTTAAGAACTTCACAATCAAGAGCATTTTTATCAGAAGATGATTTACCAATGCCAGTTGAATTTTTTTTAAGTTCAGATCCTGCTTCTGTAATTCAACATACTAAAAAAGTTTTATTTTTAGAAGATGATGATATTGCTCATATTTATGATGGTGAATTACATATTCATAGAGCTTCAACAAAAAGTGCAGGAGAATCAACTGTTAGACCTATACAAACTTTAGAAATGGAATTAAATGAAATTATGAAAGGTCCTTATAAACATTTTATGCAAAAAGAAATTTTTGAACAACCAGATTCTACTTTTAATACTATGAGAGGTAGAATTGATTTTGAAAATTGTATTGTTACTTTGGGTGGTTTAAAAGCATTTTTACCAACTATAAGAAGATGTAGAAGAATTATAATGATTGCTTGTGGTACATCATATCATTCATGTTTAGCAACAAGATCAATATTTGAAGAATTAACTGAAATTCCTGTTAGTGTTGAATTAGCAAGTGATTTTTTAGATAGAAAATCTCCTGTATTTAGAGATGATACTTGTGTATTTGTTTCACAATCTGGAGAAACTGCTGATTCTATATTAGCTTTACAATATTGTTTAGAAAGAGGTGCATTAACTGTTGGTATAGTTAATTCAGTTGGTTCATCAATGTCAAGACAAACTCATTGTGGTGTTCATATTAATGCAGGACCAGAAATTGGAGTAGCATCAACAAAAGCTTATACATCACAATATATTGCATTAGTTATGTTTGCTTTATCATTATCAAATGATTCCATATCAAAAAAGAAAAGACATGAAGAAATTATAAAAGGTTTACAAAAAATTCCAGAACAAATTAAAAAAGTTTTAAATTTAGAAACTAAAATTAAAAAATTATGTAATGATGATTTAAATGATCAAAAATCTTTATTATTATTAGGTAGAGGTTATCAATTTGCAACAGCTTTGGAGGGAGCATTAAAAATTAAAGAAATTTCTTATATGCATTCAGAAGGTGTTTTAGCAGGAGAATTAAAACATGGTGTTTTAGCATTAGTTGATGATAAATTACCAATTATAGCATTTGCAACAAGAGATTCATTATTTCCAAAAACAATGTCAGCAATTGAACAAGTTACTGCAAGAGATGGTAGACCAATTGTTATATGTAATGAAGGTGATGCAATTATATCAAATGATAAAGTTCATACTACTTTGGAAGTTCCTCAAACAGTTGATTGTTTACAAGGTTTATTAAATGTTATTCCAGTACAATTAATAAGTTATTGGTTAGCTGTAAATAGAGGTATTGATGTTGATTTTCCAAGAAATTTAGCAAAATCAGTAACTGTTGAATAATCACCCTTAGAATCATGGATAATTAATAATAATAATAAATATGTATTTAAATTTAGTTGAGTTTTTTCATAAATAGTTTTTAATTTAAATTATATCGGTTTAATACCATCATGTAGAGTTTCTAACATTTAAAATAATTTAATAATAAGTAAGTAATTTTCAAATCTGTAAATAAATTATATACATAAAAGAACTAAACCAAAATACACACACACAGCCTTAGATCATTCATTTTCTTGTAAAAAATTGACTTGATCCCAAAAAAGCACCAGTAGAATCCAAGAATAATTCACCAAAATTTAAATATTTTCCAGCATAATTTCTAACATCTTTATTTTCAATTAAATCTAAATTTGGTGTTATACCACTTGATCTTTTTATTCCTGCTAATACTCCTGATATTAATACTAAATCTATTCCAATATGAGCTAATCTACCTATCATTATTTGTTGTTGTTGTTGATAATTGAGATTTTTTTGAAAAACTTTTATTAAATGTTTGTTTTCTCTGAACGACTAAAGTAATTGAGTTATTACCTAATGAGCCTTATTGAATAGTGAGTTGGTTGTAAAATGTAAACAATAGTGGCAAAACTTGTAAACAAAAATGAAACTTAAAATTGTATTGTTTATAAAATTCAATTCATTATCTTTTTTTTTTCTTCTCCATATAAAAAAATCACGATCATAAACTTTTCAATCTCCTAAATTCGTCTTATCAACAACTTCAAGGGACGCTACAATACAAATCAAATCAGTTATTATTCATATCTTCCTATATGCGTGAAATAACTCCATTAGGATTATTTTATGGTCAGATAAATTTCGAAGGTCTGGTTCAAATTTTGGATTGTTTATGACAAATATTTTGCCTTTTATCATTGGAAGTTTTTAAGCAGAAGTTTTTAAAAATTGTTGAATTATTAGGTGAGGATGAAACGAATTAAAAAGAATCAAAAGAAATCCCCCCACATTTAAGACTTTCAACCAGAGATAATTCAATTTTTAGATTTAATGTTAATAACTCATGAAATTCTGTCAATAAAAACCACAACAATAGAAGGAAAAATATTTGTCATAAACATTTCTTCTAATGAGACTTTTAATTTCGAAATCTGGAAAATCAACACTTTTGTTTGAGAAGGGACGTTATTTTACTTCCCTTTGCCATCTGACCATAATGTAACTCAAATGGGGTTACGCATATGCAGGGGCAGAAATAAATAAAGATGAATACAAATAAAGAGTTCTAAGAATCAAGGAGGATCAACTTGACAATTATATTTTCAATCATGTGATTGCCACAATTGATTTAAATAATCCTGCCTACAAAAATAAAATTGGGTATCATTATGATTTATTCCACTAATTCAAAGCCTGCTAACACTACAACTAGAAAACAAGTGGAGTTATAAAAAGAAGAGATTGTATAAAATATGATTTAATTTTTAGTAGTGATATATCATGGATTTTTGAAAGGGTTGTTCAATTAATGATGGAATGATATATTCTGCCGCAAAACGAATCAGTGAATCCTCATTTTGTATGAGAACTCATGATGAGGTCAAAGAGATTATTTATTAGAGTTACAAGTGAAAGTTGTCATTTTTAATAAGATGGATTGAAGTATAACGTCGATTATGTGTTTGCCTCTTCATGTATACGATCCTTCATGTATCGATCGATTGAAGGATCAGACACATATTCGACGTTTTACTTCTATCCCTCTATATTAGGGTCGAGATGGTACTTAATACGATGAGGTGGTTTTGACGAAGATGGAGGCGCTTACATTAATTTACAAAATCTTCTTTCATTGAAAGAATAATTTATTTTAAAATATATTAGGATAAAGTTATACCTCCGTATTCATATACTCTACACTAGAAGCCATGAATATTAATTAACTATTTAAACTTAGGAAATATTTTCGTCATTGACAATTTCGTTTGGGATTCTATACAGAACTGGAAATCATGATAAAGTTACCAAGTTCTTTGAAATTGTTACTATACAAAAGTATGATTGTGAATTTGTATTTGTTTTGAAGTTAACGGTTTGAAGTTTTATGATGGGTAAGCTGCAAAATTTCTCGTCGTCTTGAGTTGAGTTGACTGATTTTGTAAAATTTATAATACCATGGAAGACCAAATAAATCAGCCAATTCAACGCAAAACAACGGGAAATTTTTCAGCGAATCCGTTTAATTTATGATAAAACTTTACGAACCACTAATCTTTTTACAACAAATATTATGAAACTTTTCAAAGTAACCCTTATCTTACAAAAGTATCATGATACTTTACAAAAAACAACGGTACTCGTACTACGAATATCATTAACTTCTTTTACGATAATCACACTTCTTTCAGGCACATTCATGAGCTTACTTTTACAAACATTACGAACTTTATATAATAATCTAAATTTTCATTACATTACTATTTGAACTAAATTATTTATTTCTTTATTATACTAAAATAAGCAGCAACAAAAGCAGCAACAATAACACCAGCTAAAGCAGTTAAACCACCACCAGATAAAAAATTATTTAAAAAAAATTGAGATTTATTCGAGTTTTTTTGATTTAATAATTTTTGTTGATTTAATTCATGTTCAATTAAAATTCTTGCTCTATCTTCTGGATCTAAATTTTTTAATTCTGATATATCAAATGGTTTTTCTGTGGTGTTATTGTTATTCTGACTTAAAAGTTGAGCTTTTTTAGCTTCTTCTTCTGCTTTTTGTTCTTCTATTTCTTTTTGTTTTATATCAATTTTATTTTGATTTACAATATTTGGAAATTGTTTTATAAATCTTGGATTTTCTTTTATATTCCATTTTTTACTTGAATTTGCTAATTTTTTTTTAACATTTTCTGAAGTATTTATTGATCCTGTTGTTGATTCATTTCCTGTCATAAAACTTAATAATCCAGTTAAAATTGTTGCAACACTCCAAGCTGGATTCCAAGTATCTGGATGATAATCAGACATTGATAAACATAATCTTGTATTACATGCAAATCTACCATTCGGAGTTATCATTGTAATTGAAGGAGGTTTAAAAGGATATTCTGAAGGAAATCTTAATATTCCATGATATTGACCATTTTCAAATGGTGTATTCGTTGGTCCTGTTATTATATAATGCCATTCTAATATATTTTCATCATTTGGTTTTGCTGTAATAAATGGTGGTGGAGTTGCTTGTATTGCTTTGTATTCTTTGGTTAATCGTCTCTGTGATTGTCTTGAAGCCATTTTGTTTAATGTGTTGTTGTAATATGAATCCTATTTAATTCCGATGAAAAATAGGGGTGTGTATAAAGCAAATGGAAATGTTGGGGAATTTTGATATTTCGGTGCAAATGAAGTTCAACTATGGGATATTGTAGTTAAACAGTGGTTGTGTATTCTTTATAATGTGATAATCGATACTATCTCTAAGTCTGAAGTTGACGTTTAAAGCTTTGTTTGTAATGTTATTCTTATACTTAGTTGTAAAGTAAAAAAGAAAGATATTGTGAGGAATTTTTGATTGTTTCGTATTCCATACAAATGATTACGTAATTAATTAATAAAAACCTTAATAAATTAAGTGTATAAGGAATTTGATCTTATGACTTGAATCATTATGAATTCACACGATAATTAAGAGTTTTTCAGAGTAACTTAAGAAAACCAAAAAATTTTGATGTCATAAATATGTTCATAAACTCTTCATTATATAGTCTAATTAAAATAACCTTTCTCTCAAGGTTTAAGGTTTTTGACCAATTGCATAAATAACACTAGTTTCAATCAAATAATTAATTTCATCATTAAAATCCTTTTGTTTTAATTTACCTGTTTTTAAATTATTAACAGTTTGTTCATCTGAATGATTTTCAATAAAACTTGCAGGTTGCCAAATAAAAGTTTTAAATTCTCTTGAACTTGTTACATTTATTAAACCTGATAAATTTTTTAAAACATGATTTAAACTTGATTTTTTTAATCCTCCCATATGTTGTACAGCTTCACTAACTTTCATATTTTTGCTATTTGTATTTGATAAATCTATTTTTTCAACATCTTCATTATAAAAATCTATTATAAATAACCATCCACCTTTTTTTAAAAATGAAGCTAACTTTTGAGTTACAATTTCATAATTATGTATATGATGATATGATATAGTACAAATTATAACATCAAATTGATTTTCAAATTTTGAAACTTTCTTTTCTAATTTAGGATTTAATATATCATATTCATAAGATTTCATTTCTAAATTTTCATCACTATATTTTTTAGCTCTTTCATTAAAATATTTTAAAAAAACAGGACCAATATCAATTCCAACTATTTCTGATTTTTGTCCTGGTTGCTTTAAATAAGGTATAAATAATTCAGTTACCATACCAGTACCACAAGCAAAATCTAATAATTTCATTCCTGGTTTAAACAATCCATTTGGAAAGTCCTTTTCATAAGTTAATGGATTAGGTAATGTATTTTCTTTAGTTAATCCATTACAATATTGCAGTGGATCACCAATTAATTTTGAACTTTCTTCATCTGATTTTCTTGATTTATTTGGATCAAATTCTAATACATTTTTAGCAAATAAATAACTTAATAAAATTTGAGATTCTCTTTTTTCATATTTTGAAGCAAATTCTTCATCAAATGTTGATATATTTGCAGCTACTGCATCTTCATGAGTATTTGTTGGCATTTGTGAGGTAGTTTATTGAGAAGAAAGGAAGACTGATTGGAATATCAAAAATTAGTGATGGTTTTGTGGGGTATCAATTGTGTTGACATGGTAATAATTTTTGTAAAAATGTGGTTCGATTCGATTGTTTTTTCGGGGACGGTTTTAAGGGGAGATCAAAATTATTATATTTGAGTTTGACCGAAGTAACTCTCGACTAACTTTCTGAAGAGCTGATTTAACAATTCATTAGATATACATGTACATCGCAACTTCATAATTTGGAGAACTTTTTAAAATGACAAAATAATAGATTGTACGGGCAAGGCGAAATATTAAACATTGTGAAACTTTAAAGGTGAGTCGGACATTTATCATCGAGCGCAAAAATTAGAGCCGATCTGTCATAGTACGAACAATCAGAAGTTAACATCTCACAAATTCTTATCTTCAAGTGGAGTAGTTGAGCAGAATGAAGGGTAGAAAGGTGTTGCTATGGTTATGTAGCGAAAGGAACTCTATGGAATAACTTACTTCATTTGGCTCCTGTCAACTGATCAAAATCAATGACAATAAACCTCAATGGAATCAGTAATAAAAAAAAGGAGTAAAGGTAGTCAAGTAAAAACTAGAAAAATATGGAAAAATTGTTGTATATTTATACAATTTCGTTGCTACTTAAATTTGATCAATAAAATTACCAATTTCAAACAAATTTACCATAGAATACCCAAAATTATGCCTGCTTAAAGTAACATATCAAAGGAATTTACGACCAAAAATGGTATCAACAATCAATGCATCAAAACTTATCAACTACTCGAAATCGTGAAATGGTTCCTTATCTATCAAATCTAGATTGTATTTGTGTAATAGTTTGAAGGTGTTTTACATACAAAATTGTCTTATCTATCGATTCTAAAACCAATTGTTTTGTGTCATAGACTATTTGAAATTATATTGTTATTCCTTTTCGCAACTAAATACAGAGATAAAGTTAAAGAATATAAATATTACCCTACATCCTTCACAAAGATTTCACACGAGCTTTGACTAAATCAATATATTCGTTTGTCATTTGCATTTTACTCAATCAATTTCAAAACTCAATTAAAAAATGGCTACTGCATCAGTTCATCAACAAATTTTAGATGGTAATATTCATAAAAAAATTCCATTATCAACTTATGAATCAAATTTAGAACCAACATTACAAAATTTAGAATCTTTATTACCAAAGACGTCTTCTGAAAAGTTACCAAAATTTGATCCAATGATTCATTTACAATATTATTCTAACGAGCTTGCATCTCATAAATATAATAATACAAGAAGAATAACAATGAAAGAATTAGGTTTAGAAAATCCAAATTTACAAATTTCACCAATTGGTGTAAGTGATCCTTTCCCATTATTTACTGAAGAAGCTGTGACAATAATGAAAAAAGAATTATTAACAAAAGATATATTTATGGAAAATGCAAGATATTGTTTTAATTCAACATCAGGTTTAGATTGTTGTTTAAGAGGTTATGTTAAAACTATTGATGGGAAGGTGAATTGTCCATTTATTTATGAAGCATGGACTAATCCAAAAACAATGGAATTAATATCAAAAATGGCAGGTGTGGATTTAGAAATTATAATGAATTATGAAATTGGTCATGTTAATATTTCAATAAAATCAAATGATCAAGCAAATGAAGAAATTATAAAATATGAAAGATTAATGATCGATGATAAAAAAAGAAAAAATAGTGGTGATGATATTCCTGCTGTTGTTGGTTGGCATTATGATTCTTATCCTTTTGTTTGTGTATTAATGTTAAGTGATACAACAAAAATGATTGGTGGTGAAACTTCTTTAAGAATGGGTACAACCAAAGGAGAAAATCAAGTTGCTATTATTCCATCACCTCAATTAGGTTCAGCATCTGTATTACAAGGTAGATTAATTGAACATATTGCACCAACTCCATTAGGTTTATCAGAAAGAATGACAATGGTTACAAGTTTTAGAGCTAAAAATCCAAGTTTAAAAGATTCATCAATTTTAAATACAGTTAAACCAGAAATTAATTTTGGTTCAAGATATAATGAATTTTATTCTCAATGGATAAATTATAGATGTGAATTGATAAAACAAAAAATGGATTTAATTAATAATAAAGTTAAAACTGGTGATTCTTTTAATAAAGATGATATTACTAATGATTTAAAAGATGTTGAAGATTATGTTAAAAAGACATATGAAGAAATGATGATTAGTAAAGAAGAAATGGCAAAAATGTTTCAAAAGAAGTAAGTAAAGAGTTTGTTTTAGTTTGTAGATGTATGTATATCTGGTATATACTTCGTCATTAGCAATACTGTTTAATATTAAAAAATTCTGATTAAAATGTATTAATATTATTACAATTAACATTACTATATATGTATTAAATGTAAAAACTTTCCCCTCTCTAATGACAACATAATTTTGAAAAGAATCCTTTTTCTTCATCACCATCTAATTGATCTTGTTGTTGATGTTGTTGTTGTTGTTGAGGATATTGATTCATATTATAACCTTCATATTTATTTCCTCCATTTTGATCTCCATTTTGTAATAACTCTCCTCCTTGTTGATTTGGTAATTGTGAATTTGAACCTTCTTGTTTAATTGGTGGTAATGGTCTGTTTACTAAATGTTGTAATTTTTGTTGATGTAATTGAGCTGCTGATAATTGTTGTTGTGATTGCAGTTGTTGTTGATATTGATTTTGTGCCAATTGTTGATTTTGTTGTTGATGTGATGATTGTGGTTGTTGAGATTGTGTTTGTTGAGTTTGTTGTTGTTGTTGATGAGTTTGTTGATTTTGTCTACTTCTTCTTTGATCTCTATGTCTTCTTTCACGATCATTTGGAGGAGTTGGATGTCCATATCCATGTAAATTTGGTTTTTTATTTATTGATGAATCCCAACCTTTACCTCCATTTAAATGCATCCAATCATAATCTCCATCACACGATTGACCTAAATCATCTAATACAGATATTAATAACATTCTATATTCTTCATAAGGTGGTTCAGCATCAAATGGTAATGATCTTACAGAATCTAAATATTCAGCAAATTGATTTGGTAAACCATCACATAATGTTACAGCAGGTGTAGTTCTTTTTTTATCACCAATTTTTTCATATTTTTGTTTATTTGTTGGAGCTTTTAAACCTTGCCAAGGTAATTGACCTCTTAAAAAATAAAAAAATACATGACCTAAAGCTTCTAAATCATCTCTTCTTGATTGTTCTCTACCTAAATGAGTATTTATTGACATATATCTTGCTGTACCACTTAAAGATTTTTTTTCTCTATATGGAATATGTTGTTTTGTTCTTGGATCTCTATATTGTTTTGCCATTCCAAAATCAATTAAATGAACATTATTTTCATCACTTAAACCTTGACGTCCTATTAAAAAATTATCAGGTTTTATATCTCTATAAATTAAATCATGACGATGTACTTCTTCAACAAGACTTAACATTTCAACAGCAACTTGTACAACTGTTTTAACACTAAATCTACGTCCACACCAATCAAATAAATCTTCTAATGATGGACCTAATAAATCTATAACTAAAATATTATGTAAACCTTCTTGACCAAAATAATAAGCATTTGGTATACCAGGACAACCTTGTAAATGTTTATAAGTTCTATATTCATCTCTTAATTGAGGAGCTTCAGTTTTTCTTGGTTCAAATTTTATTGCTACAGGTACACCATTTATTATATTTGTACCTTCAAATATTACACCAAATGAACCTTCTCCAATTTTTTTACCAATTTTATAATGTAAACCAACAACTGAAGAATTTGAATTATTATTATTTGTTGCTGTTGAATTAGATGATGAACTTACTAAATTTGTTGAACCATTTACTTGATGATGATGTTGACCCATCATTGTATTTTTAGATATTATTGGATTATGTGATGCTTGAGCAGCTGCTAATGCTGCTGGATTAGTTCCTGATGCTACTCTATTAGACATGTAAATGTTGGTAGGAAGATGATATGAATTGAGTTTGGTGTAATTTTGTTCAGCCTCCTCTCTTGAATTGTTTGTTGCTTAGTTCTTATTTAGATTTTTCCGATCTTGATAAAACCGATTGAAAGACTGATCAAGTAGTAGACACCTAAAAGTGTGATAGTAGTGTTGAACTTTCGAATATTTGTGGTTAATAATATTTGTATGGTTTAGTTGGATGTTGAATTGATTGATATTTATGATTTCTTTTTTTCTGTTGCCTTATTAAGAAAAAAATTTGATAATAACAAAAATTTACTTGAGATAAAATTAATATGGTGATAAATATAGTAATCCTATGTTTAATGATAATCTAGTAGATTTCTCAAAAGTAAATGAATGTTAATTTTAAATATATCTAATCATTAAATGAAATGAAATCAAACTAAACAAGTATTGATTAAATTATGAATAAAAAAAACGTAAAAATAATGAAATTTTGATGAATTGAAGTTAATAGTATTTGTGATAGGTTGAAGTAAACGAGTAGGATGAGTTGATAAATTTTTACCTTTGTATCACTCCACTGTTGATAGATGGTTGGAGGAAGATGATTGATTGATCAAGTGGTTTTTGGTTATTTAAGTGTAATCAAAATGGAAAATAAAAAAATCAACAAATTTAAATTTTCTCATTTTCTATTTTTTTCTCTTACTAAATTCAATTTTTCACAAGTTATAATATTCGTAGTAAGAATAATAAGAGAGATGTATCTACTACTCAAGGAGATATGAGGAAGATAAGTCTACGTATTAAGGATAGTTTGATATGTACTACTCGAGCTTAGTTGAAATTTGCAGGTAAGAGTGTAGCATTCGTGTCAAGATTGAATGATTTACTTTAACAAAATGTAGTAATCTCAACCATATTTTCAATATTAAACTATGGTGTGATTTGCGTCACAAAATGTATTGTAGCAAGTTAGTACAATTCAAACTTAATTACATTTGAAAAAAGATTGATATCTTTCCCTCTTTTGTTTACGTATCTGTTCCTCTTTTGTTCAAATGCTATAAACGTAAAAAATGAGTACAATTACATACTAAGCTTAGAAGATTGAATGTCTTTAAGGTCTTCTCACACGTTTTTTGTTATGCATAACATTTACTTAAGCGTTTTAATTTCGTAAATAATCGATCGGATTTATAAAATTTATAATATAATATTGAGGTGAAGAATGCATTTTGATGTAATTAAAAGTATTCATTCATTCTACTTCACGATTGAAACATTAAAAGTGAAGATCTAAAATCATATCTCAACAAGGCTTATACTTAGTCCTAGATTTGAAAGATAGATAATTGCTAGTATTGTCGATCTTTAAAGATATAAATGACTCTGAGCACTTAGCTTTAATATTGGTCAAATTTGGTAGCATGATTTTCCAATTTTGCAACTTGTCCTAAGTCTCAATACAGAGCTGAAAGCATTGAGCTGTTGAAAGAGAGCTGAGATAGTATGGCGAGAATTCGACTTTAACGTATCATTGAAATAATCATAGATTGTACATCGTTAGGTCTTCGTTAATCAATATAGATTGAGATTTAATGGTCTTGGAAAGTTGTCGAGCAATTAGTTATGACCCATGATCTAGTTGAATTTTTACTTATGTCTTTATTATTATGGATATGCAAACCTTCCCTTAGAAAATCATCATTTTTTTTGTATAAATATCTTCTTCTTAATATATTTACAATTGTCTCTAGTCTTACTTTTCTTAAAATGGAGTTGAATCTCTACTTATTCTATTATTAGGTCTTGAACTAGATCCAGTAGATATAGAATTATCAACAATAATTTGTCTTTCTTGTTGAATTTTATTAATCTTGTCATTAAAAAAACCGGTTAAAAATTTATTTTGATTTAATAATTGATTTAATTTATATTGATATTGGTCTAATGCATTTTGTTGAATTTTATTAGGTAAGATAGTTAAACCTTGTGATTGTAATTTTTTATTTAATTTATTTAGTAGTTCCTTTTTGGAATTTAATTTTAATTGATTTGTTACTGCTTCTGATGATGTATTTTGATAATTTATTCTTGAATCTTCTGTATCTTTTGATAATTTATTATATTCATTTGATAATTCTTCTATTTCTTTTTTTAAGTTGGTGATTTGTTCTGTTTGTTGATTTAACATTTCATCATTTATCTTGTCCAAATTTTCTTCAATTTCTTTTAATTGATCATCTATTTTAATTTTTTTTTCATTTTGTTTTTCTAAATCTGATTCAATTTTATTTAATCTATTATCTATTAAATTAGCTTCATTATTTAATTTTCTTAATTTATAATAACTTTCACAAATTAATTTTTCATCATCATCAAAATGTAATTGTTTTGAAGTTTCAAGTTTCCTTTTTTTATGAAGCTGATTTTTAATTGAATTATTAATTTTTTCATTTGATGAAATTAAATTTAAATTACATAATTCAATAAATTGTTGATTATAATTTTCTAAATTTAATGGAATTGAATTTTCAAATTTATCATGAATAAAATTATTATAAATTTGATTTAATTTCTTGAGTAATTTTTCATCTGAATAATTTTTTATTAGTGAATCATTATATTTATGCATTAATTGATCTAAGTTTAAAGGAGAATTTATACAATCGTTTATAAAATATTTCATATTTGTTCCATAATTCTCTAAATAAAAATCTTTATATTTATTCTCTAGTTGAAATGAGTTAACAACTAAAGTATACAAAATCTTAAGTTTCCATGAAAAAGATGAATTATTAGTTATTGAATCATTATATCCATTATATTCAGGTTCTGGATTTTTTAAAATTAAATGTTGTAATGAAAATATGGGAATTGGTATATAAATTGGAATTTGATTATTATTTGATCTTAACATTTGAATACTTGGATTTGTATAATCTAATTTTGAATCAAATGAAAATATAAATTTATAATTAAAATTTGATGATATATTCATATAATTATTGTACAATTGTTGAGTTTGAATAAGGTTTAGAAACACTCCCTTTTGATCAGTATTACTGTTCTCTTCTTCTTTATATAATTTTATAGTACTTGAATTTTTATATGAAAGATTTTTACCTAAAATCATACCTTCAATTAATTCTAATTCTTTATTGTTTTTACTAACAATTAAAATTGGATAATTAGTTGTTAGGTTCTGATCAATTAATGAATCTAAAATTTTATTAAACAACTCAAGTTTACCAGACATTGAAATTTTCATCTCATTAGTTTCTGATAATAATAATTTTTTTGGTATAAAATGATCAACTAATAATGATGGATGATTACTTATTAAATTCAACTTGTTAAAGCACAAGTTTACTAATTCGTAATTTAAATTTATATCATTTGAATTATTTGAATGTTCTATAGATGATGGTTCTAATGTATTTTGTAAACTAGAAACTTCTAATAAACTATCAATACTTGTTTTTTTCTTTTTCAATTTTAATTGATTAATTAATGTTTCACTAAATAAATGTAAAAGTGTCTCAGTTAATGTTATTTGTATTCTTGTTAGTTTTGTCGGGATATGATATACTCCTGAATCGTTCATGTAATTTGTAGTTGTGGATTTACCTTGTCCTGGTTCTTCAATTAAAGTATTAACGGATTTATTTGTGTTGATAATTGAATTATTATCTTTTAAATTATTAACGGATAATGAAATATTTGAATCCTGTAATGGTTCATCCATTTTACCATATATTGTTGAAGGTGGATCCACCGACAACATATCCATCAAATTCATCTTTACCGACTTCCTTTTTGGTTGTGAAACAATATATCAATGTAATTAACTAGGGTTTAGTTTTCTTTCTAGATTTATTGATTGAAAAAAAAATAAACAATAAAAAATATTTAAAAAGTTACACAAAATTATAAGCTAATAATCGTAATAAATTAATCAATCTTACATTAGACACTAACCTAATAATAGATTGACATTATAAAGGTACGTCTATCGCGGTATCGACTTATTGCTTATAAGGTATTGTATTAAGAATAGAAAACACAAGATCTGTAAGCTTTTGCTCTAAAACCTAATTAGTTTTGGCTACTTTCCGACTCTATCAAATATTAAGTTTCAAGAAACTAAAGAAATTTAAAAACTTAATCTAGCCTAAGCTTAGCCGTTTCAGAATACTAAAAAAAATGGTAGCACTTTGCATACAATCAGAAATATTTAATCCGAATATCTTTCAATTAGATTCTACAAACCTCTAGCATTATTTTTAATATGCATCTAAAATTCGAAACTAATTAAGTATATTAAGTATATTAATCATTAACTATTATTGTTATTATCATTATTTTTGATTATCCTTTATTTCATTTTTTTTAAATTTACATTAACTCCAATACCACCAAGACTTTCCCATACAATAGAATCTAATTTTTTTGGTAATTTTCTACCATATAAACATTGATCAACTAACCACATCCCCACCAAGAATTCATTTTTATTTAATGAACCATCTCTTCTAAAATCAACTAAGTTCCAAACTTGTTCTAATATATCATCTGGTAATCTTGATCTATTCCATATTCTTTTTACAACACAACCTGATATTAATTGATTTATTTCTGCATGATTTAAATGATGTAATTTATCATTCATTTCTTCTTCTTTTGTTTGAGTAGTTTTTGATTTTGAATTGTTTTCTGATTGGTTGGTTGGTTTTTCTTGTTGATCTTTGCTAACGGTGTTTGTCGATATTAATGCAGCTTTCATTGAATCTTCTTGATGTACAAAAGATACTTTATTAGGATCTTCCAAAGCATTATAATCAACTCCATTTAATTTTGTAACTAAAAAATTCATATAATTACCTTTATTACTAACCCAAACACCTTCATATCTTTTTTTCTCTGAATCAGTTAAATAATTTAATTCATTATGATTTTTCCAAGGTTTATATTCATCAAATTTTGATTTTTTTTCTTTTCTTTTATTTGTTTTTCTCATTGTTTTTTTAAATTGAACTGGTGGTGGATATGTTTGAGAATGTAATAATTTTTGATTTTGATTATGTTTTTCTAATTCTTCGTCACTTATATTTTCGTTTGGCGTATAAGCTATTCCTTCTCTATTCTTTTTTCTAAATAAATGTTTATCATTATGTATATGATGATGATGGTGATGTTTTTTCAAATCTGGAAATTGAGGAAACTTGGAACCTTCAAATTTTGGCTGCTCCTGATCTTGTTCAATTTCATCATTATCAGTTAATGATATAATATCATCAGCTAAAGGTAGGAATTCACCACTTGAAAAAGTATCACCTGATTTAGCATTAAGCATCATTTTATTTCTTAATTCTTCATTTTCACCTCCACTCAAATAATCCATATCTGAATCACTTGGATATTCAGTATCTGACAGAGGTGGAGGTGGTTTTCTTCTTGTCTTTGACAGTAATGATTGTTTATCATTATCATGTAATTTAACAGGTATTATTATATCTTGTCCCAGTGGAGTAATTCTAGTAGTTGAAGTTGCATTCAAATCATCATCATGATCAGTAATATCTATATTTATATCATGATTAACTATTGGTTCTTGACTTTCCAATGAAAAATTTCTAATTGGTTCATTTTTTCTATCTATACTTTTTCGATCTAATTGTGATTCAAATGACGAGTAAGAACCATTTAAACTTCTATTAATTTTAATATCAATAGGACTATCAAAATCTAATGCTGGTGATAATGTTAAATTTTCCATATTATTTGATGCTGATTTCATAGTATTATCAATTTTATCTCTCATATCATTTATAAACGTTTGTCCCTTTTGATCTAATGTTCTAGGCTGCTTTTGAGCTTTAGATTTATTATTTAATGTGGTTTTTAAATTTTTTAACATTTCTTGAGGTGAATAATCTAAAGATAGTCGTTTTGAATTTGCATCATTTACTATAGCTTTTGAATCAATTGAATTTTTTACACTATTTATCATATCTTTTGGTGTATGAGGCAGATGTCTTGGTTGTTTGAAAATGTCACTTCTTGAGTTATTATGAGGAGATAATGCAAAATAATCTTGTTGTGATTGTGGTTGTTGTTGTTGTTGTTGTTGTTGTTGTTGATTTTGGTCCACATCTGAAGATGAATTTGAATTCCTTACTGGATAATCCCAGGCCAGTGGAGATAGTGCTGATGCAGGTGATGATGATATATCTGATGCATAATTTCCATATTTCTTATGTGCAATTGAATTTGGTGTTCCAACTCTTGAATTATGATATGAATTTGTTGTTCGTAGTTTATTTTGTTTAGGTAATTGATTATTAGTTGTGTTTAAGTTTGAATCATCCTTTTTCTTTCCAGCATTAAATGCCGCAAGTGCTGCAGCATTTGCAGCTGTATTGCTAGCTGCCATATATAGTTGATAAGTATCTTAGTCAAGCTTATTTTGTTATAATATCTACAACTTAATAATAGTATTAATCCTCTATAATTCATTTTAGGTAACTACCAAATGGGATTTTGATAGCTGGCATAATTGCCCCACGTAACTCAATACAAAGACTAATCGACAAAATATTGTTTAACTTATGACAACATCAAGAAGGTTCTCAAGATCATAAATTAACAAAGACTTGATTAAATTTACTATAACCATTTGGACTAGTAAGTAAAAGTAATTCAAGAAGTATTTTCGAGGAAGAACTCACTTACTTAGGGTTGAACTTACAAAAACACTAATTGGAAAACTTTCATAAATAAAATCATGCTATGAGTATTTCAACACACGGTTCACCATGATAAATTCATACCGAGAGAAAGAAGAAATCATTTCAGACCATCGTTTAATTTATAAAATTGAGCCTAATTTTTTTCATTCAATATCCTAGCGAATATAAGTGGAGGAAAGAAAATGTATAACGTCCAACATCTGGAGTTACAATCTCAATTTTACGACAAAGGATCAGAAAAGATACTTCAAAGTTAATCACAAGAACTAAATTAAATTATCCAAAAGGGTGTTGAAACCATTCATCGAGTTACTCTAGGACATTTCACTCATTTTGAAACAACTACTCCTACCGAAATACACAAATGTGAAGCTTGCTTAAAGGAAATTTAATGCTTTCAACATTATAGCATAGATTGCCCTTTATGCCAGCTTCACAGTTGTGTAAGTCGGTAGGAATAGTTGTTGAAATGAAATGTTCTAGAAGAAATTACCAAATCTAAAGTCTTTCTACCTTATAGCATAAAATGTCCTATCACAAAATATATATTATGGGTGATGCTCAAAATTACTTCCTTAAGTAGAGATTTTTAAGAGTGGATAGGAAACCCAAAAATTCAAACAAAACACTAACTTCAAGTCAATCAATATATGAACCTAATTCTTTACTATCGTAAAAGACGATGATTTTCGATGGGAGATGATACTACATTCTTCCTCGAATTCTTAAAAAAGTTTTCGAGAACAATTTTAAAAGAAGCGTTTAACAGATATCTAGACAAACAAATAATGGCTGAGACAAATTCTCACTCACAAATCTACAAAATTATTCCCCAAAAAAACTTATAATTTATTTCTTACCTTTTGAAGAATTTACATAACGACCTTTTCCGACTCTAACACCAGAAGGTCTAATAGTATTAACAGTTCCAAATGGACTAACATAATTATCAGCACTACCACCACCAATCCAATTTTGAAGTAATTTTTCATTTTGTCTTCTTTCCCAATCATCATTTTTTAAAGCTTGTTGATATTCTTTTTGATCTTCTCTTAAAATTAAAGGATTTTGTTGAGATTTATGTCTATTTTGAATATTATGTTGATATCCTCCTTTACCTTGTAATTTTTGTTGATTTTTACTTAATGGTGATGGTAATGAATATTTTTCACCTCTTTTAATCCATTGAAAATTTTGTTTTAAATGAGGTATTGTTTTTCCAGTTTTATTATCTACTGATACTGCACATCTAATTAATGTATCACCACCACATTTTGGACAAAAATGTTTTGGTTTACCATCTTTATTTATTGGAGTCAATCTGAAACAAGCATGGCATCTATACATATAATTTCTAACCCTTTTTATTTGTTTACCTGACATTGTATTTAATAGTTTAATTCCTAATTGCATTGCCACATTTTGACATGCAAAATCTCCTGTCGCTAGTGCTACTTTGATTGTTGGTCCTGAATTTGTTGTATCCTGTATAGTTTCATGTTGATCTTTTATTATTTCCTCTTGTAAGTTTTCTGGTGTTATCCATTCTCCATCATCATCAGACTCATTGAATTCCTCATTAACCTCTGATTGTTCTGGCGTGGTAATTGCAGAAGATTCCGCATCTTTTTCTCCATCTACTTCAGGTTTCTCTTCCCTCACTTCAACTTGTGTGATTTCATCCAGTTGATCCTGAACTTCATTCACTTCATCTTGTTCTTGATTCTTTTCAGCTTCTTCTTGTAATTTTTTCAATTCTGCTTCTCTTTTCTCTCTTTGTCTTTTACCTCCTCTTTTACGTCCTTTTCTCACAACAGAAAAACCATCATCATTTTTATTGACTGGAGATTGATCCTTATTTAAGTCGTTGTCTTCATTTCCTAATTTTTCACCTGGAAAACTTCGCAATATTCCACCATTTATAATTTCAAATTCATAAGCTAATGCAATTATATGTATATCATTTACGGATAAAACACTATAATCTCCTGTTAATTTTGCAAATGTGATAACTTTATCAATGTATTCTTGTTTTGGTTGTTTTATTTCTAAAGCCGATCCCCATATAGTTAATTGTTGTCTTACCGTTTCGTCTTTTAATTCTGAAAAAACTCCTGGTGTTGTAAAATATTTATTGGCATATTGTTGCAAGGTTGCAGCTGGTTGAGTAATTAAAGGACCAGCATCCAAAATGACGGTTTCAATATGTTTATGTGACATGTCTTTTGAACCTTAAGTTCTGATAGTTACTGGAATTTTAAAAAACCAAACAAGATGAGATCAATACACAAAATATGTTGCTACCAGATTTGAAGTTTCAAGTTTGGTGAATTGATATCTAGCGAAGAAAAATCGTCCATGATAGCTCCATTTTTCAAGGTGAACACGAGTTAGCTCAATATAGTGATTTTAATAAACCTTAGAAATTAATATAGTTGGAAGCTATAGTTTTGGGGTTTTGCGAATGGGTACCGAATAATTGTTTTGTAGTCATGATTATACTGGAAAAATCACCATTTGAATCAGGAAACGACACACTTGACATTTATCATGCTTTTTAGAATTGTTTGGATAAGACCTGACGACACATATAATTTCAAAATTCCGTATTTAATTTTTATCGCCTAAAAGCCTGATCTCCCGTTATAAATATAGATGGAGAAGTGTGATTTCAAGAATAGAAACAAAAAAAAATATGGAGCTAAGGTAAGAATGAATGTAAAATCATTGGCAATCAATGTGATCGAATGACGAAACCCGTGGACCTAAGGATTTTATGTTGTTAATTTTGAACTAAAAGAATTTGTAAAAGTATGATTTGCAACCGTAGCACAAAATTATCCGTCCCGATTTTTAGTTTTCAAATCATTCTCGTTTTTGAATCAGTATATCCATTTTCCGTTATTCATGTTTATATAAATGTGAATAGCTCCTGCCATTGTCATGTGGCTGAACTATTCTGACTAATTCCTACAGATTCAATTCAAACTCCAAACACAATGTCACAGGAAGATACCATCAAATTATACTGGTTACCTTATTCAAGAGCTCAAAGAATAGTTTGGTTATTAGAAGAATTAAATCTAAATTATGAATTAATTAAACATAAAAGAGTTCAAAAAGTAAGAGCTCCAAAAAAATTTGAAAATTATCATCCTTTAGGTAAAACACCGATTCTTGAAATTATAAAACCAGATGGTGAAAAAATAACATTAGCTGAATCGGGTTGGATAACTCAATATTTAATTGAAAATTATGATAAAGATGGAAAATTAAAACCAAATAATGTTAATGACAATAATAAAATTAATTATTTCATTCATTATTCTGAAGGAACAATCCAACCTATGCTTGTTGGATTATTAGTAAATCATATTGCTGAATCAAGTGTACCATTCCCGGTAAATTATTTAGTTAAAAAAATAACCTCAGCTATAAATAATGGGTATTATGGTTCAGAACTAACCAAGAATTTAAAATATTTGAACGATATTATAGTTGAACAAAAGAAGAAAGGATCAGATTTTATTGTTGGAGATAAATTATCGGGTGCTGATATTATGTTATCTTTCCCATTTCAAGCTACTTTTACCAGAGATGATATGAAAAACGAATCATCTTTCAAAAAAGATTTTCCTGATGTATTTGATTATTATTTAAATTTAACTAAGCTTGAAGGTTGGAAAAAAGCAGCTGCAAGAGTCAAAGATTATGAAAATGTTATAATCGATGGAAAGTTGTAAACTAGTGCATAATAGACATCGATTTAAAATAATTCACATATTTGAATTCGAACAGGATAGATAGGTAATAGTTTGATCAAAAATGAAATAATCTTGCACCAATTCTCAAATTGATACTAGTACGAAGAAAGCGAGTTAATTTAATGAAAGAGATTTACAATTTACAGTGATGAGCATTTTTATTTCTATATTATATATACTCTTTTAATATGATATTAATTACAAATAACTTTTTTGTCTGTAAGAAGACTTTGGATATTTGATCCTTTTCTCAACTAACAAGTATTAGTAAATCTTAACCAACTTTCAATATTATCAATTAAAAATTCCAATTGATCTTTTTCAATTGATTCACAAAGTTTTTGGATACAACTTTGAAAATCTTTATCATCATTATCATTATCTTTATTTAATGAGGTTGATTTTAAACTTAATGTATAAATTAATTGAATAAAATGACTAGTTGGATCAGCTAATAATTTATTACTTGGTGAAAATACTAATTCAAACCCATTTAATTCAATTTTACGTAAAAATTTTGAATTTTCTAAATTTATATTTTGTTTAATTATAATTTTATCAAGTGATGGATCAGTGGTTTTTAAAGTATTTGTTAATCCAATTATAAAATTTTTCAAGATTTTTGTAACATTCAAGTTAATATCTTTATCATTTTTACTAGAATTTGATTCATTATATTGTTTTATTGAACATCTAATAACTCTTCCATGAGTTAAAGCAACTAATAACATATAATTTTTTGAAATTGATTCATCTACATAAAAATCAGAAAGGCTATATCCAACAAATACACATTGTTTTTTGTTTGAAATTGCTGATTTATAATTTGATAACATTTCATCATCATCTGAAGTTGAGTTTGAGTCGTTTATTACTGGCATGATTGAGTTGTTTTTCTGAATTGTGGAAATGAAAAAATTATGGTACGAGTAATTTTAATGATATGTATTATTGAAATTGAAATGTTTGGACGAAAGCTTGTGGTATATATGAGTAAAACTAAATGAGTATGAATCTTGTTTCCTATTGAAGGGGCTGAGAAAGAGCTGATAAAATCGGGGAGACTTCATCTTTTAAATAAGTGTAAATAATGTTAAATTCGGTCCAGAACAAAGATTAAATTTGTTTCAAATTTACTGATCTTTACATTACAACTATTAAAAATAAATAAATAAATTTAAATAGACGAGTTTATCTGAAACACAGCCGTACCGCAATACATAAACACTTTTTCAATCCGACCAGTTCGCTGTTGAATAAGTACTTAAAATTCATTATTATACGAAATTAAGCAGTTTAAAAACGATTGTAGAAATCATAAATAGTTGTTGCGATGATCCACTAATAGTTCAAGTTCATCTAAATTTTTAATCTGTTTCCATTTTTTGAAAATATTGGCATAAAATACGATAACAAAATTATATGACCTCCATAAAACTATTTATTTGATGACCTCCGAAACATCGAAATATTTTATTACAGAATAATATACTATTGCGTACCGACAATATAAAAATAATAGAAATAAAAAGAAATGATTTGTTTTGACGATAGATTTCAAACTTGAAACAAGATTCATTTCGTGGCATGATTCTACATTTATTTGGGCCACCTTGTTTATTACTTTAACCTTTAGAGGATTTATCTTCAATTGACATAAATGTAAATCACCTGGAAGTTATAAAATTGGTCATGAGATTTTCAAATTTATAAAAGTTCACACTGATGTTTCTGTTCTAGTCGTATAGTTCGGTTATTTGTAGATTGTAAAGTAATACAAACATTACAACAACACCAATATTAACTTTCCTAAAAATTAGAACTACTTTTAGAAATATCCAAGTCTAAGTAAATTTCGTACTCTTTAGCTCGATCAATCTTATTGTAAATTTCTATACATTCGATTTTGGTAACGAGATTAAATTCATAATCACTTACATCCAAATTGCTAAGTGAGTAGACATATTGATGACAACATGTCTACTCATCTAGCAAGTGGGAATAAAGTATTAAGTTTTGGGATGTTTCTTAACAAGTACAACACAATACATTCTTCTATTGTGCTTTTCTTTCATTTTTGAAAAGATACTGTTCGTTCGGACAAAAATTTTTCAAAAAAACGTCTAGTTTGTGATCAAGAGTATTTCATCCTTAAATTCAACTATTCCAAAATTTCCATTTAAATCGGTAAACAACGGCTTTGTTTTGTAAACATAAACATTCTTGTCTTAAAAACCGATGAAAATTGTAACCAATTAAAAGTATCAACTATAAATGATATTTTGATCCGACTAGACCAAAATAATTATAATCGGATTAAGTAGAATAATTAAAACCGATTAAAATCAACTACTGATTTAAAAGTCTTGTGATATTTAAAATTTTTTTTTAAGGTTTAAGGATTAATATATTTTGTGTCATACTTTAAAAATTAAAAGGCGATTCTTGCCTTTAAAGTAGAATGACTTTTATATTGAAGTTAAGATTCACGGGTTTAAATTTAACAGATCGTCAATATAACAAATACAAATAAATTAAAATTATGAGCTTTTATCTTTTATTTTTGTTTCACCCCCCTCCTTTGAATTCAGAATTTTGTTAAAATTCCATCTCTAAACATAAATCATCAAGAAAATTAAGACAATCAAAGAAAAATTGTTAACCAAGTGATTTAAAGGGATCCAATGTTCTTTTTCGTATAAATTATTTTCTAGAAAATTTTAAATTCATATTCCTTGTTTTTGAAACAAACTACAACTCATCAATCCAAATTCTTAAAAAAAAAGCTTATTTTATAACAATAACTTGTTGACGAATAGCAAGTAAATCAATTATTAGTTTTATTGCGCTCTATTGTATTACTTTATTTAATACTCACACGATATTATAAAGATTGTTTTCTTTTGTTGATTTATACTTTTGTTTTAAGTTATAATCGTTGTTCTTAATTAATTAATTAAATTTTGAATGTAAATTTAATAAAATGGAATTTAAATTCCTTTTCCTATAAAAATATTATTTTTTAACTCCTTTAGATTACACAAAATCTAATATTAGAAAGAATTACACAAAAATGTCAACATAAATTTACGAAACTAAAAATAAAAAATAAAAATAAAAATAATATTTCAAAATATTATTTGGTCTCACATTTCTTTCTTTCACATTGTGATTTACTTAAACATATTATAAAATGTACTCAATCACTCTTCCAATTATAATTTTTGTTTTGATTCAACAATCTAAATTTTAAGTGACCTTCATGAAGACTAAAGATTTTTTTCTTGTAATTAATCCCAAGAGTTAAAAGTTTTATTGTTCATGAATCTAAGAGTGGAGTAAAAATATAATTATTTAAATTGGTCTATTTCACTTTAAAAGTGATTAAATTTTTAGTAGACTTTTTATAATTTAGTATTACTCAAATTCTGAAATGATTGAGTCAAAAAGATTATGTTTTTAGTCCAGCAGACTTAAATTTAGTTATCAAAGTAATGAAATTTTCCTTAAGTATCATTTTCAAAGAGTTCTTCTTTTCAATAATATTTTGTTGAAAAACTTTTGAAGCCACTCAATCGAGGTAATCGATATATATAAAATCATTACAAAACTAAATCAATTGATTTTTTGCCAAACCAAGATTTGTGTTACTTCTTTGATTTTAGAAATTGACTTTTGGATAAATGCAGGGATAAATTCAAACAAAAATATATTTACAATATTGTGTAAATATTAAGGAATACAAAGTACGAAAATTTTAAAACCTTTATTTGGTCTTAGACAATTCAACTTTAAACTAAAAAACAAAATTTTTAAATATAATTTGTTTATCATTGTAAAATTTTGATCTAATTCATTTACCAAGATTCTAAATATATACTCATTTAAAGATTCAAGCTTTTTCTTTTTAAGTATTAACAAGTATCATAATGATTTGGTTTAAGTAATACTAAAGACTATCCTAAGCCAAATTAGAATTAATAATCACACGAGTCTTAAAAAAGTTTATTAACCATAACCCTCACAATTTTCTTTATTATATAATTAGTTCAAATTTCAAACAATAGGTTGATGGATTATTATTTTTTCTCAATATATTGTGTAGATTTTTCAATATTGCGTTTTATGCCTAATTGTTACTCAAAATCTACATCTTCAGTTACGAAAATTGAATATTGTGTTAAGGAGGTTTGGTGTAAAATAATACATCTCGTTTAAAGGGAAAATAATTTTTTCTTTATGGTTTTATATTAACAACAAGAGGCTTAAACTTATATTTTTAAACATTGTACATTATACTTTGTACATCAACAATTTAGATTCTAAAGATGTGACTAAAATTTTTTTAGTTTAGTTTAAGTTAGTTGTTCTAGAAACTAAAGTAAAGATTTACAATATAAAATTAATTGGACACTGGAAGGAATCAGAGGAAAAATAAAGGGAGAAGAGAGGTTAGTAGAAATTGAGTAAAGTTACACTTCATATCAATTATTGAATCAATCAATTTTGATAAAAATTTTTAAAAGGGTCTGATCTTGATTCCAGTTACCAAAATTTATCTGATTTCTTGATTAACTTTTTTCTTCCCTCATGATGAGCAGGACCAAATAGAAAAAAAAAGTCTAAAATAAAGTTTAAAACATGTATCAAATAAAGTAAATAAAACGTTTTTTATTGATATAAATCTATACATGAAATAGACTCAACTAATTACGAAAATTGAAAATCAAGATCATTTGTCGTTTTGGCAATTGCGATTAATTATATTTGTTACTGAAATGTAGTAGATTGATTCGATACCCTTGTATCTACGTTGAATCTAAATAATACACGAAATGTAAATGATAATAATAATTGTTGATTCTCTAAATAAGAGTATATAAATTCTATATAACTTGTTTTATTTGTTCGACGAATCTCACCATTGTCGTAAAGTCAATGTCATAAAAATTGACTGACTTGTATGATAATACACATTTGAAAGTAACTTTAAAAGTAACTTTAAAATATAGAAAAGGGGGGAAAAGCGTTGTTATAATACATACAGTTAGTCCGGTATGTATTAAACTAAGCGCTTTTACCACATTGCATTTGTTTTGAAAGTCAGTGATCTAAAACGAATTTGGACTCACCAGCGTGAATTTATACTATAACCATTACATTTGATTATATATATGTTGTAAGATAATATTAAATTGAAATTATTAAAAACAGTATACCAAGCCAAATTTCACTTGTATTTTTCAAATCTAAACGTACTATGCTATTTACTTATACTTTTTTCAACTTTATCTACTCTTTAAACTAAAAATTTAAACTTGAATATAGTTACTTCTTCTTCTTTTTCATTGAATTCTTTTGGTTACATTTGGTAAAATATTTGGTTAATTAATGTAAGAGAAATTTAAACTTTTATATATATTAGTAGTACTGTATATAAGTATATATTAATTTAATAACACAATTACACAAAATACAAATTAAGTAATTGATATTGTGATGATTAAATTAAATTAAGGTGAGAGAGATAGTACAAAATATATTGATAAGAGATAATAGGACATCAACAGATATTACTGATTCACTTCTACATAAGTCTAATACTGCAAAGATATATGAGTAGTACTGACAATAGATTACTCACAAATGGCAATATAAGAGAAATAACGGGGATATATTGGATATATATATTTAGTTTATGACTTTTCTTAGTGAAAACATCGAAATGAAAAGTTTTTAAACTACATAGTGAATATAAAACAACCACACTTTATAAAGAATGTTAGACTGCTCTTATAATACTCTTTAACTGTTAATTCCAATTTGTTTAGACTCAGTTAATTTAAACAAACAATTTTACTCATAACCATTTTAATACCTTTAGTCCTTGATTAATTTAATTAAGTTAATTGTTATTATAATAAATTAGTTTTGTGTAACTAATTTGATATTTCCATTAATTAAATAAATTTATATAAGTAGAATTATCATTTCTCATAATTTTTTAAATTTTTACAACCAATTTATACAACTTCTTTTACTTTTACAACCACCAATAACACATCACTATCATCATTATAACCACCATATTCGTATCTCAATAGACTAGAGAATACTTAATATATCTATAACTATTACTACTTTACACATTTAGACATTATCATATCCAGCATATATACCTTAATATTTCAATTTTCAATTCAAATTCAGTTTACTATTTTACAAACCCATATTTTTTACAACCAACTTTTATATTAATATTTGCATGTTTTTCATCATTCTTTCATTACTTTAATAGACCAATCAACTTACAAATATCTAAATAATTCATTCATTATCATACATTGCTTTTAACAAACTTTAAACAACTAATTTACAACCAAAATCGAGAAAACAGAAAGATCAAAAAAGCAACAAATCAACAAATAAATGAAATTTGGTAATAATTTACAATATTTATCAATACCAGAATGGAAAAGTTATAATATTGATTATAATGATTTAAAATATAAAATTAAACAAATAACAAATTCAAATTCAAAAGATTTAACAAATTTAAATAAAAGTTTTATTGAAAATATTGATTATATTAATTTATTTATTCAAACAAAATATGGTGAATTAAATAGAAAATTTAAATATTTAGAAAGAATATTTGAAAATTTAAGATTAAAAAATAATGAAATTGAAATTGAGGAGGAGGGACATAATGAGGGAAATAACACAAATAATCTACCTATGTCTGAATCTTATGAAAATTTTATAGATATTAAATCATTACTAATAGAAGTTGATGAATTATTCTACCAATCTATTGAATTATCAATAATTTTAAAAAATTTATCAAAATTCATACTAATACAAAAAATTGCCATTAAAAAGATCTTCAAAAAGTTTTTAAAATATTACAAGCATAAACAATTAGCAACAAAATTTATAATGAATATTAAAAATTATTTATTAGAAAATCAAAATTCTTTTATCAACTTTGATTTAACAAATTTAACTTTAAAACTAACAAATTTTATAAATCTAATAGAATATGAGAGGAAAATTCTACAAACTTTTAATCAAGATTATCTTAATTCCCAGACCACTGGAAACAATAATTCAACAAATAATAATCAATTACATAGAAAAAATTCATTATTCTCAATTGCATCTACATTAAATTCTTCCGATTATCAAAATTCAATATTACCATCAAAATATTGTGGAAATAGTAATCAACAACAAATTCCATCAACAAATGGTTCATATTTTGATTTAATAATTCAATTAAAAAAAAATTTTCAATGTCATTGTTTAATACCAAATGATTTAAGTAATGATGTTATATTAAATTTTAATATTTATTTAAATTTAAAATGTATAGAAGATGATTTAATTTCAATTATTTATTTAAATCATGATTTATTAAATGAACCAGCAATGATAATAACAAGTTCTAAAAATTCAAAATCAATAATTATAGCTCCAACAGGTGGATTAAGAAAAAATTCTTATTGTATTTTGGATAATGAAATTGTTGAAATTTTTTTATTACATTTAAAAGATAGAAGCAATGAATCATATAAAAATAAATTATCAGAATCATTTCAAAATTCAAGTCAATTAACTAAAAAAACTATAAATTTTATAATATCTAATAATTATTTACCGACTTCAAGATTAATTTGTAAAAGATCAAGATTTAAAATTGAAAAATTTGATAATGAAGATGATGAAAACCACCAAGAATTTGAAATTAATAGTACAACAAATACAAATCAAGATGAAAATGATTACTATATTGCTTTAAATAGTGATATTTATACAACAAATAAGCCCGTTTTCATAAATACAATAAATTTCCCGCAAACATTTGAAAAATTTGATATTTTCCCACATAATCATTTAGGAATTTATTCAAATGATATAAATCTTTTTGAATTTGAATCATCATTAACAACAAAAATTGATAAAAATGGTATTATTTCAAATGAATTTCATTTAATTTATTTAAAAAAATTTCCAAAAATTTTAACAATTATATTAAATAATAATTTTATAAATTTATATAAAAAATTTAATTTTTATCAATATCAATTAAGTTGTTATTATAATATTATACCAAATAATGAATTTATAAATAATCATTATTCAAATTTATTAAATTTAAATTTATTAAAAAATTTTGAAAATGTTTCAGTTAATAATCAACAATTAAATGAAGAAGAAAATATAATAAAAAGAAAATCAAACAATATAATAAAACATAAGTTATCAATTCAATCAATTCAAAATCAAAAATCACAATTAAAGCCTTCTAAAAATAGTTTTGGATCAAGTATATTTGAACAAGTTGAAAATGTTCAATCATCATGTGGAAGTTTATCACCACAAGATATAAATTTTACAGATGATGAAGAAGATATAATAGAAATTTCAAAATTAAAATCCGGTTCCAAACAAGAATTTAATCAAATTAATAAAATTTTTGAATCAATTTATAATTTAAAACAAAAATTTTTTAATATGAATCCAATAAATGAAGAAAAAAATCAATATCAAATTTATGAAAATCCATTTTATAATAATTTTAATAATAATGAAGAAATAGATCCATATACTAAGCTACTTAGTATAATGCACAACCAAAATTATCAAAACAATTCAACTTATGATTCAATAAATGAAGAACCTATTGGATATTTACAAAGAAATGAATTTAAATTACAATATGAAATAAATTATGATAAAACATTATCATATATTTATTTTTCATTAAATATTATATCATTATTTTTAATGGGTATACAATTAGGAATAATTTATTCAATTTATAATAACTTAGATGGCAACAACAACTACGATAATTCATTTTTGATAAGATATAATTTAAATCTTTTTATAATTTTAATTTTTGGAATGTTAATAAGTTTATTATTTAATTTAATTTCTATAAATTTATTATATTATAGATTTCAAAAAGGTAAAAAATTTCATTATTTGGTTATATGGTTGGGGTTTGGTATTAATTTAATTGGTTGTTTTTGGAATTTTTATTTATTATTAAGTCATTTTTAAAATGATTCAATATACTTGGTTCATTGTTTAAATTTAACAGTTACGATTAATGAAATAAAAACAATTTAAGATTGAATTTGTAGATTCGGTTATTGTTGTATATGTTTATTTTGATCTCTATTTCTAGAATTCGATTTTTTGCAACCTAACTTGCTAAAAATAATTCCTAAAACAACAAACAAACATGAGAATGTAAAACTCAAACTTAAAATTTAACTCTTGTATAACTATCATTAATAATTAGAGTTAATGAACCAAAAGATAGATGGTAATTTTGAACATTGTTGGAAAATAATTTTAAAAAAAAAGTTATTGGTATATCAAAAATCTCCCGGGGGCGAGTCGAACGCCCGATCCCAAGATTACAAGTATTTGGGAAAACATATTACAGTCTTGTGCTTTAAACCAACTAAGCTACCAGGAGTAATTTCTGAAAAATTTTTTTTCACAGCTTCTTTGACTTAATACTTCTTGACTCAAATTTTGTTCAAGTTTAAACGGCTTTTGCCTCACTTTTTTTTGATTGCTACTTTAGTTCGAATCTCTTGTTGACTAAACATCATATTTAAAATTTTTTTCAATTTATAGTTGATGACTATCATAGTAGTAATTTTACAACTCTCCAATGAAAGTGAAAATTAGTTTAGAGTGGATTATTAAAGAGTTGAGTTCAAAAATCAATGAATTATTACCAATTATTAAATATTTCATTATCATCAAAATATAAAAAATATCACCTCCTTGTTGTATCATAAAGTCTAACAATTTTATCTTGATCTTGACCTTCAGCTTGAGAAAAAGCATAACCTCTTATTTTTTTTAATCTTTGAACTTGTCTTACTTTTCTAATAGCTTTTTGAAATTGTTCCATTCTTGGTCTATGATCTTGTATATTATATTTTTGAATTTCTTGAACATAATGATAACTTTCTGGATCCATTTGTCTCTTGTAGAATTTCCATGCAAAATCTCTTAATAAACATAATATTGATACACCAAATATCATTGTCCAAAAAGTTAATAATGGATAAGTTTTTGATAAAACTCCTCTATATTCATCTGATACATTAATTAATGGTGCAATAGTTGCATAAGCTGGAAACCAACATAACCAAAATATAAATGAACCAGGTATTGCAATTAATGTAAATTTAGTCCACATAGTTACTATTAATGCTGCTTTACCTAAAGCAGTTAAAGTACAAGTAGTATAAACAGCAACTCCCCAACTCCAATTATCAGTAGTTAAACCATTTGATAAATTATTTCCATATCTATAAATAAAAAATGAACATAAAAATATAACAGCTGAATGATAAAATCCATTTATAATCCAACTCCAAAATACTGCAACATTAAAAAATTTTCTTTGTTGACCTAATTGATATAATTGAGGATATCTATCTAATAATCTTGCACTTACAAATTGATCAAATACTCCTAATACTATTGGTGGTAATACTGTAAACAAGACATTATAAAATGTTAAAGTCCAGGATTCTGCTATTGATTGACCTGAAAATGCATTTGTGAAAACAAACCAAAATTGAGTCATATATAATGCTATATTTTTATAAAATGAATATAATATAGCATTTGATATACGACGATATGACCAAGATCCATGAACCAATAAAAGTTTTTTTAAATATTTAAATTGTCCAATTGAAATATCTGCACTTCTCGCTGCTTGCATACCTTCCATACCACTTATACCAACTCCAACATGAGCTGCTTGAATCATTGAAACATCATTGGCTCCATCTCCAATTGCTAATAATAAAGATTGTTTCTTTTTACGTTTAACCATTTTCACCACCAAAGCCTTCTGTAATGGTGAAACACGACAACATATAACAGCTCTACATCTTGAACCTAATTCAATAAATAAATCTTCTAAATCTGGTTCTAAAGCAAAAGATAATGAATGACCATCAATAATTAAAGCTAATGAAGATTCTAATGATCCATCATCAACATCAAATTGATGTTCTTGTATAGCAGTTAATTTTTCTTGTAAATTTAATCTTGTATCATTTTTATTTTCTTCATTTATAATTAATAAATTCATATCTTCACTTAATAATTTACATGACATTCCAATATTTATAGCAGTTTCTTGACGATCACCAGTTAATACCCATATCTTGATACCTGCACTTTGTAAAGTATGAATAGTTTCAGGTACTCCATCTTGTAATTTATCTTCAATTGCAGTAGCACCTAATAAAAATAAATTATTTTCAATTAGTTCAGAAATTTCATCCATTTTTTCACTACGATTTTGTAATGATGTAGAAGCTTCATAATATTTTTTTGACCATTCATTATATTCATTTTCTGGTATAATTCTTGAAGCAATACAAAGGGTTCTTAATCCTTCAGCTGCAAAATCTTCAAGATGTCTTAAAGTTGAATCAATAAATGGTTGTGGTTCATTTTTTGAAAGACGTTCTAATATTACTGTATCAGCACCTTTACAAAATAATCTTATAACTCCATCAGGACATCTGAATATGGCAGACATTCTTTTTCTTGTTGAATTAAATTCACAAATATTTAATAATTCATATTCTGATTGATTATTGGTTATTGTATTTTCTATTGTAACAGTTTTAGGACGACGGATTATAAATTTGTATCCTAAATCAGCAGCTCCTTGAACTAATGCGCCTTCATCAGGAGATGCAGCTTGATATTTTATTTCTCCATTTTCTCTATTTTCAGGAATTACAGTATGACAAGTACTTAATAAAGTTAAAAATTCATTAATTATAGCTGATTGTTGTGAATCAATTTTTAAAACATCAGTTTTCAATTCATCAAATGTATGATAACCAATTTCAATACCTTCAATTATTTGAGGATAACCATCTTCTGGTATTTCTTCAGCATAACATCTTCCTCCAATTGAACAAGCCTTAAATTCCATTACATTTCTAGTTAATGTACCAGTTTTATCACTAAAAATATAATTAATCTGCCCCAATTCTTCAACTAATGAAGATGTTCTAACTCCTGTTGGTGTATCAGTTTCTTCATAATACATATCTAAATCACTTCCAATCATAAATGCTTGATAATATTTAATTAATTCAACTGTAACAAATAAAGATATTGGAACTAAATTTGAATATAAAATCCAATAAGTTAATAAATCTTGAAAAAATAATTTAGCCATTGAAGTACCTTCTAAATATAAATAATTTAAATCATTTTTACTAGCTGTCGTTTTGATAACATTTCCAATAGATGATATTAAAGCTAATACAATTAATACACAAAATAATGCAATAATTTGTAAATTTATAATTCTTTCAACATCTGTTCTTTTAATTGGTGTTGCTGTTGCATTTCTCATTAATTTCGTTTCATGACCTGTAAATATAACAACACCATTTACCCATTGTGTGTTACGTAATGTAGCACCTCTTAATAATAATTGTTCTGGAGTTAAAGGAATATCTGGACCATGTTCAAAATTTTTTAAATTACCTTCATATGTATATAATGATGAATTTGGAGGTTCTGATATTATTTCTACATCAGATAATCCTCTTATTAATTCGGTGGAGCTTTTTAAATTTGATGTTTCTGGTTTTGATTGTTTTATTTTTAAATTTGTTTCACCATCTAAATTAGCAGTTTCAATATAACATAAACCTTCAGGTTCTGAAGAACTTATTAATACTAAATCTGCAGGAAATGGTTCTTCATTATTTACTTTTACTACATCTCCAACTTGTACTTTTACCCATTTTCTCAGTACAAAATCACCAGATGCAGGGTCTAGTACCAATACTCTTGTATTATTTAAATCTTTATCAGCATTTGCTCTTTTTAAATCTTCTGATATTTCTTTTACTGCAGATACAAATAGCACTACTATTAATGTTCCTATAGTTGTATATCGATTCGTTGGTGATACATGTGGAACTTGTTGTATAATTGATGTAAATAAAAAGAATAAATTAGCATATTTACTAAATTGTTCAAATAAAAATTTAGGTAAAAAAGTTGCAATATTATATTTAGTTGTTGATATATGATTTCCAAAAAATCCAGAAGAAGCATTAGCTGAATGATTTAATATAAATATTTCTCTTGGTTTTCTTGATTCAAGTTTTGAATGTTTATTGCCCGTTAGTTTATTTTTAAATTTTCGATAAATATGAGTAATGTCAAAATCTCGTGGTGGTTTTTCTTCTTTAGGTGATTCATATGGTTTATAACTAGTTGGTTTAGGTTTTGAAGTTATTATTGGTGTTTGAAAATCTTCAATTTCTTCGTCTTCATCGTCTGAAATGATAAATCGATCATTAAAGGGATTATCTTGATTATGTTGTGGATAATGATGTTGTGGATTAAAACTATTTAAATCCAAGTCTATTAGAGCACTTTCGTCTTCAAACGGATTGTCTTTTGGTTTTGACATGGCTGTGTGGTTTATGTTTGGTAAATACTTTGTTTTGTTAGAAAAATTAAATTTAAAATATCGTGTTGCAAAATCTATACGAAGTGATTTAAAAATAGAATTGATTGATGAAAGACGGCTATAAGCCTGAATGATTTTTGGATTGTTTGATGATATATGAAAACTTGTTATATAATCTACTTTAGACACTTTACTCAGTAATATAACAATCTGAGACATTCGTTATTTTGATTACACTTAATTTCTAAGTATGCGATTTTATTTTTTTTCACATCATGAGTAATCAATTTATCAAACATGTCAAGTGAAAGAATAGCCAAAGAAGCAAACCTTGCTTTTTCAACGCTTAAGACTTTGTCAAATGAAGAAAGATCAAATGCTTTACAAATTATTCATGACTCTTTAAAAGAAAAGAAAACAAACATCCTAAAAGCTAATGAATTAGATTTAAAAAATGCTGAATCTCAAAATCTTTCATCATCATTAATTAAAAGACTTGATTTATCAAAATCTGGGAAATTTGATTCTATGTTACAAGGAATATTTGATGTTGCAAATTTACCAGATCCTGTAGGTAAAGTCACACTAGCTAAGAAGCTTGATGAAGGTTTAAATCTATATAGAGTAACTGCACCAATTGGTGTTTTATTGATTATTTTTGAAAGTAGACCTGAAGTTATTGCTAATATTACTGCATTAGCTGTAAAATCTGGTAATTCTGCAATATTAAAAGGAGGCAAAGAATCTTTTCAAACTTTTAAAATAATGAGTGAAATTGTAAATCAAGCGTTGGCCAAGACTAAAGTTCCACCAAAAGCTATTCAATTAATAGAGAGTAGAGAAGATGTTTCAGATTTACTAAATCAAGATAAATATATTGACTTGGTAATTCCTCGAGGTTCTAATGAATTGGTACGTCATATTAAGTCAAATACAAAAATCCCTGTTTTAGGTCATGCTGATGGTATTTGTTCAATCTATGTGGACTCGAATTATGATTTAACAAAAGCTAAAAGGATTATTATTGATTCAAAGACAAATTACCCAGCTGGTTGTAACGCAGTTGAACAATTGTTGATAAATAAAAATTTACCAAAAGAAGAAATTAAAGAGATTTTACAATCTTTGATTGATAATAAAGTAACGATACATGTAACACCTGAATTGAAATTAATAGATTCGGAATTTGTAAAGGATGTAGTGGATGATTCATTTGATAAAGAATATCTTTCATTTGATATATCAGTGAAGCTAGTGAATAATATTGATGAAGCGATTTCCCATATTAATGAACATTCATCAAAACATACCGAATGTATAATAACAGAGGATGAGGCAAAAGCCAATAAATTTTTAAAAAGTATTGACTCTGCTGGTATTTATTGGAATGCTTCAACAAGATTTGCTGATGGTTTTAGATACGGTTTTGGAACAGAAGTTGGTATTAGTACAAATAAAATACATGCTAGAGGTCCAGTAGGATTAGAAGGACTAATGAGTTATCAATACCAATTGAAAGGAGATGGTCATATCGTTGGAGAATATGTAGGTGGAGGTGGATCTAAATTATTTATTCATGAAGATATATAAGTTTGAAACTCGTCATATTGTTTAGGTGGGAAATTTGGAAATGATTTTATGATTTTATCAGCTTGATCTTGTGTTAAATGTAGTAGACTCCATTCTTTTACAGTAAAAAAATCTGTCAATGTTTTAATCCAATTCATTCTAGTGTCAATTGTTACTAAGTCATCATCAATTAATATTAGCTCTCTTAGTCTAGCCCTAATTAATCCCAAATTTTCTATAGAATTATTTAAATCAACTCCAACAAATTGTTTAGCAATATTGTCTTTTATAAGTTTCGAAAGCCTTGGTGATTTCCCATTTGTACTAATCATTATTTGTAAATTATCTTGATTAATCATACTTCCAAAATAAAAATCACATAATGGTGGTTTATCTGCTATATTGACTGGTAATCTTAAAAGTTTACATTGATAATAGATTTTAGTACTTAGTTCATAATCATCAATGCAACAAAGCACACATGCAAAAGTTTCATTAACTAATTGACTTATTTTGGAATAGTCATCTATATTAATATTCTTATAGTCGAGATCCACCTGAAGTTTTTCATACATTTTCAAATCTTCATCTTGATAATTTCTATTTATTAATGTTATTTCCCCGGATTTAGCTAAATCCGATATCTCTGCATGAATATGTCCATCACCTGTAATGACAGTGATTTTAGCTTGAGCTATAAGTAAATGATTGATTCTTGATAAAGCAACATCCCCTGACCCTATAACTAAACAATGTTTATCCTTCACTTGCCAAGCTAATAATAATGAACCCTTCATATGTCATGATTAATTAAAAGAAAAAATCTTTTGACAAAGAGAAATTTTTTTTTACTTCAGGAAAAAAATTTATCACCAATATTAACCACACAATCAACATACCATTGATAGTGAACATGAGTTTTCAAAGAACGGAAAGAAGAAAGTCAATGGCAGAACGTAGACCTTCTACGTCATATACGCCACCTGTCATTCCGCATTTAGCCGGATTGGAAAAACCACAAGACCAATATTTAAAAATGGATAATTGTGATGTTTTAATATTAGGAACTGGTTTACAAGAAAGTATATTGGCAGCTGCTTTATCATGGCAAGGAACTCAAGTATTACATATAGATAATAAACCATATTATGGAGATTCTACATCCACCATGACAATAGAACAATTGAAAAAATGGTGTGCTGATGTTAATTCAAACAAAATACCACATTTTCAAGAAGCTCAAATATATATACCAGGTGGGAAATTAAATAATAAATTTCATTCAAAAGATTATGGAATTGATTTAACTCCAAAAATTATGTTTTGTCAATCAGATTTATTAAGTTTATTAGTGAAGTCAAGAGTTTATAGATATTTGGAATTTCAATCATTATCAAATTTTCATGTTTTTGAAAATGATGATTTTCAACAAAAGATTAATTCTACAACTAAACAAGATATATTCATAGATAAATCATTATCTTTAATAACGAAAAGAAATTTAATGAAATTTTTGAAATTTATATTACTAGATCCAAATTATAAAGCTAAAATCACTAAACCTAATCAACCTATTCAAACTTTCCTTAAAGAGGAATTCAAATTAGAAGATCCACAAATTAATGAGTTAGTATATTCAATTGGACTTTCATATAAAGAAGATATCACCACTAAAGAAGCTCTTATAAAAATTAAAAGATTTCTTTCATCATTTGATGTTTATGGTAAATTTCCATGTATGGTTTCAAAATTTGGTGGACCAGGTGAATTAGCACAAGGATTTTGTCGAAGTGCAGCAGTTGCAGGTACAACTTATAAATTAAATTCAAGTCTTGTAGATTTTGATCCAATAACGAAAATTGCTCATTTTGATGATAATTCTCAAATTAAAATTAAAGAAAAAATTATTATATCACCAACTCAATTACCAAAATTTTTAAATTCAAGTTATGAACAAATCACTGAAAATTTACAACCTCATTATGTAACAAGATTGGTTACTGTTGTTAGACGAGATTGTAAGGAATGGATGTCACCAAATGAATCACTGGCAATTGTTGTTTTCCCACCACATTCTTTACCAACGAATAATGAATGTTCAGTACAAGTAATGATACAGAATGGGAATTCTGGTGTATGTCCAGATAATCAATCAATTTGGTTTAGTCAAACTGTTGAACAAGACTTAAGTCGAGCTAAAAGGGATTTAGAGTCTGCTTATTCTAAAATGGAATCATCATTATTAAGAGAGACATCAAATGATATAGGTGAGATGTTAGATGAAACTGATTTTGTTATGAGTCAACAAGGAACACCTGTCTTGGCTAATTCATTTAAATTAGGTTCTCATTTACAAAATTTTGTTCCCACAGAAAAACTTGAAGTTGTTTGTAAATTAGGATATGTTGAAAAGACATTTATATCAAATGATTTATCAAATATTTTTAAACCTACAAAAGAAAATAGTATAATACTTAGAGATGTACCTGATGCTAAAGATCAAATTATTTTTACAAATACTCCAAGTGCAGAATTATCATATGATGGTATCATTACTGATGTAAAATCTATATATCAAAGAGTTACAGGAACAAGTGAAGATTTCTTTGATGTTGATTTTGAAGATGAAGAAGATGAATATGATAGAAGTAATCAACCAATAATACCGCAAAAGAGATCATCAGTTATTGGTGGAATAGTGGGAGGAGGTTCAGGTACAAGCTTGGCAGCTTTAAGGGAACAAAATAATGAAAATATAAGTGATAATGCTATAGATAGTGATGATGAAATAAATGGAGCATTTGATGCTGATGAAATGGAATTATAATGAGGTAAAGAGTAATGTAAATTCAATTCTGTGTATAATAATAATCGTAATTAAACTATATTGGAAAATTTTTTAAACCACATATTCTTCTCTTTCTCTTCTTACTCTATTTTTATATTCTGCTAATTGATCATTTAATTGATTTTGAAGTTCTGCATTTTCACACCATTTTTTATATACCTCTTCATTAACTTTGAAATTAATACCATTTTTAAATCCAGAATTTGCAATTTTATAATTTATGTTGATAGGTAGTATCCATTCTAGTAAAGATTCACCTAATACTTGTTTGAAATTTTCTCTTACACCAAGATCAAAAATATTTGCTAATTTTTTTTGTTTACCATTACGATCAAATTCATATACGTTCCCACCTCTATAATTCCATCTTTGTTCTTGAAATTCTATTGTAGATAAGTTTTTGGAAATTAAATAGTATGAAAAAATAGTGAAAACTCCAACTGCTATTCCAAAAGTGAAAGAAATCACACATAATAATATTAAATTGAGTGTCAAATACTCATCTTTATACTTCTCAGTCATTATTAAGTTGTAAATAATATATGTAGTAATCCCGAATATTATCCAACAATAAATCATTACATAGGTTAAGAATTGTATGAAAAATTTGTAATTGAAAAAACCAATACAAGTTGCAAACCAAGGACAATAATGATCCATTTTCAATATACATTTCCCCGAGCTTGAGCAATGATGTGTTCTATCTGGTTTCCAACATTTACATTTATTACATACTCGAAATCCTTGATTTACTTTTAATGTGTGTATAGTCATGAATTCAGGTGGTATTTGAGGTTGATTTGAATCAAATGGATTTTCAGAATTGTTTAGTCTCAATTGTGGGTAATCTAGTGGAGATCCAGGTCCAGCATATATGATTCTATAGTATGTAACTATACTCAAAATATAAAGTGTATTAATAATTACAAATTCAATAATAATTATGATTCTTGATTCAAAATATTTTGGAATTGTAGTCATTATTGCATACACCGACCACGTTAGCACAAATGTACAAAATACTTTGGGAAATAGGGAAGCAAATATGCAACACCATCGTTCACATGTTAGTATGAATGTATTTTGTTGTATACTTGCCATTTTGAATATGGCTGTGATTGGTACAAAGCATTTATTTTTTGACCTCAGATTTTAAAAAAAGAAAAGTATCAACACTTGAACTCCAAATTTAAGAACACTCACCTTATTAGAAAGCCAACCGAACACGTCAGGTCTTTCAGATACACGAGATCATGCTCTGCAGCGTTCAAATGTTTTAATTCTTATTCATAATATGACGTGATATGCAATATTCAAAGTACAAGTGTTCGACAGACATACTTGCCATTATTATCGCAATTAGTGGACTAGAGTTAGAGTGTGTTTGGGTCTTTGATCTTTGAGATATTAAGGACTTTAAAAGCATAGTAGAGGAGCCCAAATTAATCCAGTTCCTATACTCGAACATGAAAAGACAACCCTCATTCAGATCATTAACAGCTTGCCTGGTTGAGTAAGTAATTTATCAATTGTTTCGGCAGAGCAACAACTCCAAATGACTTGACAATCCTAGAATGAGTAACGACACACAGTGATGTACTCAAGGAAATTATGATAATGTTCACTGATAACTATTTTTCAGACTTCGAGTTCGTTCATCTATCGAAAATTTTAAAGATAGTTTAAACGGTTTAAACTCTTCCATTGGTATGATCTCGTCTAAAGTCAGATCTTATATCAATGTGTTTGGTTCTATGATATCACTGGATGATTAATTAAAGTACTAGCGGAAGGATTATCATAGTGAGTAATGAATCATCTAGTGTTATCATTGTGCCAAATACGTTGATATAGGATATCATTTTATACGAGATCATATACCGGACATATAAAGCCAGATCATAATTCTATTACATCTATATACATCTATTCTATTTTCTTTTTCAGTTTTAATTTAGTATATGCTTCATATCCAATTCCACTAAATACTAATAAAACACCAATCCATTGATTTAAATTTAAATAATGACCAAATAATAAAACACTTAAAATCATACTTAACATTTTTCTAGTTACAGTAGCAGTAATTAAAATTATAGAATCAAATTTTTCTAATATTATAAATATAAATACTTGACCTATGGCTCCACAACCTGCAAATATTAAAATATCATAAATTAATTCTGGATATTTTTGACCAAATTGTAAAGTTTTAGTAATTTCATCAATTTGAAAAATTAAAACATATCCTAATGTTAATATGGATATGAATAAATTTAAAATACACATTAAATTAGCTCCTGTGAATTTTTTGGTTTTTTTAAATAATTGATCTTGAGTTGAATTAGTTAAACCATCAAGTAACATACTTCCAATTAAGTAAATTAATCCAAGTTTAGTATTTCCATCATTTATCTTAGTGGTTTCTTTTGAATGAGCTAATGTAAACACTGTAACACCAATTGTTACCATTCCAGCAACAAAATACTTATAACCCGGAAATTTAGTTTGATAAAATAGTAGATGCACTAACATCACTGGTATCAATTTACATGATTTTGCTAATAAATATGCCAAATAATCCAAATGTCTTAACGATCTATAGCCAATTGGTGATGCAATACTTGAACATACTGAAATTAAAAGCATTGATTTAAAAACTCCCTTTTCTTTTAGCACTGTGAATGGTGATGTTTTGGTTGTTACATTATTATAAATTAATCCAACAATTGAAGCTAAAAACGCTTGAACAATATTCACTATCAAAGGTGATTTGAAATATTCATTATTCCCATAAGGTTTGGTATTTATACGTTCTTGAAGAATTGACCAAGTTAAGAATGTACTATACAATCCTAGCACACATATGATCAATGTTATTATCTTATTCATTACCTGTCAATAACAGAGAGTGAAAAAAAATAAAAATTATATCACGTATTGTTTCAAATATTATTTACTAAATAAACTAAAAAATCTACTCTTTTTAATTTCTGCTTCATCATTTGGAGTTGGTTTAACTGGTTGTTTTTCGATTGGTGTCTTTATTTCACCATCATAATTTATATAATTAAAAGCAATATCAAAAAGTACTGGTTTACATATTATTGGTCTAATTTCATCAAGATTAAAAATATTAATTCCTTCAGGATATTTATTTAAATTTTCAATAGCATATTTTGTACAAGCAGATTTTTTATTTGCTTCAAATTGTGAACTAATTTGAGCTTGTAATATTCTTTTTTTAAGATGTACTTTAAAAAATGCAACTTCTTCTTTTGTACTTACATCAAATGGGAAATCAACTTTATAATATTCTCGAACATCTTGTAAATTGTCATTGATGTAGGTATAAATTTTCAAACTTTCGGCATATTTACTATTATATGAATAAGCTTCAGCAATAACTGTATCCTTTTGAAATTCAAAATATTGTTTCAAATTATGTAATGAAGAACTTAAATCTTCATCATTATAAACACCAGGTAATTCATTCAATTCAGATACTAAATTTATAATACCTGAATATAATTTTATTATATCTCTTTTTTCTTCAAATTCATCTTTTGTAATTAATTGCCCAATTAATAATAAATCTCTTTTTAATTTTGTGAAAAGTAAATTATAATTTAAATAAGTTAATAATATAGCTCTATTTTGAACTTGATCTAAATCATCATCATCTTGATTCTTTTCAGAATCTTGTTTATGTAATTCTAAAATTTCAATCCATGCTGCAATTATATGATCAAATTGATTTGTATCATTTGATTTAAGCCATTCTTTGTTGTTTGTAAGTTCTTGAATTTTATAAGCTACTTCATCATTATATATCTCTGCAGTATGACCTCTCCATTCAATTTCTTTTTGTAATTGTGTGGTAGGTATTTCATTAGTGAAACTTGGATCAATTAGATTTAGTGCTGGTGAGATACTAGGGAAATTAGATTCACGACAGTATTTTCTCGAAATTGATTTTAAATCATTTCCTAAATTTAATTGAGAAGCAGCTAAATTTAAGGATGGATCAACTGTATTTTCAATAAGTTCTTTACTTAAATCAAGATTTTCAGGTTTAGTTTTCAAATAATCTAAACAACATCTTGCAATTGAATATGCATTTAATGCTTTGTTCCATTTTTTAGTATTTATAGATAATTGTCCTGCAATTAATGAAGCATAAATGTAAACTTCAATACGTATTTGAGCTGAACTTTTTTCAGTCAATTTAATTAAATTATCAGCATGACTCAAAGCTCTTTTTAATTTAGTTTTTAATAAAGTGGCATAAGATGAAGATTTATCATTATTTACATCTAATTTCGCTTTAATTTCATGAGCATATAATACGTCCCTTTCAGCTAGATATAATTCAATCAAACCATACTTGTTATTATCTTGATATTGTTCTGATGTTATAGTTGGTGGTTTATAATTCTTAGTATCTTTAGTGATAATATTCAAGTCATGACGCAATTTTAATAATTTTTTATTGGTTCTATTTCTTTGACGTTTATAATCTGCTGCAGTGACCAAATAAGCACTTAAACGTGCCCCCAAAGTGGTGTTTAATGGTGATTCCATTTGATAGAATTGAATAGAAATTGGTTGTAAACTTTTTTTTTCAACTTTTTTCAAATAAATTCACACGACACAAATTGGAATTTGTTGCAAAACTAGATTTCGAAGATAATGTATGAAACACCATGAGTAAAGTGTAATGAGAGAAAAGTAAAAGATATTGCGTAGATAGAATGGCGAGTCTTTGTTACTAGTGAGTTACTTGGATAATTTAGTCAATTTAGTGTTCTTACAAGAATTTTGACCAATTCATCATTTTCGAGCAATGAATCACTCAATTGAGTGGCTTTAGTATAAAAGTATCAGATCAAGCATCGTAAAGACAGATCAGGAAAAAAATAGACGGGATTCAACCCTCTACATTATGATGTAATTTCTATTTTGCTATGTTGAATTTTACACTACGGAATTATAGTGGTTGCCACATTTTGGTAGCTAAATCCCCCACCTTCAAAATATAACCTTTTCATATAAATAGAGTTTAAAATTCCACAATTATTTTTAAAAATATTTCAATTACTCAATTTTACTAATCAATTGATCATTAATATTTCAAAAATGCCAGCTCAATTAGAATTCAATACAACAGATTTCACTTTAAATAATGGTAATAAAATCCCAGCTGTTGCTTTAGGTACATGGAGAGCAACTGAAGATGGAGCTGCTAAAAATTCAGTTAAAACAGCTTTAACTGAAGGTCATTATAAACATATTGATACTGCTGCTATTTATGGAAATGAAGAAGAAGTTGGAGAAGGTATTAAAGCTGCTAATGTTAAAAGAGAAGATATATTTATTACAACCAAGCTTTGGAATTCAGAACACAAAAATGTTGAAAAGGCATTAGATGAATCTTTAAAGAAATTACAATTAGATTATGTTGATCTTTATTTAATTCATTGGCCAGTTTCTCAAAATCCAGATACTAAAAAACCTTATGATGATCATGATTTTGTTGATACTTGGAAAACTTTACAAAAAATTTATAAAGAAGGTAAAAAAGTAAAAGCAATTGGTGTATCAAATTTTACTGTAAAAAAATTAGAAAAATTATTAAATTCAGATGGAGTTGATGTTGTACCTGCAGTAAATCAAGTAGAAGCTCATCCATTATTAACTCAACCTGAATTAGTTGATTATTTAAAATCAAAAAATATTATACTAGAAGCTTATTCACCTTTAGGTTCATCAGATTCTCCATTATTTAAAAATCCAACAATTGTTGAAATTGCAAAAAAATATCAAGTTGAACCTGCTCAAGTATTAATTTCATGGGCTGTTCAAAGAAAAACAGTTGTATTACCAAAATCTGTAACTCCTGCAAGAGTTATATCAAATAATAAAACCTTTGTTTTGGAAAAAGATGATTTTGAAAAATTAAATAAATTAAGTGAAAAAGATGGAGTTGTCAGAACTTGTGATCCAGATTTTAATAACTTTAATGATTGATAATGGAAGATACTAGAATAAGTTTTATAGAGACAGTAATAGATTTAGACAAAGATTATCAAGAGATGTTCTGTAGATACCTGACTTATAGCCTCTAATTGGATTTATTGACCTGGATTAGCCGTATGCTATATGATTAAATCAACTGATTTATGTTAATTATGTCATTGCGCAATTATAGAATTAGGTCCATGATCAATGAGTTTAATAATTAATCCGTAAATATTAAAGTTTCGCGCTTAATTATTCTTTTCATTCTAGAAAAATATAATATATCGAAGGGTTCTAATCCAATGATTATACGAAAGTTCTTAGCAGTTACCTTTTTTCACAAGCTTTTACATCTCTATTTGTACGATAATTCTAAATATGAGTTGTAATCTTCTTTTGAGTGATTGGAAAATTCTACATTTGACTGAATATCTAAAATTTCATACATAGCGATCATCAAGATCTATAACAATGTTAAATCTAAAATGAGTATGATTGAATCTATCAAGAGTCATCGTAAATGAAAATAGGAGAATTTACAGTATATATACGTGAAAAGTAAACTCAGATCCCGTATCTAGCCTTACGAGTCAAAATGATTAAAATGGTATTAGCCTCGACTTCCAAGATCTATTGTTCTTTTCTTAGTTTGTTCAAATCGTATGATATAGGTCATTTGAACTAAAATTTAGTGAGACATCGTACTAAATTTATTGAATGACATTGTACCGTGATCTCTTAGCCTATTGTATTATGTAGAACATACTAAATTATTTCAGTATATATCGCCTAGAAAAAGAAAAATTTATTATTATTCAAGAAATGAAAGATCAAAAAACTTTATATAAATAAGTAATAAGTTATTCAAACAAACCCTTTCTAAAATCAAAGAGATATCCTTGTTAGTACTCCAAACAATTCACATTGATTCACAACAACTCATTAGTCAATTCAAACAAATTAGAACAAAATGCTGATATGAATTATCAATTCAATATTTTTTATATTGAAATCATTCTATCAATAATATTCATTGTATCAATTATATTAATAGGATTAAATTTAAAAATTCAAACTACAAATACTACAGAACTTGAAACTGAAAAACTAAACACAATTGAATTAAAAAATTTAAAATCAACTTCAGATATTTTAAAAATTGAAACAAATCCTTTATGTGAAATTGTTGTATCTTTTGAAATTGATCATACTATTACTGCTTGGTCTCCCATCACCAAGGAAAAACATGTATTAACAAATCAAATATGGCCAGTTAATCATATTTCAATAAGTGATGATGGTAATGAAATTATATTAATAAATTTTAATAAACAAATTATATATTGTTTTCAAAATTTTAAATTAAAATGGACAAAATCATATAATGAATTTGGAAGAACAACTAAGATCCTTGAATCATTTTTTAGAAAAAAAACAGTTGCTGGTTATTTAACAAGAAAAATGATGAGTGATAATCATAAATCTGGAAATTTCCCTGCTCCTCCATCACCAATTTTAGGACCATCTACTTTAGTAGCTAAAAAAAGAATACCAGAACAAAAAGAATCAAATAATGAATATATAATAATATTAGAAACTGGTCAAATATTAACTATATCATGTCAAGATGGATCAATCAGTGTAATTAAATTCCCAAACTTATCTGCAGCTACTAAATTAAAAACTCCAAGAGTAAATGATAAAATAATTTTCAAAAAACAACAAAATGGAGAATTAATAACTGGAACTTTGGTAAATAATAAATTCATTTTCAAAGATTTAACATTAAAATTCAAAAATCAAATTCCTCCACCTTCACAAAAATTCTTAAACACACCAGTTTTAATCCCATTAGACTTTTTAGGTATGATTGTATCAGTACAAGATTTTACTGCAAGTTTAATAGATGTTCAAACGGGGATAGTTTTAAAAACATTCAATATAGGATATTATAAAACTGGAACTTTTAAAGTAGCTCATTCAGAACCAACTCATTGTAAATTTTGTGGTTGTGTTTCCATCAATTCATTATCATTGATATATAAAGATGAATCAGGAATATTAATTATTCAAACATATAAAATAGAAAGTCAAAGATCAAAAAATAGTATATGTTTAAGAGTTGAAAGAGATATTAGAGAAATTAGATGTTTAGGTTTTAATGCTATAAGTGAATCTCAATATTGGTATGAAAATTTAAAATGTTGGCAAGTTACTGATGTAAATATGATTATTGGATTTGAAAAAATAAAAGATAATAACAATACAAAACAACCTTTAAAACTACCGTCAACCCCACAACAACATGGATTACAATCACTTCGACAAAGAAATTCACCAAAACCAAAACCAAATCAAGAAAAATATGAAGGATTTATAATATCATTAACAGATGGTAAAAAAGATAATTATCCTTTAACAAATTTATCATCATCATCATCATCATTAAAAATTATTTCAACTTCAAAATATGGTTATAAATCAATTTTGGTTAATTTTGGTGAATTTTTTAAAATTTATTATCAAGGTCATAATAAATTAATTGAAAATAATTTATATTATAATAATGATGCTGGTAATAGTTTATTGTTTATAAATAAACGTAGAAATAGAACATGATATTTTTATAGTGTATATTAAATGATGTTTAGTTATCGCTCTGATTTTCGTCTAGAATGATGGATTTTACTCTTTAATGAATTGTAAAAACAGATAAAAAGAAACATAGTTATAGAACATATTAGAGAATAATTGGATGTTTTAAATATTTTATAAATTAAAATTCTATATACTTTATCTATATACTGAAGTTTGTGAATACTAAAGAACGGAGAATTACCTAAAGTAGTCCTCTGAAGCTCACTAGTATCACGGAGGTTTTACGCAATACATTTAATTAAAAATGTAATGGTAATAAACGGACCCAAACCCAAAGCGAGATGGACTAATCATGTATAATGGCGGTCCAATAAAGGCTGGCCGATAACCTTGAGTCGGGCTGGCTGATACAGTAGTATTGGATCCACTTTGGTGAAGAGAAAAAAAAAAAAAAGGAAAAAAAAAAAAGGTTTGAATGCAAAATTTGAAAGGAAAATTCAGTCATATTTATATTCTACGAATCCAAAAATTAGGGATAAACGAAAGGGGTGTCTACATAGTAAACAATCTAACTAATCCAGTTATTTTTCATATGAATTGGTCTCAAATATAAACAATAACGCAAAAAAAAAAAGTAATTTAGAAATTTAGCATTTACGATTTACGAAACTTTAAAAATGTTTCAGCCTCTACTTAGATAAGATAGATCTAGCCTCTTTCGAAAATTTGAGATTTCAAGATCTTTACATTTATTATTTTAAAACCAAACTCCAAAAGTATTTACATCAGTTTATTCGGGTTTGTTATACCATTGAGTTGATTTACTTTCTCTACAATTCAGTATATAAGCAAAATTTGTTTTTCTCAGATTTATTTTTGAATCTCTTTTGTTACAAATAATCAAACGTTTGTTTGTAAAACTTTTTAACATTTTCTCTTAAAACATAACATCTCAACAGTACTTTACAACATTTATACAGAAAAATTTTGTAAGTTAACAACTTTGTGGTATATAATGCATAAATGCCTTGAAATAATTTCTTGCAGATTCAGATATGTATCAAATTATCACCATATGATGAATGTATTCAGTGGAAGCAAATTCTATTTTAATGAGATATGATTCCATAATTAGTTATAGAATTTGTATAAAAGAGAAACTGAGCTAACTCTATCGTACAATATACATTTGAGATAAAATTAACATATAGCAACACCTTATATTTAGTTACAGAAAAAGAGTGTTACCAATCCAGTGTTTTATTTCGAGTAGCTTTTCTGCTATTTGTAAAACATTTCTAAAACATTCTGGCTAAGCTCATATAAAAGCATTTGTTTAAGTGATATTATCTATAATATTTTGTTATAGATTTGTTTCAAATGCAAACACAAAATAAAGACACAGCTCCACAAAATCAGAATAATTCTATCCTTAAATACTATATAAAGACGTTAAAATTTCCAATAAATTAACAAATGATATTTAGGTCCTTAATAAATATAGTATAACTAATTTGGTATGTAATTTGTTATTAAGTATTGGCGTAGTTTTACAGCATTTTTTCATCATTGAAGCAGGACCTTCGTTAAAAGTTTGATACAAATGGAAATTTTCTCCAGTTTAACTAATCAATAATTAATAATGAAAAAAAAAAAAAAATCATTAATTTACTAGTCATTCTCATGAAGTACTGATAATCAATTAATAATGAGCAATCAATAAACAAAAATTGTTAAAAAGTATTAAATAGAAGGGTTGTCTTTATAATTTACAGCATGAATTGTATGTCCCATAATCAATGCTGTGACAGTAAACATACAATAGAATGACAGTACACGTGATTAATTCTAGAAACTGTTAAATAGTATATAAATTATTTTTTTTTGTACGATGTTTCAGGGCAGTAGCCCTACCTTCAGCGGTATTTAAAGAATATGAAAAATTGCAAACCAAACCAAACCAAAAGACTCTATTAAAACCAACTAACCATATCAAATTCAGTGAAGATTTACTTCAGAAGTATTGAACTGATTCAAAGGGGTTATTAAAATTATCATTAAATTAATCAAATCAATCAAATTAATCAAAAATGTCTGATACAGAAATCGAAAATCAACCTATTGAAAACGAAGTTGAGGTTTCCACCTCAGTTTCTATTGAGGACGCACTTAAAGTCGTCCTCAGAAATTCATTAGTCCATGATGGTCTTGCAAGAGGCCTTAGAGAAGCATCTAAGGCCTTATCCCAAGGACAAGCACAGTTATGTGTTTTGTGTGATTCAGTTACCGAAGATTCAATTATTAAATTAATTGAAGCTTTATGTAACGAACCAGAAGAAAAAATTCCACTTATTAAAGTTTCAGATGCTAAACAATTAGGTGAATGGGCTGGTTTATGTAAATTAGATCAAGAAGGTAATGCTAGAAAAGTTGTTGGTGCTTCTTGTGTTGTTGTTAAAAATTGGGGTTCAGATTCTGATGAAAGAAATATCTTATTAGAATCATTTTCAGCTTAGTTTTTATAGTTTATTTTAATTAATGAATGAATTGATTTTGTTGATTTCAAATACTTGTAAGTCTTAATTAAAGTCATATTCTCTTACTATAATGTGCTTATCTTTGAGTGTCCGACTTGCAAGTATTGAGTATGAAATTTGGATATTAATAAATATATTGCAGATATTTTTTCGGGCATTGAAAGAACCATAAACATGAATAGTTTAGGTGTCCATTATTCATATAATTATTAAAAATCAACTTTGCCAACTGTGTATTAAAAGATTTTCATTTATTCCATATTGATATTAAATCAGCTTATACTACTTCCAAATTGATAATGAAACTTATATTACTATGCCAGCTTTTTACAGAGGGTATAGTCAGTATAAAAATATTCCACTTGTTGGTCATGCAAATATAATTTGATGTCCTTATGGATAGTCAAGATCAGGTTTCGATTGTAGTCAAATCAATGATCGCTTTTTGACTATAATCAAAACCTGATCTTGATTATCCATATATAAGGACATCAAATTATACTTGCATGACCAACAAGCTACTCAAGCAAGTACTTTCGAAAAGACCTGTTTAATCGAAAAACCTGAAAATAAATGATGAAAAGTATTTGCTCATGTGACAAATGATTGAAAGATACATTTTGTCTTTTCTTAAAATGTATGTTTGAGTGGATATTTGAAAACCTCATATTCCTTTAGTCAATTGCTTTCTCGGGATCCCAACTTGGTCTTTTGATCTGGTTCTTTGCAAAACATTCTTCACAATCTCTTAATTTTTCTTACTCGGAATCAATTTCTTCAAATATTTTGACGATGGAAAAAGATTGATGGTATCTTCTTATAATGTAATTCTTGTTGTAGTTGGTTCATATATTTCCAATTCGGAACCATGATTAAGTTATACTCCATATGATAAGTTTAAAACTGGAAACTTTTTAGCGGTTCCAAATTGAAGACATCATGAACCTTCAACAACAGCATTTACATTATAGAAACTGAAAACAATTGGCTATGAAATTTGGTTTTTGATCTTCTCTTTTATGATACCTGCACACCCAGGACATTTATTCAAACATTGCACTATATAGGTACCTAGATATCAAAAATATGAAGTTTAAAAGTTCAGATCAAAATACATGATTGATAGGATAAAGAAAATGAGTGGTAAGTAAAATTGATTTAATGTTATAAAATTTATTGTGGTGATAGATATTTTTTTTTTCAAACAAAAGAAAAAGTAAGACTGATTATAAGAAAGGGCATATTACGCGTTATTAAACTTGGTAAATGCAACAATGTCTCAGTCAATCTACCTTTTCTATTGCAAATTACTGAGACGACTATGTTCTCCTAGAAATTTTCCATGAGCTAGCTCCTACGATAAGCAAAGGGCTGAAACAAATCCTAAATATTTGACACTAGCCTGGTTTAATAAATATATATTGCGGTACGGTTGTTTTTACTAGACCGAATCAATTTCAAGCTTAACGACCATTTAACTTTAAAACCACGAAAATATGAATCCGTTGATTCACAGATCCTTCTCAGGAGGGACCAATGGTGTGATTTTCATTTCTTCCGCTGCAATCGACATTATCTCAACATTTCTGATTTCTAAACCTGTTCAAAGTTTTGCACGAAATTAAAACAATTTACGTTACTGATTTACTTGGAAGAAAGAAAAGATGGAGTTTCGCGGATAATAAAATTAATCCTATTAGCCTATATTTTAAAACAAAAGATACATAATTAAATACGAGGCAAATGCTTTGCATATCTGTTATTACCTAATTTGAATAGGTCAATAAAATTTTGGATTGCTGTACTTCACATTCTCCCCAAATTAAAAAAAGTTTTTGGACTAAAATTTTGCGTCACAATTCAAAATTTCTTCTGTTACCGTAAAATTTCAAATTTCACATAATAATACAATAATTTAACATTTCATACAGCTAAAAAAGTTCGTTTAATATGCATAACGATTAAGCAATCAATATAGAAAGTAATTCCCCGATTTGGAAGTTTAATTGGAGTAACAAGAAGAAATAATGAAGAAAGGTTCAAGGCTAATTCATATATAAAATAGATCGAATAGATCCAATCAGTCATGGTTACGAAGTTAGAAATCTCATTAATCAAATCATGAGATATATAAGGATTCTACTACAATTTTATATACTTTCATTAGTTGTTGCTGTATGGCCATTTGATAGTGAAGAAAATACAGTTGGTGCAACTCCAACATCACCTTGGTGGCAAGGACTATTTGGAGGTGGTTCAACAAGCTCATCCCAATCTAGTGCGTCAAGTGCAGCAACAACAGTAGCACCAGCCACAACATCAGTACAAGCAAGTTCGACATCATCGGCTCCTTGGTATGCAAATTTATTTGGAACTGCAAAAAGTTCTTTAGCTATTGCAACTCAAGCACCAACTTCAACCAATTCAAAAGCTAACCTGGTATTTTCAGAAATTTCAAATACTTTATTATCAATAAATAGTACCATTGCTTCAATAACTTCAGCAGCAAGTTCAAATGCACAATCAACAACTTCAACAATTTCAAGTTCGAAAACAACTTCTGAAAATGTAATTGAAAGTTTTATAGGAGGATTTTTTGGAGGTGGTAGTAGCAGCACAAGATCACTGAATTCTACATCTCAAACAACTGATGAAACAGAAAGTAATTCAGATGGAGATGGAGTTTCTAATCCATATTCACCGGTTAATGTTACATGTCCAAATCATTCATTAATTCGTGAAGCCAATGGATTATCAGATAATGAAAAAAATTATATAAAAGCTAAACATGAACAAACAAATAAATTTTTAATTAGTTTTTTAAATAATAGAGCTAATTTAACTGATTTTGATGCTGAAAAATTTATAAATGATAACTCCCAAAAACATAATATTAGTATTGGATTAGCGTTTTCAGGTGGTGGATATAGAGCAATGTTAGCAGGTGCTGGAAATATTTTAGCTTTAGATGGTAGATTTGAAGATTCAAATACTAATGCTTTGGGGGGTTTATTACAATCTTCTACTTATCTTGCTGGTTTATCTGGTGGTTCTTGGTTAGTTGGAAGTTTAGTTTTAAATAATTGGATATCAGTTGAAAATATATTAAATGGTTCAGCAGAAATTTGGGATTTAGAAGATTCATTTTTAAATCCAAGTAGTTTAAATTTAGCTGAATTAGGTAAATATTATACTGGTGTTGGTACAGCATTAGTTGCCAAGAATCAAGCTGGATTTGAAACTTCAATTACAGATCTTTGGGGTAGAGCTTTAAGTCATCAATTTTTTAATGATAATAGTGGTGGATCAAATGTAACATGGTCAAGTGTTCGAAATTTAACAACTTTTAAAGATCATAGTATGCCTTATTCATTTTTAGTAGCAAATGGTAAAACAGTTGAACAAGCTACTATAATTGATCAAAATTCAACTTTTATTGTTGAAATTTCACCTTATGAATTAGGAAATTTTGATAGTATTAATGCATTTGCTGATACAGAATATTTAGGTTCAACAATAGAAGATGGGAAAGCTTCACAATGTGTTAGAAATTTTGATAATGCAGGATTTGTAATGGGTACATCTTCATCTTTATTTAATCAAATTTTTACTCATTTAGGTGATTATGATGTAAGTACAATTTTACGTCCAATTTTAGAAATGGCCGTTAGTGATGCAAGTGATGATAAAACAGATGTTGCAATATATCATCCAAATCCATTTTTAGATTTATCAACAGCTCAAATTGATGATATCGTTGATAATAGTACATTATCGTTGGTTGATGGTGGTGAAGATAAACAAAATGTACCATTTTATCCATTAATTCAACAAGATCGTGATGTTGATATTATTTTTGCGTTTGATAATAGTGGAGATACTGAAACTAATTGGCCAAATGGTACATCATTTGTTGAAACTTATAAATGGCAATTTACTGATCAAGGTAAAGGTAAACCATTCCCATTTGTTCCAACTGTTGATACATATTTACAAGATCAATTAGGTGAAAAACCTTTATTTTTTGGATGTAATTCATCAGCATTATCACCAATTATTGATTGGCATGATGAAAATTTAAATGAAACAGATGTTCCATTAGTTGTTTATCTTTCAAATAATCATCAATCTTATTTATCAAATTTTTCTACATTTAAATTAAGTTTTGATAATGCTGAAAAAACAGGTACAATTCAAAATGGTTACGAAGTTATGTCAAGAGGTAATACTACTGAAGATGAAGATTGGATCAAATGTGTCGGATGTGCTATTATAAGAAGACAACAAGAAAGATTAGGTGAAAAACAAAGTGAAGAATGTCTGAAATGTTTTGAAGAATATTGTTGGACAGGTACAATTGAAGAAGGTCCTGAAGTTTCAGCATTCCCTAATAAAAAGTATCATAATTCTACAACTTCATCAACTTCAATTAGTAACTCAACATCATCATCAACATCAACTAATAGGAACTCAACATCATCAACAACATCAACTAACAGAAATTCAACATCAGGTAGAACCACAGTTGATGCTGCATCAATGACAGGCTCTGACACACGAACAATAACAACAAGTCAAACATCAATATCTTCAGCAACTGCCACCTCAATATCTTCAACAACTGCTACAACTACTGCAGGTTCAACATTTTCCGGAATTGGATCTTTTATTTCTTCACCATCTATTTCAATTTTAATTTTAAGTTATATCATTTCTCTTATATAGAATAAAATAATAAAATGTAAAAAGATTTATTGTATATAAATATTAACTACACAATCACTAAACACTAACTTCTCAAACATCCTTATCTTACAAATCTTAATGTTCATCATTAACTAATGCCATAATCATTCTATATAAATAAAAGAAAAACATAACTAAATGAAATCCTAATTTTAAAAAACTTTCTTTTTTATGTTTTGATAAAGTTCTAAAAATTTCAGTAGCATCTAATAAATGATTTTTTGTATAAAATTTATTTAAATTATAAGCAAATAATGGTAAATTCAATAAAAAGCAAAACCAATATCCATTAACTAAAAATAATACAGTTATAAATGCATTTAAACTTGCTTCTGGTATAAACCATGGATTTAATTTATTACATAATTCAATTGGATTAATATAATCACATTCTAAATCTGAATACATTATTGTGAAAAATACTTGTGAAAATAAATTCACTGCATTTACTACAACAGCAAATATAAATAACCTTTGAGGAGTTAGTATTGGATCGTCTTTAAATGTTAAGATATTGAATTTCATTCATACCATGCTTCACCTGTCATATTATTGTTGTCACAAGAGTTTAGGTAAAGAAATAAATCAATTTCATTTTTTTTTTTTTTTGATTTTGTTTTGCTAATTTTTTTCTATACAAACCCAATTAAGATTGTTATCTATATTAAATTTTGAAATATCACCATATTTAATTAAATTATCCCAATGATGACCATTAAACCAAGATCGTAATACTATTATATCATTTTCCAATTGAATTATACCTTGTTTCCAATTTCCTAATTGAATTAATTTACCTAATCCTGTTTTTAATTCATAAGTTGAAAACTCAACACTTTCAGTGGTGCTTTCTCTAACTTCTTTTTTAGGACTGTGTTTTGATGGATCCAATGATCTCCATATTTCAATATATGGCAGAATTACTCCTTTGCCGTTTTTCATTTTTCCAATTTCTTTACGATCTAATCCATATTCACTAAATTCACCAATATCATCATCTATTTCAATTTTACCTGTCTTGAACGAGTCTTTTAAACTTTGAGAATTAATTATACTTTCAAATTTGATTTTATTCTCCGTCAAAGGCACTTCTTTTCCAGCTAAACATAGTTCAAAAACTTGGTCAAATGGTAAATTATTATTAATACAAGGATAATATTGTTTAAAAATTCGTATATCTACATAATGATTACCAGGAGTAGTTAAAACCAAAACATCGGCATCTTCTTTTACTGGTTCAGGAGGCCATTGAATACTAATTCTTTTAGAAAGTACCATTTATTTCAAATTAGAGTGAACTATTGATTAGCTATAAATTTTTCATGTGCGGATCTTTTATCAAAATTTGAAATTTTTAAACCATCTAATTTTTTTAAATTTTGAAAATATAACATTGTTAAATTTCTATAATTTAAAATTTCATTAGAAATAAAGTTGTTATTTCTTTCTTGCCATTCTCCATTACTTAATTCTTTTAAATTTATTTCAAAAGTTTCTAAATCTTCAATATTTTTTAATTGTTGTATTGGAGTTTCATCTGGGAAAAAAACATATGGATAAGCAAAAGTGAAAGGATTTAATCTTTGATCTAGCACCACTAATGAATTTTTTGATGATTTTAGACAATTCATTGTTTCATAAAAGTCTGATAAGTCATTACTAACTAATGATAAATAATATAATTTTTTTAATCCACTTAAAGGTTTTAAACTTTTGAAATGATTAAAATTTAAATTGAGATACTGTAGATTAAAAAATTGAGTTGCAAAATCTTTAGGTAGTGTTTTGAAAGTTCCTGCATTCATTGTTAAATGAGTAATATTATCATTTTTAGGAATAAATGAACAACCAGATATATTTAAAACTTTTAAATTTAAACAACCACTAAAATCAATTTCATTAGGTTGAAATTTACATGATATTTTCTCAATTCCATTACCTCTTTTAGTTAAGAATTGTTCAACTAGATTATTATCAAATTTTAAACATCTTAAATTTTTTAAACCTCTAACATCCAACAATTTCAAAAAATTATGATTTATTTGTAATTTTGTAATAAATCCGCTAAGCTGAAATACTTCTAAACTATTATAATCACAATTTAAAACTCTTAATTTAGTTAAATGATTTATATTTTTAATTTCCACGATACGATTATTTGAAACATTCAAATTTCGTAATTCATTAAATTCATAATCAGCTAAATCAATAACTTCCAATTGATTTCCACATAAACTCAATTCACTCAAGTATTTCAAATTCCTCAATCCATTCAAGCTATTTAAATTATTATTTGATAAATTTAAATAAGTTAATTGAATATTATTTAATAAATTTATATTTGTTAAATAATTATTACTTAATGATAAATTTCTTAATTTTGTAAATTCATTTAAAGTTGATCTATTTTCAATTTTATTATTTGATAAATTTAATTTTATTACATTGGGGATACCTGATAAATAAATTAATTCATTATTAGAAGCATCTAAATCTTTTAATGATGGTAAACATTTACTTAATCCATTTAATGTTTTTAATTGTTTATTTGATACATCTATTTCTTCAACATTATTCCAATCAATAACACTTAACTCTTCTAATACATCAGTTAATACAGATATTAATTCCTTTTTTGATTCTGAAAATGAAATATCTTGAATTTGTGATATTGCAGTTATATCACCAACATTTTTATGAAATGAAACTTCTTTTTTTTTGGGTTGTTCTTCCTCTAAATCTGATAATCCATCAAGAGTATAATTTTCATCTTGATTAATCCATCTAAAATTTTCTTCATCATATATCATATTACCATGTTTTTCCAAAATTTCAAGGTTAGGTTGAATTTCACCATTTATAATCGGTGATTCATATTCTTTTCTTAATTTTGATGGAGATTTTAATTTAATTTGTGTGATTGTATTATTTATTGATAAATCTTGAATTTCTTCTTCTTCTTCTTCTTCTTCTGTACTTTCATGTGTATAACTTGAATCATTATCATCAAAAGTTAGCTCTTTCAACTCATCAATTTGAATTTCTGAACTTTTTTCATCACTTTGCTCCTCACTCTTTTCTTCACTTTCTTCAGATTTTGAAATCATTGTATATTCATTTGATTTTTGAATTTGAATTTCACTTTTTTCATCTGAACTATATCCAGTAGTATATGATGCATATTCAATTTCTTCTTGTGGTTGTTCTGTATCAACTTTTCTTTTTGGTGTTGAAGTAGCAGTATCTTGTGAAACAACTCTAACATCTCCTGATTTAAATTTTCTTTCTAAATTTTTAAAAATATTATTTGCATTTGTCATATAAGATTTTCCATTATATGAACCTGTCTTGGTAAAAGCTTTTATATTTTCATTTGGTTTATTTAAAATTTGTTGATTTGAATTTAATATTGGTTTCGAATTTATATGAGCTGGTGTATTTTTATTTGATGCTATGTTTTGTAATACATCATTAAATTGTTGTTTTGTATATGTATCATAATTTCCACCAAATATTTTCATTGGTGAAGATGTAGTTGGTTTTGAAAATGGTGAAGAAGTATCAGTAATTTCTTTTGATTCATTAAATAAATGTTGTAAATTTTTAGGAGCTGGACTTTTATATTTATTTTGCCAAGGTAGATTTTCTTTTAATTGAATATCTGAATTATGTACAATTGTGTTTATTGTTGTTGGTTCATTTGTTTTTTGAGAATTTATTTCTTTTGGTTTTTCAATATTAAAAGATTGTGGCCAATTTTCATTTAATTCTTCTGGCATCCAATTAGGAGTTTTATTTTGATGATTGCTATTGTTGTTGTTTTGATGATGTTGATCAGAATTATTTGTATGATCATCATTTATAAAAGTTGAACCTAATTCTTTTGATTTTGCATTTGGATGAGATTTATGATGAAAAGTATTTGGTACAGATAATGAAGGATTTGATAATTCATTACTATTGTTATGATTATTTGTTATATGATCTTCAATAATTGAACTTTTATTTCCTGAAAAGTTATAATTTTGTTTATATTCTATTTTTTTTTGATATATTGATTGTTGTCTTGGTGCTAAAAATGAAGTTTGTTTCATTATTTTAGATTTTTGTTTTGGTAATTGTGTTGAAAAAATGGGTGGTTTCTGTTCATTTTCGTTGTTGATGGATAAATTTATCTTATTGTCCCCATCTTTGTTATAATCATCAACAACTACCTTCAGTTGTAACATGTTGTCATCAATGTGGTTGTAAAAATAATGAATAATAATTTATTTTGGTTGTCAAATTTTCTTTGTTTACTTTTTGATCTTAAAATAACAAAATTATATAAAAAAGTAACACAAAACGGACACTAATATAAAAATTTATTCTATTAACACAGAAATGAATTTTGTATATGGTAGTTAGTAGTAGATTGGGACAAGAGTTTCAATCAATACTTTAAATTTAGACTACATAACCATTACTATTTTCTAGAGCAAAAAGAAACAAGAACAAAGCACAGAATTTGTTCATTAAATTTCATCAAAAACTGGTCTACAGACATGCGAAGTCTTCACTAAATGTTCTAGTTCTTTTTATTTATCCGTTTCGCCCTATAAGTACAATGTCTTAATTTAACTAAATTGCGGAGTTTAAAATAGTAGGTAGATCAATCTGTAGTTCATAAGAACTGTACATATGAGGCTATAGCCTTGTATATTCAACATATCATTCACAATTAAGCCAACAAGTGTTATATCAATTTAATTTGTCAGCACGATATGAACAAAATGTGTAAATTGATAAGTGAAAAATATGAAAAATGTAAAAAACCCCTATTAAGCCCCTTAATTTTAGATAAAGACTATTTCCATAATGTTAATATTATAATCTACTACTGAATAGCATTTTGCTATATAATTAGACCTGAAAATTCAATCTAAAGACCACTCAGCAAGTCGATCTCTCTCAATTACAAACAAATTGTGAAACCAAATACAATTCATCAAAGATCCACCCAATTGACATTTTTTTTTCCTTGCCACTTGTATTGTATCTATAGCATTGTATAATTCTTCAATAAAGTGTTTCCCCCCCTTAGTTGAAAATTGCGTTATCAAATTTATCAATTTAACATAGAACAAAAGAAAAATAAGTACAATAATAAATTAATATCATATATAATTCCATATTCAATTGGGATTAAGACCATATTTCGTATTTAACTAAAAGATAATGGCATATGCATCTACTAATCTTGGTTCATTTCAAATTGAAAATGAATCTAATTCCAGTGATAAATCAAAAGATTATCAATTTCAATCAATAAATTACGGAACAATTGGATCACAAGATCAACAATCACAATCACAACCACAACCACAACAACAACAATCATCCAATAAATCACAAACAAATTCGATTACATCTTCAAATCCACAAGCAATAAATCCTCATACTGTATCAAATACTGCAAGTCATCAACATAAACAAGAACAAGAATTATTATCCAGTTATACTGTACCTAATCCTCCTATATCTACAAAACAATCAAATGCTATAATAACGGAGCAACAACATCAACAACATCAACAGCATGATAGTTTATCATCAACATCATCAACATCAGATCAACCAAGAACTTTATGGATGGGAGATTTAGATTCATGGTTAGATGAACAACAAATTACAGATTTATGGTGGAATATATTACAAAAAAAAGTTATTGTTAAAATTATAAAACCAAAATCTTTAAAAATTGGATTTCAAGGTTTAACAAATTCTGGTTATTGTTTTGTTGAATTTGAATCATTTGAAGATGCTCAACAAGCTTTAAGTCTTAATGGTCAATTATTACCTGATATTGCAATGCCTTCACAACAACATTTTTTAAATAATCCAGATAATCAAAAGAAATATTTTAGATTAAATTGGGCAAGTGGTGCAACATTAACTGCTCCAATTATTCAAATGCCTGAATTTTCATTATTTGTTGGTGATTTATCAGCTTCAACAACTGAAGCTCATTTATTAGCATTTTTTCAAAAGTCATTTCCAGATTCAATTAAAACTGTAAGAGTTATGACTGATCCAATATCTGGTAAATCAAGATGTTTTGGATTTGTTAGATTTACTGATGAATCAGAAAGACAAAGAGCTTTAACTGAAATGAATGGAATTTGGTTTGCTGGTAGACCATTAAGAGTTGCTTTAGCAACACCAAGAAATACAAATAATCGAAGATATAATCAACAATCACAACCATCATTACAACAACAACAACAACAACTTCATCATCTGCCATTTATACAGCATCCAAATGAATTTCAAGATTCTAATACATTACCTCCAGAAATGATGTTTTTACCTCCACAAGGAAGTCCACTTTATGGTTTTTATAATCAACTCAATAGTGCTGGTTCACCAAGAGATATTGATACAAATTATCTAGACACTCCTCAACAACATCAAAATTTTCCAAGATCATTACAATTAGGTATACCTCCTCATCAACAACAACCCAATCAAATTTCTCCTCAGCAGCAACAACAACAACAACAGCAGCAGCCGCCGCCTCAGATACCACTTCATTATCAAAATCAACCACCACCTCAACAACATCCACAACAATTTGCAGATCCTAATAACACAACTGTATTTGTTGGTGGATTATCATCAGAAGTTACAGAAGCTACATTATTTACATTATTTAAACCTTTTGGTATAATACAACAAATTAAAATACCACCAGGTAAAAATTGTGGATTTGTTAAATATTCAACAAGAGAAGAAGCAGAAGAAACGATAGCAGCAATGCAAGGTTTTATAATTGGTGGTAATAGGGTAAGATTAAGTTGGGGTAGAGTATCAATGAATAATAAAAGATTTTTACATCAACAACAACCACCACCACATCAAACACCTCATTTACAACAACTTCATCAATCATATCATCAATTACCTCCACAAGTTCTAGCGGCACCTGGTGGTCCTCAATTAAATATCCCACCTCCTCCAATACATCCTTTAGGAGTACCAATTCATCTGTTTCAATATCAACCTTTTCAAAATCATTTACCACAACATCAACATCTACAACAACAACAACCTCCAAATATACAACAAGAACAATTTGACCCAGATGAACCTGATCCTTTACTAATATCATCATCAGATGAAGAAGAAGAAATTCCAGAAGATTCTGCTAAACCTCCAATTGATACTGGTAGTGAATCATCTTTTGAAAATTCTGGAGTATAGTAAAATGTATAGTATAGGTCAATCTATAAAATTTACAACAAAAATTTTAATCTACTCTTTTGCCACTCTACAAATATTTCAAATCCAGATAATAAAATTATATTATATTCTTTATAAAACTACTTAAAAAAAACCACCATAGAAGAAATGAAAGATATCGTCAATAGCAAAAAATTACTCCTCAAGCTCTAAGTTCTTTCACCTCTTAATCTTCTAGCTAATTGAATATCTTTCTTTTGAATAGTAACTCTTTTAGCATGAATAGCACATAAATTAGTATCTTCAAATAATCCAACTAAATAAGCTTCAACAGCTTCTTGTAATGCACCAATAGCTGATGATTGAAATCTTAAATCAGATTTAAAATCTTGAGCAATTTCTCTAACTAATCTTTGAAATGGTAATTTTCTAATTAATAATTCTGTTGATTTTTGAAATCTTCTAATTTCTCTTAATGCAACAGTACCTGGTTTATATCTATGAGGTTTTTTAACACCTCCTGATACTGGTGCTGATTTTCTTGCTGCTTTTGAAGCTAATTGTTTTCTTGGTGCTTTACCACCAGTTGATTTTCTGGCTGTTTGTTTTGTTCTGGCCATGTTTTATTGTTGTTGTTGATTGAATATGTGTTGTAAAAGAAAAAGTTGTATGAAAAGGGGCGATAATATCAAAAAATTTGATAAAGATAAAGGGAGAAAAAAATTAAGGAAATTGAATTCAACCAATACTGGGAGACTTGTGTGTGCGGGATATTCTAATTTTTTTGCTGTTCACTAATAGACTATCATTTCTTTTTTTCCTCTCAATTAAAGAGCTAAAGTTAAACATGTTACTAATAAAATTCAATCCTTCAATGTATGATCGAAATAAATATTTTTTCTGTTGACTTAAATTTTAAGGAGAGACGAGAATTCATTGTGTAAGAAAATTAAAAATGGTCAATATCATGTTTGTGTAATTTATCACGTGATGCAGTAAAGTAGTGTACTCTTACCAAATGTCAAACACTATCAGAATCATTAAAGCAGTTATTACAATTAAAACGAATTTGGGCAGAGTTCCATCAATTCTACAATATTTAAAGTCTTACTTTTCACTAAAGAAAGTGCTCCTTCAATTAACTTCTATACCATAATCTAGTTATTCTTGTTTGCATCATTTTTTTTTGTAATTGAAAAACACCATACATTAGAGCTTCAGCAGTTGGAGGACAACCAGGTACATAAATATCAACAGGAACAATTCTATCACAACCTCTTAATACTGAATATGAATAATGATAATATCCACCACCATTTGCACATGATCCCATAGATATAACCCATTTTGGATCTGGCATTTGATCATAAACTTGTCTCAATGCAGGAGCCATTTTATTTGTAACAGTACCTGCAACAATCATAATATCTGATTGACGAGGTGAAGCTCTAAAAATAATACCTAATCTATCTTGATCATATCTTGGTGCTGATACATGCATCATTTCAACTGCACAACATGCTAATCCAAAAGTAACTGGCCAAAATGATGATTTTCTTGCCCAATTGGCTATAGTATCTAATGAAGTTAATGCATAATCTATCGGACTTGATGCTGTTTTTTCTGACATTAATGGGAAATCTGTTGGTAATTTTTGTGGAGTTAATTCTTTTGATGAAACATTACGTTTTGATGTATATATTTGAGTTGATGAAGGTATTATTGAAGTTGATATGATTGGCCTTATTTGTTTGATTTGATTAAAAGTTGATTTTTTAGTTAATGAATACATTGTTGTGTTGTGAATAAATAATTATGAATAAATGTGAAATGCAAAATGATTATGGAACGATCAAATGATATGTGTGATATGTAAAACTCTATTATTCCCAGTCTGTAAGTAGTCGATGGATTTGGATGTGGTTAGATGTGTTTGATCTGATTTGTTTACTTGATAACTACTGGATATGCTATTGTAAAGATATTAATTCTAAACAACTAAAAAAAAATTTATTACATTTGTTAAGCAAGAAAAAAGTATTAATGATTGGATAAATTTATATGTACCGCTAGTGTCCAGTCAGGAAATAATATTTTACGACATGAAATTTTTTGAATTATGACATCTACTTATATATGTATGCACAGCTTGTTGGGTGTTTTTGAGTAGGTGTTCTATATTAATAGGCAAAATAAGACCGTCTTCAGCTCTTAGCTGGTTACTTTTAATCGATGCAGGTTGAGTAATACTCTTTATATTTTTTTATGGTCACCTCGTTTTCAGTAAATTTTTACCAATGTTGACAAGATGTTCATTTAACCCAACATAAACACTTTCTGATCATTCATATACCATCATTTTCTTGATTAATCAATAATACCATCCAAATATTGTTCAATTTTTTTCATCATATTATCTCTAATATCTTGAGGTACTATTTCTTCAGCTTTAGGTCTAACAAAAGCATATAAATCACTAATATTTTTCACTTCTTCTTGATTTCCACTACTATTTAAATGATTGTTTGTAATTTGAGCTACTTTATCATACCATCCACTTTCATATAATTGTAATTTTAATTGTTTATTTATTAGTTCGTATTCTCCTGATGCTATTAAATGATCTTGTATTTTGGATTTGATTTGATTAAGTTCATCCTGTTGTTTTAGGCTATCACTATCATTTTGTTGCTTTGTCATTATGGTCGTGTTTGGGGGTTTCAATGAAGAAGATATTGTCTTGATCTTTGTTGTATTCTCAAAACTTTGTGGTTAAGAGAAAAGCCGCACTGCATTCTGATTTTATGATTTGCAGCAGTTTCAGTTTTGAAAAAGCAATATCAATCCGAACTTCTTAAATTATTCATTCTATGCTAAGAAGAAACTCACAATCTTTATTTAAACAAATTCTACGTACAATGTCAACAAAAGGATCACCATTTGATGCAAAAGTAACTTCAATTGAACCATTAAAACAAGGAAAATGGATTCAAACAAAATTAATAAATTATGATGATCCAACTGGTAAACATAGAGAATGGGAAATGGCAGTTAGAACTACAAGATCAGATACTACAAATGTTGATGCTGTATCAATAGTTTCAATTTTAAATCACCCCAACAAGTCAAAAGAAATAGTATTAGTTAAACAATTTAGACCACCTTGTGAACAAGTAGTTATAGAATTGCCAGCTGGATTAGTTGATCCAAAAGAATCAATAGAAACTACAGCAACAAGAGAATTATTAGAAGAAACAGGATATCATGGAACTTTTAAAAAACAATCAGTTATAACATTTAGTGATCCAGGTTTAACAAATGCAAATATGGTATTAGCTTATGTTGATGTTGACTTGCAAAATCCTAAAAATTCAAATCCAAAAGCTAAATTAGAAGATAGTGAATTTATTATAACTTTTAGTTTACCTTTGGATAATTTATTAAATGAAATTGAAAAAATTTGTAAAGAAGAAAAATGTACTGTTGATGCAAGATTATATCATTTTGCAATGGGGTTGAAATTAGCTGAAGAGTATAAATTGTAAATAGATAGATGATTTGAATAGACGACTTAAATTAATGACAGATTTAAAAAAATTCTCTTTGTTTCGCAATAGACAAGTTTTAAAAAAGAACCCTAGGTAGTGAAAGGTGGATCTGACTTGTTCATATACTGGTAATTGTAAATGCAGATATCTTAGTCATGCCGGTGGTCTCCCAACAATTTCTGATGAATGTAGTAATTAAGAGTGTGATAAATATCCGAAAGTGTCACAAATTTATTATCAACAGAAAAGTTGGAGTAAATTTAGAATATTATTTCCCATAATTAATAAAGGGTTCTTTTTTTACAACACATTATAATGTCAACTTCATCAGATACATCAATATCAACATTATGTTGTTTTTGTTTAGGTGATGATACAGAGATTCCATCATTTGGTACTTTAAAGGATGCAAAAGATATGTTAAAACCATGTACAACATGTTCATTAATTTGTCATAGAAAATGTTTATTAGATTGGTTTAATTCAATACCAAGTGATCAATTACATATAATTCATGCAAATAAAGCAATAAATTTAAATTCAATATCAAGAAATAATCATGATCATATTGGAGATATTGGAATTGGTTCTCCACCAAATAATAATCAAACTACTAATATAAGAATTAATTTATCTACTCAAGCTTTAGAAAGTTGGTTTAATGGAATAACGAGGCCAAATACTAATGAAGAAAATCATGATCGACCTAGTAGTGAAGACGGGACTGAAAATGAAGAAAGCCCTTCAAATGAGGGCCCATCCTCGCCAGAAAATCCACATCAGCATCACCACCACCAAAATTATCAACCTCAATCATCTAAATCATCTTCAGTCTACATCTTCGCCCCATGTCCACAATGTAAAAAAGATATAATTTTCAGAATGAAAAGATCATTATTATTATCACTGAGTTCACATTTTAAATCATTTATTTCAAAATTAATAAAATATGGTGGAATATTTTTAGGTATTACATCAGCAATTACAGGAATTTTATCAATGGGATATATAGGATTAACAACGACTGGTTTAAAAATGATGGAAAATATAATACCATCAACTTTATTAGTTAGAATGTTAACAAAAAAAAGATTAATTACAAATACTTCTTATTCATCATTATCTAAAATTTTATTTGGTAATTCATCAAATTATGCAGTTGATAATTTAGAACAAGCATTAATTCAAGGATTAATTGATCCTTTAAAATTTTCAAGAATTCCTGTATTACCAATAGTAATGTATAGATTAAGATCATCATCTATAATAAAATTAATATTTGGTATAAAAAATGATGAATTTTTAAGTTCTTTAATTACTGAATTTATGATTTCTGGTTATATTTCATCAATTGCTGATCATTCATTAATAAGATTAATTTATAAAAATTTAAGATCCAATTTGCAGAGGGGATTAATTTTTTCAAATCCATTAAATGGGATAAATTTTTTAACTAATAATAATATAGTATCATTAATTATACCATTACGTTGGTCATATGATTTAATTTATAGATTAACTTTTAATAGAGCTTATTTCAATTTAACTATGAAATCAAGACCAAGAGCAATAGCTAATAGTTTAAATAATGGTGATGAAATTGATGAATTAGAAGATTTAAATTGTCAATTAAATGGATATAAACAATCATATCAAAGAATATATCAAAAAATAGAAATCAAAATAAATAATTCAAAATCATTGAATAATATTCCATTAATCTCCAACTTAATAAAATACATTTATAAAAATATCTTATATTTTAAAACAATTTCACAAAAAAATTTTATAAATTATATTTCATTAATTATAAAAATAAATTTTAAATATACAATAGCATGTTTAAAATTTGATTATTCAAATATTTTAATAAATCAAAATACAATTTTTAAATGTTTAACAACTATATTATGGCCATATTTTGCATCAAAATTAGGTAATTTATTTATATTACCTTTACTCAACAAGAATTCAATATTGAGTAACTTGGTCTTGGAGAAAAAACTCTTAATTTCAAATATACTAGGATTAGTTTTTGTATGTATCATAAAAGAAATTATAAATTTATATTTATCAAATAAAAAAGTAAAACAAATTTTAAATATTGAAACAATAGATTTAAAAGAAAATTCAATATTAAATAATTTTGCTAAAAAAATTTTAAATTTAAGAAGTACTCAAGATGAAGAAGATTTATTGAATTATATTAATGATGAAATTTCAACTGATGAATTTGAAAGTTTTTTACAACAAAATCAAGATGAAAATAATTTTATTGATATACCTGGTAATTATCCAAGTTAAATAATATCAAGTGTATCATGTTTAATTAAGAACAAAACGAAAAAAAAAATCGAGTAATAATGTATAGATTAAAACAAAGTTAAATTAAGTAAAAAGTTGTGAATAAGTATACAGTACAGTTACGAATTTTTCTCTTATAGGAGCGTCTTTTATATTTGGGGGTCGTTTGATCAACTTAATCATCATCATAATTTTCATCTTCTTCAACTTTCCTCATTGGAGGTTCTATTTTCTCATCAGCATTCTTTGTTGGTGGTTCTTCTTCATCATCTTCAGGATTATCATCTTTTGGATCTTCTAATTTCTTTGGAGGTTCTTCATTAGTGTTGTTGTTATTATTATTATTATTTTGTGGTTGTTCTTGCTGTTTATCGTGTTTCTCTATTTCATCTTTTTTTTCTGTATTTTCCTTTGTTTCATTATTTTCCTTCACATCATTGGATTTCCCTTCTTCTTGATGATGATGATGATGGTGCTGAGGTTGAGATTGATCTTTTTCCAGTTGTTGTTCAGGCTTTTTTCCATTCTCATTATTTTGATTTTTAGCTTCAGAAGGTATAGCTGCTGATTCAGTATCATCTGGTTCATCTGTAGATTTTGCTTCTTTTTCAGTCACATTTGTAGAATATTGAGGAACAGGTGGAACATCTGCCGATGCAGGAGTTCCAGGATTTGGTTGAACTATTGGTGTTGAAGAATCAGTAGTTTGACTATAATCAGGTTTAGATGAGATTTTTAATTCAGATTGAATTGGTTTAGGTATTTTTTCTTCCTCTGTTACTTTACCTGATTCAATATTTGTTGAAGTAGCTGGTGTTGATGCACTATTTTGTTTCTTTAAAATTTTCCCTTCATCAAGTTTATTTTCTAAATCATGTTTACCATTATTCTCCGTTATTGATGGAGTAACTTCTGGTGCAGGAGTAGCAGTATTTGATGGTTTCAATGATTCTTCTTGCCTCAACGGTGGTTGTGGTTTTTGTTGTTGTGGTTCGGGTTTATGTTGTTCTTGAACAGTATGAGCCGGTGGTTGTAATGGTGTTGGTGCAGGTGGTTCTTGACTTGATTTATGACTAGATGTTGGAGCTGGGGAATCCTTCTTCGAATCTTGATGATGAGATTTAGGTTTACGACCTGGTTTACCTTTGGTGTGAGTTATTGCTGGCAAAGCTGGACTTTGTTGTTGCTGTTGTTGTGGTTGTGGTTGGGGCTGATTAGGTTGTGCTAATTGAGTTTGGTGTTGTTGAGGAGGTTGAGGTTGTTGTTGTTGGTGTTGAGGAGGAAGTTGTTGAAGTTGTACTTGAGGAGGTAATGGTTGTTGAGAATGCGCTGGTAAACTGCTATTTGAACCTTGATATTGAGCCAAACCTGCCGCTATTCCAGGTTGTTGTTGTTGAGATTGATGATGTTGGGGTTGTTGTTGATGTTGATTAGGACGCGGTGGTGCTGGTAATTGAGAATTTTGTGCTTGATGTGCCATTAATTGAGGTGGCGCTGGTGGAGGTTGATTAGAATTTAATTGACCCAACATATGTTGAGGTGGCTGTTGTTGTTGTTGTTGTTGTTGTTGTTGCTGTTGATGAGGTGGTAATTGTTGTGGTTGTTGGTGTGGAACCGGAGGTTGTTGTTGTTGCTGCTGTTGTTGTTGTTGATCTTGTTGACTACTCTCCAAAACCATACCTTGTGGTAATCTAGGTTGTTGAATAGCTGGGGGAGGTTGAGGTGGATGAGTATTACCTTCTTGTTGATATTTTATTAATTGATCTAATCTTGCTTTTATATGAGGATTACCAGGATCTAATCTTTCAGCTTGTCTATAAGCATCTAATGCATCACTTATTTGATTATTACAAGTTTCATATAATGTACCTAAATCATACCATACTTCACTAATATAAGGATTTAATCTTATTGCTCTTGTATAAGCATCTAAAGCATCACGATATTGACTAATTTGATAATATAATACACCAATTGAACACCAGAATGTTGGATTTCTTGAATCTCTATTAACAGCTTGTTGAAAAGCTTCATATGCAGCATTAAAATCACCTCTAATCATATGAACTCTACCTAAATAATACCAAGAATGAGCATCACTTTGATCAATTTCTAAAGATTGTGTTAAATATTTTAAAGCAATTTTTAAATCTTGTTGGAAAGGTAATTCACTGTTACCACCCCCATTACTATTAGCTCTTGGAGTTGGAGGATTCATTTCAGCTTGAGAATATAAACAACCTAATTGTTGTAAAACTTTTGCATGTTGAGGATTTACTTGTAAAACTTTTTCATAAGCAGTTTTTGCACCACTCCAATCTTTTTGTTGTTCCAAAACAGAACCAATTTGAAACCAAACATCAGGTTGAGTTAATGGATGAGGAGGATTATTTAAAATATATTGAAAACATTCTAATGCAGGTTGTAATTTACCTTGATGTTTATAAATTATACCTAATCTAAAATAAATTTCATTTGATTTATCAAAATTTGGATCTAATTCTAAAACTCTTACAAAAGCTTCTTCTGCATATTCTAATGAACCATATCTATCATATAATATTCCAATACCATGCCATAATTTAGGAACATTTGGATTTTCTAAATAATATAAAGCTCTTTGATAAGCAGCATAAGCTCTTTGTAAATCATCCAACATTAAATAACAATGACCTAATAAACCCCAAGTTTCACCATTTTCAGGATTAAAATTTAAAGCTTGTTCATATAATTCAGCAGCTTTGAAAAAAATATCTTTTGATCTATAAACATTTGCTAATTTAATTAAAACATCTGGATTATTTGGTAAATGTCTTAAAGCTGAATCATAAGATGATAAAGCACGATCAGCATCTCCTAAACTTTCTGCTAATGAACCTATTGCTAACCAAGTTGAAGCAGTTGTTTCACTTAAAGCATTTGCAGCAGGATTATTTGTAATTTGAGTTTGAGGTTGAGCTTGAGTTTGTTGAGCTGCTTGAGCTGCTTGCGCTTGAGCCGCAGCGACTATTATACCTGGTCCAGTAGGTTGTGCTTGTGCTTGAGGTGGTTGTTGATTAGACTGCTGTTGTTGTGGTTGTTGAGTTGGTGGTAATGGACCTAAAGATTGTTGTTGTTGATTATTTGATTGTTGTTGAGTTGGTGGTGGTGGTTGTAAAGTTGTTGTAACATTTTGATTAGATTGATTATGTAAACTTCCACCATTTAAAATAGGTGGAGGTTGTTTATTACCAACTGCTATCAGTTGAGATGGATTATACATGGGAGTTTATAATACAAAGTTTTTCAAAATTTTAATGGTTGTAAATAAAATTTATATAATTGTTTGTTTGGATGTTACTAAGATTCAATATGAAATTAATCAATGAATCAATCAAAATTTTTGTTTATAATCGTAGTATAATAAATGATTGTGAGATTGTGTATAACATATATATATACGTATATGATGTCTCTCTATAAGTTCTTGATACTGGTTGATTGTTTGTATATGTAATCAAAGTGAATAAATATATTAAGGAATTAATTGGTTGTCTTTTTTAAACGGTGAACATTTTTCTTTTTTTTTTTTTTTTTTTTTTTTTTTTTTTTTTTTTTTTTTTTTTTTTTTTTTTNTTTAAGGAATTAATTGGTTTTTTTTTTTAAACGGTGAACATTTTTTTTTTTTTTTTTTTTTTTTTTTTCTCTGTTTTATTTTTATTTTTATTTTTTATTTTATTATTATAATTTTATTCTATTGTCTTACGTTGAGTCTTTTTTACTCCCTTTGTGTATATGACTTAACTTCCACTTAAGTCCTAAAATAAAGTCTAAAAAGAATTGTGCCACCGAGTTCTGTCATGCATCATCAACAACTTATACACACCGTACTTTGAATCAATCGATCAGAGTTTCAAACTACATCGGTGTATAGAGATGAATAATGAGATCATAACATATCTCTGAAACTAGAAAAAACAAGAGATTTTGATCAATTAGATATGTTCAATCAGATCTTGTAAATCACTTTCTTGAAATATAGGGTGTTGTTTCAATAATAGGTGTAATTATTTATTAGATTTAGATTTTTAATCTTGAAATGCTGGTTATAAAATCTTGTTTTTTATTTACTTAGTTTCTCGCTCTCGCTCTCTCTTTATTTAATCTCGTAAATTAAATTTGATTGACCTTAGTAAATTAAAGCGTAAATTATGATTGGTGTGGGCTACCAATATCTGATTATCTTTTTGTTAATAGTCCCTAATTATATGCAGGTACTATCATTTTAGTATTTCTATTAACAAACCTACTCATACATACATATAAGAAAATATAAAAAATGACTTAGATAATAGTATATCACATATATAACTTCAATTTTATCAATTTTCAATTTTTTAATCTTTATTATGGGCTGATTAGATTTTAGTAATCCAGTGATATACTTGAAATGAGTTTTGATTATCCAATTTGACTCATATTGCCAAAGGGCCATTTTTATCTTGGTCTTGAATATTAGCGTCTTATAGTATAATTCCCTTTTGAATGCAAGATGGGTGTGAAAAATTCCTCTCTAGTAACAGAAATACAAACAAACCATTGTTGTTAATTGATTCTGATCTGATATTTCTTCTTTTCTCATACATTTTGGATTTTTTAACAATAAAACGCCCATCACCTGTTACTAATAAAATTATTTCATATTCCTTAAAAATAGGATCCTAGTATCTTCTATTTACCCAATGATTGAGATGCATTCAATTGTTGTAATGGCTTGTGAATTAAAATTCAGATCAAGTATATTCAGTTCGGCCCCTATCAAAATTTTTTTTTTGGAATTTCAGGGATGTGATGATTCAGGACTAATTTTTATTTAAAAGCTAGTAAGAGGTTGCAACTTTTTCCTCGTCTTTTTCTTAACAAAATAACATCCGTGTCATCAAATCCCAATAAAATTACAAAAAAAAAAATTCCACTATGGCCCGAATTGAAGAGTAGATCAGAATGAATGGATTCTGGTCGACCTTTTCAGTTAAATTTGGATCAGCAAAATTTAGAAAAATAACAGCAGTCATGTTTTTTATCAAATTCATCTCTCAAGCACTCCACTTTCAACTCTAAAAGACGTAGAGTCTATCCAACCTCCGTTACAAAATAATCTTGTTTTTGTCTATTTATCTCTGAAGCGCATCTATATCAATTAGTATGATGGCACGTTGATGATGTGAAAACCAATGTAAAAACTTACTCCTAATCGTATGACAATTCTTATCCAACCGTTAAACTTTCCTCTTGATCCAGATCGATTTTCAACTCGTCAAGATACGAAATGGGCCAGTTTAATTCTCCAAGCAGGTTTATCAAGGCACTTTAAACTTTACCCAGCATAAGTTGCTTTGACGTCATATCGTTGCTTTTGATCGATTATTATTGAGTAACAAGGGCCAACAAATCTTTATCGTTCATTTTGTTGTATTTGTTGTTGCAAATCATAAGTTCGATTGTTAAAAAAAGAGGGATAAATTTACAAATTGTTTTTCGAACGAATACTAGCCTAAATCCAATAGTGGTAGTAAGTAAATTCAATTATATATTAATACATGAAAAAAATGTTTACTATTAAGTATTCTACGAACAAGAATTCAATGAAACCCAAATCGATTTGATACCATTAAAATCACGAATTTGAACATTCCTCACTTATAAATGCAGTTTCTTTCCCTTTTGATCTCTAAATGAACTATTAAAACCCAATAAACTATTTAAATCTTTTGCCCATTGATTTTCATTATTTGCAACACACCATATACCATTTTGATCATTATATTCAATATTATTAATATATGTTCCTTTATTATTTTTTAATTTTTCAATAAATGATTTTTGTTGTTTAATTTTTTCATTTGCTAAAATTATGGTTTCTGATTTTATATGTAATTCATCACCTGGATGTAAATCATCTTGACTTATTCCATCAATTGTTAATTCAATAAAATTATTTCTATTATTTTTTGATAATTTTATCATTATATCTGATGTACTTGGTAATATTAAAGGTCTAAAACTTAAAGATCTTGGACAAATGGGAGTTAATAATATACATGGAACTGAAGGATGAGTTATTGATCCACCTGCTGATAATGAATATGCAGTTGATCCTGTGGGAGTTGAAAAAATTACACCATCTGCGTATGTAGTTGTAAAGAATTCACCATCAATATAAATATCTAATGAAGTTAAATTTGGAGAACTACCTCTATGAATCGTTACATCATTCATTGCATGTATCATTTCTCTTTTTTCTGGAGTGTTGTTGTGATTTTGTTTCTGTTCATCAAGATGTCTATCTCCTCCATTTTCATCATCATTTCTTATAACATGACATTCTAATCTATTTCTATGTAATGCTAAAGCTTTATTTTCATATACAGATTTAAAACATTCCATATTATTTTGAAAATCAAAAGGTAATAAAAACCCCAAGGTACCCATTGCAAAAGATAATACAGGAGGAACTTTAACATTTGAAAATAATGAAACACCACGTAAAATTGTACCATCACCACCTAATGTAATCATTAAATCAACTTTATTTATAATTTCTTTATTTTTACCAGTATATATAATATGATCAATCAGTTTATCTAATATTTGATTTAATGTAGTTTTTTCATTATTTAATTCATCTGCAACATCTTCTGTAACTAATACTTTAATTTGAGGATAATTTAAATGTAAATGATTTATTAATTCAATCATTGCTTCTCTTACTGTTGAATCCCATGGTTTTTTTATCATTAAAACATTTATTAATGGTTGATTATATTTTATATTATATAATTTTGAAGTTGGTGATTTTTCATAATTTGGTAAATTTGAATTTGTTAATTGATTACATGATTTTATTGTTAAAAGATTTTGCCGTATTTCTGACATTGTTGTAAAATTATGTTTTAAATGAAACTTTTTTAGTAGATAATTAGTTGATCTGAACATAAATTTGTAGTAAAATTGTATCCTAGCATTCAATCTTTATTAGTAAATGCAATATAACTATTTACAGTAGACTAAATCAAATATTTTTGTGGAGAGATTTCTACATTATACGAATTAAATTTCTTTTATGATAAAGACAACAATAGAAAATTCTACAACAAATTTCTTTCTTTCTAACTTACTTTTTGTAAATCTATAATAATACAATATATATTTATACACCTTCATTCAATTCCTTTATTTCTTTCAATTCTTCTTCTGTTAATTTTGGATCTTCTTCAATTGTTGCATCTTCCATTTCAACTTCTGTTATATTTTTTTCACCTTTATCTTTATCATCTTCTTCAAAAAATTCATTTTCAGGTTGAATTTGAGAATCTCTTTGTAATTCAGAACCTCCTTTTGTATCTATTGCTTCTGGTAAATCTTCTTCTATATCTCCTAAATCTTCAGGATCATTTGGTACAACATTCATTTGAACTGATGGTGCATGTTTTGTATTTTCTAAATTTGATATTATATTTGTTAAAATTTTATCTAAAAATTCAGGAGAATTTTGATTATACATATTTGATGGTCTAACATCTAATGTATAATTTGGAGCATAATATTCATAATATTCATTATATGGTAATTCTGTTGGTAATTTAACATTATTTAATAATCCTGATTCATAAGCCCAAGTTCTTGCAACATTTCTCATTGTATATCCACCACCTCCTAAAACCATTAATGGAATATTAAAAGATTTAACAAAATTTATACAATTTGCATGACCTTCCATTGATAAATTAAAACATCCTAATCTATCACCACTTAATGAATCTCCTCCACATTGTAATACAATAGCTGATGGCTGATACCATTCGACTATTTTACTAATTAATGGTTCAAAAATTGATTTATATGTAGAATCATCAATACCATCTCTTAATGGAACATTAACTGCATGATATTTCCCTTTGCCTAAACCAATATCTCTTAATTCTCCAGTTCCAGGAAAAAATTCACCATATTTATGAAATGAACAAGTCATTACTCGATCTGTAGTATAAAATGCTTCTTCAACACCATCTCCATGATGTACATCAATATCAATATATAATACTCTTGGATGATATCTTAATAATTCTATTATTCCTAAAACTATATCATTTAAATAACAAAATCCAGAAGCTTCTGATTTTTTAGCATGATGTAAACCACCTGCATAATTTATTGCAATATCACATTTACCTCTATTTAATCTTGCTGCACCTTCCATTGATCCACCACCACTTATTCCACAATATTCAAATAATCCATCAAATACAGGACAATCATCACCTACATTAAATTTAACACTTTCTTTATTAAACATATCTAAATTATCTGGTGATACTCGACTTATAAAATCAATATATTCATCTGTATGAAATTGACACATTTCTTGTTTAGTTGCAGGTTTAGCTCGATATATTTCCATTTTTTTATATAATCCATAATTCATAATTAATGAATGTGCCATTCTTATTCGATGAGGTTTCATTGGATGTCCTGCTCCATAAGCATAATTTCCTATATCTGCATCATAAAAATACGCTATTCTTTTTTTCTGATTTGGATCTACTTTTAATTCGTCAAACGGAAGTTGAACATACATTTGGTGGTTGTTTTTGGGTTTTTGGTCTGGTTGGTGATTTTATTTTCGTGAAATGTAAACTGACGTACTCGAGACTTAAAACCGAGATCACGAAGTGCTACCAAGTTTTTACGAAAGTTGAAACTAATTTTCCACAAACAGCACAATCAGATTTGAATAATCTATGTATTAACTACTTACGTATTCTTATACTCTCTTAAAATAACTGGAACTGAAGAAGGTGGTAAAGCACCCAATTCTGTTATAATTTTATTTATATACTCAGGAGGGGTTAAATCATACATTATATTCAATACGTTTAAAGTTTGAATTTTTCTCCAATTTTGTAAAGGTTCATCATCATCATTATTTTTTTCATCATCTTTTTTACCAATGAATTGTTCTAATGCAAATGATTTCTTTTGTGATTTTTTTAGTATAAGATCTTCTGGATCTGCCAATTCATTATTTGTAACAGAATCTAATTGAACTTTATCTGAAAATTTTATTGATTCACAACATGTTAATACTGGTATATTTCTTGTATGAGACATCATTGCTATCATTGCAGTTCCAACTCTTGCAAAGAGTCTTCCATTTGATAACATTGCATGGGCTCCTAAAAACACACAATCAACATCTTCTAATAATGTTGAGGATAATGAATTCAATAATACATAATGTATACTTATATAATTTGATAATTCATCTCCTAATGCCTTTGATAAATTCTTAATTAATGTCTTACCTTCAAATAAAGGTCTTGAATCAACAATAATTAGTGTGAAATGTTTATTTTGATGTTTTGCACAATATACAAATAATTCTTCCAATACTTGTGAATGTCCATAAGTTAAAATAGTTGAACCATTTGATATATGAGTTGAAGCGCTTTCAACAATTAATTGATCAGATAATTCAATTTTTTCCTTTATGAAATCATCTATTTTCGAACATAATATTTCTTTCGCTTTTTTATCAGATGTATCTATTGATATCAATGAAATTTCTTGTTTTAACCACCTTATAGCATTCCCCATTGATACTGATAAGGGACGACCAGATTTAAGATATTCTATTTGATGTGATAAATGACCTGTTAAATGTCTAGTCAAAGTTGTATTTTCTGGAGTTTTATAATCTTGAATTACTTGTTTAAAAACTTGAAGCATATTTCTCAATCTCGCCACAGATCCAACTACACTATAACTTGAATATTTTAGAGTTAATGATAATATAGCTGGATGTACAATATGTGATATAGTAGGTGATGAAGCATTTCTTTGTTCCCTAGTTTCTAAATGTCCAAATAAATGTGGTATTTTTTTATTTTCTTTTATAACAGTTTGATTCAATTGCTTCTTTAAATGAGTTGCAGTTGTTTGTTTTTGTTTTTTCTTTTCAATCTTTTGTTCTGCTATTTGTTTTTGTTGTTCTGGTGTGATTCCACTAGCTTCCTTTTGAGCAGCCCTTTTGGCTGCTTTTTCCTTTTTCTTTAATTCTTTTAGTTCTTTGTTACTCAATTTCTTCTCTTCGGTTGCAGCAGGTTTAGCCTCTGCCTCAACCTTTGCATCAGTCATCTTTCGAATAGAAGTTGTGTGATCTTGACTCAAGATATGAATCAAATTTTTCAAATAATTAAATCTAAAATAAATAAAATCTCGCTTTACCAAATATATTTTGACTGCAAAAAATCAAAACTCTATACTTTTTGCCACAAGACTCAATTTAAGAAATGGCAGACCAAGAGTTATCCTTGTTAAACAAAGTCGAGCTAAAGATAGCATTAGCAGAAACTGATCACCAATTGGAACAATCCTTAAATACATTCTTATCACCTATACTATTAAAACTTGCAAGTCCTCATGCAGAAGTTCGAAATTCTGTTTTAAAAATCATTCAACATATAATTCCAAGAATTACAGCAGCACGAAATCTCAAGTTACCAATTGAATCATTAATTGAACAAATAAATTATCCTAATGTCAAAACAGGTTTAGATCCTACTTCCGTTAGGTTGTATTCTGCATTATTTTTATCAAGAGGAATAGATCGAATTAATGAAGAAGAAAGGAAAACATACGTGCCGTCAATTGTGAAAGAAATATCGAATTTACCACCCTTAATAGCTGCAAGAATGTTCAGTATACTATACAAAATATTAGGTACATGGAAAGCACCTGGATATAAATCTGACGAATATAATCAACTTCGAACAAATTTAAATTTAGAGCAAAATGAGAGATATTTATCATTGAAAATAAGTCAATTCTTTCTATTAACTTTGGAATCGTTGAATACTCCATCATCTGGATTAGCCGCATCAGATATTAAATTTTTCACAACAGATGCTGGAGTTACTTTTAAAACAAGCATTGAATTATCACGGTATAAATTATCACTCTTTAGTTTCATACAATCTGGATTTAGTGACGAGCAACTTGTTTTACCATTATTGATTGCTTCTGCTGACCCATCATTGTCATTGAATGAAGCAGAAAAGCTTTTCAAAAAACTTGAAGTCAAATACGAAAATGTTCAACTTTATGGAGGAATACCATTAATAGATTTGCTAATAAATATTTATTTGAAATGCGGTAATAGCGCATTTGATCTTAATCTCAAATATAAAATCATTCAAACTTTACTCAAAATAAAGTCTATTAGAAATCATGAAAAATTAACTGATATTGTTTCAATTGCATTAGAATCTCCTTCCACTAAATTGAGAAAACTAGGTACAGATTTAATTGGGTCAGTAACAACCGATAATATAGAGAATTTGAAAGAATTTACGGAGAACATAGCTAATAAGTTAAGATCAAGTCTAAGTCAAGATAAATCTGAAAATTATAACTCCTTAGTGATAGCAGAATTGCAATCCAAATACGAAACTTTAGGAAATTTATTACTTGCTTCACCTCAAATTTTTATAAATGATTGGTCATATATAAATTTTCTTTTACAAGCACTTGAGAATGAAAATGTAGAAGTAAAAGTATCAATTCAAAATGTATTATCAAGTTTAACTGTACATTTCAACAAACTCAATGATTCAAATAAACAAGAATTGATATCATCTGCTTGGGACGCAGTCAATGCAAATTCAATGACAAAATATATTATAACAAAATATATCAATTTAGCATTTCCATTTGATGATTCAACTGCTAGAATGTTGACAATTATAGGAACAAATATTAACAATCCACCTGAAATTATTGAGGAATCTAATAAAGGTTTACACCCATATTGGTTTAAGTTGCTTCAAGCAAATAATTCGACCGAGTCTATCTTCGCTGCAAATACTGAATCTGTGAAATTCCCAAGTTTCCAGGATTTTGTGGAAAAACTTGTGAATGAGATTGCAAACCCAAATTCACCAATACAACAAGTGTTACCCAAAGCGTTAGAATTTGCTGAACAAATTCTAGTCATGGAAGCATTGGAAGGTAAAAAAACAGTTGTTGAAACCGATAAAAATTGGTCAATCAGATTAGAAAAAGCAATTGAGATGAATGAAGAAGTTAGAAAGTTGGTAATTGAGAAATTAAAGAATGACAAAACTATTGAACCTCAAGTAGTTGATCTTTTGAGAATATGTATTGATGGTCTTGTTGGTCAGCATACAAAATCAAACTCCTTGAATCCATTTTATGCAAGAACTTTAGCTAAATTACTTCCATTTACTTCAGATGAAATAGTCCAACAGTTGTTACCTAAACTTGATGAAATCATTAATATAGTAAATTCAGTTGATAGAAACAATTTGAGTGATGTTTGTAAAATTATTGGAATCTTAGCTAGTCATCCATTAGTAGATTCCAACAGTGTCTTATCAAAAACGGGTGAAAATGAAAGTCAAACAATTTTGCAATGCTATGTCATGTCCAGAGTGTTTGCAAGAAATGTAAACACCGGTAGTATTACATCCGATAGTTTGACTAATTTGTTGAAACAATTGGTTCAAATTTCAAATAATCGGTATCCCATAGCTAGTGATGGTATTTCACAATTAGCAATGTATGGAGTATTGAATAAATTCAAGAATCCTGAAATCAATACTTTACTTGATCAATTGAAAACCAATGCTCGAACCAAGATTAAAAAATTTGATGAAAAAGCTGTTATTGAGTTAGGTTATTTGACATTAGTTGACGAAAGATCTAATGAAGAAAATTTAACAGAGGACGAGAAATCAATATATGAATTCCATAACTCAAAAGAAATTGAATCTATTTTTGCATCAGCTGAAGCATTTGTAATCACTTCTGCTGGTTGGAAATCAAAATTATTACAAAAGAAATTAGATATACCGACAGTCAATATCGAAAATTTACCAAATAGTACAATTAGATTACCTTTCATATTAGATCTAGTAATATCTGCATGTAAAGATACAAAACCATCATTAAGAAAAGCAGGTTGTATTTGGGCATTAGCGATGGTTCAAAATTGTGGTCATTTACAACAAGTTAAAGATCGAGCAACTGATTTACATATAAGTTTTATGAGATTTTTAGCAGATAAAGATGAATTAATTCAAGATTCTGCATCAAGAGGATTAGCATTAGTTTATGAAATGGGAGATGTTGAATTAAAAGAATATTTGGTTAAATCATTATTAAAATCTTTTACTCAATCTGATACTAATTCAATTACATCTGGTTCAATTGAAGAAAATACTCAATTATTTGAACCAGATTTATTAAAGACTAATGATGGTTCCGTATCAACTTATAAAGATGTTTTGAATTTAGCTCAAGATGCAGGTGATCCAAGTTTAGTTTATAAATTTATGTCATTAGCTAAATCTTCAACTTTATGGTCATCAAGAAAAGGTATAGCATATGGATTAGAATCGATATTATCACAATCTTCATTAGATCAGTTGTTATCAACAAATTCAAATTTTGCAAATAGACTAATTCCTAAATTATTTAGATATAGGTATGATCCATTCACATCTGTTTCTCAATCAATGGATTCAATTTGGAATTCAATTGTCAAAGATTCATCTAAAACAATAAATGATAATTTCACTTCAATTTTAAATGAATTATTATCTGGTATGGGTAAAAAAGAATGGAGAGTAAGACAAGCTAGTGCTGCAGCATTAATTGATTTATTACAACTGGTTGAATTATCAAAATATGAATATAGAATAGAAGAAATTTGGAGTATGAGTTTTAGAATAATGGATGATATTAAAGAAAGTGTACGTAAAGAAGGATTACGATTAACAAAAAGTTTAACTACTACAATGACTAATACTTTGAAAAAATCAAATAAAAACACAAATGAAAATTTATTAGGTAAATTAATTGAATTTTTATTAGGTAATAAGGGAATTTTATCTGATTCTCAAGATATTAAAGATTTTTCAATTGATACATTATTAAAACTTTGTAAAACCAAGACAAAAGCACTCAAACCTTATATATCAATCTTGATTGAAAATTTCATTGGACTTTTTTCATCATTAGAACCAGAAGTTGTAAATTATTTAGCTTTAAATGCTGGGAAATATAATATTGATAATAATGAATTTGATTCTAAAAGATTACAAAGCGTGGGGAAATCTCCATTAATGGATGCTATTGAATTTTTATTAAGTCAATTAGATGATGAATCAATCCCACAATTTATAACAAAATTAGAACATTCAATTAAATATAGTGTTGGATTACCTTCAAAAGTTAGTGGTTCAAAAGTATTAATTTCTTTAGTTATTGATCATAATCAACAAATGAAACCATATAGTTCAAAACTTTTAGATATAGCATCAAGTCAAATTAAAAATAGAAATGATACAGTTGCTTCATGTTATGCAGCTGCAGCTGGTTATATTTGTAGAATTGCAAATGTGGATTCAATTATAAAATATTCAGAAAAAATCACCAAGCTTTATTTTGAACCAAAAGAACCTGGTGATGAAAGATCAAGAATTTTATCAAGTATTGCAAGTGAATGTGTTTCAAAATATTCTGGTGATAAATTTAGTATTGTTGCTTCAGCTTTTTTACCATTAGCTTATATTGGTAAATTTGATAGTGTTAAATCTGTTTCTCATAATTTTGATAAAGAATGGACTGAACATACAAGTGGTGATTCAGCTATTAAATTATATTCAACTGAAATTTTAGAACTTCTTGAAAAATATATAAAATCTAATGATTTTGCTGTAAAGATTACATTAGCTATAGCTTTATCACATTTATGTAAAGTTTCAAATCAAGAACTGGTTTTATTTCAACAATTTATTGGTAAGACTGTTGATTTATTGATTGAAGCTAATAAAGGTAAATCTTGGGAAGGTAAAGAATATATATTTGGAGCATTAGTTGATTTTGCAATCTTAGTACAAAAGAATCTGGAAATCAATGATTCATTACTTCAATCGGTCGAAAAGACAGTCATTACAGAAATTAAAAGAAAAAATAAAAGGTATCAAAGATTAGCAATTCAACAGTGTAGTAAATTTATTCATAGTATTCATAATAATGAGGAGTTAATTGATGAATATATAAGGATAATGGGAGAAATTTTAAATAGAGAATTTGAAATGAAAGATGATGATAGTGATGAAGAAATGGTTCATCCTATTCCAACAAGCTATAATGAAGAAAATGTATTAAAAATAATATCAAATTTGACAGAATCATTTTATAATCCAATAAATTTTAAATTGTTTAAATTTATCATGGAAACTTATAGAGAAGTCTTTGATTCAAGTATATATGTTACATGGAGATCAAGAATTGAAATAACAAAACTAATGAGAAAAATTTCTGGGTTAATAACTGATGTATCAAATGAAGTTGCAAATGAATTGATGAAAACATGGGATTTGCTCAAACTGGAATGTCTAACATTGGATTCATTAGAATCTGTTAAAATTGAATTCATTAGATTGTCTAAAGAATTAATACTTCATTTGAACGATGAAAATAAAGCTATAGTGCAATCACAGTTGAATGAGTACCTAAAGAGTGAAACTTCAAATGTAGTAAAAGTAGAAATAGAGAAATAATTGTATAGATGAAAAATTATTAATTAGCTATAAAATATTAAACTTTTAATTCTAAAACACCTATTGACCACCTCTTAATCTCAAGACTAAATGTAAGGTTGATTCTTTTTGAATGTTATAATCTGATAATGTTCTACCATCTTCTAATTGTTTACCAGCGAAAATCAATCTTTGTTGATCTGGTGGGATACCTTCTTTATCTTGAATTTTAGATTTAACATTATCAATGGTATCTGATGATTCAACTTCTAAGGTAATGGTTTTACCAGTTAAAGTTTTAACGAAAATTTGCATACCACCTCTCAATCTTAAAACTAAATGTAAAGTAGATTCTTTTTGAATATTGTAATCAGATAATGTTCTTCCATCTTCTAATTGTTTACCAGCGAAAATCAATCTTTGTTGATCTGGTGGGATACCTTCTTTGTCTTGAATTTTAGATTTAACATTATCAATAGTATCTGATGATTCAACTTCTAAAGTAATGGTTTTACCAGTTAAAGTTTTAACAAAAATTTGCATACCACCTCTTAATCTTAAGACTAAATGTAAAGTTGATTCTTTTTGAATATTGTAGTCGGATAAAGTTCTACCATCTTCTAATTGTTTACCAGCAAAGATTAATCTTTGTTGATCTGGTGGGATACCTTCTTTGTCTTGAATTTTGGATTTAACATTATCGATAGTATCTGATGATTCAACTTCTAAAGTGATGGTTTTACCAGTTAAAGTTTTAACAAAAATTTGCATACCACCTCTTAATCTTAAAACTAAATGTAAAGTAGATTCTTTTTGGATATTGTAATCAGATAATGTTCTACCATCTTCTAATTGTTTACCAGCAAAGATTAATCTTTGTTGATCTGGTGGAATACCTTCTTTATCTTGAATTTTAGATTTGACATTATCGATGGTATCTGATGATTCGACTTCTAAAGTGATGGTTTTACCAGTCAAAGTTTTAACAAAAATTTGCATACCACCTCTTAATCTTAAAACTAAATGTAATGTAGATTCTTTTTGGATATTGTAATCAGATAATGTTCTACCATCTTCTAATTGTTTACCAGCAAAGATTAATCTTTGTTGATCTGGTGGAATACCTTCTTTATCTTGAATTTTAGATTTGACATTATCGATGGTATCTGATGATTCGACTTCTAAAGTGATGGTTTTACCAGTCAAAGTTTTAACAAAAATTTGCATACCACCTCTTAATCTTAAAACTAAATGTAATGTAGATTCTTTTTGGATATTGTAATCAGATAATGTTCTTCCATCTTCTAATTGTTTACCAGCAAAAATCAATCTTTGTTGATCTGGTGGAATACCTTCTTTATCCTGAATTTTAGATTTAACATTATCAATAGTATCTGATGATTCTACTTCCAAAGTAATGGTTTTACCAGTTAAAGTTTTAACAAAAATTTGCATTGTGTAATATTAGTTATAATTTATTTGATTGATCGATGGATAAGTTTGATTAATTGTATTAAATTGATTGATTGTTATGTTGTAAGTTCTAATTGATTGATAAATAAAAGTGGCAACATAATTTATCTCCCTTTATATATAAATTTGTTGATTAATTTACACTACTTTTGCTTACTCCTATCTTAATTACCACACATGACTTTATTATCTATTTATTACGTAAGCACTAAATACAAATATTATGTAATCCATTCCAAAAGCAAAAATTTCTTTTTAATTCAATCTTGTTTCATAATTTACGAAATCATGAAACTCAATCGTTTGATGTAGACCTAGTCTTACTCGACGTTCAGATTAGGGAAGAATCACATACTCGTGGGAAGTTATACTCGAACAGTTGTAGCTAGCCCAATCATCATTAACTTTCATCAGCATATAGGGTTTAGGGTATTGATGGTCTTTTTCCATAAGACTCGTTTTAAAATCGTCAGTTTGTCCAAAATCCAAACTGAATCGATCATCAATAGAGTCTGATATGAGCTAAACGAATGAATGACTCTAACAATCTTAATGTGAGAGCTATAAATAACTTTTTACCAGCAAAATTTCAACTCGTAAAAGTTTAAAGTAATATATCACCTTAATTAAAATTTCTTTTTTCTTTACTTTAGACTACACCAAATTTGCGCTATTTTTCATCTACAGTTTCGCTTAAAACTCTAAATTACAAATCCGATAATAAATGACTTTATTAATGAATTGATCTTGATGATCTCGATCATTTCTTGTATTGGTTTTAGAGCATCGTAAATGTAATCTTTAGTGTATGTAAGTTCTTACTTTGAGTTGAAAATACAGAGGGTTGCTTGCGGTACGGATGTTTGCGATACGGTTGGGCTTTACTTCAACTTTGATTAAGGTTCTGTTATAAAACAGACAATAAAGTGGCAGAGAGAAGGGAGTTGACTAGTGCCTGGCTCACAGGGCTAGCAATAACCTGCTCAAGCCTCCTTTTTTTTGTGAAGAAATATCTTCCTTTATTCATCCACGCATTCTATTGGATTGTTGAAGCGATTGGTTCTAATGAATTTGGTTGCAAAATTAAATTGAAAGAAATGAGACAATAAGTACATACTCTAACGCAAATGTAAGCGAACAGATTTGAGTAGAATCACGATACTATCAACGTCGAGAAACTAAACAGAATGAAGAAGTTTTCGTCAAGACGTTAGATGAGTAAACACCCACCAATCTCATTGGTCACATCCTTACAATTTTGGTTATGTTACCCTTTTAAAACGTATGTTTGCCCTAATTATTAAAAAAAATTCTATTTTTTTCTCACTAGGATTTAAAAGTCACATTACCTTAAAATTTTTCTCTGTAGGTAATGAGAAACTTTTTAAAGCATATTTAGGCAGACAACTCTATACAACCACCACCATTTATATACATAATGAACCTTATCTGTTCAAGACTCTAGGTGATCTTTTCCAGTAATAGCTATTGAAATGTTGCTCAATGGTATCGATTCTTGTTGAGTAGTCTATTAAAATCCTAAAATTTAAATATCGTGTGCAATTTGATAAAAAAAGAAATTATTGCTTCCAATGGAAAATGAACTTTTTTTTTTACAACCACAATTTATTCTCCTATATTAAAGGATTGATGCTGATTGAAATAGTATGGAATGAATACTATTAGAACCCAGGTGGTGTTTCCGCCTTTCCTTCGATCAAACTAGCCCGAGCACCGAGCTTTTACCAATTTCTTCATTGTTCTTCTGTCTATAAATAAACTTTTTAGATCATTTGTATTTTTTTGGTCGTAAAAAAAAATTCAGATAAATTTGATTTCATAAATTCAATCAAATTTTGATTCTATTTTTTTACAACCAATAGACTACAATTCACGTTCTATTATAGAATAATAGTGTTCATCACTGTCAAATCTCATCAGATAGATCAATAATTATTCATAATCCAACTAGTAAATCACTTATCGTTTGAAATACGTCATAAGAAATTCAATAATTAGCATACACTTTAATTCGATTTAAGAATTATTTTACAACCAACTCCATTTATAAATCACATAAATTTTATATACAACAAACCAACACTAATTAGTCAAATTCAAGATGTTTTAGGATTTGAAGAATTTATAATTTAAATTTTTCAAATTTAAACCTATATTAATTTTGAAATCAAATAAATAATAGAGTAAAGGGTAATACTCGATACAAAACTTATATATCCAGTCGTAGTAAAAAGGGCAAGCTCAAGGTATTAAAACCACCATTGAAAAACTCCAATAAAGCATAATATCAGAATGATTGAAAGCCCGAAAGCTTCTATATCAAAAATAAGTATACCATCATCATCTTCAACTTCAATATCATCGACAATTGAATCTTCAAAAACATCTACATCGGAATTTTCAAATGATAATCAAGATACTACTGTTAAATCAAATATCGAACCAATATCTCATCATAATCAAGATCAACAAATTCCATTAGAAGATCATAAACCTTCTTTTAATTATGATTTAGAAATTTTTAATTTATGTAAAGAATATTTAAGTAGTAAAAATCATCATGGATTAGCATTAGTTGCAAGACAAAAGGGAATTCCACCATTTTTAAGATTCAAAATATGGCCGATATTATTAAAATATCATCCATTTGTTTTAAATCCTTTTATTCAACCTGATAATGAAATTATAGATGAATCATCAAGTGATCTGGAATTAAGTTCTATATCAAGTAAGAAGAGTACAATCTCAAGTAAAAGTAATAATGATTCAGATGTAGAAGAAGTAAAAGAAACAGATACCACTAAAGAAATTGAAATAAAAATTAAAAAAGATATTTCAAGATATATTCAAAGGCTTTATTATTTACAAAATCATCAAATAACTGATATTGAAAAAGATATAATATCAATTTTAGAAAATTCTGTTTTAAAATTTGCAATTAAATGGAGTAAAATTATAAAATATGATTCTTCATTATCTTGGATGGCTTTGAATCTTGCAGAATGGTTTCCACCAATTCCAAAAACTTCTTGGGTTTTAGTTGGTAGAGATAATCATTCAAAAGGAAATTCATTAACTACTAATGTATTAGATGATTATTCAAATTATATAGAAAATATACCTGGTTTACAAGATTATCTTGATGAATTAATTAAAAAAGATAATATATCAAATATGGCGTTTCATGAAGTTTATGAAAGGTTAGTTTTGGTGCTATTGCATTGTCCAGAACCAGAACAAAAAAAGGAAGAAGAAGAAACTAAATCGAAAGATGCTTCATCTTCATCATCATCATCACAACAATTAAAAATTGTCAACAAGACTACATTACCAATAAAAGGAGGTACAATAGAAGAAAGAGTATCATTTTTTATATTTTGTTTAAGAAAATTATTACCTGAATTATCACAATATTTTCATGAAGAACAAATTTTAACAAAATTTGGTTGTTCAGATGATGAATGGTTAATTTGGTGGTTAAAATTTGTTGGTACAAAAGTTTGGTCAAAACATGATAGAGGTAGAATTTGGGATTATATGATGGGTTGGAGATTGAAAAACCCCAAAAGAACTTTAAATCATTATTATGAAAAATTAAATTATGTTAATAGAAATACTTTGGAGAAATTAGGACCTGATGTATTTTGGACAGTAAATGCAGAACAAGATAACAAACATACTTTAGATCCAAGAAGAAGTTCATTTAAAGATTTAATAAATGATTTAAATAATGATTTTAAAGACTCCAAGAATAATAAAACCTCAACAAATGATTCATCATCATCATCATCAAATTCTCCATCACCAAGTGAATTAGAATCACCAAATTTATCAATACCATTTTCAAAAATAGATCCTCATATAGCATTAATTTTTATATCAATATCATTATTAAAATCAAAAGAAAATACATTAGTTGAATTAGATCAACATGAAATAAGACAATTTTTATCAAGATTACCTTCAAAATCATATAAATATAATCAAAAATCAAGAAAAAAAGAACACGCAACCACCGAAGATGTAAATTCAAATAATCAATCAAATTCTACTTCCCCAATTTCATCACCAATTGATAAATTACCAATAAATAATATAATAATATCAAATGATTCAAGAAATAATAAACATAAAATTAATTTTATAGATAATATAATTATAGAAGCTGGTGAAATGTGGAGAAAATGGTTATGGTCAGAATTTATTGATGATAATTAGAAAGTTAGTAAATAAGAGGTAAAGACAATTAAGTATTTAGTCCGTATGTAGGTTTTTATTTTTTTTTAGTCTTATTTAAAGAAATTACCTTTTTGGTCAAATTAATGTGAAAATCGTAAACGATTACTAATCATATCTCAATTTTAAAATGAAGAAAAACTTAACAACCTGTTAACAACCTGTTAATTAGATGTAGTTGGAGTAAAGATCAAGATATGAGTTAACGATATCAAATGTCGATCAATAGGTTATTGTTTCTTCTAGATGGTTCTAAAATTAAGTCAATTATTAGACACTATTAAAGAGATTCCATTTATCGGATTCGAATAATCGATCCGATCAAAAAGTTTATTTCGTAGTTTGATAACTACCCAAATTAAGAAACTAAAATTCATTAGAATCAATGACGCATGTGGAATTAATAGTTAGTAGACATTCCATAATTGACTCGTTGTCTAGTTGTTCCACCTTCTCCTGCTAAAATCCGTATAGCAGTGACTATTGTCCGTATTCTGTAGCATAAGGCTGAATCAAAAAACTTTAAAATTAAGCTTTTTAAATTAGTTCTAAAGGGATGAGTCAGATATTGAATAGGTAAATCATTAATTTATTGAATTTGCTTGACTATCACACTTCAATTCAATTGAGTTGAGACATTTGATGGAAGAGATGGAAACGTATACTAATGACACCTCCAAACCTTACTCTGATAAACTCCTTATCGACTCAATTCTACTAACCACCTTTTCGTAAATTTTTTGGCTTTGTCACAAGATTGATTGAAGATAAAACGTGAAAAACGTTACAAACGTTTTTTAAGTAACTTTACATTTGATTAACAAACATGGGTTGAATATGCATGGAAGTCTAAATCAATGAGTATTAGACATGATTGATTACTCATACACTTTAGTCACCTAAATTTCGTACATATGTATAAATATAAACTAGTAGAACCTATTAATAATCATAATTCTGATTAATTAGCTAACAAGGTTTCTTTTAACAAACTCATCAAAATGTCCGAGAAACCTATACCAACTAAATCAAAATCATTTGATGAAACAATAGGTACAATATTACCATCATATCTTATGTATACGCAAACAATTGGTAAAAATGTAAAAGTTCCTGAAGAAAATGATGATGTTTATAATCAACCTCCACCACCAATTTATTCAAATGATGAAATCGAATCTTCAAATTCAACTAATAGTGCTCATTTTTCGATTTTACAATCAAGTACTTCATCAATTACAAATGTATCAAATGAAAATAATGGTACCGCTATTGATATTCAAAATCTTAATAGTGATGATGATTCATTGATTGTTGCTGATGAAAATACAAATTGGAGAGAAACCGTACTTGATAATGTTCATAAGTTACCAAATATGACATTTGAAAATAATGATTTATCAAATTCTGTTAAAATGGAAATTTTTTTTACAAAAGAAATTGGTGAAATTAATAGAAAACCAGAATTTATTAATCCATCATTATATGAATATACTCAAGGTGATTTATTAAATGGTTATTTAACTATTAGAAATACTTCAAATAAACCAATTTCTTTTGAAATGTTTTATTTATTATTTGAAGGTAGTTTTATGGTTGCAAATAATAAAGATTTGAAAGATTTAACTCCCGTAAAAATTAGAAGATTTTTAGAAATGTTTGATTTTTCAGGTAGTTGGAATGATGCTCATATAAATAGATTAGTTTCAGAAAGTGAAGATATTTATTTTTGTACAGCTGGTGATTTTCAAGATCCAATAGATGGTACAAATTTATATTTTAAAGATAAAATTTTAAGACCAAATAGAACTTACAAGAGATTTTTTTCATTCAAGATTCCTGAAAATTTATTAGATTCAGAATGTAACGAACATAGTTTATCAAAACATACAGAAATACCACCAACTTTAGGTTTATCAAGATGGGAAATCAAACATTATCCAGAAAGAGAAGATCAAAAAATAAGAGATTTATCAATAATCAATACATCAATTGGTTATGGAGTAATGGGTAGATTTATTGGTAAAAAATCAACTTGGGAATCTGAATTTGGGAAATTTGAAACTCCAAAACATAAAGATTTTACAAAATTAGTTAATCTGAAAGGTGATGAATATATAATTTTAAAAGAAATTACAAATTTTGTAAGAGTTATCCCAAGGACTAAAATCCTTACAGATAATGAAAAATTAATGAAACAAGTTGAAAATAAATTACTTTATGAAAATTTTATAAAAAGAATTAAAGATAAAATAGATGTTGGTGAACAGCTTCTTAAATCAATTGAAAATCAAAAATTTGATGATACAATTGAAATAAACGAATCCATAAGTCAACAAGAAATTGAAGCTGCAAAATTACAACAGTCATATAAACAAGTAGATTCAATAAGAGATTTAAAATCAAATATCAAAAAATTGGAATATTATGAATCAATGATTCCATTAATTAAAAAATCAATTACAGGTGATAAAAATTTAGGTATTTTGCTGGTCAAAACTCCTAAAACTGATTATACTATAAAATATATACCACCTTTAAGATTTAGAGATCAATCAATTGATGAATTAGCAAATACTTGGAATTTAAATATTCCAATAGATTTGTCTGTACAATATCCAAATAATAAAATTGAACCACCAATTATAAAAAATATCACCTCAGAATTAGTGGTCCATACTTTAAAGTCAATGTCAAAACCAATAGCATTAGAATTTAATCATGAATTAATATATAATAAAGTTCAAGGTAATAGTAAATCATTTCAAGATTTAGATACTTTTCAACATAATATAATCAAGCCATTACAAGATTATTCAAATAAGTTATATAACTTATTGAAAACCCTCGGTACAGAAAATTTTAAAATTGAAAAACTGTTAATTGATGATATTAAATCAATATGTCAATTAGATGAAAAAATAATGAATTTAGTATGTAATGATATTAAGGTAGATGAACAAAAATACACCCCCAAAACTAAATTAAATTGGCAACGAACACAATCACAAACATTATCAACATCATTTAATTTAAATATAAATTTACATAATTTATCATTAAAAGGAATACTGACATCAAAAGATTTAAAATTAAAAAGTTTTAATAAATTTAATTTAGTACCAAATTTTCAAAATTGTTTTTTAATTAGATTTTATCATTTAAAATTATCTTTTGAATTATCAAATGGTGATTGTATTAGAATTAAAATTCCAATTACAATTGAAAAATAATCAATAATCAGTGAAACTAATTTTTTTTCTTTACTTCTTTTATAATTAATTTTTCTTTTAGATATATAATAATAAAATAAATTATTTAATTCATTTTAACTTTTACAACTCTGTATTTCGATGTCACTCTGGTTTAGTAAATGCCAAATTTTTTAAAATAGCTGATTGAGCTCCAAATTAAGTAATTTCTGTAGTATTATCTTATCTTGCATAACTATTTTTGAAAATATTTGAATGTGCCAATGAAATAAAGTATGCTGTTTCAAAAGTTGAAAGTTTTGCACTACCCATTGATTAATTTGTTTCAGAATTTTTTTTTTTTTTTTTTTTGCAACTAATTCACCCTCCAGCGGGAAGTGGAAAGAAAAACAAACGTTTATTTGATACATATTTTACACTTTGCTTCAAAATTGAGCCAGGCATTGATCTGGGCGGCCGTTACGTTTTCCTTTACCATCATCATTTGAATTCATTTTCTCTTACTTCTATACGATTGTCAACATTTCATATGCATCGTACTATCTTTGTCAACACATTTGGAATGTGCCCCGATAAATGATTGATATAACTTTTTTAGAAAATACTTAAGACTCTTCGTTTTCATTAGCATCGTTCATAGAACTATCGACCTGTTTGCATCTTTTGAATTTTGTAATATAGTTTCACATCCTTTACTAGACAAGCCTGCAATTTCCCATGCTCTTTTTACAAGAGTTGATTTTAATCCTTGCTTTCTTGCAAATTCATAGCTTTTAATAAATTCATGTTTTTTAATTTTAAAACCATATTCATCTGATTTTTCTTCAACCAAATTTCTTCTATAATTGTTTCTCACTTGTTGAAATGTTATTTGATCTAAAGGTTGAGTTAAATGAGATCCATGTGGAGGTAAATAAAGTGGAATTATATTGTTCTTCAAACATTCAAGTCTAAATTCTGGTGTTTCATGAGAAAAATGATTATCCAATACCAAAACAACTTTTTCAGAATTTGGACCAGCATTAGATTGGGGAATGAAAATTTGCCTTAACCATTCAACTGCATTTGATTCTGTTGTGAAACCATTAGGCGCATGATGATAGAGCCAGTGTGGTATCATAGAGTCGGAAAGTTCTGTTCCTTTCGGTATGAACCAATCATCATGAAGGTGATGACCTTTGAAAAGTACCAAAGGTTCAAGAACTTTACCAGATTTTGATATTGTTTCTAATAAAGTCACATAATCTGAATCAGAATTATCTTCACCATCTATTTTATATTTCTTATCTTTATCAGTTGATTTAATTAATTTCCAATCATCTGATTTAAAACTTAATTTAACATTAATTTCATCCATATTATAAATATTATCATCTTTAATATTATAATCGGTGATAACTCGATTAAATGTATCAAACCATTTTTTAAAAATTTCATATTCATTTGAAAAGACTCGTGCACTGGTAACTGGTTTAACAAATGCATTCTTTAATTCAGGATGACGCAATTCAAATTGTTGAAACCAATACTTTCCCAAAGTCTCTTTAACATATGGCTCTCCATTTATTAAAGACTGTTCTGCCACATCCTTATTTAGTTCCTCTAAGAATTTATTTGCAATTAAAAGAACTTCTTTCGATGAAACTGGATCCCCAGATTCACTCATCATTAAACAATAATCACTGATGACAGTTTCCATAACATAGGGTATTTTGAGCTGTTCATGATGACCATTAACATAGTCCTTTGGTCTTTTCGACCACGCTCTCAAAGACGATTCACGAACATCATTTTGTCTCGAGATTGCAAGCTTACTTGGTATTTTAGCAAGTTCTTTTTCTTTTCTAGATTGTGAAACAGCTAATGCCAATCTTTCTTTCTTCTTTTGAGATACTTCTCTTTTCGCTTGCTTCTGAACTGAAGCAGGAGGTACAACTGCCATTGATATCTATTTGTTCAGTAGTAGAATTCAGTTGTTGTCAATAATATTTAATTGTTTTCAAACAGTTTTATTTGTTTACAAAATATTTATTGTTTGTTTACAAATCTGAAATTTTACTTTGTGTAATAAATTGTTGCACAAAACACGAATACTGCAAAACTGTAGGAAAAGACAACTTTTATAATTTACGATCATAAAAAGTTCATATTTATTAAAACTAAATTACTTAAGCTCAGATATGTTTCTCATTGGATGAAATTTGAATTTGATTACCTTCTTCAAGTTTCTCATTGAATGAATTTTGACTTTGATTACCTTCTTCAAGTAATAAATCATCATCATCATCATCTTCCAAAGCTTCATTAGCATGAAATCTTTCAGGACTTAAAATAATACAAATTATCATAGCTCCAAATACAGCTCCAGAAAATATACACATGGTTTTACCATAATCATAAACCCCTGGTCTCCCTTCAATTGGAAATTGTTCAGCTAATCTAGCTTCAATTGTGGCTGATGCTGATGATGCTAAATTACCTAATTGATAAGCTAAACCTCCTATTAAAGCTCTATTTGCTTTATTTGTCATTTCCAATAAATAAACACTAGGTATTAGTTAGTAGTTGAATCTTTGAGAAAATAGTTTTTAAAGAATACATACGATGAAATACCCCAACAACCCAAAACACCTCCTGCTAAAACAACTGAAAATGGCCACCATTGATTGACATTAAAAAAAGATGGGTATAGAAATGCACCATTGAATATCAGACATATGAGAATCATAAATCGACGGCCAACTAATTCAGAGCATGGACCACAAATTACACCACCTATCATTGCAGCTATACCTTGCAACAGAATTATGATTGTTATAAGATCTATGCTCATGTTGTATTGCACCGTCAACATTGTAACAAAAAGGTCTTGAGTTCCGTGAGTGGTAAAGTTAAACATAGCATACAAAACAGTTAACTGGCACAATAGTAAGTAATCCGTTCGTAACGTTTTAAAAATACTAGCATTTGTGAATTTCTTCCAAGCATTATCTTTCATACCAGGTGTTAATTCTTTTAATTTCCTTTTCTTTTCTCTTATTCTAATCCATTCTTTTGATTCAGGTGAAAAAAATCTCCAAACTAATAAAATGACACTCAAACCAGCTGAAAACCAAAATAAAGATCTCCAAGATTCTCCTTCTTTATAAGTACCTTCAAATGCCCTTGCAAAGATCATGGCCATTGAGTATCCAATTCCATAGATGGGAACGAATGTTCCTGATATCGTTGCTCTTGCAGCAGTAGGTTGACCTTCGTTCGAACAAACCCACGATACAGTATAAGCTCCTCCCATTAAAAGGCATGTGGTATGGTTAGTAAATTGAATTCAAATAACCTTCTATTGTGGAATGAAGCATCAGGATACTAATTTTTGAAATTTTTGATTTTTTTGAATTTTTTGATGCATTTTGTGTATCCAAGTTTTGCTCTTAATAATCTTATACATACCAAAAATAGCTCTAACTCCAAGAAATTGTCTGAACGTTGTAACTATTCCTGAGCATACTTCAATAACAGTGAAAAGCACGCACAACAAGATATATGGAAATTTCCTGCCGTACTTATCAGCCATTGAACCAAATATAATTGCACCCACTGAACGAAGCATTAAAACTAATGTCATACCCCAAGTAATGTCATACACAGAAACATTTAAGGTTGCAGCTATGTGTGGAGCATTTACTGAAACACAAAAAAAATCAAATGAGTCAATTAACCACAAGGACAATCCCAAGAGGTATTGATTCCAATTATAAGGTGTCATTTCTCTCAAACCTGGAATAGGATTTACGATTTCATACCATCTCTTGGTTTCATGGTTTATAGGAAAATCCAATAACGTTGGTATTCTGGTTGCGAAATATTTCTTTATAGCTGAAGCTGACCAATCTGGCTTTTCATGATAAATATTATCGTCTACTTGTTGCTTTTTCAGGTTCTCTGACTCGGATGTACACGGTGATATCTGCTCAATTTCTGGTTTATCTTTCATTATATTTGTTTGAAGTGTTGTGAAGATTGAATTAATATATAGCGTCAAAAACAATTGAAAAAATTCCGTGAATTAACCCTGATATATATACCTGTGGGTCCTAGTATTCATTACATTGTTGAGGTTGTGATTGGGGAAACAAAGACATGTTTATTAACCCCATAATCTCTTTGTTTGAGTTTGGTATTCTTGAAAATTTTTCGGACATCTTGCTCAATTTTGTGTTTCATGTTGTGTTTCAACTTTTTTGTGTGTCACAACTTTAAAATTGTGGGGATGAATCATTTGACGTCAATTCATACCAAGCTATGCTAAGAATATTCGTTTCAAATGTCAAACTTATCAAAAGCTAGTTATGATTGAAGTATTTGTTTTACTTGGATTTAACATATTTGTTTATTTACTCCACATAAAACATGAATTAAGGTTTGTAAAAATTTGTAATTAATCACAAAATTGAAAACATCGACAGAAAAGCTCAACACAGTAAGAAAGTCTAGCTTTTTCTTAATCTCTTATCTTGACATGTACTTACCACTTTCATGTTAGTTGACTTTTTTTTGAGTGGGGAACGGTTTAATTATTAAACTTTCGTTGTAATTGCATAAACTAGATGAATTAATCCAGACTATTCTCAAAAGTGTAAACGTTTTATGCAAGTTCCAATCTCAATTTACTAATGTTTTCAAATTAATCCCCCATATAATTGAAAAATGTAAGAAGCAAGGAAAGCTTGTCAGTTCAAAATTGAAATTTTGTTGGGATTCACCGAATCTCCTCTTTCTACGAAGATTGTGTTAAATTCTCCCGCAAGTCAAACTACAATCGTAGCTCCAAAAAGAAAATGTACTATATTCTGAAATCAATCAAGATGGCTTAAATCTCGTAAATATATTCCATTTAAAATGATCGACTAACTTTACGATCAAGGTTATGTCTTTTTTGACCTAAACCGTTTGAGTATAAATCGATTTGAAATTTTAAACTCAACATTTACGAAACCAAAGGAATGAATTTATGCTTGCTTAGAATGAGTATTCAACCAAGAATTCAGTAAACTTTTTAAGCTTTGGAATTTTGCAGAACACACACACCCTATCTCTTGTAATGATTTGTTAAAATCTTAGCGTAATAAAGCTTCAACTGTTGATAAAATGTCTTATATCGAGCCTAATCATTGAATTATTTCATTTCTCAATTTGAATTGGTAGTTTTTTTTTTAGAACCTAAGGTATTTTTCTCGTTTCCTTAGGTCCCAGGTCGCCCTAGATTTGAACAGTATTTCTTCGCCAGATTTGTTTATTTTGGTTTCATCGTACCGCGAGAAATGCTCTTCAAGATTCTGGATACACAAAACTAACAGAAAAATGTATAAACACAACCTTACCTTTAGAACATTAGTAAAACTGAATAATTATCATCAATCCACATTTTCAACACAATGGATGCGAGGGTTCCCTTGTCTCACTCATTATGGTCACCATACGACACCGTCAAAGATGCAGCTGATTCATTAGGTATCAACTTACCAGATGAATCCGCTAAAAATTTAGCTATGGATGTTGAATATAGAATTCATGAAATACTTGAATTAGCTATAAAATTTATGCGTCATTCTAAAAGAAAAATCTTAATGACTTCAGATATAGATTATGCATTAAAAGTTTTGAATGTTGAACCATTATATGGATATGATAATTCACAAAATTTAACATTTAAAGAAACAATGGTTGGTGCAGGTGGACAAACATTATATTATATTGATGATCATGAAATTGAATTTGAAAAATTAATAAATCAAGAATTACCTAAAGTTCCAAGAAAAACTACATTTACTGCTCATTGGTTAGCTATAGAAGGTGTTCAACCAATGGTTCCTCAAAATCCTTTACCTTCTGAAATTAAAAATTTACCACCTGCAATTAGAGGAGCTACTTCATCAATGTTAGGAAATGATATATTAGCATTAGGTGGTGGAAGTGAAAAAGAAGAAAATATCTCTGGAAGAACTAACTCAAGTAATAAGAATAAAAAGACTACAACTACAGAAAAAGAATTTGAAACGAAACCATTAGTTAAACATGTATTATCTAAAGAACTAAAACTATATTTTGATAAAGTAGTTGAAGTATTAGTTTCAACAGATCCAGAAGAAGAAAGTTTAAAAAATGCAGCATTACAATCTCTTAAATCAGATCCAGGATTACATCAATTGGTACCATATTTTATTCAATTTGTTGCAGAACAAATAACAAATCAATTAAGACATATAGATATTTTATCAACAATGTTGGAAGTTATTTCATCATTAGTTGATAATAAAACTATATTTTTAGATCCTTATGTTCATGCATTAATGCCATGTATTTTAACATTATTATTAGCTAAAAGAATTGGTCCAATTATTGAAAAAAATTCAGAAGAATATGAAGAAAATTTAAAACAACAATTAGCTATACGAGAATTTGCTTCTATATTATTAGAACATATAATAACAGTATATGGATCTTCATATTCAACTTTAAGACCAAGAGTAACAAGAACTTTACTTAGAGCATTATTAGATTCAACAAAACCTGTGGGGACACAATATGGTGCATTATTAGGTTTAAAGAATCTTGGTAATGAAGTTATAAAATTAGTATTAGTTGGAAATTTAAAAATTTGGTATAATTCAATAATTGAAGAAAATGATAATGAAATTGATAAAAAAATTTTAATCAATACAGTGCTAGATATACTACGAAAATTAAATATAAAACCTAAAATTGATGATATGGAAATAGATGATTCGGAATTAAGTGATGAAATAAAAGATAAATTAAAAGAACGAATAGGTAAACCATTAAGTGATATTGTTTTAGAACAATCAGATTCAAAAGATATAGTTAGAGGTTTATTTTTCGGAGAATTAACCATATAATACATGTATTATTTTTTAAAATATGTAGATTTATTTGTAGGATTAAAAATTTCATCAGAATCGTAATCATAATCATTAGTTTCATTATCATTAAAAAGTGTTTGTGAATATGCAGGATTGTATATTGGTGAATTAGATAATGGTATTGGATCACCTGGTTTTGTTCTTGGTGTTGATTTAGGTATATTGGGAGTTTCATCAATTGATCGTTTTCTTGGTGTAGCTTCAATTATTTTCGATTGAGGAGTTGCTGTTACTATCGGAGAAACTTGCGGACCATTTCTCCTATTGTGTTGAGGTGTCGCAGGTACTGCCTTTTGTGGTGAGCTATTAATTTCAAACTCAGATTCCTCACATTGAGCAATTTGTTGTAATTTTGCAGTCATTAATTTATTTTTTGGCTTTACAAAACCAGTATCTTTCAGGACATGATTATTTTGAGGAGTGAAAATTTCAGTTTCTAAATTTAAATCAATAATTCTTTGTTTTGCAGGAGTAGCTTGAATTTGTGAAAATGATTGAGTGAAAGTAGTTGATGGACCAGCAGTTGCAGATATAGTTTTATTTCTTTTTGCTTTACTAAATATTAATGAAGAAGACTCTTCAATAGTTGATGATGATTTTTTTATTGGTTTTAATTCAAGATTAATTTGTCTTTTATCTAAATCTTTTGATTGTCCTAAATTTGATTTTGATCTTTTTAGTGAAGCTATAGAAATGTCCTTTATCAAATCTGAGTTGTCATTTTTGACTAATTTTGGCCTTTCAATTTTTTTCAGTGGTACATCAACTTTAGATTTCTTTTTGGATGTAGTTAATTTCATATTGATTCCTTTCATGTTATCTATCACAAATTTAGTAAGTTGAGGAAGATTCTTATGATAATATAAAATTAAAACATGTTGTAGTATATTTTTTGAATCTTTATCTTTTTTAGTTGTTAAAACATCCCATAAATTCAATCTATCGATTAATTTATTCAAGTAACTGTATGTTACAAAATCGGGATCCGCTAAACGCACTTCAGGTGATAATGATCTTATTGTTTTTTTCCTCTTTGATCTCACTAAACTTGGTTTTTGATTCTCTTGAGTTTTTTTCATCATTGACTCTTGCCTTTTTGAATTTACTTTTAAAAATTCTTCTTCATCAATCTGAAAGTTTAACAAGAATTCAAAAATTAATATTATTTGTAATTGAGCTTCTCTAATTTTCAAATCCAATATATAATTTTGCACTTGATCTGTAGTTATACCTTCAATCTTTTCCTCAGTCACTCGTATCCCATTTTTCACCATGAAATTTGATCTATGATTCATTTCATATTCGCATATGTTTGAGTTAATTAATACATCAGGTCCATATCTTGAATCAAAATTATCAATATTTAAAATAATACTACTCAAAATTTCACTAATTTGAGACTTTGATTTACATAAATTTTTAAATCTTGGAATTGAAGTTTTCGGAAAATAAACTAATGGTTCATTTAATGAATATAATGATTGATAATATCTATTTTTTAAGAAAGTTATAGGATCTTGAAATTCTTCTTTATTTATTTTACTTGGTGGTTTCATTGAAAATTGAAATTCAGGTACTTCATTTTGAGGTTGTAGTTCTAATTTTTTGGTAATTTTACTCAACTCTCCAAAGTTTGTAATGTTTAACATCTCATCATCATTTTCACAAGCATTTATTTCTTGATCAACTTTAAACAATCCGACTTGGTCACCCACCAAAGGAAATAATACCCCAAATTGTTCAAACTTATCTTGATTATTATATTTTACTTTAACAAAATATATCCCACGTCGTATTCTAACATTTGATTTAAAATAATGAATTGATGAATTTGAAAAGTTAGTTTGTGATAATGAAATTTCAGTTGGTAAATGAGGTAGTGCTGATTTCCAACTTATTTGATGAATTACACTAATTATTACTTGAATATCATTTTGATCGGTAATTTTAAACTCCACATCTTGATCCATAATGATGAAGTATGTGAAGTCATTAGATATCAATTCGAATGAAACGCGTATTACCTTTTTTTACTAGAATAGAAAAGTGACACAAAATCTTGTTTCAAATACCACAGAAATTACAAAGCTCATTAAAACATTAATTAAATTTCTAAACTACTCTAAAATTGTAACCATTTATCTTCTAATATATCAGTAATAGTTGGTCTTTTATCAACATCTCTAACTAAGATTTTTTTAATTAAATTAACACTTGAATCACTAATAACATAAGGAATTCTTAATTCACCTTCCATAATTTCATCAACACTATAATAAGGATTTTCTTTATATAACATTGTATAAAGCAAAATACCTAAAGCCCATATATCTTGAGGTTTTCCTTCATATTTTTCACCCCTCAAAACTTCTGGTGATGCATAATCTACTGTTCCAACAAATACATCAAATGGACCTTGTTTTACATACCCAGCGGAACCAAAATCAATTAATTTTATAAACCCTTTTTCATCAACTATAATATTTTCATCTTTTATATCTCTATGAATTATACCTTGTTTATGTAAATGATATATAGATGAAACAATTTGTTTAAAAATAAATTTACATTCAATTTCATTTAAATCTTTTTTAATTTCAATAAAATCAAATAAATCTATTGCTGGAGGATTTCCAAAAATGGGCGTTTCTAAATAATAATATTTTGAATCTTCAAAAAAATCAATAATTCTCATTATATTTGGATGTAATTCTGAATTTAAAAATGACATGATTTGAATTTCCAGGGGGATTGTACCTAATTTTCTATCACGAACCCAAGTATCAACTAAAATTCTTTCTTTATCAATACATTTTATAATTATTTTATAAAGTGGATCTTCTTTATGTTGAGCTAATACAACTTTCCCATATGCACCTTCACCCATTTGTTTTAAAATTTTAAATTCTGAAAATTTTTTTGATCTTCTATATAATCCAACTTCACTTGGCCATTTAGTAGATTCTAATTTTATTGATTCTAAAGAATCATTTTCTAATTTTAAAATTTCTTCTTCTGAAAATTCAGTAAAATTAATTTTAAAATTTGTTTCAATTTCTTCTTCTGTTATATCTTTCAGATCAATAGATTCAACATCATTTTTTAATTCATTTAATTTTTTACTTGTATATGTATTTAAATTTTCTAAATATGATACTGGCATTGAATATGATTTTGTTTTAACTCTTCTTGTACTTGATGATCTTGTAATTTCTCTTGGTGAAAATTCTAATAAATTATTTTCTTTTTCATCATCAAATAATTTTAATTGTGATGGGAGTTGATTGGAGTTCGTTCTTGTACGTTTCTTTTTTAGTTCGTTTAATCTTGTTTGTTTTGGTTCAGAAGCTAATGACATTGTTGACAGATTTGTTGATTGTAATCTTTCCAATTCATTTGCAATAGCTTTTGCTTGTTTACTTCTTGAATAAGTTACCCAAACAATTAATGCATCTTCAGCTGATACTCTTGCTTGTACATCAATAAATAAACTTTTCCCATCTCTATGTTTACCTTCAATACCAATTGAATTAAAAAAAATATCTTCTTCAGTCTCCACCAATTTTGTTTGATTTTGATATTTTAAAACAGAATCATATTTTCTAAAAAAATGTTCAGGTAATACCAAACCATTAACAACTTGTAACGTATTAACATTTTCTTCAATTCCAACACTTAATATCTTGGTGAAGTTAGGTATTATTTCATTTATTGATTTATCTTTTAATTCTTCTATAGATCTACCAAATAAATTCCTCGCTATTGCATTATTACATGATAATATTTTAAAATTACTTGCATTTAAAACAAATATCCCCGCTATATATGGCATTGTATGAATTTTCAATTTAATTTGTCCTTCCAATGGTACTGATGTTATTGCGCAAGGTAAATTTTCATTTCCTTTATCAACTTGTAATGTATAATATCTTGTATGATTTATTAAATTATTATCATCATTTAATAAATCTTGATTTAAAGTTTCACTAAGCAACTTTAAGTTGTTTGTATTTATATCGTAATCATTTATAAAATCTCCTGCAACCTCATTAATTTTTTCAATTTTAAAATTATTTTCATTAACTATTATATCAAATGCATCACATGGAATTTGATCAAACATACATATAATTAAATTTCCCTTTTTTTTAGCCCATAATGAAGTCCAACTATAATTTTTATCACCTGGTCTTACAATTGCAACAATTTCACCTGCAAATATTATATTATCCTTTTTGATATTTTCAAAAGTATATTTTGTTAATTTCCCCAAGACAAAATCTCGAAATTGAGGAGCTATTAAATCCATTAATGTTAATGATTTTATAGTTTGTTTTGATAATCCAAACATAAGACATGCTAAATCATTTGCTGCTTTAACAGACCATGGTAAATCAGATTCTATAGTGAAAACAGATTGTGGTAATGAATATTTTGTATTTAACATTGAATGAAATGGTCTTTTATTTGATGATGGTTTATTTAATGATTTTAAAGATACTGAAGATTTTGCAGATGGTAAACATTGTTCATCACTCCCCAAAAGGGAGGAAGTTAAAACTGAATTTTCTATAAATGGCATAGCTAATGCATATATTAGTTTCTTCTTAAGTATGTCATGTTTTATTTGATGTTGTTCATCTGTTGAAAATAATGTAAGATCTTTAATTGTTGATGCAATATCATAATCTTCAGATATTTCTAAATCATTTTCTAATAGCTTCAAAATATCTCTAAAATCATCTTTTTTTTCATTATTCGTTACATCTTGTAATTTTGAAGGAGCTGATGATTTTCTAAGTTCTTTTGTTTCTAAAGGAAAACTATCAGATCTTTGTAATTTTGGTCTAAATAATGCAGCTAAAGCGGCAGAAGACGCGTTTGATTGTAATTTATATTGTTGTTTTTGATCTTTCAATGGAGTTGTTGGACTTGATTCAGAAAAATCTGCACTATGATTTGAATGTTGAAAAATATTTGATTTTAAAGTACTTTGATTTGAAAATGATTCATCTATTGAAATTGATCTATTAATGGGAGTAATTTCATCATTATTTTGATTTGTTATAGATTTAAATAAATCTGGCCTATCTTTTAAAATTTCCAAGGATCTTTTTAAAACATTTAATCTTAAAGCTAAAGAATTTGGTGATAAATGAGCATAAGAATAAGCATGAGAAGATTCTATTGGAAAATTTAATATATCTTCTGTAAATTTATCTTTTTGTTCAAATATTCCTTTACTATTTGATCTTGGTATTGGTGAAGGAGCAAATTGTGCAGATGATGGTATTTTAATATCTAATCCTGGTCTTTGTGGTATTGGATTTTCAAAATCTAGTAGATCTGAGGGTGATTTTTGTGTATATGAAGAAGGTTTTTGTTCTGGTTCTTGATTATTTGAAGTCATATGATTATCATTTTCTATATTAGTATCTTGTTCTTGTTTTATATTATCCCGCTGATTATTCGGTATAGTCATTAATCAATAAAAGGATAAGTTGATTTAATTTGGTTGTAAAAAAAAAAGTGATTCAAAAAATCAAAAAATTCAATTTTTATTATGAGATTAAAAAAAAAAGAAATATTACTTAAGACATAAGACAATAGACAATAGAAATATAATATTATGAGACATTGGTGATCAAAGAAAATCGAAATATTTCATCCCTTGTCCTCATGGTTACTTCATTGATAAGGTATCCAAGCTAGATTCATCACTGTAGTTATGTTGTTAAGCTGGATATTACTGATTCAAAACTTTAAAATCTTATTGATCCTCAAAATCTATCTCACTCTAATCTAATCAATTTTAAGTTTTGATAAAGTCATATGGTACAAAAGTGAAACATCCTTTTAACCATTTTATGAACATAAAATTGGGTAGTAAATTGCAAATTATCAACCAAATATACAACTCATTAGTAGGTTGAATGGCACCAAAATCTCGAAGATAAGGAGGTTGGGGTAAATGATTAAACAATAAGGTTTACGATTCTCAATATTTGAAGCCACTTATATACTTGTATGTTACCTACTTCTATTAACAATAGATTATACCAGTTTTAATCAAATTGTACGAGTTGAAAAATTAGGGAATTAGTGAATTAAACAGAGTCCAAAATTTTCAGCCTTGCGTATAATTCCCAATTTAATCCTTAAAACACACCAGTTGATTTGGTCGTACGGTAATACTCAATAATTCAACAATATTGTCCCATACTATGTAACGTTTATTGATTAGTATCAACGCATACCCTATTTTTTTATTTTTAATTTCACACATTAATTAGAGATTAAAATTTTTCGTAAATTTAATATTACATTAATCCTAATTCTATTGTTTTAAATTAATTAATTACGTAATGTCATGTTTTTTTATTGTCCGTGATTCTTATAAATTGACTTCATTAAAATGCTTGTGATAATTATTATCTACTAACATTTGAACACTTGTTTAAGAATCAAACCATTGAACAAGAAATTAGGGGTACTACAATCAGCACCAATATTCAAAGGTCGTCCGGAGAGTATTAGCATTGATATTGTTTCTGGTTTTGCTGAAGTTTTTACCACCCTCAATGTTCCAGTTAATGACGGTGTTAGTTATAGTTGACAATTTTAGTTCTCATTCACATTTCATTCCATTCAATACATCATCAACCACTCAAGACTTCATCAACATCTTCAACAATTATTATGTGCCATTGCATGGTTCTTGTTTATCTATTCACCGACCGTGGTTCAGTTTTTACAAGTGAGTTGTTTTAAAATTTTACTGCTACTAATAAAATTGTTCATTTACAGACATGTCCATTTACAGACATAAAATGAACAATTTTATTAGTAGCAGTAAAATTTAGAGCAGAACGTTATATTCGACATTTGGAAGAGTATTTACGTTTAGACATCGACAAAAATGGTTCAACCTTCCACCACATGCTGAATTTTGTATTAACTCATCTCCATCAACTGCACTTGACCTTTTCAAATTGACATTGGTTATAATCCACATACATCAATATCCTTATAATATCCAGTCGATAATGATTCTACAGTCAAATCGACCTGGTATATACAAGAAGGATTGGAACGCTTGGGAAATGCAGCAATAGCACTCGAAAAGGCCAGTTCAACCAACAAAATTAATTACGACTTACACAGAAAAGACTTAGATGTTAAACCTGGGGAGCAAGTATTCATTTAAATTTTTGCCTATCATAAATGAATACTTGTTCCCCCGGTTTAGATGTCAACCCCGTGACTTGGTACCTTCACTTCGTGGAAAGTTTATTGGACCCTACAAGGTTTTAGAAAAATTATCGAATGTAACACAATAGCATGATTAACTGTTGATAGTTTTTCTAAAACCTTGTAGAACCTTATTATTTCACCCTGGTTGTGAACATCCCTTGACACCTAAACCTCCATATTCGAAATATGGTGAATTAGTACTTTGGAACTACTCCATACTATGATAATAATTTTGAAGGAAAAACATATATATTTACTGTAAAATTTGACTTCTTGTTGTTTACTAAAAATTTCAAATTCAAAATATGACGAATTTCTGAAGTGGGATTATTATTGAGAACTTAATCCACAAGTCACCATTGGTTAAAACTTTGCCTAGGCTCTAACAGCGAGTGAACGTCTGGTAAAAATCAATATAACGGACTCAAAATCAATATAATGGACTCAAAATCAATACCACCTAGTCATGTTTCTATGAAGTATGAGAATGATTTGAACTCCAATACTCAAAATCAAGAAGATCATCAACAAGAACAAAAGAATCAAGAATCCAACTTTATACCTCAGTTAATTGAGATACCTAACACTATTCTGTTATCATTGATGATGATATAATTGAATTTAGAACTAAATCTCCAAATGTTGAAAACAATGATGAATCAATCATGTTTTCACAAAAAAAGTAAGTAAAGGGATATGATTTTATAATTTATTTTACCTTACATCTTGTTTTTGGTGGCATACTCGTTGTATTAGCTGTACTGTCTGTAGCATGGAGTTTCATTTTTTGGGCTTACTATTATGATAAACTTCAAGTTCGAAAAGTAAGATATTTAATCCTACCTGAATATAAATTCGTAAGAAATTCAAATTAATTTGAAAAATTGGATTGTATACTTCAGCTAATTTAATTTAAAAAAGTTTGAAGTGTTTTAATTAATTTACTTCTTTTTTGTTTATCAAAAACTTTACAAACCTTTTTTTTATTTCTTGTGTCAATTTTACTGATAAATATTCAGCTTTCGAAACAATTGCTTCAAGAATGGAGTTTGTTTTGCTAGTTTTACCCTCTATTTTGAAATCAAAAAACCCCCTTTCTTTTGAAACTTGTATTATCATACAAGTTAGTCAATTCTTATGACATTGACTTTACGACAGGGTGAGATTCGTCGAACAAATAAAACAAGTTCTATAGATTTTTATATACTCTTATTTAAAGAATCAGCTATTATTATTATCATTTACATTTCGTGTATTATTTAGATTCAACCACCAAAACAGTCAACGAAGCAGAAAGGTTTGATAGCTTCTTTAAATACTCCTGGTGCTTGCTCCTTAATAGCATCTTGGGTCGCGTCGACATTTTTATGTGCGTTTTCTGCTGCTACTCCTGCTGCTGCGTTTGATGCTTTAAAGAGCAAGCACCAGGAGTATTTCAAGAAGCAATCAAACCTTACGTTGATGAGTTGCACAAAGTAAAGGCACTAGTCGAAGGAAAGAAATCAATTGGAAAATTTAAAGAAGAAGCCGAAGCAGCTAAGGAAATCAACAAGGACATTGCAAAATATCTTAAAGGTATTTATTTCATTGATGATCCACCACAAGTTCATCCAGGAGCAAAAGCACCACCAGTTGATGAAAAGTTTATTATTCATGGAACTAAAGATCCAATAAAATTAAACAAGCTTTTAAAAATTCCAAGATACTTTCACATTTCAAAAGTTCCGTACAAATTATGGGGACAAGCTGCCACCTTCTAAATTGGAGGTAATCTAAGCAATGTAATTGAATCAGCTTACCAAGCTTCCAATAATGGTACAAACTTCACCTGGCACGATGTTGCTAAAGTTATGGAACTAAATGCAATTTTGCAAAAGACGAAGCAGAATTAACTTCACTTTACTTAAGTTTGGAACCACAGCCCAATCAATGTGTCAGTGATTTCGTTGATGCAGTCAATGAAATTTACGAAAATGTTGCATCTTCCAAAAAAATTTATTGCATTTAGAAACAGAATTTTAACAGTTTTGGAACACAATTTACCAAGTTCAATGGCTAGTGCACCAAAATCATTATGCCATTCAACTGATCATGTTGAATTTTTAGGAAGTATTAACAGATTAATTCAACATCAAACTTCCGTTCTAAAACTGTTACAATTTTGTTTTTGAATGCATTAATTTTTTTGTTAAAGATGAGCAATTATATGTTGTTGGAAATTCAAAACCATTAAGATGCACCAACAGAGACGTATTCATCAGCATTGCAACCAAGATCCATGATAAACATTACGCTTCGACAAACTAGAGAAACGATTTCAAACTCAAATCAAGCTGAAAAGTAAGCTTAAAATCAAGTCGAAAATTAAAATCAACACCGTATCATTGAACTTACCAAATTATGTTGATTAGTTTAACATCTAGAGTTAACAAAAATTGTTCTAAAATATACTGTTTTTTTATAAAACAAACAATTAGTTTTTTTAAACTGATAATACCAATTATAAATCGATCATGTATCTCACAGTAATACCTAGAAGAAGCATTGGTATTCACTTTCTTGTGTGAAATAAAGACCATGAGCTTCATCGTCTAAAAAAATCAAATAATCGTACTTTACTACACTTATCTATCTACAACTGAAGTATCTTATTATCAAATTAATAATTTATAGAGGTTCTATCCACTGAAGTCTTAATTATCACCCCAATCATAATTATTTCCAATTAATATTCCAAATATCTTTATATTTCCCAACCTAATTCATTATAAATAAAAAATAAAGTATCTTCAATTTCATCTTGCTCCAACTTTTTGAAATTTCCAGCATAAATTAATGTCAACAACTTATCATTTAATTCATCAATTGAATCATTCTGATTAAATTTTAAATTCTCTAAGCGTTTTATATTTTTAGGTGATAAATTTTTCCAAATTGTTGTAAAATCAAGGTTAGGATTATATTTTTGTCCTAATGTTTCTGCTATATTTGCTTTAACTAAATATGTATTTGGTTCTTCCTTAATTTGAGTTATAAAATTTTCACCATAACATAAATTAATGATATATAATCCAATCAAAGTTGAAATTCTCATTTTTCGTTTTGATTTTATATATTATATAACTTGATGAGACCAGTTATTTAGCATATAATGTGAGGATATGTGAGTGATGGAGAATGTTTCAACATTTTGTATTGTTAACTACATATTTATAAAATTGGTTGTAAAATAAATTTAGGAATTAATAAATTGGTTGCAAAAAAGTAATCTGAGTTATATTTGATAATGAAAGTATAAGAAAATTGTTTGAAATTTGAGAAAAGCTCAAACCATAATCCATAGAGCACTATCTTGTTAATTACAATTCATCAGTATAGGTTGAAAAGGAAACATTAAGATAAGATCTGCTGCAAATAGAATGGAAAGATCCCAAACAATTCCGACACAAATCTGAGATTTGATATTTCACTTGATACTTTAATATCGAGAAGACATTGTCAATATAAAATTTCCACAGAGGTCAAAGTACAATAACAACTGAATGTTCCTAAAGTAATTTCTTATTAATACACATATAACATAACTTTTTCCACCAAACCTCATCTACCAAAATGGTTTAAAATCTAATTTAATCAAATTTTCTAACCCAAATTTCACTATTTTCTTCATAATTTCTCCAAATTCTGCTAATTAAAATTCCCAATTTATATTTTTTCATTATAATTTCTTCCTTTTTGGAATTTAATTTTTCAATTGCTTTATTTATTTTAATTCTTGTTTCATAATTTATTTCAACATTAAAAGGCGGTAATAATTTTTTTAAAAATTCAATTTCTTTTTCAATTTTTATTATCTTGTGTTCATATTGATCATATTTTTGTTGTGATTTTTTTAATTTTTCTGAATTTGTGATTGAAGGATCATTTTGCTGGTGAGGAGCCGAGTTTGTAGTTGTATTAGATTTAGTTGAATGATTTTTGAATGTAGTTGATGTAGGTGTTGTATTTCTTGAAGTTGATGGTGAAGAATTTGATGATGATAATGATGGTGAAGTAATATTAATTGGTTCATGTGAAACTTTTCTTACAGTAAATTTTATTGGTTTTTTCTTTTGAGGTAGTTGTGTTTGTTGTTGATTTTTTTGATTTAAATCATTATAAAAATTTGTTTTTGAAGCAACTGATTGTGGGATTTTATTGGGCTTGTTGTCGTTAGTTGTAGCTAAAGCAGGTCTATTTGATGTCGTTTCTAGGGTGGTGGTTGTGTTTGTAGTTGTGTCTTTGGTTGAGTTTGTATTTGTACCCGTCGGTTCATCTTTATTTAATTTTGTTGATGAAAGTGAATGTATAAGTTTATCAGTTGATGTATTAGTCTCAATAGATGAAATTGAAGATATTGATGGTGATTTTGTATGACTAGTTATAGATGTATTTATCTCATCTAGTATATTATTGGTTGATACAACTCCTTCTTCTTCTTTATTATCAACAACATCATTTAATGAAACTGATACAATAGTATTATTAGCATCTTGAGCTACAATTTCTGTCATTTTTTGAATGTCTTGTAGTATCTTAGAATGATTTGATTAAATAGATTACCGGCTCTTGTATGCCTAAAGGTTGTTGTTATATTCGGTTGTAAAGTAGAGCTCTATCTCTCCTTTTCTCTCTATTATTAGAATATTTGTACTGTTCTTGTTTATTATTGTTTCTCTTTCACTTTCATTTTTTTTCAATTCTTTGTCCTTTTTAAATGACGCGTCTTAAATTTAACTCAATTATTCATATTTAACCGATAAGTACTTAAGTTAATAATGCATTGAATTAACATACAGGTTTATAACGGCGGTTAGTAATTAAGATCTACTCATCTACACTACACAAAAGCAATACTAGATCTTACTATGTAATTAGATATCATCTTTCTCATCTCTATAGATCAACATACCTCCACTAAAATGAATGGAGAAATATTTAATTTATCTTATGGTCAATATTCAAATAATACATTAACTCATTTATATAATTATCAAGAATCATTAATACCATATACTAAGGAAACAAAATTAACTAATGATTTAAATGTATTTCTTTATAGATCTAAACAAAATGATAAATCAATAAATTATTATCCAAGAGCTATAATTTATGAATTAAGAGGAGGATTAGGTTCATTAAATAAATATGAATATTCAGAAAATATACCGGCTTATGATATGCAAATTATAAATAAACCAACTACAACCACTAAAAATGAATATCAAAGAAACCTAGATATATCAGGTGAATCAAATTCAAATTTATTAAACACAACCAATACAAAATATTGGACAGATTTTAATAAATTAATATATAATCCAAAATCAATAATAACAACTCCAAATTATATGCATAACTACAAAGATTATGGAACTCATTATAATTTTCCAAATTTAAAATTTGATATATTTGAAAACGGAGTTGAAGAATTTCGAAATTGTGAATTTGAAACAGAAGATAATTTTAGATATTGGATTGAAAAATGTGATTTTTTACAAGGTTTACAAATTAATACATCTATAAGTGATTCTTGGGGTGGGTTCACGAATTCAATGATTGAATTTTTACAAGATGAATTTTTTAATAATAAGGGTAATTTTTGGATTTTTGGAGATATTCAAACAGTTTCTAAACAATCAACTACTAAAATATCAGAAATTAAAACATTTTTAGAATGTTTTAAAAATTCTACTTTATTTTTCCCATTAAAATTAGATTTAAATTCTTCCATATTAAACTTGGATAAGAATTCAATTTGGCAAACTTCTTGTATTTCCTCCATTTTCATAAATTCTATATGGGGTTTAAATAATTCAATTGATGATCCAATAAATATGTCAACATTATCGAATTTAATAACAAAAGATGATGAAAATAGAAAGATAATCAATGAAATTAAAATTATAAATGATGGAAATTTAGGAGATATAGATTATACCACTATAGATTTAAATAATTTTGAACCAAATATAAATTTAGGAATTTCAACCACTACTAACAATGATACAAAATATTATTCAAAAAATATTATAACTAGCAACATAGATATGGATATTGATAATACAAATATTTTTAATAATCCAACAATTACCAATATTTTAGATGTTGATACTTTTCCAAAAGTGCTAAAGACTAAAGACTTCCATACTGAATTTAATGTAAATTCAAACTTGAAAAATTTATTAAAAGAAAATAAAAAATTTATACAACGAGTACGAAATTTAAATATCGACGTAAGAGATGAATTAATTGATGATATATCAAATTTAATTCTGATATATTCATCAGGTTTTGAATCAGAAGATGAAGAATTTTATGATTAATCTATAAACTATAATCTATATATTCTAAATTTAAAGAGTTTTTTCAACTAAATAAATATCATAATCATCTTTTAATTCTTTCATAATAGAATCATTTATATCTGATGTCATTGGAGCTAATAAACCTTTTTGTTTTAAAGTACCATTTAAAATTTGTTTTGTTGCAACAGCACATGGTACACCAACTAATTTAGCCATTGATGAATAACCTTGGGGGTTACCATAATCAACTAATGTTGAAGTTCTTGTTTCAGTTGTACCATCTTTATTTTCAATACCAAATTTATGTTGTAATATAACTAAATCTCTTTCTCCTTTTTCATATTGCATAAGATCTTCTAATGTTGCACATAATGTATCTAATGGGTTACCCTTTGGTTTTATTGGTGTGGTTGAAAATAAACCTAACCATTTAAAACCATCTAAAATTCTTTCTTCATCTTCTTTTGATTTAAATTTAGTTAATTCTTTAATTTTTGAGATGATATCTTCTTGTGATGATGATTTTGCACCAATTAATGTAGCAGTTGCTTCATTCCATGGTCCATCTTTTGTGAAAATTTCTGTCTCTTCATCACTTAAAAATCCAATATCAACTAAAACTTTAATAAATTCAGGAAATCCTTGAAATCTTAAAGTACCTCTAATAACAGTTTCAGCTTCAGGTATATTATATAATTGCTTGTACGTGGTTGAATCTCTATTTGGATAACAAACTAATGCAAACCCAGGATATATAAAATAAGGTTTTGCAGTAGCCATTAAATCTTCAGATTTAACATCAACAACTTCACCATTTAACCAATATTTTGCAGAATTTCTTAATGCTAATAATACACCTCTTGAACTCCAAGAAAATTTATAACCAAGCGGGTTATCTGAATTTTCAGGAGCTGGTAATCCTCCACAATATGATAAAAATGATTTAATTTTTCCACCTTGAGCATGAACTTCTTCTATAGTTTTTATAGCATATAAATGATCAATACCTGGATCTAAACCAATTTCATTCATTACTGTTATACCAGCATCTTGAATTTCTTTTTCTAAAGCTTTTAATTGAGGATTTATATATGATGTTGTAACAACATGTTTTTTATTTTTTATAGCTGATTTAACAACATTAACATGATAAATATAAGGAATTAAACTAATAACTAAATCAAATTTAGCAATTTCTTCATCTAATTTAGTTTCATTTGTAACATCTAATGAAATTGCTGAAGCTTTATCTCCTGCTAATTCTTTTGCTTTTGTTAAAGTTCTACATGCTACTGTTACTTCAATGTTTGGATCTGATGATAATATATCAACTGTTGGTTTAGCTACAAAACCTGAACCTAATAATAATACTTTTTGAACCATCTTAATCAGTTTTTCGTGGAATTGAGTTAGTAAAAAGAAGTAGAATTGGAGTAGTTTTTGATTTACTAATTGGCGGTAAATTTTTCAATAACCTAAAATGAAAAATTCCGGTCGCACTACCAAATACCGATCAGGTAGAATTTTTTTCATTGACTCATAATTTGATAGGAAAAAAATAAAATGAAAAATTTGATAACTTTCACTTCTTTTACTTTTGTAAACAGTCATCAGAAAAGCCATGAACATGCTATAGACAAAGAGATTTGGATAAGGCATTCAGATTGCCAAATTGGCATTGCGTGGTGGGGTGAAAAAAACCTTGGCGTGGTTGAAAAGGGATAACGGTGGACCAAGCTCAACAATAAAACACAATTTGACCAAACATGGTCTTAGAAAGAGATGGAAATTACAAGTCGTCGAGCATTATGGAAGAGGGTTTGAAGAAATGGATTAAAGGCTTGGGTGAAAGAAGTTTGGCTTGTTCAAGAATGTTTTTATGTTTTGCCCAAATTTCCTTTTACAGTCGAGAATAAGCCAAATTTCTTTCACAGATGCCTTTGATTCATTTCTTTAAAACCAAATCCAATTTTCTTTTCGAAAAAGGAAAATTTGGCAAAACATTAACAATGAATTGGGTGACATCTTATACGAAACACAACCTCAAAATCATTTTAAGACCATTTAAATTCATTGAAAAGGCTGGGAAAGAGACATCTCGAAATATAGCTTCCTCGTCACATAATTCGGTCGGTATGCTAAATGGAAAGCACTTCATATGCTAAATTGAAAGTATTTCAATAATTAGACTATGAAATGCTTTCCATTTTGCGTATCCATCGAATTTTCAATTCTGATGAAAGTGGGTTCGAGATAAACTTCATCATCAATGTATCGAACTTGTATGTATAAATCACAAGTCAGATACATTGATGATGAAGATGTTTCAATAGCTGGCCATTAGCACTCAGAATTGATGACTACAATTGAAACTGTCTCCGTCACTGTTTTCTCCAATGAAAATTTTCAGAGGGAAATTTGTGAGATATAATTGGGCAAAGGCTAATGTTCTTGGAGGCTCACAAGCACCAAAACTAGTTGGACATCATCAGCTGCTTGTATGGATTTGCTCGTGAATGTCGGTAATAAGGACAAAACGCTGGTGGTTATAGCATTGCAATATAACTCATAAAACAAAAGAGTTTCAGGATGCCTGCGACGAATTAAACATCAAACTACTATATATACCACCTCAAGAATGAATTGAGATGGTATATATATTAGTTTAGTTTGTTGGTGATATGTATAATAGTTTAGTTTGATGTGATGTTCAATAAGGATGTGCCGATCGAAGAAGATGCAGTTAAATCGATCAATCCAACCCAGAATAGTAGGAGCAGAGTCGTATTGGGACCTTTGAAAACTAATACTCTTGATCTTGCACCCATTTAAAAGTTCTGTTGGTCTACTTTGAACGTACATTACATCAATTCTTGTTCGAGATCGTTCAGAACCTTTTCCTACACAATTTGTACATGAGTTATATCATTAATTATTACATTTTAAACAGTTTATGTTCTATATACAAAATAATCAAACTGTCTATCTTTTTGTGGTCGTTAAATCTTTATTCTATTAATCTTGGATTAGCATCAGTAATTCTTTTAGTAATTTTAGAATAATTTACATTTTCTTTTAAATTTTCAAAATTTGGAATTTCTATTTCAATTTCATTTTCAAATTTTGGATTATCTTCAGTTGTAAGTTTTGAAATTTGTTTATAAATTTTTGCATCTTTTATCCAACCTCTTAAAAAATTTATACATGCTTTATCATGTTGCATATAATTTTTATAAGTTTTTAAAATTGAATAATATAATGATTCTCTTTCTTTTGATTTAAAATTTTCAGAAAATACTGTTGCAGCTCTCAATGATGACCAATCTGCATTTGCAATATATTTATAATTTTCTTGATCTAATTTATTCAACAAGTCATTCCATAATTTTAAAATTTCTTCAATTGAATAATTAACATTTCCTGCTTGTTTTAATATAACACGATAAGAAATTAAACTTTTATTAACTTTAAATTTTTCAAATGCATCTATAACATCTTGAACTAAACTTTTATCTTTCCATATCATATTTGAAATTAAAGTATTTAAAAATACTTCATCAATATTTGGACATTTTGTAAAAATTAATTTTAAAAATTTTAATGAATCTTCATTTGGTTCTGAATACTTTGTGAAAAAAATTTTAAATAATGATGTATTGATAGTTGCAGCTTTTGATGACAAATCATCCATATTATCATGATAATGTTGTGATATACGACTCCAATAATCAATGATTTCTTCCATTGAATCACCTGCATCATAACAATTTTGTAAAAATGATGCCATATAAGGAGCTTTTAAAACAACAACATAAGGTAATCCATCAGATTTATCAATTGCCTTTTCCAAAAATCTTTTTGCAATTGTTGTATCTTTACAATTTCCAATAAATGATAAATGTAATTGAGCTAATCCACCTAAAACTGATCTTTCTTCAGGATTTGTTTCATATGAATTCATTAATGCTTCTAAAGCATCTAATCCTCTTGCATGATCTCCTTCACTTATAGCAACTTGACCGATTCTATCAGATAAGAAAGGATGTATTGGTTCATTTTCATTAACACTCATATTATAAATTGATTTAATTTCTTCATAAGAAAATCTTTTAGTTTCATAAGCAACTTGTAAAACAATTGATAATACATCATGACTTAAATATAATTGTCCTACCCCTGTATTTTTATCTTGTTCTTCAGATTGACTTACTCCAGTTTCCCAAAGATTTAAAATTTCATTATATAATTTAAATTGTAATAATGTACCAAATACTTTAAATAAAATTCTTGTTGATAAAATTTTATTAAAATCTCCTGCTGCAATCATTTCTGTTAAATTTATAATAGCAGTTTGATAAGTTAAATCTTCATTAAATGCATCTTCTTGATCTTTATCTCTATTTCTTGAATTTCCTAATCTTAATCTTCTTGAAGTTATTGTTGCACTATATAAATTTGCAGAATATTTATATAAATTCATTTCATTTAATTGATTTTTAAAATTTTCATCTTGAAGTAAATTTGATAATTTATTTAATTCTTTATATTCTTTATCATTCAGTTTATTCCAGCGATTGATATGACTTGGTTTATGATACTTATGGGTATAATTTTGAAATCTCTCTTTATATTCATCATTTGTAGTTCTGTCATTTAGTATATTGTTGTTGGAGTTTGTGGTATGAGTATTTGTTATAGTTGCATTATTTCTAAAAAATTCTATTGATGGGTTGGGAGTTATTGATGATGATGGTGGAATTGTTGAATTTTTAGCTAATTTTATTTTTGATATCAATGTAGGCCTTAGCCCTTGCGACGAGTTTATTAATCTAAACATTTTGAATTACCAATGATATCGCGGTAAAGCTCAAAGTTTCTTAATATAATCAAATTAAGGATATATGATTGTTGAATATGAATTGCAGTCAAGTCATTAAACATAAAATTGGTGTGACAAAAATATTTTCTTTTTCTTTTTATTTAAAAACTTGAAAAAGTCGTTAGGTTTTACGATGTCTTAGGAATCTGAAACAACTGGACATAATCGTTTACAGAAGACCTATAGATTTGACTTTTTCACTCTGAAGAAGTCAGTTAACGCACTCTACCCAGGAATACAATAAAACTCGTAGGATAAGAGTGGATCTATCAGCAATGAGCACAAAAGTCTCTTCGCATCGACTGCAAAGTTCGCGACAAAATGTATGAGATCATTTCTTTTGGTTTGGGCTACTAAAATTAAATTTGAGAAACTACCAAATGGGGTACGCAAAATTACGGAACCTCTTTCAAGCATCATTAATCACCTTATTTTCTCTACTTTTATAAATACAAGGAAGAAATTCAGAGATAAATATGGAATAAGAAAAATGATCACCTATCGATTCCAGTGATTTTTCTATTCAAAGTATCTACTTACATAACCAACGAAGCCTAACATATTCTATTATCCTTTTCAATATCTTGTTGAATTTTAGATGCAGCTTGAGTATTTAATAAAGGTAATTTCAGTTCAGTCATATTAAAATTTAAATTTCCATTATTTAATTTTGATTCATTAGCGTTATTTCTTGTAACTACTTTATCAAAATTAAATGAATTATTTTTTAATAATGGTGGAGGTGGAGGAGAATCTAATTGTAAATTTAATTGTAAATCTAAATCAACAATTTTATTTATATCTGGTGAATCTTTTTCTTCTTCTTCTGTTTCATTATACATCATTATATCTGAATTATTTTGAAATGTTATTTCATCAATTGATGAATCTGGTTCTTGTGTTGTTGTTGAAGGTAATTTTAAAGAATGATGTCTTCCATTTGAATTATTTGTGATATTGTTATTATTACTTAGTTTAGATTTTCTTGGTGTTTTATGTATTGATGAACTTTTTATTCGTTTTATAGATGGTCTTTTATAATGTATTGGAATAGTGGATATTTTAGGAGGTGACAGTGTTAATTTTGGTTTTTTTGTAGGTTGATTTTGATTTTGTATATCAATTTCAAATTCTTCCCATGATCTTGCTTTAAAATATTCAATTGCATGAGATTCCATTGCTGTTTCAAAATTTCCATTTACTAAATTTTCTAAACCTTGAATTAAACTTTGTAGTAGAATTTCATCATTATTTCCATGATTTTGAGATAAATAGTTGGCTATAGCTCTTGAAGGGTAATAATAATCATATAATGAATGAATCAATTTATCATATAAAGTTGATGATTTAACTAATAAATCTATTTGTACTTGATTATGTAAAGATGAAATAAGTTCATTGAAAATTTCAGTATGACTATTGGTCCAGCCTTGATCATCCTGTAATCTTTTCAATTGTTGATTTGCTGATTCATTTAATATATGATCTATTTCATATGATTGACTGTATTGTTTTTCTATTTGAACAATTTGATTCTCTATTTTCGATATTATTTGATCTCGTAAGTTATATATTATAGATATGTAATGATCATAATGATTTATGTGAGCTGGAGCAGGTGATAGTAATTGTTCCGTTTCAATCTTTTGAAGTAGTAATAATTTTCGTTTCGCTAGTAAGAATAATTTTTTGAATTTCTCTTGACTATATCTTGAAATATTGTTCCTTATTGAATGAATGGTCTCTTGTAATAATTTAAATGTATTTTGTTCTACTTTTTTACGTTTTTCAACGGCCATGTCGGTTATTTGACTTTCCCTAGCTCTTAATTCCTCTATTTCTTGTTTTTGCTCAGTAATCATCTTTAAATATGATCCTACATGACGATCTAAATTATGTTGATTCCTTATTAATTTTGTTTTAATTTCCTTAGCTCTATCAGCATATTTCAATGTATTTAAAGTTTCATCATAATGTATACTACTAGGAGCAACACATACAATCATAACTGTTTTACAATTCCCACCTAAAGAAAATTTCAATAATCTAGTTAATTTTGAATCTCTATAAGGTACATGATTTCGCCTTTTTGGATCACATAAAGCATTAATACAATTTCCTAAAGCTAATAATGACTTATTAATATTTGCTCCTTCATTTAATCTTACTCCTCTATTTTTAGTTGCTGCAGCTCTTTCACTACCTGCTAAATCAATTATTGATAATGTAGCAAATGTATGTTCTTCTTTTATATCTCCAGTTCTATTTCTTTGTACAACGTTTATTTGTAAAACTGCATGAGATCTACTTGAAGTTGCATTCGCCTCGGTGGGACTTGATGTACGATTAGCATTTCCTGCCATTATTAAATGCATAACTTCATTTACTGATTCTGGTCTATGACTTGATAAATTAGATACAGTAATTTTATTATTTGAATCTTCTCTAATTACTAATTTTTTATAATCAGTTTCAGGATTAAGTAAATCTCTTATTGTTTCATTATAAATTTCCAAATATGAAAGACTAATATCTATTAATTTTGTATCACTTAATTCCTCAATTTTTTCATATAATTCTTTCATTGTTAAAAATATAACTCCAGGATTATCTAAAGTACCCAGAATTGTATGAGTTTTCCCACATCCAGTTGCTCCATATGCAAATACAGTTGCATTATATCCATCTAAAACTGATTCTAATAATGGTCTTGTAGTAGCTTGATATACTTGATCTTGTGATGCATCTTCATCAAATAATTTATCAAATACAAATTTATGTTCTCTTATTCTTGATCCCTTGGGGAATAAATTTTTTTGTAATTTAGCTATTGGATTTGATTCTGGAGGATCAAAAATTAACATTCTATCATCAACTACATTTATAATTTTTCTAATTCCAACTTGTGACATGAATTTTTGTTTTACTATATCCTTTTCTGATAAACTTCCATCACTAAGGAAAATATCATCTTGATCACTTTTTATTAATCTTGTTGTTTCATTTTCTGTAAAAGGTCGTACTCGTACTGCTACTGTTATTGAAGATTGTTTGATTGCTGGTACATTAACTACTGTTGTTGCTGTTGATGAAAAAGTAGAAATAGTATTTATCTTATCATCTGCCATACCATTGATGATTTAAGTTGTTGTATGTCTTTTTAACTTATTACTTTATTTCAATGAAGTTCACTCTAAAGTAATTTGGTTTGTTTACAAAACTTTGGAGAGAGAAAAAAATTATTTTGATCTTTACGCGTAACAAATGTTTTAGTAGGAAGATATAGAGGGAGATATAGAGAAGATCTAGCATAACGATACTAAGAAATGTATAGAAGTGTAGTATATATATATTAAACTAGTGATTAAGATCAATTTATCCTATACTGGTATTATCGTCTATTATTTTTTCCTTCTTCTCAACAACCACCTCCTCTTCTTCATTCTCTTCAACATCTGTATCATCTTCATCACTTCTTACATCTTCTGCTCCTACTCCTATTATAACTTTATAAGCAACTTTTAAAATTAAATACATCCAAATACAAGTAATAATTTGTAAACCTCCTAATAAACCTAAAAAGGTATTAATAATTGTTGGTGTCCAACATCTCTTTTGTATTGTACCATTAACACATTGTCCATCTTTCATTAAATGTACAGATTTATGCCATGCATGATAAAAAATATAATTATAAACTCCATGTCTTAAAACAATCCAACTTATTAAAAATAAAACAAACATTCCATCACAAGCATTTTTTAAACCAGCATATTTTAACATTTTTGCTGCAGCTAAAAATATATCAACTGAATCCATAATCATTAAAATTAAATGACCAATTCTAAAATAATAATAATAATAAGAACCAATAATTAATAAACATGTAATAATATGATGACTAAACATTTGATAATGATCTTTTCTTGGTTTTTCAATATTTAAAACAAATATTTGTTGTAACCAAAAAGCCATTGAAACTAAATAATAACTTTTAAATTTCCCATCCATTAAAAAATTTGGCCAATTAATATAAATTTGATCTAAATTATTAAAATATGGAGTATCTAAATATAAATAAACACCATAAATAAATGATAAACTATAATAAACAAATGACCAACTTTGTTCTGCAAATCTTGTTTTGGCTTTTCTTGAATAAATATGACAAAATTTTGAAGCAAATGGTTCAAAACAATATTTCATTAAAAATGATCTTAAAAATGTTACTGTAATAACCCAATTTATTACATAATAAGTATCATCTATACTAATATCATATATGTCTATACCTTGTTCATTTATTCCAACTTTATTTTGTAAATGTATAAATTTATTTGTGAAATTTATTATTGATTGATTTCTACTTATGAAATTTAATGAATAAAGTAAAATCATAAGATTTCTACTTAATGGTATTTGATTTCTTTCAACTTTTGCTAAGAAGGAGTCATGATATTCTTGATCCTTATTGAGTTGATCTTGTAGTATACCGTCCTCCTGTTCATTTTGTTTTTCGTGGTGTTCATTATTATTAGATATAGTTGATGAAGATGTTGGTGATGTAGTTGTTGTTAATTTAAAACTTTCATGTCTTTGTATTCCTGATGATGATTTCAGTCCATTCTGTCTATTTATTGTTATTCTTGTCAGTGTTGCCATATTATTTTCATGAACTATTCAACTTATTTTTGACACATCAATTGGCAAATAACTAAATCTCTCTAGATCACAACACTTTCGGATAAAAATTGAGATTCGAAACAAAACAGTTGAAAAATTTGAATCTAAATTAATTTACGAAATAAGAAATTTAAAAAGAAATGAGAGAGAGAAAAAAATAAAGTATGTGAAGTATAACGTGGTATGAATTGTATTTTATTGTAAGGGGTAAGAAGATACAATCAGGTTGTATAATAGTTGGACGGGCTAAATTCGGTAATTCAACAGTAACTGCTCTTCTCCCCTAACTAACTGTATTGTACTGCTTTTACACAGCGTCGTTTAAACTTCTAAGAATTATGATATTCTTAAAATAGAACACGTACTCTTGGATTTTTATCAATTTATTGCTACCAAGTACAGCGGATTAACCTTACCTTGTGGTACCTGAACTGTTAACAATTTTATCATACTAATTTATCATACTAATTGATCATACCAATGCATAGTTCAAAAGTGTAGCAGAATTAACATAGCTTTGTTCAATGCACATTGGATGAGTTGAACCTTAAATGATCACAGCCCTAGATCACACTCTTCTCAAAAGCATTCCTTGTAACGACTTTTTCAAATTTTGTTCAGTATATCTATTCCATAAAACATAAAGATTCATAATATCTCTAACAGCTTCAACTATTTCATCTAAATTTATATGAGAACCTTCTAAAAAATTCATAAATTTATTTATTTTAATTGTATCTTCATCTAATATATCTAGATCAAAATTAACTAATTCATTAGTATTTGTTTTTGGATCTTCTTGATTATGTTGTTGTTGCTGTTGTTTTAATTCATTAGTGTCATTACTAGATTCTGTATTTGTCTTTTGAGATAAATTCATTAAATCATCAATGTTTAAATCTTTGTCATTTTGCTTCTCATTTGATGATATATTGTTATTTGAATCATTATTCTTATTCCTAGTATGAGATAGATTCTTTTTCAAAACTATTGTAATATATATAGCAGCAACTGCAATTATATGAGGTGGAACTAATAAATGTAAATCAGTAATATAACTATCATTAATTAAACTCCAAGAATTTTGTAATTCTTCATCAGTCAATTTAAACCCAATTTTATCATAATTTAATTCAAAATATTCTTTCAATTGTATTAATGATTTGTAAGGATGATGTAAAAATAAATATAAATCCATTTCTTCAATTAAATAAAATTCAAATTCTGCTAATTTTGTTGTATCATGTGGAATATATTCAGGCCATATATTTCTTGCTTCCAGTATTATTAATCTGATATGTTGTGGACATTCTTCAATTTTACATGAAACATATAAACATGTTGTGATTAATAAGTATACATTTATTTCCTTTAAACTTACTCTAGTTAAAAATCTAGTTAAATATATTTCTGCTGTTGCTAATGCAATTTGTCTGACATTTAATCTACGCCCTAATTTTAAAAGTAAATTATGTAAATAAATCCTCATATTATAATCATAGACAATATTAGGATAATCTTTAATTAACCCATTTTGAATCATTTTACGCTCTAGAAAGATTATTTTCCTTCTTGCATCAAGCAAGGAAGCTCGTGTAAATTGCCATTGGTTTCTTTGTGATGAATTCCAATAATCAGCAGACATTCTGTAAATGCTATATTTGAGTCTGGTATGGTGGTAGATTCGATTGATTCATGCATAAATGATTGTAAAAGGGTATGATCCCAGAATCTTATTCGAAATTTAAATTGAAAAGAGCTACCAAGCACTATACTAAAATCTGAAACACAACATTAAGTATTATTAAAGACTCTTTAAAGTATTTAGAGAAGACACACTAGAACTTTTGGAGGTACAATTCTTAACAGAGTAAACTGTGATGAAATTGACAATAAAATTTATACTATAAATTGTAACATGAAGTGAATACAAAGCGAAAAAAAAGAATTGAACATCTTAAAATCAAAATCAAGCAAACCATGCTATTCAACCATCCAGTGATTGGGTAAATACTCCTGAACTTCCTAAATCAATCCATCGTCCATTAAAATAACTTCTCTTTTGAAAAGTTCATCAATTTTTTCTTGTTCCTTTACCCCATTATTATAAGTATTTAAAGATTCAGTATTATATATGAATATTTTTTCATTTGGATCATTAATGTCATCCAATATTTTCCCATTTGGATATTGTTGTAATAATGATTGAACATCAGTTTGAGTTGTTATTGGAACGAATTCATTTAGATTTTTTGGAATGAATAATGATTGTGAATAAGTTGCAAACACAGTTAGAATTGATACAAGTGATAGTTGTTGCATTGATTTAAATTAATTGTGAGCTTGAAATGGGGATACCTTGCAAACCTTTGCCAAAAAAAAAGTATCAATGTGACGATTGGATTTGACTACTTATTTATTCGAAATGCTTCATAAGGGGTGCCTAAATTGTCATTACTTTAATTTAGATTTGAAAATGGTATCATTCTTTCTAAATTTGATTTAAAATAAAATTTCAATTAAATTGCCTAAAACAGAAATTTTACCTCGTAAATGTTTTTGTTACATATTTGTACTTTTTTCGGTAATTAATCATCCTCAAACATCAAACTTCAAGTATAAAATAGCAGCAACTAAACGATTCATAACGTTTTTGCCACATCTGCTTTATCTTGAAAGAAACCAAAGGAAAGATCTTATCTCAGCTTCACAGAAGTACTGAAAGTGGCGCATAGTGGATATATTGCATTTTCAATGCACATACACCGAATTTACCGCTTTTTTAAGTCAAGCAATAGTAATAATTTAAATAAAACTAGCTAGAATGTATTTAAGTTTTGACGAATAAGAGTTTGGTGAATGCAAAAGATGTTGCCCCAGATTTCGGAGAATTCAGGACTAAGTGAAAAAATGACAATTGGTAGCTGACTTTCCTCCGCAATAAGTATAGTCTACTCGATTTATTATTGAGTTCTTTCATATAACTTCAATAATTGATGAGACGAACCTTTCTCTACTGCTTGAATTACCTATGATACAATTGTTTAAACTCGTCAGTTCAGACCTTTCTCTCATACATTAAAATTATGATTTAATTGTAGGGTCAAATATGATTCGATTTCTGTAATTTAAGTTGAATTTTTCTTCGCGCTATCAGCGGACTTTCCATGAGCTTATTAGTTTTAAGTAACGAACAAACACGATGAATAAATTCTGCTCATCTAGTAGCACTTGACATACTAAACTTTTCTAATATGTGCTCGAGGAAATGGTTCCTGCTAAACTGGAATTTGAACAAACCATTCTCAAACAGCCGTCTCAAAAGTATTGAAAAAGAAATTGGTCCCGTACTCTTCACCTCGAGAAAAAAAATTAATAGATTCCAAATATAATTATACGATAACAAAGAATCAACCAACAATCTTTTAATTATAATTGCATCATCATCTACACTCTCACAGGACTCCAAAAATACGAAGATGACTCCCCCAGCGTATCAAAAAAATTTCCATACATCTAATCCCGAAGCATCATCAGCAATCGATAGATCATTACCAGAATTTGCAGCTGCAGAATTAACAGATGAAGATAAATATTTTAAAAATCATCAACCACCAAGTTATTTACCTGAAATTGAAAAAGAAGTTTTAAAATTTATTAAATATCATCAAAAAAATACAAACAAAAGAATTGCATTAGTTACATCTGGTGGTACTACAGTTCCATTAGAAAATAATACAGTTAGATTTATTGATAATTTTAGTGCAGGAACAAGAGGTGCAACATCTGCTGAATATTTTTTAGAAAATAATTATGCTGTTATATTTTTACATAGAGAATTTTCTTTATTACCATATTCAAGACATTTTAGTCATTCAACAAATTGTTTCTTGGATTTTATGATTGAAAATAATAATAAGATTGAAATTAATCCAAAATTTAGTAAAGAAATGTTGGAAGTTTATAAAAAATATAATCAAGCTCAAATTTCAAATTCATTATTATTAATACCTTTTACAACTGTTAATCAATATTTATATACATTAAAATTAATATCAGAAAGTTTAAAAATTTATTCAAATAAAGTTGTATTTTATTTAGCTGCTGCTGTTTCAGATTTTTTTATTCCACAATCAAGAATGCCTCAACATAAAATTCAAAGTTCTGCAACACAAGATGGTGAATTAGTTATACGATTAGCTCAAGTTCCTAAATTTTTAAGTAGATTAGTTTCAAATTGGACTTCTGGAGCAATGATTATAAGTTTTAAATTAGAAACTGACAATGCTATATTAATAAAAAAGGCAAAAAGTGCATTAGAAAGGTATCATCATCAATTAGTTATTGGAAATTTATTACAAACTAGAAAGAAAGAAGTTGTTTTTGTTTCACCTATTGAAGAAGATAAATGGATAAAACTAACAGATGAAGAACTTAAAAATGGTAAAGAAATTGAAAGTGAAATGATTCCAGCAGTTATTAGTCTACATGATAAATGGATAGAAAAGACATCAAAATGAGACCTTATGAAATAGACAAAAACTACTCCATTATATTTATTTACAAGAATGAAACACCAATACCATATTGAATACCTTTTCTTATTGAATCATTTTCATTAGCAACCAAAGGTAAAACAAAATTTAATTCAAATCTTGCCATTGGATGATTATATAATATACCAAATCCACAACTTAAACAATAAGAACCACCTAATTTTTTAAAATTTTGTAATAATGTTAATTTTTGATTGTATTTTACAATTTTTCCCCAATTTATAAAATTATGAAATTTAAAATTTGATTCTTTATAATATGGAATATCAGTGAATATAGAAACACCACCAACTGAAAATAAATCACCTCCAATAAATGAATTTTTATCTTTAGGACCTAATCCATTTAAAGTAAAAGCTCTAACATCATTTGGTCCACCAATATAAAATCTATCTAATATTGAAGTTTCACCATTTTTAGCTAACAGATATAATAAACCACATTTATTTGTATATAGTAAATGAGAATTTATCCAAGGTAAATGATAAGCAGTTTGTGATAATGAAGCGATTTTTAAAAATGGATATTTATTAAATTTTTTAAATATTCCATTATATTCTATTCCTAATTGAAATAAAGTTCCTTTAAATGGTAAATGTTTATTATTTCTTGAATCATAAATTAAATTATAAGCAATTGAAGATTTTATAGATTCTCCACATTGTTTCATAACTTGGAAAGATTTTGATCCATAATTATCTAAATTCTTTAAACTATTTTCTAATATTATTTCATGATTTAAAAATGAATTATTATATTGTGTATAAATCTTGTTTATTAAATTTTTTGAATGAACATTACTTTGAATCCAATCTAATTTTCTCGAATTTATACTTACAGAAGAATCAAATATATAATCCGCATTACTATTTATTGGTTGATTAAAATTTATTAAATAAGAACTTGAAGTTTTAGTTCCTGTTATTGCATCAAATGTTAAATTTTCTGCTCCTCCAAATATATTTCTTAATTGAAATTGAATATATCCATCTCCTTCTCCATTTCCAATATTTGTACCCGTTTTAGCCATGAATTTTTTAATTGGTAAAACATTGAAAACAGGAACAACATTAATTGCTGAACCACCACTTAGATTTTTTTTAAATCCAACAAATCCATTTGAATTTTGTTGATTGATTTGATGAGTATTACATAGTATATTCTCTACTATTCCTAATTTCATAAAATTTTTAGATATTGATTCAATTGTATGTAAATAATTTTCTAAAGATAGCACTTTATTTTCGAGCAATGGTTCAAATTGTTTAGCTATAAAAGAATCTCGATATTGTTCACCATTTGTAATTTGAACATTTTTAATTCGTATAGGTTGAGTAGAATTATCTTGAAATAAATCATTTAAAAATATTTGATTTTGTTGTAATAATTGTTTTTGTTTTTGTAATTGTAAATCAGCTAATTCTTTTTCTGCTTTTGATTGATCTGTGTTAGATAGTGATGATGGTGGTTGCTTTTTTATATTATCCATAAACTCTTCATCTTGACTAAATATGGACATTTTATTGTTAAATTCATTCAGAATTTGGTGATTGAATATTTTAGTTGCAAAGAGTTTGTTTGTGTAGAAATAATAAAATTTAAATTTCACTTCTTCAAAGAAATTACGAGATCTATTTGAGACAACTTTACAATTTACAATCTACATCAAAATTCATTATACATTTCTAATCAATAAAATCATTTATTCATTAACATCATTCGGGTGGTGATATAGCAACCTGAGGTATAGAAGTCAGATCAGGACTTAAAAATCCATTGTTACTTCCACCATTACTTGTTCCACCACCACCACCATTTCTTTTTTCCTCTTCTTCTTCTTCAATTAACAACCTAATACATTCTTTACCAGCTTCAGTTTGAAAATGTCTTCTTAAAGCATCAGCTCTTGCAAATTTTCTACCACATCCATAACTTTCTCCATTTTTTAAAAAACCTTTACATTGAAATTTTTTTTCACCACTATGTAAATCTTCATGTCTTTTTCTATCATGTTGTCTTGCAAATGCTTTACCACATTGACTACAAATGAAAGGTCTTTCATCAGTATGAGTTCTTAAATGAGATTTTAAATTATATGGTCTAGTAAATCTTTTATCACATAAATGACATGCATATACACTTGGATGTTTTTGAGTTCTTTTAGATGATTGGTTTGGTGATGCTAATTCTAACATTTTTTCTCTTGATGAAATTTGTGATGTTGAGTCTTGGGTTTCAGTTCCTTCTTCTTCTTCGTCTTCATCTTCGTAATCATCATTACCACTAACACTTCCAGCAGTACTTCTAGACCTAGATGATCTGGATCTAGGTCTTGGTGATAAACTATCAGTTGATTTCAAGTTCTTACCTCTACTTTTTCTTCTACCTCTTCTTGCAGATTGATAATCTAAATTTAATAAATCTTTTTCGTCTTCATTTGCTGAATTTGGCGAAGACGGTAGAAGTTGATTGTTGTTGTTATTTTTTGATTCATTTTGTTGGTTACTATTTTGTCTAGAAAGATTGTTGACTGAAGAATTAGCAGATGAATTGCTAAATAATGAAGGAGTTCTTGCTGCAATTTCTTCTGGTGCTTGTTGTATTGAGATCACAATTCCTGATGAATCACGCTTTATGAATCCTTGACTTGTTTGCTCATTGTTATAGGTCGATAAGTTATTTTCAGTTAATTGATCATTACCATTGGAATTAAGATTCACTTTGTTATTGTTGACGTTTTGATTATCTGATTGAGCAGGTGGAGTAACTGTTATATCAAAATCAAATCCTAACTGTGGATTAGTGAATGTATATTGGTTTCTTTCCACTTTCAGATTGATTGCTTCTTGTTTTTGATGATGTTGTTGGAATTGTTGTTGTTGCTGATGTTGTTGTATTTGTTGATTGTTTATCTGTTCTTGTTGAAAATTTTGAGTTTGATCAAATAATGAGAATTGAGGTGTTACATCAAAAGATAAACTTTGTTGAAATTCATCATAAGGTGCAATTGATTGTTGTCCCATCTGTCGTATTTGTGGTTGTTGTTGCTGATATCCGGAATCGGTTATTGATGCTAAATTTGAAGAACTAACTGATTCACCTAATCCAATTTCAGTGGTTTGTAAATAATTTTGATCATTTTCAAAATAATCATTATTGTTATTATTTAATAAATTTGTTGAAGAATGACCACCATGTATTGATCCAGCATCTGAGAAAGCCGTGGGTATTTCGGGTGGGTATAAATTATTATTACTGAATTGAGATGCAGCATCAAGAAAAGGTGAAGCTGGTTGTGATGAATTATCTGAATATAAAGATTGAGATGAACCATGACCAGGTCTTAAAAAGTCATTACCTTGATTTACTTGTAAAAAATTATTTTGTTTAATATTATCAATATTATTATTATTGTACTGTGAATTCATATCATTTGTTGGAAAATTTTGATTCATTTGTGAGTTTTCTGAGGGTTGATTATTTATGTATATTCTTTCATTATTATTGATTTCATTATAATTATTATTTGTAAAATTATCATTATAATTTGCATTATCAATTTGAGATTTGAAAAAATTCATTTGATCATTGTAAGTTGAATTATTATTCTCATAATTTTTCAAGTTTTCAGTACTCATATCATTTGTATCAGCATTATCATAAAATGTATTAGGAAATTGAATACTATTTGCAGAATCTTTACTATATATTGTGGTATCATAATTCATATAATTTGTATTCATTTGCTGATTTGGAAAAGGATTTAGATTAAAATTTGGAGGTGGTGATATATTTAAAACATTATAAATTTCATCATCTTCTTGTTTGTTGTTAGGATCATTTGACATAGTTGAAACTAATCCCATAAAATGAGTTGTTAATTGGTTTTACTGTTACTTTCTTTTTTGTGAAAATATGAGTATCAATGGGTATAATCTGTGATAATTTTCGAGGTGAAACAAATAACTAGTTGTCTGAAACCCTTGATAGGTGTTGTATAAGTATAATAATGAGTACTTGGTATATGTATGATTATAAATGAATTATGTGTATGTGTTTATCTCAATTATATGATTATATGTATGAAATTATGTGTATCTACTGTATGTATTATGAAAATATTAAGAATTTTTTCCCCTTACACAAAATTTTGTTTGTCCTGAAATTGAATGTTAGGACAATCAATTATTTATTTATGACACAATCACTTGTTAATAGGAATACTCAATTGAATAATTAAGTATTTACGATGTTTAAGTTTTGATTCAATTTTCAAGTAAATAGAAATCAATTGAAAACCTAGTCACAATCATCTAGAGAAATTGAGGGCAGATGTGTATAATTATATAATTTTAAAATATTGGTTCAAAGTAATGTTGAAAAATGAATGAAATAAATTAAGCCGATCTTGTGTAATAAACATCTACATAATCAAATCTTACTACTAAAATAGAACTCCATATTTCGATTAACCATATTTGATCAAAACATGTATCATGAATTAAATGAATAAAGAAAGTTCGAAAGTTAATGACAATTAGAAACGGCATTAGCAAACTTTATATAAAAATAAGAGAAGAATTAGATGCATCTTAGGAAATTAAAATAGAACGTTCATTTACTGTAATTTGAAACTTTAATTTTTATGGAATATTATTTAGCACACAATAACAGTGTAGAACTAGGCGCAGTATCAAATTTAATCAACCAATTCAATCATTAATTTTGCAACAGTAGAATGAAAGATTCAGGTTATAAATTGTTTTAGTCGAATTTCTCAAAACCTTTACTCACTATCCTTTACTTAAATCTACCAATCATAAGGAACCAATCAAGGTCAAACTTTAATATAATTTCTTGTTTGATTAAGGGGGTTTTTACAAATTTATCTGAAACATTTTTTCTTACCCTTTTTTTTTTACATAAGATTATTAATCAAGAACTGAGTTCTATGTATGTTAAGTGTAGAAGAAATGTAAAGCATGTTAAATCCAATCATTACTTAATGGAATACTTACTTAATGGACAATACAATTGATTGTTCTATTCGAATTTTTCTTTTTTCAATTGTAGTTTTTCGAGTCGTATTATTCATGAGTATGGCCACATACAATTAAGTCAAAGGATTGATTTTTATGTAAGCTATCCTTGTATTGAAATGACGAATGGAAACACAGTCGGTTATTCCCGTGTTATAACAATCGATTCATTATCTCGAAACAAGTCATTCATCATGTACAACCTTTGGTTACAAAAATGAAAAATAAAACGTTAGAATTCCAAAAGTCTATTCGTATTTATATTCGAACAATAGACGGTAGCGGTTAAGAATCATTCATTTTTTGATTCAGCCTCGATCGTAAGATAAGGGGACAAACAAAAAAAGTCGAATAGTGACTAGTTTGAGTATCTTACGGTTTTATAAGTACAGGACGGTTCTAAAATCATTAAGTTTTAAGAAGACAATCGAGAGTAGTAAAAATACGAGATAAGAAGCCTACTTTACTACTAAATGTTGAATATCCTTAGCCGCATTTTGAAATTGATCTATTGAAATCTTTCTGTACGAGAAAACAAATTAATTGAAATTGATATGATCCTATCAAAAGATGAACCAAATACCTTTTTGATGTTAATTTATTATTAGCTATCCATTCAGAGAATGATCTTTTCACACCCATTATATGAAGATATTGTCAGATATGCAAGCTAACAATAAATTAACATCAAAAAACATGCTCCACCTTAATCAATTCTTTGTTTGCACTCAAAAATTTTATACAAAACGACGACAAAATATGAATAAGGTAATAACATATTCGCAACTTAGGAGCTGGCTTAATGCATTAAAATTAACAACATAAGATCACTTTAATTAATTAACCAATAATTTAACGTTGTGGTTTTTATCTTTGATATCTACTATAGATATTAAAAGTTTCCTCAACAACAGGGTAAAAAATAAGCATTTATTTTGTAGTTCTATAATTTTGTATATTTAAATGACTTAATAAATTGCTTTCAAGGAAAAAAAAAAATACCAAATGCTCAAAGTAGTATAAATTGATATGTGATACATCGATTTGCTCGTATGGTCCATGTCTTAGTTCCATTTTAAGTTTTATTTCGAGTAACTACAATCCAGTGGTACGGATCAGTCATGTACGCAACAGTAGATTCTTATCTACCGGCAATGTGCAGCATTTTCAGTTATAATTCAACATCAAAAACTACATGCCAAACATCTGGAGCAAAAGTTTTGATTTTTTCAGTAGCAATAACAGAACCATTAAATTCCAGCTCAATTTCTAATTTCATTTTTTCAAAATCATTTACATGAACATTTTCATGTACATGAATTATAGTTTTGAAATCTTGTTCTCTAATTGCTTTTTCAGAGATTAAATTTTTTGCAATTGACCAACTTGGTTTAGAAGTTGGTAAAAGACCTAAATTTATATGACATAATTTTAATGAATTATTTGGTAAATTTCTTAATCTCCAAGGTATTTTTTCATTACTTTCTAAGAACAAAATAGCATCATAATCATTAATGTTATGTTCCAAGTGGAATTCTTCATTCTCCTTTACAATCTTATATTTATATCCTTGTTTCTCCAAACTTCGTCTAAACCCTTCAATTGACCATGGATTTAATTCCCAACATAATAATTTCCCACCATTTTTTAAATAACTTAATGAAAAATATCCAATTCCACAATAAAAATCAATAATTACAGTACCTTGCAACTTTTTAAATTCGTCTAAAATTCTTTTTTTCTCCTTGATATTACCTCTTGAAAACATTGTATATTTAGGAGCCCAAGTTTGATAAATTCCATTTTGAATTACATGACACCAAAATGCGTTTTGAAAATCTTGATTAGTTGGTGAATGATCATCTGATAATAAAGTAGGACCAAAATCTCCATATATTGGTAAAATATTTAAAGGTTTTCTCATTATATTATTTGTTTCTAATATTGGTTTGTTTATTGCTATATGAGTTAGATCATTTGTTCCAAAAACTTCTTGTTGGTTCTCTAGTAGCAATTCACAGAGTGACTTCGGATTATCATTACTTTCTAGTATATTTGAATCATTAAACAATAGCATAGGTGGGTAAATTGACCATCTTTTAGGTGGTTTTATATTTGTTTTGTTGTCATTGTTGTAAGCATCCACGATTGAATCTATAGTTTGTTTTTTCGATGAGTTTCCTTCATCTTCATTATAGTAATCATATTGAAAGTTAGATAATTCAATCGGTAGAACCTTTAGGGTAGTATATATGTGGTATTGATTGTTGTCGTTCTCTATTTTTTTGGTTTTATTAAGCCATTTGTTATCTTCTAGTAGTGTCTTGGTTGGTTTTATATCTTTTGAATCTTGAAGTTTTAACCTGATCATATCTTTAGTTGGTTGTAAAATATTTGATGAATTTTTTTTTTCAATAAATTAAGCGGCTGAACCACTTTCGGTTTTATCAAAATACGAAATGAAACCTAGTTAAGCAGTTCATCAACTAAGATGAAGGACGAAATAAATACTATCAGATGTAATAGCTACAAGTTCAGATTGGTGCTTCTTCATATGTGTTGTGGGTTTTTCATTATCGAAACATTTCCACGTTTTTGTTAGTATATTCCAAGGTGGTTGTCAAATCAAAATATCTAACCTTGATTGAATCCAGGCATTGCTCAGAAAGAGCCATTACAGCTTAATCGACCAAAATTATGTGCATGTTGTTACGTTTTGTTAAACCAGTAAAGATAAGGATATACTTTTCGAAGCTCAAAGTTTACATTTTTTGGTTGCAAAACTTTCTAGGTTTGATTGTTAAACAAACTAGGCTAAAAGAAAATGAAAAATAGTGGTTGAGTAGGTAACAAGCGTATTTACGTTTGAAACTTCATAAAATTGGAATAGACTCGGAAAGTGATGGTACTGTTTTATAAAGTGGAACTTCAATTTGAGTTCGTATTTCCTGAAACACGTCAACTCGATTATTATCATTTTGAAAGGGTGAATGAACACCGACTGTTCCATTCGGATTTCTTTCGAATCGTCAGATATTTTGTCGTTGAAATAGATCAAATGCTCATTTTTAAGACAATCATAAATTGAAACCAGTTCACATGCATTCAAGCACTTTTTTCAGCTTAATTTTCGAATGTTTGAATACTTCCACATTACTTTCTTGATAGCTTGTTTCTGTATCTTGATTCCCGAAGTGACCACTAGAACACTGAGTACCCTTTGACATAAATAACAGGAATCAATAGAAAAACAACGACACAAAATACAAATTGGAGTTTTTTTATTATTTTTTTTTTTTTTCAACAAACTTTCAACGAACTTTTATTTTTCTTTTCATATTGATTCAAATTTCAACACATTATACATTATATACTATCAGTCATATAGATACAAAGTACTTTCATTAGACAATTGAAGAGAAGGGATATCAAAAATATACTTGTCGTCCATTATACTTCCAAAATAATTGCAACAAACACGTCTATTTCAATTTGATTAGAATCTTACAATTCATATTCTATATAACAAATAAAATATATTCATTAGAAGTATTTGTTAATTTCCCTTAAATTTGCATTTCAATTAGACTACAAAGGGTAGTCATTCAAAAGTTTATAATTCAATACCCGAGAAGTTCTCCTTACAGTTTATATATCATGTCCGAAACAAATAATACGTCCATAGAAAATCAACCAAGTCAGGAAATAAATCAAACTACCGAACAACAACCTACATCCTCAAATGAATCACAAGAAAACGTACAGCCACAACATAATGAAGAGTCACAATCTCAATCACAATCACAACAATCTACTCAACCACAACAACAACAACCAGAAACTCCGGCATCTGCTATTGATGGTGGTCGTGAAACCTCAAATAAAATATTATATGTTGGAAATTTACCAAAATCCGCGTCAGAAGATCAAATAAGTGATTTATTTTCAGTTTCAAAACCAATTAAATCAATTAAATTATTAAATGATAAAAATAATTTAGGTTTTAATTATGCTTTTATTGAATTTGATGATAATCAAGATGCTGATATGGCTTTAAATACATTAAATGGTAAATTAGTAAATAATAGTGAAATTAGAGTGAATTGGGCATATCAATCAGCAACAATTACAAATAGTACATCATTAGAAGAACCAATTTATAATATATTTGTTGGAGATTTAAGTTCAGAAGTAAATGATGAATCTTTAAGAAAAGCATTTAGTAAATTTGGTTCATTAAAACAAGCTCATGTAATGTGGGATATGCAAACTTCAAGATCAAGAGGTTATGGATTTGTATCATTTAATAGAAAAGAAGATGCTGAATTAGCTTTACAAACTATGAATGGTGAATGGTTAGGAGGTAGAGCAATAAGATGTAATTGGGCTTCACATAAACAAAATAATACTAATAATAATAATAATTTGTATAATTCTCATAATAATGGAGGAGTTGGATATTTACAAAATAATTATAATAATGGTTATAGAAATCATAATAATTTTAATAACAATCGTCATCAATTTAGAAATAATAATAAAATTTATCAAAACAATCAATATGCACAAAACGGTCAATCATCATCTATACAGAATAATGGACTTAATGGGTTGACGTTGAATGATTTAGGATCAAATGGAAATCTTTCACAACAATCACAATCACCTATAAATGGTAATGGAATAAATTCAAATCAACAGCACAATAATAACAATAATAATAATAATAACAACAATAACAACAATATAACCTTAATGTCACCACAATCATATGATATAGTTTTAAGACAAACACCATCATGGCAAACTACAGTATATTTAGGTAATATTGCACATTTTACTCAACAACAAGAAATGATTCCATTATTACAAAATTTTGGTTATATAGTTGATTTTAAATTTCATCCTGAAAGAGGTTGTGCATTTGTTAAATATGATTCTCATGAAAGAGCTGCTTTAGCAATTATACAATTAGCTGGATTTAATCTTAATGGTAGACCTTTAAAATGTGGTTGGGGTAAAGATAGACCACCTCAATATCAAAATAGAAGTTAGGATATAAAAAGTATATACTGATATATATTAATATATTAGTGAAGTTAAGAATTGAAGTAGATTTGCGTGCTCTTTGTCTCTTGTAGATCAGTGAATAGTTGTTCTAGATCTAGTTAATATCGATTAATATCGAAAATTTCAAATTTGAAATATTTTTTTTTTCCACATACAAATCTGCAATATCATCATCATCACCAATTTTTTTTCAAATATAAACCTAATTGACTTATACTAAATCCTATTTCATCAGTTTGAATGACTATCGAGACAAGTTCATATTGCTCTCAATTCATCAATTAAACTAATCAATTCAAAATACATGTTATTTAATATATTTAATAGGAAAACAATTTTATTTATAATATTTAATTTTACAATCATTAATACATTTCTCAAATTGTCCTTATTTAAATCAAATAATAAATTTATATCTACTTTATCAACTTCATTATTAATTATCATATCATTATATTACTTATCAACTACATCCATTTGCAATTATTATATAAACAAGCTAACAAATTCTTTAAATTTAGACTTTTCATTTAATTTACCACATATTTTTCATAAAATTATGAATTCATCAAGATTTGGAAGATCAAATTATAGTAGATTTAGTTCTAAAAAATCAAAAGAGAAAAAATTTGCTTTAAAAAATGGAGGAGAATTAGGTGGGATTAGTAATGATGGAAATACATGTTTTATGAATTCTGTTATACAATCATTAGCTTCTTCAAGAACTTTAATTAAATTTATTGATTCTTATCTTTATTCCGAAATTGAAATTGATACTAATTCAAATAATGGTGAAAAAATTTTAATGAAATCAAATCAACCTAAACCTGAATTGATTTTTACAAATACTTTTAAAAATCTTTTAGATAATGTTAATGGTAAATATGGATCAAGAGGTAAAGAATTTAGTACAAAACAATTATTAAATAAAATGCCTAATGGTCCTAAACAAAATTTTTTTAGTGGTTATAGTCAAGAAGATGCACAAGAATTTTATCAATTAATTATGAATATTTTGGAAAAAGAATTTAAAAAAATGAGTATAAGTAGATTACCAACTCCTGAACCAGAAGATGAAAATTCAAACAAACCAAAAGAAAATAAATTTATTGATTCTAGAAATTTAAAAGATGTTATTTCTGGATGTAATAGATTGGGGAAATTAGGTCCAGTTTATATTCCAGCAGCACAAGTTGATCCAAATATGGAAGATGCAGAATATAAAGTAATGCCTTTAGAATTGATTACTCCAGTTGATGGTATCACTACCGAACGTATAGGATGTTTAACATGTGGAGAAGTTGGAGGAATAAGATATGCAGTCAATAGTGGATTAAGTTTAAATTTACCACAAAATCAATCATATTATTCAAATAGTTATGATATTACTCAATTATTAAATGAATGGATAACTCCAGAAATTATAGAAGATGTAAATTGTAATAGATGTGGATTACTACAAACTCATGAATTATTATCAACTAAATTACAATCATTATCAAAAGATGATAATTTCAAACTTATAGAACAAATAGAAGATAGAATAAATGCAATTGAAATAGAATTAAAAAAACCACAAATTACAGATGAAATATTTGAAAAGTTAACAACAAAAAATCAAATTAAAAAATCTAAAAAATCTAAACAAATTTTTTTAGATAGACCACCTCCTTTATTATGTATGCATATAAATAGATCTCAATTTGATCCAAAAACTTATATGATTTTAAAAAATCCAAGTAATGTTACTTTCCCTGCGGTGTTGGATTTAAATCCTTATATTGTTGAGCCAAATGATATTAATATGGATGCTAGACTACCGTTTAGAAAACAAGATGAAATAAGATTAAGACAACAACAACAACAGCAGCAGCAGCAGCAACAACAACAACAACAACAAGATACTGAGTTCAATGAAGATGTTGAAGAGGATAACGAAGTTGAAAATGCTGAGTCCTTGTCATCATCAAAGACAGAATCTTTTGATGAAAAAGCAGAAGTATTATCTACTCCAGCAACTACTATAGATTCATCAGTAACAACAACTAATCCATCTTTATTATATAATTTAAAAGCTGTTATAATTCATTATGGTACACATAATTATGGTCATTATATATGTTATAGAAAATTAAGAGGTACTTGGTGGAGAATAAGTGATGAATCAGTATATGTAGTTAGTGAAGAAGAAGTATTAGGTGGTCAAGGTACATTTATGTTATTTTATGAATATGATGATGGTTTTAAGGAAATTTTACAAGATGTAACCGATGATGAAGAAGAAGAGGAAGAACAAGAACAAGAACAAGAAGAAGAAGAAGAAGAAACAACAACGGAACCACAAAATCAAATTCAAGCTGAAAGCGATAGTGATGATGAAGATGAAATTGAAGATGAAATTGAAGATGAAATTGAAGATGAAATTGAAACTCAAGATAAAAAATTACAAACAGAATCAAATGAATCAACAAATTTAATTAATGCTTCAGATGATAGTGATAATATACCTTTAAATGGAAGCGTGGAACATTTTGAAAATATAAGAAGTTTAACATCAGTTACTCCATCTATAAAAGATGTTGAGATGGAAGATGAAGATAATGAAATCATAAATGAAAGTGATGATACAAATTTCAATATTGCTGAAGCTCAAGTTCATTTATAGATTAGGAAAAATTAATTGGGTGATATTAGAAAAATAAAAAATTTAGTTCTTTATTTATTACGTAGTTTTTAGAATCTATTTATTATAAAATATTTATTTGTAGACTAAACTCATTCTAAATGTTTCATGTTTCAAATTCTAAATTTTTGTGTATCGTTTTAGCGAAGATCATCATCACCAAAACTACGTAAACCTCACAAAAGTCAATGGCAAGAAAATTAAAAGGTAAGAATGTTTCATCAAAAGGTTTAAAAGGTGCATTAGCACGTCATAAGTTTCAAGATAAGATTAATGAAAAATTAAAACAAAATGCTGAACTTCAAAAAACAAATCAATTATTAAAATCAAAATCAATAAAGACATCAAAAAAATCAAAACAAAATAATCAGGTAGTGAAAAAGGGATTTATGCCATTAAAACAAAATGATACAGTATTACTAATTGGAGAAGGTGATTTTTCATTTGCTAAATCATTAATACTACAAGAATATATCAAGGTTGAAAATTTAATTGCAACAAGTTATGATTCATATGATGAACTTTTAAAAAAATATCCAAAAACAGCAAAAGAAAATGTTGAATTTTTACAAACAAGAGGAGTTATTGTTAAATTTAATGTTGATGCTACTAATTTAATTGAAACGTTGGATCTCAACCTAAATTCAAAACAGAAAAAATTGAAACAACAAGTTCAATTGTTTCAACAGTTGAGACCCCAAGATGAAGAGAAAGAAAGAAACGAAGACGAAGATGAAAACGAAGAAGATGAAGAAGAAAACGAAGTCAGAACCACATTAAATTCCAACAAATTCAAAGGACTCAATTATATAATGTTTAATTTCCCACATACTGGAAAAGGAATCAAAGATCAAGAAAGAAATATAAGAGATCATCAAAATCTTTTGGTTAAATTTTTCCAAAATTGTAATCAATTATTTGAACTAGTTAATCAAAAAGATACAATCAATAATGATTTTGCAGGGTATGAAAAAGAAGAAGAATCCGAGACAAATTCAAATGGTAAAATAATTCTTACTGTTTTTGAAGGTGAACCATATAATTCATGGGGTATAAAAATTATAGCAAAAGAACAAAATTTTAAAGTTGAACAAAGTGGTAAATTTGATTGGGAAATGTTTCCTGAATATCATCATAAAAGAACTAATAGTTCACAAGATACTACTAAACCTGCAAATGAAAGAGATGCAAGATTATATGTATTTGAAAAAAGAGAAAATTTTGACGATGGAAGTGGGAAAAAGAGTAAAAAGATCAAGGAAAATGAGTCAGATTCGGAATAATTTCAATTCATTTCATTTCATACATTAATAAAAATTTTATTATCATTTTAAGCTGGAAATACTCTAAGACAATTATCAATAAAAAAAATTTCTTTAGTTAAAGGATCTTTAATTTGTCCCTTTCTTAATAATTCATTTCTTTCACTTAAAAATTTATCATTTGGAAATAATAATTTATCAAATGGATAAATATTACCATTTGGTAATTTAAAAGGATTATTAAAAATATTTGTTATTAATTGAGCATAAGGTAAATTTCTACTTAATTGAAATAATTCTGGTGAACATATTGGACAATTATTTACTTTATTTAAATGTTTATAATAATGATTTGGACCTCTAAATTTGAAGTTTGTTAATGATGAAGTAGGTTTTGGATCTAATTGACGTTGATGTGGATGTGTATGTGATGATGAAGGTGCCGATGCAGCTACAGCTGCTGAAGTCATAGTAAAAGCTGTTTGTAACCTTGAAATATCATGAGTATTTCCATTTTCAACGACAAAATGTGGTTGTTGATTTTGTTGTTGTGCTGATTCATCTAAATCATTATGATTAAATTCAATTATTGACATATCATCAAATACAGTATTTTCAGTATTATAATAACAAGATTTTGTTTTTAAACTTGATAAACCAGCAGATAAATAAATAAATAAAGGATAATTCTTGGTGATACCATATAATTTTATAAAATTATTAATGAAACATAATGATAAACTTTCCCATCTTTCATTTGATAATAAATTTTGATAATCTTTATAATGTTGAGATTGAGTCATCATATTATTTGAAAAACTTGATATTGAAATTGATTTTTCATTACCATTACCATTAGTATTTGTCATATCAAAATTAAATTGATTATTCAAATTATTTATTGAATAATTTATATTATCCATTGATTTAAAAACTAATAATCCTCCTAATCCCTTTAATTTTTCAAGGTTATTTAAATGATTTTTTAAATCATCTTTAGGATAATTTTCTTTGTTTCCATAATGTGATAAATTATCTCTTGAAAATTTTATTGCTTCATTTATATCACCTTCTTCAATTAATGTTAAAAATTTACAATAATTTATTTCAAATTCAAGATTTGAATTTAATTTTTTTAATGAATTTTTATTTTCATTAAACCATGATATAATTAATGATAAATCATGTTTATAATTTATTGAAATAAATACATTATTAAATTCTTGAAATAAATCATAATCAATTAATTTTATTATATTTGGGTTTGTTGTACTTAATGAATTTAATAATTTTATCCCAACATTTTCAGTTTGTGATGTGTTAGATTTAATTAAATAATCAATAATTAATAAATTTGTTTGATCTCGATACCATTTTATTAGATTTGGGTTATGCAAATCAAGTATTTTATCATCATTATCATGACTTTGATCAATTTCAGTTCCATTTTTCTCTTCGGAAGGTTCTTTACCATTTAAAGACTTGTCTTTACCATTTTTAGTCTCTATTGGATGATTATTTACACACCATTTGCTTAATTCTTGAATATTATTTAACCTAGCAACTAATCTAGATCGATATTCTTCATCTTTTTTAATTAAAAGTTTTAATTTTTTCATAAAATTTTCAAAATTTTTAATTAATTTTTGAATTAATTCTAATTTCATTGATGATGATAATTTATCATTCTTTTTAATTTTAGTTACTTCATCACTTGTTAATTTTTTTTGTTTTTCAATAAGTTTTTGAATAGATTTAAAATTCTTTTTAATTAGTTCTATTGGGATTCGGAATTGAGTTTGGTGAGTTTGAATATGAAAGTCGATTGTAGGATCACTCATGGTTTAATGTGAGATATAGCAATTACCAATGGTGAGTTCTGCCCTTAGCTATTTCTTGAGGACAAATAAGGGTTGAAAGTTAGTTGGTTGTGTTGTAAAGTTTACTTTAATAATTTACCACAGTAAGTATGATTTAAGATTATGCACAAGAGATTATCCTAATTTTATATCCGTTTAATGTATGCTACCAACTGAGATATAAATATAGTTTTAAACATGGGGTTAACCATCAGAGTATCACTTATCAACACTACTATGAAAGTCAATTATTACTCAAAGTTAACTCTAATTTAAATTAAACGTAAAGAAAAACGAACTAAATAATCACTCAAACAGTTATAGCTTCAACTCCATCAACAACAGTTTCAACATCAACATTAGCTTGTTTCTTTTCATCTTTAATACCACTATTATTACTACTCTTTCCTTCTTTATTTTTCAATATATCATCTAAAGATTTTGAAGCTATAGGATCACTAGTATCATCAGTTGAAATTTTACCTTCTTTTAATCCATAAAATAATTTTTCTAAATAATTACCACCTTCATCAACATCATAAACAAATTCTCCATCAATTTCTAATGGATTATATCTATTTTTTGGTGCATATGGTATAACACCATTTATAAAATCTTTTGCTGTATGTTGAGTATAATAATGGAAATGTAAAGAATCTCCTTTTTCTTTTATTGTTTCAATTTCCCATTGATTTTGTTCAATTTCTGATGGAAGCTGCTTAGCACCTGACCAAACACCAGCTAATGCAGCAGCACTTGCTTCAATTGTATGGAAATTTAATTGAGACACAGTTATTCCAACAGTTCCTAAAGTTGGATCTTTTTGATCAAATGTATTCCAATATAATCCTCCAACTCTTGATAAATTACCAGGATTAATTAATTTTAAATAATCTTTTTCCTTAGTGAAAAATGGGAAATGATAATGATAACCAGTTGAAAAAATAATTTTATCATATTTATTACCTTTTGATTCATCTTTGAAAAAAAATTCACCTGTTTTTGGATCAATATGATCAATTGTAGGTTTTGAAATTATACCATCTGAAGATAATGCTTCATTAATATATTTAAAAACTAAATGTTCACCTCTTTTTGAAACTGTTACTGATTTAGCTACTGGAACAATATATTGTACAACATTAGCAGTTGAAATTGAATTTCCAACAACTAATACATCTTTACCTTTAAAATCTTCAACATTTCTAAATGATTTAACATGTAAAATTGAATTTGGGAAATGTTCATTAAATTCAGCTAATCCTTCAATATGAGGATAATAAGGAACAGTATAATGACCATTAGCAACAACTACAGCATCAAATTCTTCTTTATACCATTCATTTTTATTTTGACCATTTGGTTTATGTCTAATTGTTAATTCCCATTTACCAGTTTTTTCATTTTTTTCAACATTTTCAACAGCAGAATTTAATCTTATATAATCTAATAAATTTGTATCTTTTATAAAATTTGTAAATCTCTTGGTTAATTCATTATGAGTTAAAAATGGATAAATAGTTCTTTGTTGAGAATAATATTCTTTTTCATCTGGTAAATAAGAATAACGAGTAAATTTTTGAGGAATATTAGTAAATAAAAATGGGAAAACTCCAGATCTTTTCCATTCTAATTCGTTGATTAATTCAATCTCTTTTGAATTTGAGTCATCTTTGGTGTCTATCGGATGATCTTTATCAGTATTTGATAAATCTTTTGGTGATTTTCTATTTGGTCTTATAACTTCTGGATTACTATAATCTTCAGAATTTAAAATATCTTGTGGTGGAACATTTAAATCAGCTTTTTCAGTAGCAGGAGCCCAAATTCCACCTGCATGATCTTTTGTTTCAAAAGCAACAATTTTTTTGAATGCTGGATCTGAAGGTAATTTGTTTTCTTTGTAAGTGTTTTTAGCATTAGTTAAAGTTGATGAACCATCTTTTGAAGTATGTAAAAATTCATAAAGTGAAGCTAAACCAGCTGGACCTGCACCAATGATTGCAATTGATTCAATCTTTGGGATTTTAGGAGATTCGGTTGTTGATGAACCGGGATTAGTTGTACTTGTTGCAGACATTTTTGAGTTAAAAAATTAATTGATTCTATTTTACAGATCAAGAATTTTTCAATTCCAACTAAGGAAATATAAATATCTTTATACTCCTCTTGACTGGATATATAAAAAAACTATGGATCCATATTATACTTATTTTTCATTGTTTATTGTTAATTTTAAAATGATTTAATATAAAACTAATTTATTAATTTTATATACTTAGGGAGTAATTTTGTGTTATTGTTCTATATAAAAATTTGTTTTAGAAATAGCCACAGTTGAAAGTTTAATCATGTCAAAAATCCGGTACAGTTATGAATCATCAACCGATTAAGGAATTACAATCCTCCACAATTATTTAGAAGGATGGAGATTTAAAATTAGTATGAAGATATACTTACAGTGATCTTTTGATTCTTATCTAGTTTACTTATTCCATGAAATCAAGTATCTTTATGGATGCAAAAAGAGTAGCGAAAAAATAATAAATACATTTATCACTAGAATATTTGAAAACATAGACTGCTACTGGGACTACAATTCTACCAAATGAATCAATGATAACTTTTGATATATTTTAATTTGTTTATGCTTTGCAGGAACAAAAAACTTTAGTAGAGTTTTTAACTTGCTTTAATGTGGTAAATTCACTAACAAGTAAAAAGTAATCTGAGTTAACAGCTTGTTCAAACATGGTCACAATGTATTCTTTATCATCACTTATCTCCTTATATATTAGCAATTTTCCTCAAATTTGCAAATACTCTTCAATTCACAATATTTGTCTGAACAATATCTGGAGGAGGTAGTTCAGACAAATATTACAAATTGAAGAGCATTTATGGATTTGAGGAAAATTGCAGCTTAGGTACTGGTAAAATATTCGACAATATTTCATGAACTTCTTTAGCTTGTTCATCTGAATCATAACCTTCTTTAATTTCTTGTAAAACATCTTCACCTAATGGACACTGTTGTATTTCAAATGCTGCAGTAACTGCTGCAGTTAAATCTTCAAGTTTTTTTTTATCATATTCTGTAATTGATTTCAACAGTTCCATAAATCTCCTTGATAAACCGTCAGCAACATTAGTGGAACCACGAATTTAGTCAATTGATATTTCATATTCTGATAGTACATCTAACCATTGTGCTAATCTAGTATAAGGTGGTTTTATTATCTCATTACATTTTAGTGATTTTACCACATTGAAGCAAGTTGAATAGTATTAGTCTTTTTTCTAATGATCCCTAATGGTTTTGTGTTAATGCACTCCTGCAAAAACATGAAACTTTACTCCATTATTTGAACATTTAATCAATGAGTTTATTCAAAGGAAATGCCCCATTTACTGTACCCAACTAATTATGGTGCGAGAAAAGATTAATCAAAATAAACCTCTTCATGTTGACAACAACACGCTAAAAACGAAAGTGGAAAAGAGATACTCAGTTGTCCATCTAAGTAAAGCCGTTGAAACGTAGATTTCACCTATTGAAACACCTGAAAAAAAGGTCTCAAAATGTGGAAGCTGAGATAAGTCCACAATCTCAGTGTCCATCCAACATAAGGCAAGTGCTATTACAATCTGGACATAATCATCCAAAATGTACTTGGTGTTTATATTTTTCCTGTCTTATCTCTAGCGGGTTTGACAATATATTTTCTGGACAAAGATTGTATCCTTTGATCATCGGATCACACCAATAAAACCAATATAAGATAGTCTGGTCGTCTCAATATATTTTAAACCCACTATTGGCAATATATTGTAATTCGAGTGCCTTTTCTGGAACATAAAAATCCATCTTCGTCCAAATTGAGATCGACATAGATTTCCCCAAATATTTTACCTAAAACATTGCCTTAAATTCTGGCATAAAAATAAAAAAACTCATTTCACACGATCAAGGCTGTATCGAACAATCCTCATTTCTTGATTTGAGGTAATGGCTATGTACATTTTCAGCACTTAATTCCTAGTATTTAATTATTGTAGATTTCGATTAACTCAAATCAGTTTCCACACATTCAATAAGACCTTTGATTCAAATGCTTCAATGGATGAAACTCATTTCAACGACATTGTTTCGGGTATTTTCTTCTCACTTTCAATTCTGACATGTTGTTGTTGCGATTTAATGAGTAATTTAATTCAAAGGCAAAAGAGAAAATTTGTAAAATTGTTTTGAAATCGACAAAAAAAAAACAATTTCATAAATTACTTTACGAGACAAAACCAAAAAAGACAAACAAAAGAAGAAATCAAAAACACCATTAAATAAATAAAAATCTATATAAAACACTAAACAAGTTTAAAGAAAAATTCTAACCTAACAACCACCAGTTAATTTATTTTTAGGAAAAGTATAACCAGCATCTTCAAAAGAAGTTAAATTAACATTTTGATAAATATCTAAATGTTGTTGAATATAATCATAAGTAGGATAATCATCAGGATCACAACCAACATTAATTTGAGATGGTGGTTGATAAACTCTTACATAATCAATATGAAAAGTTGTTGGAAAAACCAAAGTATTCCAATCAATATAAGCCCAATTATTTGATATACCTAAATTCATTATTATAGACATTGGTTCTTTTGAAATTCTTCTCCATCCTATATTACCATCTGGATGTAAAGCATTTGAATAAACAGTTAATGTTGGATCTCTACCAACAAACCATCTTAAATAACCATCATTATCATCATTTAAAAATTCAAATCCATATCTTTGATAATTATGTTCTAATCCATCACCTCTTTCATACCATGTTATATTTAACATTGTTGTTGCTGAAAAAGCTTGTTGAAAAGGACCTCCTGCATAAGTATTCATTGTTGTTATTGAACTATTAAAAATTTCAATAAAATTATAATCTGGCATATACCAAATATCCATTGGAGCTAATTGTAAAGATTGTGAAGCAACACCATTTGATTGTTTTTTTGAACCAGCTGGAATTGACATAACTTCACCTTCAATAACATCAATTTCTGGTGCACCTCTTCCAACACCTCTATTTGGATGAGATTCTCCTGGACATGTACAAGAATTTAATCTTTGACCTGGTAAATATGATATACCATCAGGAGATGATTGATTAGGTGTTATACCAGCATCACAAGAATCATAACTATAAGGCCATACACCTTCAGTTGAAGCTAAATATCCAGGTCTACCTAAATTACCCATTGTCCATAAACCAGGCCATAACCCAGTTTTATAACCATAATTTGGTAATCTTGCACTTATTTCAATTCTACCTTGAGTAAAACACAATTTATTCCAACTTTGTACCATACCAGATCTATAAAATAAATTATGATTTTTAAAAGCATCCATTCTTAAAGTTAATGTACCATTTGCAGTTGTAACAGCATCTGGATCATACCATTCTAAATCTTTTGTTGCATCATAATGGAAATCTGGTGCTGTAAAAAATTGATCATCACCTTCATAAAATGTACGACCATCTGCATTAAATTCATCACTAAATACTAATGACCAATTGTCACCATTTTTGGAAGGTAAAGTTAATGCATCTTCTGGAGTATCAGGATCTATAAGATTAGTTCTTATAGCACTTAACATTGGATAAGAATAATGAGTTAATATTTCATAAGATTGAGGATGATAAGGTTGTGTTGCACCAGAATATGTAACAGCAGGTAAAACAACAAATACAACTAATGCAGCTAGTCCTAAAAACACTATACCAATTAATCCACCAGTTGATCTTTTATCTAAATTTTTTATATCATGTATAAATCTATTTTTATCATATTCTGCATCTTTTACAGGATCTGGATTATGTAAATAATCATCTGGTTCTTTATCTTCTATACTTAATGGGAATGAAGATGCAGGATAACCACCAAATGGACTAAAGTCATTTGGATAAGGACTTGATGATTTACTTGAACTTGAATCATCCAATGAATTTGAAGATGTAGAATTTTGAATATATTGTTGTTTTGTTGTCGTAGATGATTGTTTATCTTGTGGATGATTATATAATTGAGAAGCTAAAGAAGTTGAAGAAACAACTCTTGAACCAGCCATTGAAGGATATCTATCAAATTCTGCAGGACTTCCAGGATTTAATTTATTGTGGTTATTATAATCTTTATTTAGTAATCTTGTTTCATCTGAACTTGAATTTTCATGTATTAATAAGTTAGAACTACCACCATTTGAATAATATCCACTATAAGCATTAAAAGGTTTACCATATTCAGAATCTAAATGAGATGATTGTTGGTTGTTATGATGTTGTTGATTATTTAATCTTTGATTTTGTGAAGATGATGAAAATGAACTTATATCTCCTTCTTCATCAGCAAATGGATTTCTTGTATTATTATAATCAGATGAAACATCTTCATTATCATTTATAGAAAATTGAGGAGCATTTGACGTAAGATTTCTATCTGATGCCATTGTGTGTGTTTGAGTTATGTTTTGAATTTATTTTATAGGCCCAACAATGTATTTAATTGGTGGTTGGAGGGTGGTGTAAATGCTACGATGAAATGATAATAATAAAAATAATGCAAATGTTTGAATAGGTTATTAGATATTAAACTTTAATGTCAACCCCCAAAGAAAATTGTTTTAAATGTCAAAATAATATTATATTATGGTAAAGATTCCAAGAAATGTATAAATCTGTTTCGTAAAATTTTATTCTTCGAATCTTGTTTTTGAGATCTCTTGGTAAAAAATATTTTTAGATTTGATGAACAAAAATGGAAAAATTGAAAAAGTTGTGAATGAATAAATTAAGTATATGAATAAAAATGCAAAATGAGTGTGATTTGGTGAGGTATGAATATGTCTAAGGATGAGTTTTGGTTTGACTAACGAGTGAAGTTTGGTGTGTTTTCTATAAGTATATTGTTGATGTAATGGTATTAAATTAATTAATTATAGAAATTGAGAAAAAGAAAAACAAGAATTTTTTTTTTTAGTTTTGTCAAGAGAGTATTTTTTATTTTTATTTTTTATTAGTCTATTATTATTTTTTCATTCTGTGAAACATCAACTTGATACTCAATTTGCAGCTTAGAAATATGTAGGAGGTTGGGTTCACTAGCTCTTTGATCTGATAGAGAGAGTAAAATAGTGAGGTTGAGAAGGTTGAATAAAAATCGGAGAAATGTAAGCAGCTTGCAGAGTTAGATCGGATAGGATTTTACCGAATGGGATAGCAAAAAAACTTTAGAATCTCTTGTACTTTATGAAAAACTACTTTCTCGAGGAAATAAGCAGTATTTTGGTTCATCAGCTCGAGGAAATAAAGCTGAATACGTAGTGGTATGAAGTAGTTTTCTCTATACTATACCATGCTTCGCTTGTATGAAATTGAATTTTGTTTCTTCAGACACAAAGACAAAGTAAAAAAAAAAATTAACATTGCTATCAAGATAAATTTACATTTTTGATCTATGAGTAGATGAATTCTATACCTATATGGGATCTTGTATTGTCGAGTAAACATCAACATGAATGACAAGTAACCAATTATGAATGAATGTGTTCAATAAAACCATCCAAATATGGTGACAAATGATATACATTGGGTAATAATTTACATGTAAATTGAAATAAGATGATTCACGTCAAAACTTGTGTTAAGCCCACAAACTCATTCTAATAACTGTCCTTGTTTTAAGACTTATTCGCGTCGACTGCCTCTTCAATTCATATACGTCGAAAACTCTGCTTCCATGGTTCAATAATTAGATGTATCATCGACTAAAACAAAACACGGTACAAAAAAAAGACCTAATAATTGAAGTCGAGATTTAAGGGCTTTTTGTTTTCTAATACAAGTACAAAATCAAAAAGGATAATAATGTCCACCAAAATGAAATATAAAGACAATCAGGCTGTTCTTAATAAACAAATTAATAAGTAGAAAATGTAAATAAAAAGACTTAAAATGGAAATGTTCCTGGGTATGTATAGTACATATATGTAGGTTATATATTATACAATAGATTCCCTATTATAGGATGATCCGGTTTTAATTAATTAATACTTATTATTTTTTAAATAGACGCGTAGAAAATTGTTCCATCATTGAATCAATGAAATAACTCAGAATTAAGGGATAGACATCATCATCTATCTTGACACTCAAAATTAAGTCATTGCATGACTTTAGTTATAGACTGTAAGGAGTTTAGTTTAACTAAAAAATTTAATATTGTAATTAATCTCTCGAGGCAGTGTTCCTTTGTTTTTTTTAATTATTGGTTGTAGGAATCGCGCAAATACAAAACAAATTTAAAATTAGAAACTTATCGCAGTCTTACAAATTAAGAAACAGAAAAAAAAAAAAAATAAAACAATTTGATTCATTGTATGATGAAAAGGTAAATAGAACAAATTGATTCATTGTATGATGAAAAGGTGAATAACATATTTCTTTAAAACCTAATGAATTAATGAAAATAGTTGCATCATTTATGATCGGATGTATTCTGAAAGTACGCATTTTGAACATGGGTTAAAGAATTTTGTATTGAAGCTAGCAGAAGGAAATTGTGATGAACTTGGTATGATTGATTCATTAATTTTAAATTGAAGAGCTCAAAATAAAGCAAAAAGATGGTAAGTTCAAACTACTAATAAATTAGTGAAAATAAATCTACATATTGATGCAACATGTAGAAGGTGGTCAGTTACTTTCATGCAACAAAGGAGTTAACAACAGAAATTGGCTGGAAAGAGATCTTAAAGACTTTAATTGATGATCAGAATACTTACTTTCAAAATAATATAGATTTGTCTGATGTGAGTGATGTTACTAATTTCAATACTTCATTAGGTTTAATGAAAGATCAAACTACATTGGAAAATTCAATAACCGAATTAAAATATAAGCTCGGTTAGTGGATTTTCTAATATATTTCAAGATATAATAGATCCGTTATCAACAGAAGTTATGTTTTATAGGTAATATAGCAATCAAAGGCTCGACACTACAAATTTATTCAAGAACCTCCATCATTAATTGAAAGTCATGTTCAAATTGTTATTAGAATATTGAAATTATTAGCTGAAACATGACTTAATATGAATCCATCAAATTTACATGTTTTTATACTAAAATGGGTTAGAACCTAGTCATTATCAGTTGATGCTTAGCTAGTCAAAACAATTCAAACAATTCAACGAACAATGTGCTATCGAAATACATCTCCATAAACTGTCAAAGAAATTTCGTGCCATCGATACGAAACATTTCAAGAATTAAATTTGAAAATCCGCTAATGATGAGGAGATATTAAAATTTGTGGAGGCCGGTTTTGCATAAAACAAACTAATTTATCTTACACAGCTTTAAGAAGCTATGTGATGCCGGATCAATTGTACAAATAGTTATCATCGGAGAAATCTCAATAATTTGACTACAACTCACGTATTCAGATACATACAATTCCTACACTCACAACTAAATACAACTAACATATTAGAAAAATTAGAGAATTTAACTGAAACGATACTAAATTACAAGTTTGTACACTCATGTATGGAATCATGAAGCTAACTCGAAAGTGACAATATATATAATAGGCATATAACTTAGGCATATAACAATATGGATTTTGTGACTTTTATATTGGGTATATTGTCACCTTTGAGTTAGTTCCAGGATTCCATTTGCGAGTTTATGAAATATTAAAAGTTGATTAATCTGAACAAATCATTACTTCTAACTCAAAGCGTTTGTTGTATTGTCTACAGCTTCAAAATATTTGAATTAATAAACTAAGGAAATTCGAGGTGTCCAAGGGTCAGAGAATACAATAGATTTGTTTCAAACTACAAAGAGAAGTTTTTAACAAGGGCGAAAACGAATATATATTAAATTAAAAACCCTGAATATACTATGATCGCCAGCAATATTTTATATATCCTATTGAAAAATATACTTCATTATTTGTCAGTTAACTATTTTTTAAATAATTGTTTATACCTCTTAAACCATATTTATTAGTATAATAAAAATATTGTAATTTTAAAGGATCAATAACTAAATTTTCAAAATCTAATTTAAAATTTGAAAGTGATTTTATTTTATTTTTTAAACCATATTCTTTACAATATTTTTCTGATGAATCTAATGCACATACTATATTATCATTATTTTTATAGTTTTTGGTGGTTGTTGTTGGTGTTATTTCAAATATTTTCCAATTTATCATATCCTTGAGTAATCCTTTTATATTTAATCTAAAATTTGTATAATCTGCTATTGTTAAAGTTATTGTCATATAATCTTCTTTTATATTATTTATGATGTTACTAATATCAGGAATTCCATTTTCTTCTAATAGATTATATTCTTCTTCATTGAAATTTATTTCTTTAAATTTTTCAATTGACCATAATGATATACCATTTGGAATTAAAATATTTTCTCTAATACATACATTTTCAGGATACATTAAATCCCAACCAAATACATAAAGATCAAAAGTTAAAGCTGATGAAACATGAGTAATTTTATAAAAAATTTCTCTTGTTTGTTGATCAATTTCTTTTGTTATAATAACTAAATTTGGTCTATACATAGTTCTACCACATCCACAATTATTTAAATGACATCTTGCTATACCAACCCAAATTTCTTTTGGATATGACGCGGGTAAATTTAAAATTTCATTAATATTAATTAATTGAGTACCACCTCTTAATGGTCCTATTGAATTTAATAATGATAATTCATTATTTAATCTATATTCAAACAAACAATCACCCTTAAAAAATTACATTTTAAAACATCTAAATTACCCCATTTAAAAATAAAATATATGTGTTGATCATATCCATTATTTTCAGGTTTAAATCTATCTAAATAACTTAAAAATGGAGTCCAATTTTTTTGAGTTTTTGAATATTTATAACCTAGTAATTTTAACTCTAAATTTCGAACTTCATTTTTATCACTTTCTGGGTTTATTTGCCATGGCCATGCTAAAAACATTGATCTATAATGTTCCCATTTTGGTTCAACACCATCTGAATTATCTTCATCAGGATATGTTAATTTCATATGATCTGCATTATAAATTAATAATGGTTCTACATATCCTAATTTATTTTTTACAAGAATTAATCTTGGATCTTCTGGTCCATAAAATTTTCCATTTGGATCATTTAAATCATAGAAGAATGGTATTGATATGAATTGTGGGAATGTTAATACTTTATGCTTTATACTAGGTGGTGGTGGTTGTGAGGTTTTATCTTTATTTATTTTATCTCTCTTATTGGTATTTTGATTTTCTTTTTGATTATTATTTTCATCGGTACCTAAATTTTCTTCTTCTTTTATATCCATTTGATTTTCTTGATTATTTTCAGAATTTTTATTTTCTTCATTTCCTTGTTTTTCATCCAAATTTTGTTTGGTTTCCCCTTCTTCTTGTTTGTTTTCTTCCTGTTCGAGTTCTTGTTTAAGGCTTTGTTCAAAATTTTGTTCAAAGTTTTGTTCAGCTTGGCTTTCACCTTCTTCCTGTTTCTGTTGATTCTCACCTGTCACCTGTTTAGTTTCTCCTAGATCTTGTTTAGTTCCTCCTTCATCTTGTTTAGATTCCCCTACATCTTGTTTGGTTCCCCCTAAATCTTGTTTGTTTCCTCCTGTTTTTGGTTTATTTTTCCCTATTTTTGATTTAAGTTCTTCTAGTTTTTCCAGATTTTGTTTTTGAGTTTTATCTTTATCCTCTTTAATTTTTGATTCTTTATAAATATTATTTAAAGCATCTTCAACATTTTCCATTGGTATATAAATTTTAAATCCATCAATTTCATTCCAATTTTCATCAAATATTTGAGCGTAGGTTAAAGAAAAAATAGGTTGATTTCTTATACCAGTAGGACAATATAAAATTCTAGTAATTGAATAATGAACACTATATTGTTTTAACCATGTTGAACTTTCAGCTAATTTAAACCAAAATTTATCAACAACATTTAAAATAATTTGTAGTTTTATTTCTGGTAATAACATTTTTTCTAATTGTTTTAAATATAAATTACCTTCACCCTCGGGTTTTTCAATTTCTTTTAAAATTTTAGATACAATTGGAGTTAAAGAATTTTTAAAATTAAGATCCTTTGCTTCACTTATTTGAAATTTTGAAAATTGATTTATTTCATTACATTTTGATAAATTTAAATTTATTTGTTTTAAATTATTAAATATGGTTATATTTTTTAAATCATGATATTTAAAAGATTTTTGATTGTGTATAGGATTTATTTCTTTGGCAATTGTAACTTCTTGATTTTGATTATTATTGGCTAATTCTGAGATTTGTTGGTCAATTCCTGTTATAAATTTTGAAAATTGTTTATCATTTTTAAAATAATTATTGGGGAATACTATGGGGAGATTTTCGTTGTTATTTGTTTGCGAGTTTGTATTTGTATTTGTATTTAAATCTAAATTTGAATATATAGGTGATTTAATAATCTTATAAACATGTTTTGTAGTTTCTGATATTGATGATCCATAAAACAATTGTAAAATTATTATAAATATTAATATACCAAATATCCAATATATTATACTTGATTTAAATTGTCTAAATGATTTTCTAATAAAATTCAAATTCATTTGAATATATGATGATACATTTAGTTATGTAAATTGATATTATATTCAACACTTATTCCACTTGTATTTTGAAATTATAAACTTATGAATTTGATAGTAGTTTAAATAATTTATTGAAATTCCAAACATTTTTCTCAATTAACTAATTACTAACCCTTTTTAGTATCAATTTTGGTCTGATACATAATTATCCAAAATATATATAATGTATAATTACTTTGTATAAAAAGTTCGTAAATGAAATTTAAAAATGATTATCAGTAGACTATCTAGTAAATATTAATAAATGAAAAACGTGATTTTCATATTGTTAGTATTTATCCATATTAATTCCTCCATTATTTGATCAAAATTTCCATCCGATACAAAGTTTTACCATTGTGATAATCAATTTTAGTCTAATTTAAATGTAGATTGGGTAGATAAATTTGTATAGATTTAAAGATTAATTAAAAACGATAGATCTATTACAATTTTTAAAATGTATCACAACTTCTCACTCCTTACACAGTGTGGAATTTAAAACACAATTATTTTAGATTTGTGTAATATTATTTATTTACCTTCTATTTTAAAACAATAATGTCGTAAGGTACATATGAAACTTTAAAGATTATAATGCAGTGATGTGTAGTAGCTTATGATTCAGCCAGTCATTCTATTTCATGATACATTAAAATATGTAAATTTTACTGACAAAAATATCTTCTTGACTTGCTATGTGCATCAAACAATCTTATACCTAATTTTTATTCAAGCAATTTGTATCAAAAATATGATCATGTGTTAGTCAAAATCATAATTAATTAGATTAACGCAAAAAAACCCATGTCCTTTGAAGCTAATGAATAACCCACAATTCCGTAGTGGGGAAGTAACTAAACTTAATTAAAATGAAATTTTAACCATTCGCATCTACTTTTAGCTCATAATTTCTTCGATAATGGTTATGATTGAGTTCATATTTGATTAATTCATTAAATTGTTAATCCAGCTTATGAACTAAGTTAAACTTAGAACTAAAAGAAATAGTTTAATGTGTATGTATGTATGTAATAAACTTTAAAATTAAGATAAGGCGAACCGTTTATTATTTTACGACAATTCTACCAACAGATTAAAATTAGGCTAAACCTTAGAATTTAATTAGTGTGTATTAGTTAACGTATTATGTAATATCTTATGCTAACTTCGTATGTCGTAGACATTTAAATTTTAAGACATATTGCAACTTTCAATATTCATAAGCAAAAAAATTTTGCAACTTCAATTATTAAAACTTTTTCAAGGATCAAAAACTTGTAGGTGGGATCAAAAAGTATGGGACTAGTAAGTTTGATTCTTCAAATTCCTGAAGGAAAAGATGCCACATCCTTTTGATGTTAAAGTTAAGGTAAATTGTAGTTATAACTAAATTCCAACCGTAAGTCATACTCTCACAAAAATTCCAATAGTTACCAAAAATTTATACAAACGATGCCTTACTTATTCCGCTTTAAATCAATCGACAAAAATCAATTTATGGTTTAAATCCCTCTACTAGACGTATCATAGTAGCATAGTTTTGCTCTACAAAACTATGCTCTAGTTGTTTACGCGCGTGTTTTAAATACTAATGAAACACGTTAAAAAAATAATCTTTATCAACGATAATGAAAAATAAAAAAATTTCTATTTATTAATTTATACTAAGGAGTATCAATTTTTAACAAAATTTTAAATTGGTTGAAACCACCATTTGACACCCACTTACTGGATCATTACACACTCATTTAACCCTTGATTCAATTCTAAACTATATCAAATGCTCAATACTAGAAATATAAGGTTAGTACTTGCAGTATTAGCTATACTTGGTATAATAGCATTTTTTGCAACATCTCAAAATTCAATAGGAGAAAACATACAAAGAGTAAATAAACCAGCTGCCAACAGTGATATAAAAGTTGAATCACCTGTAGATAATAAAAATCAAAAAGAAGAGATTAAACAACAAATACCTCAACAACAACAACAACAACAATCAGCAGAAATTGAAATTGAAGATGATGAAAGTTCAAATACTTTACAAGGATCTAAATATCAAGGTACTAAAGCTCCATATGAAAAAGATGATAAACCAAAAAAAGTAATAGCTGAAAAATTTACACCAGAAAGTAATAAAGAAACTAATGATAAAACTAAGATTACAACACCAAAAGAATCTAATTTTAAACAAGATTGTAATGATGTTGAATATGTTATAATGATAGATGCAGGAAGTTCAGGTTCAAGAATTCATGTATATGAATTTAATACATGTGTTCAACCTCCAAAAGTATTATCTGAAGAATTTAAAAAATTAGAACCTGGTTTAAGTTCTTATGATACTGATACTATTGGAGCAGCAAAATCTTTAGATCCATTATTAGAAGTAGCTTTATCTAAAATACCTGAATCAAAACAAAAATGTACACCAATTGCTGTTAAAGCAACTGCTGGTTTAAGATTATTAGGTGAAACTAAATCAGAAGCAATATTACAAGAGGTTAAGAAACATTTACTCGAAAATTATCCTTTCGCGGTTGTACCTGGAGATGGAATTTCTATATTAGATGGAAAAGATGAAGGAGTATATGCATGGGTTACAGCAAATTATTTATTAGGAAATATTGGAAATAAAGATAAATTACCAACTGCAGCAGTATTTGATTTAGGTGGAGGATCCACTCAAATTGTATTTGAACCTGAATATAAAGATCAATTACCAATAGAAGGAGAAACAAAACATAAATTTTCATTTGGTGAACATGATTTTACATTGTATCAATTTAGTCATTTAGGTTATGGATTAATGGAAGGTAGAAATAAAATAAATAAATTAATATTAGAAAAATATTTAAAAAAAGAAGAAGGATCAAAATTGAAATCTTATAAAACAAAAGATGAAGCAAAAGAAGTTAATGCTGATGTTGAATTATTGAATCCTTGTATTGCACCTGAAGTTATAGCAAAAAATATTCAAGTTAAAATTGATGATAATATTTATGTTGTTAATATGAAAGGACCATCACAAGCTTCAGGTGGAGCTCAATGTAGATATTTAGCAGAACAAATTTTAAATAAAGAAGCTTCATGTAATTCAAAACCTTGTTCATTTAATGGAGTTCATCAACCATCATTAACTCATACTTTTAATAAAAATTCAGATATGTTTATATTTTCATTTTTTTATGAAAGAACAAATCCAATTGGAATGCCATCAAGTTTTACAGTTGAAGAATTAAGAGATTTAACAAAATCAGTATGTTCTGGAGAATCAATGTGGAAAGATTTCTTTTTAGATGATCATTTAATAAATTTATCAAAAAATCCTTTATGGTGTTTAGATTTAAGTTTTATAACTGCTATGTTACATACAGGTTATGATATTCCTTTAAATAGAGAATTAAGAACTGCTGAAAAAATAGATAATAATGAATTAGGTTGGTGTTTGGGAGCTTCTTTACCTTTATTAGATAAAACAAATCCTACTTGGAAATGTAGGGAATAATAAATAGACAATAATGAAAATGTTTGCAAGTTGACTCTGTAACGGATATTCTTCATCATTCTTGTACCAACCTTCTGCAACCTCAATAAATAGTTGAATCCAACTAACTTGTGATTCCCCATATTTTTCCGCTCTATCATTTGATATTGATTAAAATATCTCCATAAAATTTATTATATTTCCGATCCGCACTTTTCCCAAAGCAAAAGAAAAATTAATGAGTTTGAATCTTACATGACAAACCAAAGGAATCACAAGATCTAGTCATACCTATACTAGAAAATTTACAGTTCAACCTACATTAATACTCATTATTAGCTTAGAGTTCAATAAAATACTAAAATAGACAATTTTTTACACCCAATTTGCATACATCAATCATGACTGACTATACTCAAAGTCAATTAACTTCACAGTTGAAGAAATTAAATACAAATGATTCAAACAAGAGCCCCAAAAAGAATATAGAAGAGGATGTTTTTACCAAGAATGGAAATCAAAATTTTAATTTACCACCAGAAATTCACCCATTAACTAAAATAGTATCACCATCTGATCCATTAGATCTACAACAAATTCGTCAAGTTAATCAAAATCAAAATGGTTTATCTCATACAAGTTCTTCTTCATCAATATCATCATTAGCAACAGAAATAATGAATCCACAGAATCTACATCCTACAATTTCACAACAATCACAATCGAACATAGTACAACCACAACCTCAACATTCTTCATTTCGTCGTAAAAATTCAATACATAAATTTAGTCGAAGTCAATTTAGTTTAGGATCTTCATCAACTACTCCAAGTTCAACAACAAATTTACCAAATGGTTCAAACTCTGCAGCAAATTCAAATTTACATAGTATATGTAATTCACCAAAAGATATATTTGTTAGAGAACCTCCAAGAATTCATTCAAAATTATATTGTGATGAAGTTGGAATAAATAATAAAACTGCAAAAGAAGTATTATCAAGATTATCATCTGATGAATTAAGATCTGTTAAAACTCATACTGAATTAGCAGAAACTGCAAATGGTGTTAGAATGTTGGCTAAAAATTTATCAAAAGCTACAATTCAATTAGATGTTAAAGCAATGATGATTATAACAAAAGCAAGAGATAATTCATTAATTTATTTAACTAGAGAAGTTGTTGAATGGTTATTTACAAAACATCCAAGTGTAACTGTATATGTTGATGAAAAATTAAAAGATTCAAAAAGATTTAATAGTAAAGGTATATTAGAAGAATTTCCAACTTCTTCTAATAATTTAAAATATTGGAATAAAAAATTAGCATTAAAATCTCCTGAATTATTTGATTTGGTGGTAACATTAGGTGGTGATGGAACTGTATTATATGTTTCAAATTTATTTCAAAGAATTGTACCACCAGTATTATCATTTGCATTAGGAAGTTTAGGATTTTTAACAAATTTTAAATTTGATCAATATAAAGAAAGAATGAATCATTGTATTGATTCAGGTGTAAAAGCAAATTTAAGAATGAGATTTACTTGTAGAGTTCATAATTCAGAAGGGAAATTAATATGTGAACAACAAGTATTGAATGAAGTTGTTGTTGATAGAGGTCCTTCTCCTTTTGTTACACAATTAGAATTATATGGTGATGGATCTTTATTAACTATAGCACAAGCTGATGGATTAATTATAGCTACTCCTACAGGTTCAACTGCATATTCATTATCAGCAGGTGGATCATTAGTTCATCCAGGAGTAAGTGCAATAAGTGTTACACCAATTTGTCCACATACGTTATCTTTTAGACCAATATTATTACCTGATGGAATGTTTTTAAAAATAAAAGTTCCATCAAGTAGTAGATCAACTGCATGGTGTTCTTTTGATGGTAGAGTAAGAACAGAATTGAAAAAAGATTATTATGTAACTGTACAAGCATCACCTTTCCCTTTCCCAACAGTTATATCTTCAAAAACAGAATATATTGATTCAGTAAGTAGGAATCTACATTGGAATATAAGAGAACAACAAAAACCTTTCAGTTCATATTTAAAACCAGAAACAAGAAGAATGATTGTTGAAAATGATGATACTGCCAAAAAGGATGAAACAGATGATGAAGAAGAATTTGATATAGATTATAGTGATCAAGATATAATAGAGGAAAAATCAAATACAAGTAATGATTCAAATAATACTGAAGAATTGGCATTTTTACCAGCTAATGGTGGAACTGCTACTCCTCAAACTTTCCATAATCAAGATGATAGATGTTGTTACGCTCATCCTCATGCTAGAGTACACTTAAATGGGAGTTAACTATCCTTAATTATAAATGTCAAAAATTGAAATAAAATATTAATGACACATCAATTGACTAAAAAATTTCTTTTCAAATTTTTGTTACATACAGGATTGTGATGATGCTCATAATTTGAAAATCGAGGATAATACAACTGGTTAAGAGGTGGTTAAAAGTTGAAGAATTTGTTATTGCTGCTACTGTGTGTCGTCTTAGCATCTATATTCCAATTTTTAACGAACCTCCCGTACTTGTTCATCTCAATCCCACTCTATTCCTGCTAAATTTCTAATATTTTTTCTTTTTTTTTTCACATACAAAACAGAAAAAATCTTTCTATAAATTTTTTTTTCATATAAAAATAAAGATCATAGTTTCAAGTTTATCATTCGAGATAATCAAATAATCAAATAATCAAACTATAATTTTATATATATTTCAATCATTAAGATTAAACTTTAATAGATTACTTATAGATTTTAACATGTCAGATATAACTCAACAAATGAATAATTTAAATGTTCAAGATAACTCATCATATCAACAACAACCTACTCAAAATGGTCGTAGACAATATGTACCACCACATTTAAGAAATAGACCAGCATCATCTCAATCTCAACCACAATCACAATATAATGATGTACAGTTTGGAGGATCACGTCGAGGTGGATATAATAATAATCCAAGAGGCAATTTTGGAGGATCAAATAATTATAGAGGTAATAGTAATGGAGGATTTTCAAGAGGTGGTGGATCAAGAGGTGGAAATTTTGGTTCTGCTGGTGGTAGATTCCAAAGATCTACACCAGGAGTTGGTAAATGGGTAGATGGAAAACATGAACCAGCACAAAATAATGAAAGATTAGAATTAGAATTATTTGGAACAGCAGATGATTCTCATTTTCAATCATCAGGTATTAATTTTGATAATTATGATGATATTCCAGTTGAAGCAAGTGGTGAAGGAGTTCCAGAACCAATTAATCAATTTACTGCTCCTCCATTAGATGAATTATTAGTTGAAAATATTAAATTATCAAGATTCACAAAACCAACTCCAGTTCAAAAATATTCAGTTCCAATTGTTGCTGCAGGTAGAGATTTAATGGCTTGTGCTCAAACAGGTTCAGGTAAAACTGGTGGATTTTTATTTCCAGTATTATCAGAATCTTATATGAATGGTCCAGCACCAATTCCAGAATCAACTGGTGCTTTTTCATCTCATAAAGTTTATCCAACTATTTTAGTTATGGCTCCAACAAGAGAATTAGTTTCTCAAATTTATGATGAAAGTAAAAAATTTGCTTATAGATCATGGGTTCGTCCTTGTGTTGTTTATGGTGGAGCAGATATTGGAAATCAAATAAGACAATTAGATAGAGGTTGTGATTTATTAGTTGCAACTCCAGGTAGATTAAAAGATTTATTAGAAAGAGGAAGAGTTTCATTAGCTAATATTAAATATTTAGTATTAGATGAAGCTGATAGAATGTTGGATATGGGTTTTGAACCACAAATTAGACATATTGTTCAAGAATGTGATATGCCAAATGTTAAAGATAGACAAACTCTTATGTTTTCAGCTACTTTCCCAAGAGATATTCAAATGTTAGCTCGTGATTTTTTAAAAGATTATATATTTTTATCAGTCGGTAGAGTTGGTTCAACTTCAGAAAATATTACTCAAAAAGTTTTGTATGTTGAAGATGATGAAAAAAAATCAGTTATATTAGATTTATTAAATGCAAATGAAAATGGTTTAACAATTGTATTTACTGAAACTAAAAGAATGGCTGATAATTTAGCAGATTTCTTATATGATCAAGGTTTCCCAGCTACTGCAATTCATGGTGATAGATCACAATATGAAAGAGAAAAAGCTTTAGCAGCTTTTAAAAATGGTGCAGCTCCAATTTTAGTTGCTACAGCAGTTGCAGCAAGAGGTTTAGATATTCCAAATGTTTCTCATGTTATTAATTATGATTTACCAAGTGATATTGATGATTATGTTCATAGAATCGGTCGTACTGGTCGTGCAGGTAACGTTGGTATTGCTACTGCATTCTTTAATAGAAATAATAAAAATGTTGTAAAGGGACTTATTGAATTATTAGGTGAAGCAAATCAAGAAGTTCCAGAATTTTTAACAAAAATTGCAAGAGAAAGTGCTTTTGGTAAAATGAGTGGACCACGTGGAAGTTCAAGAGGTGGTTTTGGTAGTACTGGTGGAACAAGAAGTGGTAATAGAGATTTTAGAAGAACTGGTGGATCAGGAAGTTCAAATTGGGGTAATAATTCTTCAAGTGGTTGGGGAAATAGTAATGGTTATTCAAATGGAGGAAATGATTATGGTTCTTCTTCACGTTCTAGTTTCAATGATAATTCAAGTTATGGTAACCCAGCATCAGCCACTAACTCATGGTGGTAATCTCAAAGGCGTAATAATCATTCAATAAATTAAGCATAAAAATAAATTAAATTTAAAGCATAACTTTTCAGTATTAGTATATAAATAGTCTCTTTTTTGGGTTAATTTTTTGGGTAATTATTATTAGGTGTATATTAATAAATTTGTATTTTGATTTTAGCGTAGATTTCTGAAACATTTACGAAAAAAGTAATAGTCTAATCATCAAGCATGAGAAGAAATTTAAAGTTAGTGGTACTAGCGGGTATACTAATATTATCAATCACTTACTTATTTAAATCTTATGGATCGTCATCATCTTATAAAACGGAATATAACTCCCCCAAATTACAACTCCTTCGAGAAATTGAAATTCATAAAGATTATCGAACGAAAGGTTTAAATTTTCAATCAACTACTAGAAACACTATCCCACCTTCAAATAAAGTATCTGAACAATTAAGTATTGGTTTCCCTTATGACCCTAATTCCGAATTTCCCAAAATTATTTGGCAAACTTGGAAAGTAGGTTTAGATCATGAAGAATTTCCAAAAAAATATAAAGATTATCAATCATCATGGGATGAAAAAAATTCAGGATATAAACATTTTATAATTCCTGATGAACAATGTGATGCATTAATTGCAGAATTATATTCAGTTGTACCGGATGTTGCAAAAGCTTATGCCATAATGCCTAAATCCATTTTAAAAGCTGATTTTTTCAGATACCTTATACTATTTGCAAGAGGTGGAGTTTATTCTGATATTGATACTGTTGCATTAAAACCTATTGATAATTGGCCAAGTTTACAAAAAGAATATATTGGTAAATCAATTAATCCTGGATTAACAATAGGTATTGAAGCAGATCCTGATAGAGAAGATTGGGCTGAATGGTATGCTCGTCGTATACAATTTTGTCAATGGACTATACAACTGAAAAAGGGACATCCAATGCTAAGAGAACTTATTGCAAAAATTACAGAATTAACTTTAACAAGAGAAATTAAAAATCAATTAAAAAAGACTTTAGGTAAAGATGAAGGAGGTGATATAATGAATTGGACAGGTCCGGGAATATTCACGGATTTTGTTTTTCAATATATGAATTTGATTCTACAATCTTCAGAAAATATTGCAAAAAAGAAACATGAACATATAATAGATTGGAAATTATTTACTAGAATTGAAAAACCTGTGGTTATTGATGATGTTATGTTACTTCAGATAACGTGTTTTTCACCAGGAGTTAATCAAATGAATGCAAAAGAGGTAAACCATGAAGATGCTTTAATTCATCATAGATTTGCTTCAAGTTGGAAAGGAGATAATTAATGAAATATTATACGGATGTGGTACACTTGTGTGCGGTACGGATAGATGTCTGCGTTGCGGTATTGATGTTTGCGGTACGACCAAGACCACTGTGAATGATAAATGGTTTGCAAGCAAAAACCCTTTATATGGTTCATTCAAGATGAGTTAGAGCAAACTATTGTTAAACATGAATCACCAAACCAAAGTCTAACTACGAACTGGTATATAGGTTCTGAAATCGATTTAACACTACAAGAACCCTTCTTCATTACGGTAATTTTTCAAAAGATAAAGATGTGGGATTTGTCGAAGAGATCTGCTATATCAGTTTAGGATAGGACTTAGTCAAGCCACAAAAAGTTAAAACAAGGATTCAAAAAGTTGACATGTGTCGATACACTAAAAGAGTTGATAATACGATCCAAGTAAAGATATACTCACAATTCGTATTTATTTTATTGTATATAAAAATAAATTTTTCCCAATAATAATTTGGATGAGCATTTTAATGAATATTAATACTTTTGAACCTTCATGTAGTTTATGCATACTATGACAATGATATATTGACCCGAATGTGGTACGGATGGGATGTCTGAAGTACGGATGTGCAAGGATGGGATGTCTGAAGAATTTTTGATGTGATAGGATCTGATACGGATGGGATGTCTGAAGTACGGATGTGTAAGGATGGGATGTCTGAAGAATTTTTGATGGACTTATACTTTATGTGGTAAGGATGATTGATAGTCTGTTTGAGTTAAGAAGTGCGGATGGGTTTATACATATTGAAAATTTATTAGTCTTTAACAATAAAGTTTGTAAAATAAATTACTTCTTCACATCATCATTTTGTTTATATCACCTCAAGAATAGTTTTATCATTATTTACAGAATTCAATTTCTGGCTAATAATAATGCACATGCTTTAATTTGTATTTTCCACATCTATTGCATTTTTCCAGGAACCTGCAAATTCATGATCAGTTAATGAATCTGAATTATGCTTACCACCTGATGCAAAAGCAGAAAGACTTAAGATCATAACGTCATTAATTACTATTGGTTGTTTCATCCCAGTAAAAAATTGTAAATCAAAAAAATTGACATCATTCTTCCTCTTAAACATTGAATTTAAGTAGTTAAATATATAATCAGTGAAAATACCAGGTCCAGTCCAATTTAAAATATCATTTTTGGGGTCCTTGGTATCGAAAACAGCCTTCAATTGACCTGTGGATTCTCTATTCAAAGTAGTTATAGTTATATTAGTTATTAATTCTCTTAACATTGGATGACCTTTTTGCAGTTGAAAAGTCCATTGACAAAATTGAAGAGGACGAGCATACCAATCTGCCCAATCTTCTCTATTAGGATCAGCTTCTACTCCAACAGTTAAACCAATGTTAATTGTCTTATTTAGATATTTCTCTTGATAGCTTGGCCAATCTTTTAATGGCTTTAATGAAACAGTATCTATATCTGAATAAATACCGCCTTCAGCGAATAAAATCAAATATCTAAAGAAATCTGCTTTTAAAATGATTCTAGGTAAAACATTATAAGCTTTTAAAATATCTGGAAAATCTTTATATAGCCTAGCAATCAATTCATCACATTGTTGATCAGACAAGACGTGGAATTGATGATTTGGAGATTCGTTAGTAAAAGTATTATGATAAATTTTGTACTTTTCGTGCATTGATTGATCATTTAAATCAACTTTATAAGTTTGCCATAATATTCGAGGGATTATATGTTTTGTATTATAAGTAAATTGTTTTGCCAATTTTTTCAGTAATGCATTTGATGAAGGTACTTTGTTGTTTGAATTTGGTTGAAAGTTTAATCCATTGATTTTATAATCCTTGTTTGAATCTATTAGCTTTCTCATTTGGGTTATAGCTGTTTCATTATAGTTGAATATGTAATGAGGTGATGCAGAATCAGATAGTAGGTAAAAGCAGTAAATGAATGCTATAGTTAACGTAGACACAACTATGTATTTGAATTGTCTTTTCATGATCAAAAAGGTTACTTCATGTCAAGTTGATCGTTTATGAACTTTAACACATATTGCATTAGATTTATAAAATTAAGGTTTTGTTTTTTGATTTAATAAAATAAGACAAAATATCGAGTTTATATCAAATTTTGAACTGGTGATAGACCTGAACTAAATTTGTATCCTCTTGAGATAAAGAGTTCATGAGATTTAACAATAAGAGTAAGAGTAAGATGAAATCAGGTGCTAAAAAAACCATGAACTAACGCTTTAGAATATTCGAAATTGCATCGTATGGCTTAGGGCTTAGCTTCAAACAATAATCAAATAGAAAATCTGAGACAACTTTAAGTTTCACAAACTCGATTAGATTGGAAAAAAAGATCGAACATGCCAGTGAGTAGCCGTGCAATTCGTTGATCTAAAATGGTTTCAACTTTTTCTTTGATTCGGATTTCGTTTCGAGTTGAACAAAGGTTGGCATTGAATTTCTCAGACAAATTTGATTACTGTCCAAAGCATTTGATATTAAATGTATTATATATCGTGCTGTTCTAGACTACAAATTATAAGCCTGAGAAAGTAAGTCAAGTTGCCCCAAATGTTTTACTTCTCACTCACCAAAATCTTGTGAAAACCATGTTCGTGTGATATACAGCTTAATACACGGAACGTCAAATAACCAGATATATGAAACGGGAAAAGTCAAGTAGATGCCAAATATTTTTCAAAGGTAGGATTTCAACCTAATAAAACAAGTTCAATTCTAATCTGTTAAATCAGAATAAGCATTTGAAACATGTTTTAATCTCACCTCGAGAGACTTTTGGAGTATCTTCGTATTATTCATAATACAATTTCGCTTGAATGTCTGTACCATCTGTTTATAACACAAAATTATTCTATATCATGTGAATCTCTACACAAAATATAAATCTCGACACAAAATCTTAAAACACACAAAACTAAAAATAGATACGAGTATGTTGATATTTAAAACTCAACCAATTCATATCTCAACAATTCATCAAGATAACATCAATGTGTAATTATTTGAAATTTATAATACCTGCTTTACTACTAATTAGTTCATTTTATTTTTTATATGAAACCTATGGCTCATCATTAACATTTGACAGCATCGAGGTCGACTATATAAGTCCTAAAGAAAAATTATTAGAAACAATATCCAATAAACCAAATTATAAAACTGAAGGATTAAATTTTCAAACTAATAGAAAACATATAATTCCAACAACTGATACAATACTGGAAAAATTAGCTAAAATATTCCCTTATGATCAAAATAAAGATTTTTCAAAACAATTATGGCAAACTTGGAAAGTTGGATTAGATGATAAAGAATTTCCAGACAACTTCAAAGAATATCATGAAAGTTGGGTTGAAAAAAATCCAGATTTTGAATTTCATGTAGTACCTGATGAAAAATGTGATGAAATGATAATGGAATTATATAAAGATGTGCCTGATGTTATAAAAGCTTATCATACATTACCAAAAGTAATTTTAAAAGCTGATTTTTTTAGATATTTAATATTATTCGCAAAAGGTGGGATTTATTCAGATTTAGATACAGTTGCTTTAAAACCTGTAAGTCAATGGCCAAGTACTCAAGATCAATATTTGAATGATCCAATAAATATTGGGTTAACTGTTGGTATTGAAGCAGATCCTGATAGAGATGATTGGGCGCAATGGTATGCTCGTCGTATACAATTTTCTCAATGGACAATTTTTCTGAAAGTTGGACATCCAATGTTAAGAGATTTAATTTCAAAAATAACAACTATAACTTTAGTTAGAGAAATGACTGGGAAATTAAATGAAATTTTAGATGGGAAAGATCAAGGGAATGATATAATGAATTGGACTGGTCCAGGGATTTATACTGATTGTATTTTCCGATATCTTAATATTATATTACATGAATCATTTGATTTAGATATTATAATTGATAATGATATTTTTAAAAGATTGGAAAAACCTATAGTGGTAGATGATGTTATGTTGATGCCAATAACATCGTTTCTGCCTGGTCATAATGATGAAAGTAATCATGCATTAGGTATTGATTCTGAGTTAGCTTTAGTACAACATAAATTTGAAGGTAGTTGGAAAAATAATGGATAATAGTTGGTAGTAGTGTTTTGAATAAAGGTTAATTTGAAGACTTATAATTGTAACTCTCGATTCACGTAACATTCGGTCTTCTTTCCACATTTGCAAGTAATGCATAAACAAATTGAGTATTGAAATAGCGTTATCTTTTGTGCTTCGAAAGTAATAATATGTTTGGCGATAGATCGAAAGCTTTCCTTTGATTGATGCTAATTCCTTTCAATTTACTTCTGGTTAACCGATTTGCCTAGTGTGAATTTACTCAAATCATATTTCACTATTGCTAAATAATTAAATATCATTAATGGTGAGATCAATATTGAAGCACTAAGTGTAACTTGTGTTTGAAAGATTTGAAAATTATATGACAATATTCACAAACTTTTAAGTAAGTAAATCAAAACCGCGTTTTCTTGAATAATATTTTCGTTTTTGTTGTTTGATAAAAAGCCGCAATTACTCCATTGCGCAACAAATTATTTTAGAGTTATTTTCTTACGTAACATGAATTCTATATAGAATTTGAAATTACGAAAATGAATTCTAACAAACTATAAAATTTTACGTTGAAGAATACTACTATTTCATTCAAATAGCTCAACATGTTCATATTAGTCATCCATGTATCCTTGATGATTTTACAGCGACCGACGTGATATAGTTTTCACTAGCAATAACCTAACAAGTTTAAACTTATTCAACAACTAATCGTTTTAACTACAATCTCCTTCCAGTCACACGTTCATACATATTTATTGAAGTTGAGGGCTGACTTTGCTTTAATTGACACTATGATAAAATATTAGCTACTGCTTGAGGTTTGAAATGATTTCATACAGAACTGAGATTGATCGTCCTTTTTTGTTATTCAAGCTCGATGAAATCCACAACGCGATCATTAATGCTATCATACAATTTTATCAAAATGCTATAACATAAAATTTTGATGATGTTGGATAATAATATTAAAACACATGTTTGAGGTTATCTTCATTTCCAGCTAAACTGTAATTTTTATTTTTTATCGAAAATAATGATGAATTTTTACAGCTTGAAAATTTTATTTGAAACGATGTTGAGGATGAACTTGTGATAATCTTGAATTATCTAAAAATATGATTTGGAATAGTTTCATGGAGATGTAATGACGAGGCTTCATAATTTGGGAGACTTTGTTGGAGTTGAACATTGGACTAAAAAATTCAAATTGATAAAGACTTATGACATATATAAGTGAGGTGGAATAATTTTAAGTGTTAGCAAGGTTATTATGATATAATGGAGTAAAATCAAGATAGCAAAAAAATTGGTGACCAATTTCAATGACTCAATAAGTTTTGTTGGAATAATTTTAAGAGAAATGATTTGATGATAGCTTCAATGATTAATTGGAAAGAAGTTTAAAATTAGCAAAAGTAAACTTTGTCACGAATTTATATTTGGGTTTCATATTTTAAATTCTATTTCAAATTTGCAGATGAAATAGACAAAATTTATCTGATTTTGACTGAGTAATTATTAGCAAGCAAAATGGTTGGTGACAATTTTTCATGATTCTAAAAACCCAAGATTTATATATAACAAAGAACAATTTCATGCAATTTATAATCATTTGATATTCTTGTTTGGACAGTTAGCAAATTGTTCCAATTACAAACTTCTGAGACTTTAAAATATTAGTTGAATAAATAATTAAAGGTTGAATAAAACAAACTAAATTTATGAAAAAATTACTGATTATCGACGATTTATGATTATGTGCAAATTAACCAACATTTATTGGATTGAAGATATGACCTTTCGGATCAGCAAACCACAAATTTGAATTAGTATTTATGAATGAAATATAAAAAAATGAAGGTTTACCAAATTTTTTGAAGTATTCATAAATTTTTTAATAAAAAAGTTTCACCAAACATTTGAATAGCTAACAATGAATGATGAACAAAACGAGTTCTAATCTAATCTTAATGGATATTGATAATTCAATCATGAATGGATATGAGTTTGTTGATTGACGAAGATTTTGTCGTGTCGTGACATTTTGAATCCCGACACACTGAAACAACTCTCATACCTACCTGGTACATTTTGATGTTTGATAATTGTTATTGAATTTCAATATATAAAGTTTGGATTTTGTTGGGTATAATTGATTGTGCTGTTTTGACTACTTCCTAGAGTGTTATTAATGTCATTTTGAAATTTTAGACGTGTTTTTTTTTTTGTTGTTGTTTTAACTTCAATTGACAACCAAATTTTTAAATTGGCCACCAAAAAAATATACTTATGAGAAATCATTCAATTTATCATTCAATTCTTTAATTATCATCAATAAACTTTATACATCAAACTATACCAATCAACTCATTAATTTTCATCATAATCTAATAGGTGGCATAATATCAGTTATTCTGCAATTGAAGACCAATCTTTTTAAATTAAAACAAAATTTAATCTTTAAATAAAAAACACGTCTGTCTTTATTTCAATCATTATATCCATTCAACTTCAGTCAATTAAATTCATACAACTAATACTCAATTGCAAATAGAATATATTCGGAATTAACGTTTTATCATGGAATCTAAGGGGGATCAAAGTTCCAATGATTTAGATCCCACATTATTTAATTTCAATAGATCTATATCACAAATTAATTCAAATGACCCACGAATTTTAAACCCAATTTTGACTGATGATGATGATTTTCAAGATCAACAAGATATATTAACAGGGCAAAATACATCATTAGTCATTGACTCGCATGGTGATATAGAATCAGAGTCAGATGTTGATGCAAATGATAATTTAAATGGTTTGGATGAAGATTCAGATGGTTCAGAATTTATACCTGAAGATGATGATATTAAAACTAAAGACTGGTATCTAGCACATTACTCATCAAAATTATTAAACTCAATTATGCAATCATACATGATGTTGGATGGCGATTACGAAGATGGATTCGCTCACTTTAAAATGAATTATCCTGAAGAAGCTAAAGACAAATCAGTCGAAGAAATCGATAAATGTTTTGAATGTTTAATTGACAGTTTGAGAACGACCACTTATGACGAAAGTACTGTCGATATGATTGGTGAAATGTTAAAGCAAAGTAATGATGAAAGGTTGTTAGAAGATATTGAAAAGATACTTGCAAGAGTGCCTAGACTATTAGAAATTGAAATTGTTTATATTTACTATACAATTTTTGGTTCAAATCATCAGTCATGTTATGTTTATTCGATGGCAGAAAAGGAAGTTTTGATGAATGTTGCTTTGAATAGAATTGGATTTTTGGAAGATACAATCAATGAGCTTCAGGATCAAGGTTATTTTAAGACTAGAACATCAGGGAATGTCATTGATTTATATGGCAAATTATTGAGATCATTAGAAGCTAAAACATTTTCCAATAATGAAATAGAATTTGTCAAAAAATTATTGACCAATGTTCCAGTAAATCAAGTGTTGGAAATAGTTAGAAAGTGCAACCCTCCAGTTACTTTAAATACCCTAGATATGCTTTACATTTTCCATATTGAAATACAGGAAAATTCGCTTTCCGGAACGTTTTGGAACGTTCGAGACAAGGCTATAGTCTTACATCACTTATTGAAAAGAAAAGGATCTGTTGAAGAGGCCACAAATGACATGAAGAAAAATGTTCTTCAAGGTCGAACAAATGCTGCTATTCAACAGAGGTATTTAATATTAATTAGAATTTACGGTAAAAAACATTACACTGATGACCAAATCAAATTGGTGGAAGAAACTTTAAAAAATTCAAATGAAGATACTTTATTACAAGATATTAAATCGAATGTTAATAAATTCTCCGAATTATCTTTGGTGGATGTTGTATATGTTTATTACTTAAAAGTTAAAAAAGTGTCGCTCAAAAACTCAGAATATTCTGAATTTGAAAAGGTTTTAATACTTAATGAACTTTTTAAAAGAAAGAAAGATAGAAAAGAAGTTATTGCAGACCTACTCAAAACTCATTGTCATGGTAGAAAACCAGAAGGTATTGAATCAACATACGATCGCATTATTGCTGAACTAAGAAAGAAAAAATATTCAACAGAACAAATAAAATCGGTTGAAAAAAATCTTCAAGATGCAACACCAAGCACCATCTTTGAGTATCTCATAAATGAAAATCGTCCTTTTCATTCGTCATTAAATTCAATTGACGTTATCTATATTTATTACGTTAAAATTTTGAAAGTATCAAGTCTTAATACTCCTTATTCAAAGGAAGAGAAAGAAGTAATGATGTCTCGTATTTTAGGAAGAAATTACTCCACTCTGGTCAACGAAGTATTCACAGACTTGAGCCAAAATGACTTTTGGGGCCGAACAGATCTGGCACTTGAAAAAGCTTATGAAAAATTGAATTCAGAATTCAAGAAGAAGAAATATAACAAAGAACAAATTGAAGTGGTTGACTCATTATTTAAGGACGTTTCAAATTCAGATTTACTACAAAACGTCAGAGCAAAGATGAATCAGTTGTCAACATTGAGTGTTTTAGATGTATTATATATACATTACGTGAAGCTTGTTAAATTAGAAGAAAGAGAAGAGCTCGTACTTCAAAAAATATTGAGTCGAGATGGTAGTATCGATGATGAGGTTTTAAAATTACGTCAAAATTACTTTTATGAATGGGACAAGTCATTTGTACACACAATTTATAACAATGCTATTGCTAAATGTGAAAACAAAAATTACACTGAAGAAGATAAAAAGAAGGTAAATCATTTATTAAGAGACACGGATGACGAATCAATTTTATTGAATATAAAATCAAACATAAACCAATTTTTTAATTTAAACACTTTAGAAATTTTGTACATCCATTATGTCATTAACCAGGCTGTATTAACTCAAGAGCGTCTGGTTTCAGCCGACATAAATTTCATTTTGTTTGAAGTTTTCAATAGTTCCAAAACATTGAAAGATAAAATTGCTGAATTAAAAATTAAATATTATAATCATAAAACAGAATCAAGTCTCCAAAGTTCATATAACAAAACATTAGTCAAATTGAAGAAGAAGACGTACAAGAATGAAGAAGTAGCTTTTGTCGCAACCACATTTAAGAATACAAAGACGCAAGACCTTATGCATGAAATAGACTCAGCTGCTTTACCTGAAGGTTTAAATGCTTTAGATGTAATATTTATTTATTTTAAAAAGGTGACAAAAACAAAGGCTAAAGTAGAAGAAAGATTTTCTGAAGAAGAAAAGCTAGCAATATTAAATCAATTAAGTGGAAAGAAAAATTTGAGAAGTAAAAGTGTATTGAGTAGTGCTGTATCAGAAATTAAAAAAAATTGTCAAATTGACGCAGAAGATTCGACCGTACTTGATTTGTTTAAGAAGACTAATGAGAAATTGAGTTCAAATAAATACACTGAACAACAGGTAAAATGGATTAAATCTAATTTTAAAAACACTAAGTTTGATGATTTATTGAAAGAAATCAATGAAAAAGTCGAGCAATCACCTAATTTGAGTAAGCTCGACATATGTTTCGTGTATCATTCTGAAATTATAAAATCGGTACCAATCAAACAAGATAGAAAGAAGGTAAGCTTGACTGATCCTCCCATTTTGGAACAAGATAGAAAAGAGGTAAGCTTGAACAGTGCTCTGGGTTTGAGAAGATCTTTTAGATTAGCAAAGCAATCTAATGTAGTTCCGTTGACAAATGCTGAGGTTGTTGAAAATAATATAATTAGTGTTGAAGAAAGTGAAATTGAGGAAGAAAGTGAAATTGAAGAAGAAAGTGAATATGAACCTGAAGGAACAAGTAGAAGATTAAAGAAAAGAAAAATTGCAAATACATGAAAATTTTGGAATTTAAATTTAATTAGCTTATCTACTAATTTATATAGTCTATTATATATTAATTCGTATAGAATGGCTTAATATAGGTTCATATGTAGATGAAAAATCAAAATAAAAGTAAATGGGTGTAGTTATTAAATCTTACTTCCTCATAAATTAATACTGAAAAACAAAATAATTTAAATTAATATTTACTTCAAATTAATCATTAATTCATCCATAAAATTTTCATGAGCATTTAAATATTAAAGTAATAATTCCTCTAATTCATTCATTTAATATACTATTACCAAAAATATTTTTTCCATTATTATGTTTTATTTTCAATCACCTTAGTTAGTGACAAATCTTTCTTACTTAGCTTTCTGAATTTCTCGTTTATGTCTTCATTTTGATTCTCCATCTTGGAATTCTCATTAACGTTTTCATTCTCCTCCTTAAAATTATCTTGATCTTCTTCTATCTTAATTTCTTCATTCTCTCTATAGTTGCATGAATCATTTTCATTGTTTTGGGTCTTATAATACCTTCTGTTCAAATCTGGTTTAAAACCATATTCTTTTTATAATTTGTCATGCTTCTTTTTCTATAGTTTGTTGTTGATGTTTTGATATAATTTACAAATTTCAATTTTCTTTTGTACGAAACGAACATCATTCTGAACCATTATAAAAAATTCATCAACATCAGGAAGATTGATTGTTTTATTATTTTCCCATTTTTTAAATATTGGAACTATTTTTTGACAAAATATATTATTAAAATTATTATTCGCTGCAATATGATAACAATCAGTATAATTACCACCAATTTGATCTTTATTTAATTTTGATATGGATTCAACTAATTCTTCAGTTTTTCCAATTTCTTCAAATTTTCTTCTTCTTTCTGGATTTAATTTGTGATCAGATGTATTTAATCTAATTGCCACGGCTTGAGCAAATCGATTGTTCATTTCTTTTCATATCCATATATGATGTTAAGTAAGCAATTCCAAATAATAATCATAATTCAAATCATCTACTTTTGGAATTTTGCTTTTCATTTGCAATAATTTTCTGTCTCGTAAATCTGCACATAACTTTTCATCAAACTTTTTTGTTGAATATACTATTTCAAAAGATTCTCTAAAAAGAATCAACTTCACTTTATCAACTTTTGAAATTGAACTCATTTGAAGTTGTAATTGCTTTTTTAAACTTTTACAATGATTAAAAATCTTCTCAATAATTCCTTTCCATTTAATTATATTACATTTTAGTTTAGTAGCGTTCGCATTGTTTCTTTTTTTTTTTTTTTTTTTTTTTTTTTTTTTTTTCTTCAATTAATTTAATTTTTCATTATTTTCT